CGTAAAAGAATAGTATTCTATAGATTTGACAACATAGTTTCGGTTACAGTTATGAATACATGCTTACGAAGCTCCATTATCCATTTCATCCATCCACACATATAAACTTGACACACACATATTAAGATACCAGCCGGCGGCACCACGCACCAACACATCGTTCCTTAATGGCGTCTTCCTCATTTACTCCTAATGTTAGAACGAGATGACACGAAAACAACTTATCTGACCGCGTATTGAAGTACAAATAAGGAAGGTCACGAGGATGAAACCGACTTATGTGTTGCCATAAGTGAAAAAGAGACGCAATGAAAACAAATCAATATCATCTCCGTGTTTCGCAGTAGAAAGAGACGGCGCAACAACAAACCGGCATTTTATGCCTGCCGGCCGTTCGTTATTCATAGAGTTAGTGCTGGCCAATTTATATCTTACTGCATCGTACTAGAATACACTTCGACATTACAGCGTCTTGTTTACAGGTATAGAACAAGAACGTAATCATTCTTGCTTGATGGTCCCGTTGTGAAATCTACGTTCAACCAATGTTATAGGCATAATTTTCTGCTTGCAGCAGATTATTCTAAATTCAAATGAATTTGTTCACTAAAAGTATGATTTCATCTTACTTGTTGAAATCGCTACACAGTAATCAAAGTTTAATTTGACAATTAATGTTGTCATTAGTCTATATAAAAATTCTGGAATCAGCTTTTTAGTTTTTTACCCATATGCTATTGGTAAAATGCCGATTCATGAAAATTGACTTTGTGAAAATACATTATATAAATGAGGGTACATAATGAAACTTATCGTAATTCTTGTATGTTGCCATTTCTAAGGACAAAATTTTATGTCTCTTTGCCCTTTAATACCACTGCCATTCATACCAAAATATACATAGTTGACAAGACAACATGGCAGTGGCAGTGTGATTGCACAAAAGTTATACACAGACAAACCATCTTTGTTTTAGAATCATCATCTGCTTCTTCCTTATCCCATTTATTTGGGGTCGGCGTAATATGTTTTTCGCTTCGATTCATCCCTGCTCGCAGTCATCGCGTTATTTACTTCCTTTCTTACCATATCATCTTTCACACAGTCCATCCATCTCTTTTTCGGCCTTCCTCTGCCCTTATAACCATCCACATTCATATGTAACACCTTTCTTAAAATATTATCCTCGTTCCTACGCATTACATGTCCATACCATGATAGACGATTACTCTACATCTTTGTTTTAGAATAACACATTATAATTCACAAGACATACACAGTTACACACTCACACTACTTCACGAGTACATTTATTTAATCCAGCCCGTAGTAACAATTCTTAATGCAAATGAAATTAATGTTAACATTTAAGCTTCCCCTCTTTTGACCTCGTTTTTCAACTTTACTACAACTTCCTATACTTACAGAGGAGTGTGTGTGTGTGTAGATACTTTCCACGCAATAGCATCGTCGCAATAGTCCTGACTGAAAGCATAGAAACTAGGAAAAGTATTCTTTCGTAATTCAAAAATACATTAAAGCTGATATTAATGACATTTTACCGTCAATACTGGCATACCAAGTACTAGATGTACTTGGTATGTTGAAATCAACTCAGTTATCATTGTGAATGTAATATCAAGTGCTTGGCAGGAAATCGATCGAATAATATACTTAATTGTTAACGATGAATCCAAACCAACCAACAGTCCATTCCCCCTTATATAGAAAATTAGAAATAGAAATAGACCTAATATTTTATACTTGCAGTCTATACCAAGTTCATTTTAATATTATATAATAACAATGACCCAACCGGTACACGACATACTTATATTACTAGAATAGGGCCTTAGAGTAAAATCAAAGTACATTGAAATATTTATATTTTCACGAAAATTAAGAGTCTGTGTGAAACGGCCTCACTATCTAATGTGATTTAATTATGTATACACAAAGCTAATAAAATATTTTAAACCATGCATAAATACAAAAAGTATGTAAAATGATAGAGAATATTCAAACTAGGTCAGTGGTGCAGCGAAGGGAGGCCTCCCTCTTGTCGTGTAGAGCAGCGCCACCCGCTCCGCATAAAAGGACGGAAAAAGAATGATTATAAGTTTAAATCGCAGTTATAGTTGAAGTATTTTATTGCTTATTACTATTACTGCAAACATATAAATACTTCTTTATGCTATCGTATTATTTTTATATTTATGTGTATATAAGTAATAATAATAACAATAATAATATCCCTGGACAATTATACGGGGTATTAGATAATAGATATACTCTACTAGGTACTCTTTTTTTAAATACATACATGTTACACATAGAAAACACCCAGATCATTACAAACAATCACTCATGAATACAAATGTTTGTAGCATGCGTGGAGTAGAATCCGCAAACTTCGGCATTAAGGCGGTGTTCTAAACCGCTAGACAATCTAAGCTGCCACGTATAAAATTATGAAATCAATAATTCAATAATTAATTTGTAAATCACTTATATAGTAACTATACCTAAGTAACACAATAATATATAAAATTAGCAATCATAATTTTACATACCCTGCTTAATATAAAGGAATGATAAACAGAATTAATATCATTGAAAATTAAAAAAACATAGAATTTAAAAGGATTTTTCATAACAATTTTTAAATAAAATCTTGTAGCTGAACACTGAAAATGTCCAGAATGACACTGAGCAACGGGTATGGGCTATGATGGGCTTGCGCGGTATCGATCCATATCGGTGGGATATTTGAAGGACACGCTGCTTAGCCCCATGAAAACCAACAGATTAGATGTAATTTGCTAAAATTAAATTAATCGATATACTAACAAAGTAACAGGTAGTCAAAGCTTTGTTTTTAATTGTTAGTAACGAAATATGTTTAATATTTGAGTAGAGATCCAAGGTTCCATTAGGTTTTTTTTAAAGAAAGTACTGTCGATAATTTATTTCGGAATATTTTATGTAATATAAAGAGAGTATTTGTTATGTCACGTATATGTAGATTACGCCGAAATGATTCGTTGTGTCATAAAATATCATTCCTTTGATGGTGATATATCGCAAAACTAAATGCATTTCAGTTTATTTCCCAGTATTTTTATTTCAATACTTTAATGTTAATGCTTTTTAATGTTTCGTAAAGACTGTAAGACTACAGATATCGATTAGACGCAAATTATTTTAACTGTATTTCTTTATATTGGAAGTTTACTATAACCTTGTACAAATTTACATTCTCTCTGATTTAAAATTTACAGAACATTCTAAACTTTAACTTTCTACTCCCTTCCTATTGCAAGACCTTTTTTACAACTAATTATTATTGCAAAGAAAACTCTTTGAGAGATAGTTGCATTAGCATAAAATATCTAAGTTGTAATGACTTGCAATATAGAGAATAGCAACCTTCGCAGACCACCCTTGGCCGTGGTACTGCGACCTAGATGTTAGCCTTGCTCCTCCTCCATATCCCCCCACCAGCCAGCCCCGTTTCCCCGTGACCTGACCTATTTTTGTATGCACTTGATGTAGCCTCAGTTTCCAGGCTGCAACTAGGACCAGATATTCAGCGCGCGCAACCTAATTCGCTTATAGACCCTGGCACAGCTCAGTTCATTATATACAGTCAAACTTCATCTATTTGCGGATTGCTTATAACTTTCCATCACACTTTGAATTAAATTATAATTAATTAATTGTGTTATACTTAATTCATAATTGTTTTAATTAACCTTGAAGTTTTATTTTGCGAAGACGTCAAAAGATATGATTTAAATGCGTACCTACATTTTTGATAAAACTTAACGTACAAATGGGATAAACCAAACACAAGTCACATCATGAGAGCTATTTGCGAGAAAATGGCTGCAAATGTCGATGGCAAGTTAGGTGTTAATACTTGCCAAAACAATATGACATTGGACAGAAGGTCGATGTAAAAGAATCTTTGGCAAGTGTACAGCACTGAGCTCGGGTGTGGTTAATTACTTATCTATTCTTTTGTTGAATACAGTTACGTACTCATTATAATTATAATAATATATATTTCATAGAAATTTTATAATATAATCTGACTTCAATTGTAAGAACAATTAAAATTAAATAAGGCATATCTTCAACTTCTGTATATTTTTTAAATAATATCTATAAAAATACAACAAGTGAAAGTTAATTCTAATAAAACAATATCATGTTATGTTAAAAATCGGGATCATATATAGGGCGATAAACGCCCCAACTTTTAAGCCACCAAAACTGTCTATCGGGCTCAAATCTGATCTGAATTCAGTCTGTTATATGTTGTAACGCTTGATTGCTGTGCATAGTACATACATATAGCTAGAAATAGGTAGATAGGCCACGATATAGGAGGTGGAGGTGGCGGCGCATAGCGGCACAGCGCAGGAGAGCACGGATGGCGTGCGCTACGCTGCGGTATCGGCAAGGCCGCGACCTAGAGTTGCTTCCGTCTCTGTTATATCTTTACGCGAGTTTATTCAGCACTGCCCAGCTACAATACTCTTCGGAACCTTGAATTATCAATACATTGTTTAACGCTTGAAAAAACTACATAATGCACATTGTTGAATCTATACAATCACGTATCCGCTCCATTTACAGCCTCCATTTCTCAAATTATTTTATGTTAGAAAAATAAAATAAGGTCTGTTTTTTTTATTTGGATTAACAAGTACTAGATTAAAACTTGATGCTAAATGAACGTACAGTATAAAGTACTTAGAGAGATTTCCTTATTTTCCTTAAGAAGTATCTACGTAGGTAACGTAGATACTTTTGGATTGAAAAAATGAATCAACTTCTTAAAAAAAATTGGTACACAGTATAAGCAGTACTGTACAGTGAATTAGAAGATTTAAATAAATAATTCTGTAGATACTATTTATTAAAACAATTTTTGTACATATGTATGAACTAAAAAACTATTATTAATAAATTATAAAATGTCATTGTTACAGATTAATAGTGTTGTATACGAGTGCACGTGGCGGGGATGCGGCTACCACACCAATAGCTGTCCTTCAATCGAGGCTCACATTAGACATACACATCTGGGGTTAGTGTTTTATTTCAATAATATCTTGTACTCCAGTAGCTGAACTATGTAATTCATTACTAACAATTCTTGTTTAAAACTAATTGAAAGTGATAGTTTGCAAGTAGATACATTAAATAGTATCTACTTTGAGTGTTTCTGTTATAACGACAATTATTAACAACTGAGTTATATTTATGCATTACAGATATATCTCCTACCTTTTCAGCTCATTTATGTATAATTCTCAATTCAATTCAATGATATATTTTTATTCGTTACGCAATATCTTCCTAGTAATTGCCAAAAATGCAGAAAGTCAAAATATTTAGTTCATTTACTTTATTGTATTTTTTGTTAAGATCGAAGTCCGTTTGGTATGTTGAACGAAATTTTCCATCATCATAATTAAATAACTTCGACTATCATTGGCAACTCTATATCACATCTTCATCACGCACCTTAGAGGTATTACATCATTAAATCGATGGAACCGAGCTAGATAAAAGATCAATAATAATCCAATACCATTTACGATTTTACATTGTGCAAATTGATATCTGTGAGATCATTAAATTCTGGCGAAAGACAATTATCGGAGTGCAGTTAGCATAATATGTTCTCAGATCACGTGTAGTCACATACGGCACGTGCGTAGGAGGTAGGCACTTAATAATTGCGCAATATGCCAGCTGGCAAGTTGCAGTCCGGTGCAAACAACTACATTTCCTGCACTAACATGCTGATTTTACTGCTCAGTCAACTCGTTACTCACGTCTCTTCACCCACGTTGTAATCAATTGTCGGGATGCCCTTCGATATACTTACATTTAAATTCCTGTAAGATCAGTATCATGGCATGCATGACCACAATCCTAAAGTAATAGTCAACAAAAACTAGAAGAACCCTATAGTGACCTTCAATTCTTAGGTATACGCCATTAATTCAATTATATACTGAAAGGTTAGCCCTTATGACCCGGAAGCTTCGACGCTTCGCAACAAGGTTGCAACGCTAGTCCCACCCGTGCAGAGTAGCAAGGTCATTGGAATACGCCCGCCGCCCCGCCGACCGCGCCACCCGCTACAATCTTCTTATGTAACCTTACCCACTGCTCATTAACTGGCCTGAATTTTATTAATAAATGTATTTAAACTCACTTTGGTGTAAACAGTATACTGTAAATTATTTTCTGATCACTTTACAGACCAAAGAAAGAAGGTGATAACGATCATGAAGAGGAATTCTACTACACAGAGCGAGAGGTGGCGACCCCTGCACCACCGCCCACCTTATCCCACCGGGACATGTGCCGTCCGCCGCACGAAGACCCTGAGTATCAACGACAGATTGTAGGATCGTACAGGTACATGCAAAATAATGTAGATATTAAAAATCGGTATTCATGCTTGTTAATATACTAAAATACGATATATTATGTGACTGTTACATAACTGGCTGGTCTACCGACTGACTTCGCGACAGTAGTACCTACCTTTACAGCGCTATTTTAAGATTGTCAAAGTCCGAACGAGAAATAACATATAAGATATCGCCGATATCAGACATTATAGAGACGGTATTATTGTATTAGCACGTATCTTTCGTAATCTACTTACTCGTAATAACTATTACTATATTAAGAAACTCTCTGTATATTTCCAGACAAGGTCTCCTATCAACCATACAACATGGGACGGCAAGACCTATAAGCATTCCCGTAACGCATTCCTGGTCTAGCTCACATTCACCGGTACGTAGTCAATTACACACATAAAAATACACGAATGTAAAGTTTAAGAATACTATAGGGATGTGTTTATTTATTGTACAGAAACACATGAGGCTGTCAGCAGCCAGCGGCTCACCAGGAAGCCCTGGGCGGCGGCCGCGCTCCGACAACAAGAAGTGTCGTAAGGTCTACGGCATGGACCAACGTGATCTCTGGTGCACTCAATGCAAGTGGAAGAAAGCGTGCACGCGCTTCAGCGACTAGCGGACGCGACGATCGCTCACGATATTCGCGGGTGTAGCGAGCGCCAGCGCCGGCGGCCGTGCTATTATGTATCTCAAATGAACATTTACATAGGTATAATGAAATTTACTCAACCTACACTGATATTGAGTTTTTAAAAGAATTTGCAGTGAAGAACTATTCCGTGTGCGGGTCGTGATTAGTAGTATAAGACAAATAATATAAATAATATGAATTAAGGTTTTATTTAAGCAGAGAATGAAATTATTAATATATTGGATATGGATAAATTATAGGAGACATATTTTTTCCTCTAAATGTGGCTCGTGTTTTAACTGCATATTGACATTGCCCACGTATTTTTGTAGAACAGTGAATTCTCCTTTACTGCGACATGCATGTATAGTTGGCGTGTCGCTGTCAGTCGCAGACTGCGGATATTAGCCCTAAGAATAGTTTTAAGATTGACTGACCTGTGGACGCAGTGTGATAACTATTGTTATATGATTCTGCTCGTCGAAACCAGAGTTACATAATACATTCAAATTTGATTTTGCAATCATTTGCCCTATTCTTTTAATCTTTCTACATGTTTTGTACATTATTGTACAGTCTTAATAAAACTTATTTAAACTATTGACACGAAAGTTAATCTTGTCTTGTGCAGGTGTACCTACATGACTCACAATTTAAAAAAAACAAGGTTTGACCTTTAAATACTTTATACTTTCGTTAACACAATAATGTTGATTTAAAATAGAGAAATTATATTTTTATACATACAATAGTTTATATTTTTTGTAACTGCACACTAAAATCAAATCCATCTAAGTCTTTATTACATTAGGAATGAATGAAATATATGTAGTTCGCTCGCTTCGTTCAATATAATATGTAGACAAAATTAAATTGTAGGGCGTCAGTGAATTCCGTCCACATTTTCGAATGTGTTTTAATTGAATATCTATAAAGTCTCAAGTAACAATGTTTTCACACTGTTTACTAACGAAGGAGTATGCTCGAGCATACTGTACTAATTTCGACTTGGTGCAATTTCCAGTCGGTGAAAATTCGATGATGTTCATCACGGATTATATGTACATTGACTGAATTCTTAGATAATAATAATTACGAAAGAATAACTAAATGATGATACTATGAAATTAGTTTCGTAAGTTATCTCAGATTCGACGAAAAGACTACAAAATATGTTTAGATTTAAATTTTTATGAACATATCTGTTTCGTATACAAAGGTGGTCCTACCAGAACAAGGAGACAATACTCAGCGTCGCTCGCGCAGCGTGCCTTGGCGCAGTGGTGCGGTCAGAGTTGCCAGATTGGTTCAAATGGGTTGCCAGGAATGGAAATATCTATGAAAAAATAATGAAATCATAGTGTTAACCGGACAAATTTACATTTTAAATCAATATCTTACTGTTTTATAATAAAAACAAATCATTGGCAACTAATTTCATTGTTAATTAGTACTAAAATAATGCTATTTTCACACATCAGCTTCACTGTTTACATTTTAAGTATAATCTTGGAAATTTAGAACACGGTGATTAACAAGACGTTCCAACCACCTGGTAATCCTAGGTACAGTATACACTATGCTCATCACAAATTAGGTTTTACCTCGGTCATAAATTAACAATGATTGCAGTACCAATATATAAGATGTCAATAATTATCTTTAACATATACATAGAGTGTCTCATTATTCATGTTTTCAATTTCAATTATGATCAAAGAGACAGCAAAACCTAACTTATGATGGACGCCTCACACGTGCTTGTGGATGTCAGTCGGCAACTGGTCACCACACCACACTAACTGCGCAAATACTTACTACAATGTACTGCTAATGTGAGACTGAGGCAGAACGCATTCACTGAGGATGAGATAACACTCAAGAATAACCCTCATACTTATAAACTCGTAACTTTAAAAACTATAACCAATAAATGCTTTATTTGTTGTTTTATAGCGGTTAACAATATCTAATTAACTAATACAATATCGTAAATTATTGAAAGACAAATTCATGAAAATGGCTTAAATATTAATTAATAGACCAAATAAACACATATATCGCACGCTTCGTACAATACTGTATTAACACAATAATTGAACATTTTGAAAAATCGACTCTTATGATATCATTTTAATGTCTAATTACAAAATTGTAGTTTTTAGGTTAATACAGTATTGTAACTAAGCGTGTAGATAGAGTAAATAAGTTATGGGGGTTAGTGTGGTGTAAACAACATGGCGTGTAAACAACATGGACAAGAGATGCTGCGATATAAAAATATCCAGCTTATTGAAGATATGGAGGGTAATGATTGCGTATTTAGATATTACACAGCAGCATTTGTAATATCAAAAAAATAATAACGCACTTTGTTACGAATACAAGGCAGTCTTGATGACCCTGATGACATGAAAAATGTGATAGAAACAAAAGGAAGTCATATGCGGGAAAAACGAGTGGAGGCGAGCTGCAATATTATTTTTTAAGTATTATTATTATTATATTATGAAGTTTGTAAATATTAATTATACTGTTACGAGTAATATTCTATTTAATGTATTCAAAAATTGAAAGCAATCTTTGGATGTGTACATAAATATTATTAATATTGTTACTTAATTGATGTGATCGTTTCAAATCGAACATTTTTGTACGGTAACATAGTGACGAGTTTCTAATTAGGTACTGTACTTGCAATAAGATCCGCGAGTTATTTTTCATGGCGCGGTATTTATGATCAACTAGTTACCAAGAATCGTTGCTTATATCTAAAGAATTATATGAATCACTTGATGAATGACCCGCTGGGTAATAAATGTCTAACACTTATATAACCTACAGGTATATAGGTACCTGAAGCTATTTATCAAATAAGTTTAAAAGTTGTGCCAATTGCAGAACACCCGATCAACCAAAACAGTACCATAAAATATAATATTGAAGTTACATATTACGATATTATTGTTATATGCTACGGTATTTACACTAGACAAAGTATAATATAATATAATTAACGCACATTTAAACGCCTGTACATCAATGTGTGCTTTGTTATTCGCCGAAATTATATTTAGAAACTTGTTAATACTGTCAAAAATTTATTAACTAGGTATATCAATTATAATATTGCATTTTTTTAAATGCTATTTAATAAAGGTGAACATTTTTGTCAGGAAAATCGTTACAACTGATATAAAGTTATGCGAAGAAAACCACGATTCCCATTATAGTTATAAAGTATGATTAAAGCTTATGCGTTATAAATTAATTGCTACCTGAATTTATTGAGTCGACATTGGCGATAAAACGTGGTACAATTTTAATTTTCAAACGGTTTGAGTAACAAAATAAACTATTATCTGAATATAGATCTCACTCTTTCGGTATGTATTATAGTTTATTGTTCGGTATGACTTCTAGATCTGAATTATCAATTTTGAATTCCATGTTTTATTTACAAATAAATGTAAATTACAATCATTAAACATTAGTAAATCTTCTTGCCAAACATTTAATAAATAATTACAGGGTGAGGTGTAGGTATATTTTCAGTTCGATTTTATTGGCAATGGCGACAAGACGTGCTGAAACAATTTAATTTTTACGTGACGTACCTGCGATTATTACCAAATATACATGTTCATTGCAATAATGGTTGTGATATACATCATGGCGTTTTTATTTTAACGAAACAAAATATTTTTTTGTTCAAAGCAACGAAACATCGCGCTGCCTAAACCAAATGATCACCTTAGATATAGGCAAAAACAACTCAGCTAGCGTTTCGACAACTGCCATACTATAAGGATGTAGGTGTAACTGCGGCTTAAGTTATAATAATTAAAAAAGTAGTATTAGATTTATTTTAAGTTGAAGTCATAATAATAGTATTTAAATATTAGGTATATACACAGTCTACGAATAATAAATTGTTCGTAATATATTAAACTCGTTTATATCTGTAGTCACATGTTGCTGTTTCTTCAGATAGAAAAAATATATATACGAAAACTATTTTTGAGAGTGGATTAATAGAACGGTTTATTCATATTGACATTTTCAAATATATTATTATATAACATTATATATATATAATATTTTCAGAAATCTGTATGATTTAATATATTTTCCAAATTAGCTACAGTAATATATATAATTTAGTCTTTAAAACATCAAATGAAGAATCCATTTCAATTATTTTATAGGGGATCGAAACTTCGGTCCAACAAATTTTGTTAATGAAAAAACATTAATGAATACCAAATACGGTAATACTGAACAATGTTACATTGTTTTTATAACTTCTTTCTAAGTCTCTACTTACTGTGTTACTAAAAACCATGTGCCGAGATCACCGTAATTCAACAAAATAGTTAATTTCATTTAAATATCGTCGTAGACATCAGCTAAATAGAAAATGTAAGCTACTGCGTCGCAAAGTGGCATGCTAGTTTCATAAATACCGATCTCAATTTATATTCGAAGCTATTAGATTTTTCTATAGATATTATTATTGCATAGACGGTGTCTTATTTTATGTAATTTATATTAGGACATAGTTAAATTTTTTTATTATTTTAATATAAAGACATTTTATTTTTAATAAGCCATTTGTAAATATTATTTACGTATTAATTCATTTAGCCAAAATTTTGCTCAATTTTGTATGCACTCAACACCAAAGTCATAATATATTTAACAAAATTTATAAACATATCAGTACAAACGAGCATAATTCTGACAACACTAGAAATGTATTTTAACCCATGAATAATTTTCAATTATTTCCACAAAACTAATTACATTACTTTTTCTCATTTATACTTCTCAAATCATAACATAATCGACATACGTCTCTGTACAATGTCCCCTCCAGTGTCTTACTTGATTTAAGAATTCGAGGCTAGGAGCTGGGGCGATCTGATATTGGGCGCTAGTCGAGCTCTAAGTCTTATTTCTTAATATTTCAATTGTCGCTGCTGGTATACGTCAATACGTAACCATTAACCATTGTTACGATAATTAATATAAAGTATTTTACGTTAAGATCACAGCTCGTAATTTATTATCTATTAGACATGTACAGTCGATTGCAGTCATCTGTATACCATTTGCCAGATAAATATGGCTGCCAATGGAGTCTATATAATGATAGGCAAATAAAATATAATTAATTTGTCATTTGGTATACCCCCATTTGCGATCGACTGTACACATTAATCAATGTAAGTATTTAAAGGCATAAAAGCCTCGTTTTGTACTTAGAATAAATAATGAAATAAAGTTTTTATTTCTTTTCTAGAAATATTTTTAACTTCAGACATCACTTTTAATTTTTCTTTTCCTCTTAAAATAAGTGTTATCAATCGATTCCCTGATTTTGGCAATATTTTGATTGACAAAGTTCACTGTCACTGAGTGATGGATGGACCAAATTGACAGAATGTAGTCTTATAATTCACTAAATGCTCTATAGAGATATAGGTTATGCGTGCTATTATTTGTACCATCTTATAGGTATCTCTGAGTTGTTGTGTATGTATGTAAATTGTGCCTATTTCTATCCATAATTTTTAAATGTATGAACAACAATGTAAATATGTAAATTCAGACTCCGATATTAAGGTGTTTTCAAAGCTAGACATTCAAACCGCCTGTTTCACTTTATATATGTACTAGATATGTTGTAACTTTATATTAACAGAATATAAAGATTTTAAGAATTGAATAATAGATTATAAAGCAGGTTGTATGTTGCGTAGAATATCTATTTGCTTAATATACCTACCTTCCTATTCAAATCGACCTTTATTATTATTTTGTGCACTTCTAAACCCACTTCAATATTAATTATATCTACGTTAAAAATAATTTCGAAGTTACGGTTAGTAGTTACATAAACCTAGCATATACTTTCTCTATATTATGTTACTTATATATATAGATTTATGACAAATTTCTAATAATTTCTCGAGAAATGTTATATATCTTATTTTAAAGTTAAGTTCTAATTCAGTCCCGTACTATATACCTATTTGTTGTTATTATTTTAATATTTATGTATTACGTAGATAAATACTAGCAATTCTGAATATAGGTACCGTTAACTTATGTGGGCAATCATACTTTATGAAAATATGTCTCCTGCCTGTAATAATAAATAAGGTCTCTTATTCTCACATTGCCATTGAGCATATTATGTTGTATTTTGAGAGTAACATGTGTAAGAGTAGGTAATTGTATAATACCTACTTAACCAATAATTAGAAAAAACTTTTGAATAATTGTTATAAATTATAAATTAGGTACCTACTTCGTTTATTTTACACCTAATGTTTTCCAAATAATATATATGAATATAATGAACTATCTAAAATGTTCGGAAAGTAAAAGAAAACTAAGATTAAGCTTGTTTTTGTTCATATTATAATTTCTTACACTTATTTCGGTTAAATCATGGTGTTGAAACGATATAGCAATCCATAGTCCACGAAATCTATAATTTTAAAATATATAATGAAAACCTTTTCCTAAAGAAAAACGTGTATCAAAATACACGTTTTCTTTAGGAAAGTACCAAAGTAGAAATTCATTATGTTACATATACCGTACAGTGATCAATTTATCGATCATAAAATCAAGGAATGTTTTTAATTTCATGAATGTGGTATTTATGAAATTTAATAACATTCTCTCCTGGATCTAGGATTGTTATAACTTTATATTTTTCCGTTAAACCTCTGTATAATTACATACATATACGGCATTTTCACCACCAACAGTAGCCTTAAGAGATGGACATTTATATCACAAATATGTACGTATCTTATATGTGTGTTATTCTACGAAATTAAAAGTGTAAATTTTCAAATATAATTTGAATAAAACGTGTCATAAGCGTACTCTATACCCCAAGCGCGTCGATGCGTTGTTAATGGTTACCAGTAGTTGTAAGCTTGCTATCTCCGACAACATGAATCAAAAGATGTTGTCGGGCATGTGTTGACTCTATGTTTGGACATTTCCTTATTTAGTTGTCAATATCACAGCAGTTTTCATCGCAACTGTCAGCTCGTGTGTGCACAATTTTCTTCAATTGGCCCAAGGCTTTGCAAAATTAATTCCGAATTATATATATTTATATATAACATGAGATATATTGTAGGAACTAGCTGGCAGTTATTCTACTGTGATATTAATAATTCTATTTATTATCTTTCATATACTTATTATTATTTATAAAATTAAAGTTGAATGTGCGCGTGTGTTATATTTTACTGATATCGTGTTAGATTAGGAAATGTTATTTTATATTGTACCTAAAGTGTAGGTCCAGAATGTGTTCCAAATTATTGATTTTATGAAGATAGATATTACAAATATTTTATCTATTATAATTAAAATGAAATGTTTATGTTAATATGTTGAATTTTGAAAACGTTCAAGAAGTGTAATAAAAGCAGTTATTACAATTCAACGAAGCAGATATTATTATTAACATCACAAAATTAAACAGCCTTATAGTGTAATCGAAATCTTGAGCTCTCTATAATATTCTACGATATATAATAATACATTATATGTAATACATTTCATAGCGAACGAAATTTGACTGTGAAACCTGAAGTACCTTTCATTAAATAGCTAAATTTTATATACTTACCGTATGTAATCTATATGAGAAAATGTTATTATTTGACTATGTGCTACGTCAAGTACACTCTTTGCCTGATATATTATACCTCAGTAAGTTTAGTATGGATTTTGTGTCTTAAAAATATATTTCGATTTATTAGAATCACAGTAGCATTATTTTTCCATACCTTCTCAAATTATTCATCTAACGCCAATAAATATTGTCTTGCAAAAATTGTAACCTAAATAAAGATAACTTTCTGTCTAATATTGTTAATTACCTATAAATGCCAACAGTTGAGCAATGTTGCATAATATTATAAATAGTACAATAAACCATGAAACTCTGTAAACAGGAATGAGAAGTGTTATAATGGAACAACTCTAGACCTAAAGATAATTTATTTCAGATCGTGTTATTAATTGATATATATTTACAAATATAAACTTTAGATTTTATTAAAACTTGTTTTAATATGTCCACAATTCCAACCTACATAACAATATCTTTTTTTAATGGCTAATTTCATGATATTGGAATGGTGGCTTTTATTATCGTCTGGAAAAATCTCAAAAGACCGTGGCAGTCAAACTGTTTAATAAAATTTCCTAAATAAGAATGGGTGTGAACTTTAAAGGAATAAGGATATGGTGTACTTTTATTAAAAATAACAAAAATTAAAGTTCGCAAGGATTCTGCTCCTCAACCCACGCTCGGTACGGCATCTGACTTTCATTAGACTTCGTAAATGCAACAATCTTAACTATTTTAGAAGGAAATAATTGACGAAAATCTCGTTCTCGAAACGCTCGGGACTGACTGGAATAGTCTGCTGGCTGGAGCGAGGTGAACTCTACTATCAGTCAGCTCAGTAGCGCAACTTTTCAGTACGGACATGTAAAAAATTCCTGATTTCACTCCAATATTTATTAGTTCAAGTATATACTATTTTGATCAAATAAAATAGTCAACTGACTGTAATGTAGTGGGATATTAGTCAATTGAATGTATTTAATTAGGTATACCTAATAGTGATAATTTGGTCTAATAGTGATAAAATTGACTCTGATGACACCACAACGGCAGCTAACCTCTATACGGCTCCGTCCGTTCCGACCCTGCCACGCTATCACACAATCACGACACCGTAACCCATCAGAAAAAACGATGAACTAAAACATATCATCTAACGAAATCAATTCGAGTGCCTACGCGCGTCCGGGTGCTCTACACTAGCGCCCCCGGTCGCCTCTACGATGGACACTCCGTCCAATACAAATGGGAATCGATATTACAACGGCCTGAGCCAAGGTGCAAACCCCTAGTAGCGTCAGCTAAAGTCGTATCTGTCAGGCAACAGCTGCCCATAAGTCCCTCCGTGAGTCCTGAGTATTTGGAGTATCGCCTGCACTTGCTCCTTATCATTCAATGAAGTTAATATTCTACTGTGAAACTCCTACTTACTAAAAATTCCAAGATATCTCTCAATCAACGTCATATGCCAGAGCTACAGGATCGAAATGGTAATCCACCGCGACTCTGACGGGCGGTTACCCACTGTACGTAACCCACACCCACCCGATGCTGTGGTGGCCTTCTTTATGGCCAGCATCGGGCCGCGAACCCACCGGGTCCCCATCCCATAAGAGTTGTGGCCGATATTACCTACCCATATTGTGTCCACCTGGCAATCCTCAGCTTCGACAAAACGTGAACTGAGCACAACTCGCCCTTACTCGAGTCAGTAAGTCAAGTTGACACATATCTGATACGCTTTACGCCCGATTTTTAGAAAAATCGGAGCGTTTTTCATTGTATATGTTTCTTCTGTATTTTTTGCTTTGCATCGGAGCAATTATTGGATAAATTCAGACAACAATCCTGAGTGTAATAAAATAACACATATATGTATCCCTTTACTAAATTTATTTAATTTGGAAACAAATTTTCTTAAATTTGTCTATGGCAAATGCACCAAAGTGTAAAGCAGGGCTATCTTTCACCTATGGCTCCGGCGTCCAAAGGCGAATTTGAGGCAAAAAGAGCGCACTACAAATCAGCCTTCTCTTTTGCGCTAAGTGCCAAGTTATCATCCGGCTTCCGTAGTAATGGTAAGGACGACTGACTAAAGTTACCTTCGGCAGCTTTGGCAAGCGACTTCCAGAAGGATATCGTGCTAGTCGCTCTCCAATTTTACTGACGAAGTAGAATTTGGCTCTAGCAATTACCCTCTTACTAAACCTGGATGCAGCATTTAAATTTCGCCTTGCATCGGATACGCCAACATTACTGTTGGAAAGAGCCGTGGTCCAAGCCTGATAAACAGTTTGTTTAGCCTGTCTGGCTTCTCTGCATGACCAATTAAACCACGCTTTTTCGCCCCTGAAGCAACAAGCAGATTTGGAATAAAACATTCCATACCCTCAAGTATGACTTCAGTAACGGTGGCTGTACAGGTATCGACGTCTTCTGATGCAAAGCAGTACTGCTTCCATGGGTACGATGCGTAAAATTATCGCAATCTGTCCCAATCTGCAGACTTATAATGCCACATGCGACATTGACAAGGAGGTCGGGATGTGGCAGGACTTGTGCATGGTATCTGGGATCGGATAAAGCAGTAATCTGAAGAACCAAGTGGTGCTTCCACGGTCACAGAATATCCGTCCGGACGTGTAGTCAGCAAGAGGTCAAGTAAGAAGCTCGTATGGGTCTCAATATCAGGTATTCTCGTTGGAGAATGAACCAGTTGCGAGAATCCATAGGCCAGAGCAAACTCGTGAGCAGTTTTCCCCGCGTGGTCAGTGAGCCGAGAACGAAGCCACTCGGTGTGATGAGCATTGAAGTCTCCAAGTATCACTAAACCCAACAACCTGCGGGCGGATAGCGGTTAGCCGTTTCACCGGGTCTCCCTGAACGCCATGCCATCACGTCGCGCCTATGCAATCCCGAGGCACTGTTGGACACGCAGGTCCACCAATACCAGCACAACCAATCCCCATGGGGCTCTGGTCACCTTACACAACACAGGAACACAGTGCTGTTGTGTAGTGCAGTACAGCACTGTTTGGCTGAGATTTCTGCTTGGTGGAGGTACTACACCAGTTCGGGCCGCCCCAAAGCGAGCAAGATGTATCGAAATACATCTTGCTGGGCCCTCCCTTCCATAACTTGATAATTGAATGGTGCATGCGCTAACGGTTTACGCTGGCGGGGCACCAGTGAAGGATGATAAGATAGATATGAGGTCGGGTCAGCTAACCCATCGTTACAAATTCACCAAGAATTTCTCACGATGGTTTCCAGGGGGAATCGCATGGAGGACGGTGCATTGCTAGTAATGGGGTCATTAGTCCACATTACTAACGATTCCCTTCCCCCCAGGCGGCCCCAATTCATCGCGGGGTCCTGGGCACATGCCCAGTGTACCCAGTGGGAAAGAAGTGTGAAGTGCGAAGAGCCTGAGAACTATGAGAAAGAAGAGTGCTAAGAGAAATACTACATACTGGGTTAAAGAAAAAAAACATATATCTTCAGTTTTTTCTTTCCGCAAAAGAAAAACAACGATTTTTTAGAAGAACGTACCTACTAAAAAATAATATTTATTTTTGTTTTATTTATCCTTTAGGAAAGGCAAAGGAAACTGTGCCTACTCATGCAACATACAACCAGCAAAAAACATTCAATTTTGAAATAAGTCAGTTCTCCGTCAATCTGTCAGTCAGTTCAGTCCTGTCTTCTGTCTGACATCTATTGTTATATTATCGTTTTATAAGTGTATTGATTTTATTTTTCTCGTCTTATTCTTCTATTCTATTCATTCTTATTTGATTTGTTAAATACTAAAATTTCTTCTACATTGTATGGTTATCTAATTATCATTAGCGTGAAGTAAATAAATAATTGCACGATTATGGGTGCCGTTTTGGGCCTTTGTTCTGCAGCTCAGGTTAGTGTGTCGTATTACTGCATATTTTTATCATAATAAACATATATATTTATGGTATTCATGAAACAAACTAGTACCCTTTCACTTAAGACTAAGTTCTTCAATAGATTTAACTATATGGGATCAATATTCTTTAGTAAAAGCTTAATAATGGCGACACCTAACTCAGGATGAGTAATCATATTCTCCTGAATTGGTTGTAGTTTCTGAAGAAAAATATATTTCACAGAAGGCAAAATATTGGTGACGCACTAAACTATGATATCACAAGTGTTGCCTCAAGTCTTGTGGATTGTTTATATATTTTGCCTTTTAATATATTGTTATATCAAATTATATCATACAATAGCTTAGATAGGTATTTAGACAATTAAGTAGACACACTTTAAATAATTACATAATGACTTAACCCTCTTATTCATGAAATCATAAAACATATAGTAAACTTGTTTTGTTTACTAAACTGCTTAGTTTTATTTTATTAATATAAAGTTATAAACACAATTTAATTGAGTGTATATAATCTATAGCATACCTCAACTTGAGTAGTGTGATGATTAAAACACTGTTCTGTCTGACTGACTATCAAATACATAGCCAAACCTATAAGGTCTAGTTAACTGAAAATTGTTGTATAAACAAATTATATTGATTTTTTTATAGTCATCCATATCTCACTTTCATAACAGCAACAATATTACTGTTGTGTGTGTTGTATAATAAGTAAATAAATCACATTTTAATCTATACATATAAATAAAATTGGAGTGTCTATTTGTAATATGGAAATAACCATTTTATATGCATATGAATATAAATATGGTATATACACCAAAATAACATTTTTTCGATTCTTGTTCCGGCTAATCTCTGAAATAGTTAGACTGATTTTGACGGACTTTTATTGGCAGGTAGCTGATGTAATAAGGAGTAACTTAGACTACTTATAGAATTATTATTAGAAAAATTCTTTTATTTGAGAAAAAGAAACTTAAATTTGACGCATTCAACGAAGTCGTAGGTATAGCTAGTTGATAATAAGGATGATGTTGATAAAAAATTGATATTAAGCATCTGCAGTGCTGAAATACATTGAAAATTGTAATTTAATGATGGCAAGTGTGGGATGCTGCTGACAAGTTTTTTTTTAATAAATTAGGGTGTATATCACTTATATCTTAGTTTAGTTCAAAAATAGTAATAGGAACAAATATATGTTTTTTTATAGCTAGCATGCTGTTGTGGCAGTGCAGCATGCTCCTTATGCTGTTCAGCATGTCCTTCATGTGCCAACTCTACTTCTACCCGACTTATGTATGCTGTTATGTTGATGCTAGTGATGATAGCAGCCTGTGTCACCCTGGCACCTGGCTTGGAAAATGAACTGAAAAAAGTATGTATATTAACAAGGCACAGACTGAAGATTCTTTTATATTTTCAAGTTGTGAACCGTTTATGTCTATTAGTTATCTCAAAATTTAATTTTAATGTACCAGCTAAACCTACCAGATTTACTCCTTCTATTTCTATACCTTCTGTATCATCTAACTATAGGCAAAACAGTTATATGTGGCGAGCAAGTAATAACTTCAATAGATTAAGTAGGGTATTAGATATTGATTTGTTTTCCGATAGAATATCTTTAGCGAGGGCTGTGATTGTGTGTGGCAATTCTTTGAGTTATAAGTATTGAATTTAATGTTACTTATATGCATTTCCATTATTCAAAAATGTTTGTTTGTTAATTTCAGCATATGTTTTAATTTAGTGGATTGTTATTTTTTGATATATGATTTTATGAGTATTTATGACACAAACACGCCTCTCGTGTTAGTACTGTAATTCATTTTATATTACGTTTCTATCCGTGAAAACCTATAAGTGGCCGTTCTCATTTAATTATGTTTATAACTATGTTTGTAAATAGCTTTGATTTTCCGAAAATAAATAAATAAATTAATTAATTAATAATTATAGTCAACCTAAAAATAGTAAACTGTAATAATAATAAATGTCATAAATAAATATTAAGTGCAGACTTTTTGACCTCACAATTTTCATACATATCTAAAAACCCATCCACACTTTGTTATGGTTTTATTTATTGTACTGACATTCTACATTGGTAACAAGAGGCCCCTAGTCCCTATCATTGACATAGCCATCTTTGCTACTTTAGTGGACTTAAACATTAATATGAGCAACATATTAACTAATGTCATTTTGACATTATACCTAAAGTAATACTCATAATATAAATGCATAGTGATATAATTATGTATTTACTAATTTACATATTGTAGGTACCATTTTGTAAAAATTCTACAAGTGTACCAGTACCGGGAGATCTAACTGTGGATTGTAATAATGCTGTTGGATATCTTGCTGTGTATAGGTAAGGTATTTTCTTTAAAACTACTAATATGTCAAGTAAACATATGGATCATTCAATTAATGGTCACAAATATTACTTAAATAATCACTTTAAATAAAAATATATATACTTTAATGAAATATTAAACTTCTTTATTAATAGCAAACAATATTTATCTAGACACGCGGTAGCGTGTCAAGCCGAGTTTCAAGTACTGGCGAGCAGCACCGTGTGTATATTTACACGAATCATTTGGAGCCACTTTTGACCCCCTCATAACTCAAAAACTCTTTCACATAAACCTGTCAAATTTGGTTCATATATTGAGACTTGCGAGATAAATATTTGTTCCAAATTTCATAAACATATCTCAAACGGTTATTTAGATATTAACGTCCAAATATCGTAATTTTTATCACTGATCAACTATAGATCAAAATTATAACCCACTTCCAGATGACCTAGGAAGTTCAAATTTGGCATGCAGATAGGTAATTAGGTGAATATAAAGGGAAAAATCTGAAACTGGTAAATTGTTATCATTTTATTATAATTTTTCAGTTTAATTGATTCTATTTCAACTTATACTGGACGATTACTAAAATTCTATGAAAACGTCGATAGCCTTAGGCTACAGTATATTATCCTAAGTTATAAGAAATGATATTTTATATTGTTATAAATACATTTCAGGACAGACCATTGAACTTGGCACCCATTAGATCTCACCTCTTTTGTTGTAGAAGTGAACAATCAAGGCATATATCATAATATTAAACTCGGCTATCATTTCACATTTATGTTTTTGATAGGATTCCTTTAACAGTTCTGTTGCGGGCTCCTTGACAGGACTGCTTGCTGACCGGTTATAAGACGTGACTAGGACAGACGGAACAATTGACAAGACAGATACGATAGGGAAAAAAACGGACAACTCTCGACGGCGGCGCGGCGGCTCGAAGGACCATTTGAACGGTCTGCTGGTCGGCCGACCGTTAAGAAATGTCGTCATTAATGAAAAGAGAGCTTGTTTTTATAATGTAAAATTTCTATCTAGTTATCCGTCTTTTTCCCTGTCGTATCTGTCTTGTCAATTGTTCCATCTGTCCTAGTCACGTCTTATAACCGGCCAACAAGCAGTCCTGTCAAGGAAGCCGCAACAAGTTCGAACCTAGTTAATGCTTACAAAATCAATATATACCACCAGCACAGTGAAGGCACTGTTGTCGTTGGTGCTGACACGACGTTTCCTATTACGCACTAATATTATTATTAAATTACATAATATAATGTGTGTTAATTCTGGTTTCAGAATTTGCTTTGCCGCATGTCTATTTTTCGTACTTATGGCATTAATTACAATTGGCGTAAAATCTTCCAAAGATCCGCGAGCTGGAATACAAAATGGGTATGTTAATTTTCATTTATACATTACCTTAATAATACTAATATATTTATTGCATTAAAGAACAACAATAATATTTAAAATATAGAAGTGACCTTTAAAGAAAAGTACTAAACTTTAAAGCAGTGTCTTGTTAATCTAATATGTATATAAAAATATTCTTTATTTATTTTTATTATATATTTGATAAGCAGGTTTTATGCCCCTAGGTGATATGTGTAGTTCTATCCAGTAATGGTCCATGTGGAAAATAAATATTTGGGTCAGCTATAATTAATGAAAACTATAACTGTAATAATATCATTGTATTACAGTTATAGTTTATATTATGACAGTAGAAAATTCTTCCTTATTTATTAAAAAACTGAATAGTAGTACTAAACACTTTTTTTCAATTGTATAGCATGATTATTTTTAATCTGATGTGATGTCTTAACAACTTTGGTATCAGTTACCCAAAATTTACATTGTATTTTCAACAGTACACAAAATTTTGTTTATCCTTTATAGATTTTGGGGCATTAAGTACCTATTGGTGATCGGTGGCATAATTGGCGCCTTTTTTATACCTGAGGGGCAATTTGGTCCAACTTGGATGGTGTTTGGAATGATTGGTGGCTTCTGTTTTATTGTTATTCAACTTGTTTTGATTATAGACTTTGCCCACACTTGGGCGGAAAGATGGGTCTGTAAGTACAAAATTATAAGGGTTATTCTAATTTTACTAAAAACCTAATTTTATAATATGTAAGGAAATTTACTTATTTAGTTGTTACATCTAACTGACTTTATGACTTAACCAATCTTTTATGATTTTTATGTAATATTTAATATAAAAAAAAATCTTATCTATTCTTGTCTTGTCAGGCTAAAGTTGTATTCATAAAGCAGGAGTTGTCCTTTAGATACTCCATACGTCCTTTCTTTACGTTTAGAGTACCCTCTGCACTCCCATATCGGTTGGTGAAGGTGTAAAAGTAAGATACGGGCAACAGTATTAGAATAATTTGAACTAAAGGAGAAAATTATGTAAAATCCATTAATTCTTTTTTCATTCAACTTATTGATTATATGATCAAGTGATCTTATAAACATTTTAATAATAATTGCAGCAAACTACGAGGAGAGCGAATCGCGCGGCTGGTACGCAGCTCTGCTCACCGCAATGCTCGCATGTTTCGCACTTGCACTCACTGGCGTCGTGCTGTTGTACGTCTTCTACACTAAAGTAAGAAATTATAATGTATCAAACTTATATAATATGCCAATGTCATGTATCTTATATTATGAATACAAATTGATTAAATATTTAAGAAACTTCAATATTATTAAGATTTAGTATCTTAATAATGTTGAAGAGTTTATTAAATTTATTAATAAATCGTAACAATCAATAATAATAATAATAAATGTAACACTGGAAATTCACACAGTACTATCTAGTCCCAAGATAAACAACTCGTGCTACTAATTGGTACTAGTCAACTAATAGAAATAATTGGGTCAATCAAATTTTAAGTGTACATCTACGAAAAATAAGATATATTTGCAGTAGATAATTATAATTATATATATTTTAAGAATTCACATAGAGCAGACAGTTTTATTGAAATAAAATAGTAAATTTGATTCCGAAATCAACGTGCCTCTAGTTAAGATAATCCCTTGGCAACTAACTAATGAGGCTTCTGAACCATTTAAAATTCTAAACCGTCACTCTATTCTGACTATAGGTTAGATTTCAATTTATATTCCATAAAAAAATGACGCGACTTTTAATTTATAAATTATTCCTAATAATATTTTCTCCTGGACACCCACAAACTTTTCATTTAATTTGTATAATAATAATTAATAGGTGATATTCAAAAGTTTATGAATTCACTTTTAATTGTTACATGCCTATTTGAAAATTTTGTAAACCTTACTGATGATTAAAAGTAATTTTGTATTGATTTAAAGTAATTATGACGATAATGTGTCTTTAGGACACAAGGACAAAATGGTTGTCCAGTGAACATATGGACAACCAAAGTGACATTTAACGATCTTTGCGTTCCCTGTTAATAAATAATGATATTTTGGATTAAGTCTTACGCGCAGTGAAAAGTATAGATTAAATAGAATATATTTCACTTTCATTTACTACGATATATCAAATACTTACGTTTTTGTGCTGGTTGTCCGGTGGATACACATTAAAGCCACGCTTTTTCAAAACACACTAGGCCGATTGGCGCCGCGGCAAAGATGAAATTAAAATGGCGGCTGGATATTTCATACCAGACTATCATGCCTGGACAATGTTACTCCACTGTGGTCTTCAAATAGATAAATCATACAAGGAATGTGTTTGTTTCAGTCTAATGACTGCAGTCTATCGAAGTTCTTTATCTCGGTTAACCTGATTTTGGTGGTGGTAGCCAGCGGGATCTCCATCCTTCCGTCAGTGCAAGAGCATCAGCCTCGGTCAGGTCTACTGCAGTCTTCTGTTGTTGGCCTTTACGTGATATATCTGACTTGGTCTGCTTTAACAAATGCGTCCGCAGCCTGCAATAGTGTCACTGGAAATCAGGTATAAACATATACTACAGCAAAATATTTAGAATTATGGATTAATATATTTTACATAATTATAATAGTACCAAAAATAATATACGTCCTGCAAGAAAAAGCAACACCATCTATCATGTTCAGTTGCGTTTACAAAAGCCCATTGGAATAAATATACACACAAAATATCATCAAATCAATTTAGTCGTATTGGAGTACTTAGGAGACAAACCCCTTATATACAATACCTTAGGATATTTATTTATGAATTAATTAAATGTTTTCTTAAAATAACACAAAAGAATAGGGCTATTTTAATTAAAATAAAATTCAGTCCCCTTTACGACTAGGTATATTACAATGTATATATGTATATTAAAAACACGAATACCTACTTGGATACTGTTTTTGCAACAGCTCAAATAGCTTAAACTGGAAGTACTAATAACACTTATTTATCAAAAGTAATATTTATGTAATAAAATATAGAATGAACAATTACATTAACGCTACATGGGGATCTCTGAAAAGTGCACATATTATATCTATTTAGGTTTCTTCTGTTTATGAAAAAAAATACCATTCTATAAAGATAATTTAATTTAGAGGACTTATGTTTTATAATAGATATAATTTTAATATTGTATGTGAAACTAAGTCTCAGAATTTGTTCATGCCATCTAGATGAAACTCCCCTTTGTTTTGAAGTTAAGATATATTTGGCGTAAGATTGGTATTATTTGAATCACTAGGTGGGTTGGGTTTGTTAACAATTTGTACACGGCAAATTCACATGAAGCTATCCTATTATATAATTTACACATATTTTATTATATACGAACATTTTTATATATGCATATCCAGGAGAAAGAACCTACATATTGGGTACGTACATTGGGTCCAAGTAATTTTAGATCTCTTCATCCTTTCTCAATTTGTTCAGACTGTTGTGACATTCCAATTCATTGCACTATTTATTTATACTCGAATCTAATAATTCACATTTATTATGTTATTTATTATTGTATTTAAATAATTTACCATACTATTTATTATTTATTAATCATATTGTACATGCCACGATTATTTTCATGTGCTATCATTCTATGTGTTTTATGTAGTTCATTTTAATTAATCGAAGTGCTTATGATATACATAAATATAATAATAATATCCCGGGATTATTCACACGACGCTATCTAGACCCAAGCTAAGCAGAGCTTCTGTTATTGGTATTAGACAACTGATGTAAATACATACTCATTATACTTAGAAAACACCCAAACCGATACCAACAATGTTACTCATGAATACAAAATGTTTTGTACATGGAATCAAACCCGCGACCATCGGAATTAAAGCACAGCGCTTTAATTCCGATGGTCGCGAGTCGCTAAACCGCTAGATCACTAGTGCCGTCGAAACAAAAGTTTGTGGCGGTGATTGAATTTAAGTGGTATCGTATTAGTATATTTTGTGACGAAGTACACGACGCTTAAAGGTTATTGCAGGCGACTATACTACAGGATATACTTAACATTTTAATGGAAAGGGATCCAGTGAAAAATCTGCATCACACATAAGGATCTCCCTGCCTCTTAAGAGAACTGGAGTCATGATTATATTGATATCTAGACCATTGTTTTCTCATATCATTATTAACAATTCTATTAAATTAAATCTTATGTAACATATGAAATGTAGAATTCTTGAGCTAAGCCAAACGTATGTTACGTTTAGCGATTGGGCTTTTCATATAAAATTATTCATATTCTTATTTACTCTATCTGATCAGTAGATCATACTGATCTTAAAATAATGTCTGAACTATACAAAAATAACCCATCTGCCATATTAGTGAATCGTCCTAATTTCTCCCAAGTCCGTCAATAAAGTACCTTTAAAATTGTCTAAGGCAGAATTTTCAAATGTCTCGTAGATTTAACCCACTTACACTCAAACCTTTTTTCATTCTATGCTGTGGCTTAAAAGTCTTGAGGAATTTTTAAAAAAGGACTAAAACCCTTATTTCCTTTTAGTCCATCGCATGAGTTTCAAATTAATATATAATATATTTATACTTTTCGAAGCAGTCATCATTCGATAAGCAGTCAATCATCGGATTGGTCATCTGGGCATGCAGTGTTCTCTACTCCAGCATCCGCACCGCATCTTCCTCATCTAAGATCACTATGTCCGAGCACATTCTCGCCAAAGAAGGCAGCACAGGTGATTATTATGTTTATTACTATTACTTGTCACACAAACATTTTTGTTAGTATTTACATGTATAAAACAAACCTCATCCACTACATGTATACATGACATAGTTCATGTATAACAAGTATTCATGCATGTGGGTGGAAAGAGAACAAAATTTATGTCAAATTTCAGTAAAATATTTTTATATTAATAACAGTGTCTATTGTAGTTAGTGTAGTGATGTAGTTATTATATCACAGCATAATAACAATATAACACAAGGAAAGCACTAATATCTATTTATTCTTTCACGTTAAACTTTGTGATACTATAATAACGTTAATCGCTTAACCCTTAAATGATTTACTAACGCAATATTGTGCATTCCTTGCGGACGAAACGCGTGGCTGCGACGGGGCGTAAGGTCAAGGAGGGCTTATAGCTAACGAAGGTAATAACAACCTCCCGAACACCTATTGTTATAGCTACATTTGCATTTGCAAACTAATTTAATTGAAATTAGTTTTAATTGAAAAAATAGTAGCATCAAATGTATTGTTCCTGAAAGTTACTAACGACCATGAATCAATCCCAAATGTTTGCATGATTAATTTTGTAGTGGTGACATTAGGTTTATAATTTTATCTCGCAAAAAGAAACTGCGCTGTAACTAGCAACATTTGTTAGAAATTATCGTATAAAAATGGCACGTTATCATTTGTTTCTGTCAACCATATATTTGACATATTTTGATTGAAATGCTTGCATCAATATGTTAAAAGCTAGTTTCATGCCACAAATTTTATCTTGTAACTTGAGCTTAAAATATGACCGTATAACACTTGCATAATTCCATTCATAATAGCTTTTTTCCATAGATTACATTATAAATATATCCTAAAATATATACGCTGAAACTATATAATTTAAGTAATTAACGTCATCATTCATCAGCCATATAGTGTAACATATATAACACAGTAAATTCTCTTCGCCTTCGACAGGATTAATGACATGTAAATTAAACTAATTTGCCAACTAATAGTCTGGTGTGGTTTATTCCATAAGCATATCTTGATTGAAGCTTAGAACTGTGTGTCTTACCATTACAGAGGCGATCATAGATCATATATTGAGAAAAAGGGGTCCTGTGAACTTGGCACACGATATTCAAAAATCGACTTTTTTTTTTAGAGTTCTGACATCCTTTTGAATAGTTCTAGAGTTCTTTATAATCATTTTAAATAGTTCCGATGTTTAAATTAAAAAAAAACAAATTTTAAAAAATCGTGCGCTAAGTTCACGCAGCGCACGAAATCACGAAAATCACAAATTTCTTCGGAGTTCTAGCTTGCTTTACAATAGTTCTACAGTTCTCTATCAGTTATATCAATAGTTCTAGCAATTAAAACGAAAAAATCGATTTTTGAAGTTTCGCCGCGTCCAAATTATAAGTCATATAAGAAAAGATCAATTTCCGACGCGAGTTCTAGCCGATCTGATAATAGTTCTGGGCAGCATTCTCCGAGTTCTACAGAAAAGCTTCATAACTTTTTCCTGGAAAATAATTATTTTGCAAGTTATTGCAAAAAATATAAATCTACAAAAAAAAAATTACGAGTTCCAGCTGATCTGATCGGAGTTCTGAGTAGCGCTACCTGAGTTCTATCGAAAAGTCTAGTAACATTTTCCTGTGAAGTAATTATTTTCCAAATTATCGCCATTTTTAACTTAACTATTTTACAGGAAAAAGTTACTAGACTTTTCGATAGAACTCAGGTAGCGCTACCCAGATCTCCGATCAGATCGACTAGAACTCGTAAAAAAAAATTCTCCTATAAGTCAGTCATAAAAAGTTAAAAATGGCGATAATTTAGAAAATAATTATTTTACAGGAAAAAGTTACTAGACTTTTCGATAGAACTCAGGTAGCGCTACCCAGAACTCCGATCAGATCGACTAGAACTCGTAAAAAAAATTCTCCTATAACTCAGTCATGAAAAGTTAAAAATGGCGATAATTTGGAAAATAATTATTTCACAGGAAAATGTTAGTAGACTTTTCGATAGAACTCAGGTAGCGCTACTCAGAACTCCGATCAGATCGGCTAGAACTCGTAAAAAAAAAGTCTATACGTCAGCCTTGAAAAGTTAAAAATGACGATAATATGGAAAATAATTATTTCACAGGAAAAAGTTACTAGACTTTTCGATAGAACTCAGGTAGCGCTACCTAGAACTCCGAGCAGATCAGCTAGAACTCGTAAAAATAAAAATCTCCTATAAGTCAGCCTTAAAAAATTAAAAATGGCGATAATTTGGAAAATAATGACTTTACAGGAAAAAGTTACTAGACTTTTCGATAGAACTCAGGTAGCGCTACCCAGAACTCCGATCAGATCAGCTAGAACTCGTAAAAAAAAATCTCCTATAAGTCAGCCTTAAAAAGTTAAAAATGGCGATAATTTGGAAAATAATGAATTTACAGGAAAAAGTTACTAGACTTTTTGATAGAACTCAGGTAGCGCTACCCAGAACTCCGATGAGATCGACTAGAACTCGTAAAAAAATTCTCCTATAAGTCAGTCATGAAAAGTTAAAAATGGCGATAATTTGGAAAATAATTATTTCACAGGAAAAAGTTACTAGACTTTTCGATAGAACTCAGGTAGCGCTACCCAGAACTCCGATCAGATCAGCTGGAACTCGTAATTTTTTTTTGTAGATTTATATTTTTTGCAATACCTTGCAAAATAATTATTTTCCAGGAAAAAGTTATGAAGCTTTTCTGTAGAACTCGGAGAATGCTGCCCAGAACTATTATCAGATCGGCTAGAACTCGCGTCGGAAATTGATCTTTTCTTATATGACTTATAATTTGGACGCGGCGAAACTTCAAAAATCGATTTTTTCGTTTTAATCGCTAGAACTATTGATATAACTGATAGAGAACTGTAGAACTATTGTAAAGCAAGCTAGAACTCCGAAGAAATTTGTGATTTTTGTGATTTCGTGCGCTGCGTGAACTTAGCGCACGATTTTTTAAAATTTGTTTTTTTTTAATTTAAACATCGGAACTATTTAAAATGATTATAAAGAACTCTAGAACTATTCAAAAGGATGTCAGAACTCTAAAAAAAAAAGTCGATTTTTGAATATCGTGTGCCAAGTTCACAGGAGTGAAAAAGGTTTATATTAGGTTCTCTTATACTTAATGCTCTGTATATTAATTCCTAGAAACTTCATTTTAAATTGAAATTATTTTAACATTTCAAGAAGTAACATGGCTTTCACTGTATATTCATAAAGAGATCAAACATAATAATAAACCTATTTTAGTTATTAAAATATTTAACGAATTTTAAAAACAGCACAAGTAAAGCTTTTTATTAGACACTTAAATTAATAATATTTATAAACAGTACAAGTAGTTTCCAAATATATTATAAAATTCAATTAGAAACATTATTGATGCAGTGTAGCTAATTAGCATGTATGGCATGCTCACTGAGCACAGGGTATGGTTCTGTAGAAGGAGCCGACGGTGGCGAAGCAGGACGCGGGGGCGACGAGCTGAAAGTTTTCGACAACGAAGGCGAAGGCGTCGCATACTCTTGGACTTTCTTCCACGTGGTGTTCGCGTTGGCCACCCTTTACATTATGATGACGCTCACCAATTGGTACAAGTGAGTATATATAGTTTTATTTTGCCATTTACATGTCATGTACAAACAAGTTAATAGAAAACTGTATTATTCTCCGAAACACAGTTTACAAAGCATTTTGGCGGCTGAATTAGGTACCACTGAGCAAACACAAACGACTTTAGTCTACTTGGATAAAATTTGATAATTTTATTTAATGACTAGCTACTCGCCCCGGTTTCGCACGGGTGTACATGTATTATTATATATATAAACCTTCCTCTTGAATCACTCTATCTATTCTACTATGTAATAATTATTTTATAGTAAAATTTCAAATCCTAATTACACGATATGAGAATTATAAAAATAATTAAACTTTTCCACAGTCCACGCTCGGAACTGTCGAAGGAGAATATGGCATCAATGTGGGTAAAGATTACCTCTTCGTGGCTCTGCGTGGGTCTTTACATCTGGACCTTAGTAGCGCCTGCGATCTTCCCCAACCGCGAATTCAATTAGGTTTTTTTAACAACTTATTGTAGTGCGATATGCGATTATTGAAATAGATCTCATGGCATCAATCAATCATTGATAAAATTAGCAAAGGGCTGGATTATGTAATTCAATTGCTATTCTCCTTGCAACCAATTTATCCGATGTTGCAATTGTATATGTTAATTTCATATGGAATGCAAAATAAAAATACAGCGATTTGATAAAATGTGTAATGGATAAGCAATACGATTACACTGAACGCAATATGCAGTTGACTAAAAAAAGACGACGCGTAAGCTCTGCTCTGTAGCCTGCCTCCCCTCCAGACTCCCCGCCTCATTGCGTCTTCCTAATGCAGAAGTTCCAGTTCAAGCGATATGTATTAATGTATTACTATATTACAACAGTATATGTATTACTTGAATTTCGGTTACGGCTCAATAGTCTTATACAATAATATATAATACATTAGTCGCATGAATGTTCCTAAGTATTCTAGACAAGAATTATTAGCAACGGCGTTGCATAATCCCGTTATTTATTCTCATACTCATTCACACAACCCACTAGTTTCATCATTTAGGCATTATTTTTTATAATTTTGCTAAGTAAATATGATTCTAATAACTGTAATGTATTTTTTAATATTTGTAAAGATACAGGGTAGAATAGAACATGCAACATAACAATACAGTACATTATAACTCATTTCATAATAAGGTTTTTTACTTTATATATGTGCTTAGAAATGGGTATTCATCAAATCATGCACTCATTATTTGCTGTTGTCCCATACAGCTATACAAATTTTAAAAAATGCGTCATTAACACTTGAACATAATTTTTTATACTTGACTTAAATTAACTAGTTTCAAATATATCCACATATTTTCAGTAATATCTGTTATACTATTCTACCCAGCATAATGTAGTAATAATTAAGTCTTAATATAAATTAATTGTGTATAAAATAATTAGATGTCCTAGATATTAACAGGTTTCCTGTACACAACTTTATTCCGCCGTTTTAATTTAATAGCCATTTTCAGCCATAATGAATCGATCACAAGTTTTTTCTTATGAAATTATTTTTTTATTAAACTTAAGACAGAATTTTTACTTGTAAATATGAAAATCACTCAGTGGACAGGGAGCGTGTTAGCATTATTATTCTTGTATAATTTACTAAAAACTTTCATCTTTACTTAAACACTTCAATTATAATCAATAAATATCTACCAATCAACCAGAACTTTCTCATTTCTACAGTAACCTTTTACGATTTTATTATTATGTAATGTTATTTATTCGACAGCATTTCAATAATAATAAAAAATACAATATACTTTTATAGTAATATAAGAAATGTTGTAGATTGACGTCTAAATTCATTTATAAAAAATTAAGGGCACCACTGTATCCTATCTATCTCTATCCTATTTTTTGTTACTGTTGATGTATTGCATACTCCTCTGTGCTACTAGTACTTTTAGTACTTTTATTATTTTTAGTATTACAAGTACTGGCAGGCTACAGTTAAGGATGAGAGGATGATATCAAGTTCAAAAGTTCTGTTGTATATACATACACAAAACTGAAAATATGGAATCATAAATAAAAACAATTAATACACTGGATTAGTTAATTTTTAATTGTCTATTCTTATCAGATCCTTATCTTTGATCACAGCATATTTTAAAAGTAATGCATATTTCTTTAATAGTTTTCTCCAATAACATTTGACATCTTTATCAGTTAAGTTGTCCCATATATGTTGAAAACCTCTTTCGGCAATTTCTTTAGCCAAGAAATCATTTTCTTTAAAATACTCAATGTATTTTTTTAACTCTTCTTCATTGGCTGTAGGACTAATCGGGACATAATGAACCCAAGGTTTTAATGAAGGATAAAAAAATTCAAGCCATGAATCACCAACATGGAACACAAGGGACTTGCATAAAAACAAATGTTTGAATCGAAAGCTAGCAGCAATTCCTCTATAGTTGAATAAATATTTGTATTTACAATGCTCTTCAAATGACACTTCTGATGCTGGGGGGGCATATAGTGTGTCCTGAAATAAAATTTGTGCAATATGACTAAATGCATCCCACTAGTACAGATACTATGATATAGAACTGAATATGAAAAGAAAAATTACCGCATCTGACTTCCAAGCTTGATTTTTTGTATATTTTGCATCTACAAGATCAGGGTATGAACGTGAGAGTAGTATCAAAGCATCTCTTTCTTCATTTGTTCTAGAACCTCGAAAAAAAGCATATCCCTCCTTCTTGTCCCAGGGCCACCTAATAGACAAAAATGATATTTAGTTATTTATTGGGTAGACCATGGCTTCAATTAATAAGTTACTATTTGTAAATAAGAGATATTATTACTGTTACAAGCAAATCTAGTAACAGTAATAATAAAATAAATCTTTTCTGTGATACTATAGTGACATGTGACTTCAAAGTAAGGATATCAGAATTTTAACAATATTATTATTCAATAATAGAGTATGTATATAAACTTAACAATATTGAATAATTTAAATAGAGATGTAAGTTATTTTGTTTCTAACAAAAGAATAGATAAACATAATTTATCAGGAAGTGTATTTCACAGTATAATTAGGCAATCCGTTTAATCCTGTTTAAACCGAAAGAAATTTATCTCTGTATGTAGTTTTTAATAAAATATTGTAGAAAAAATAATCAACATACAATGTATGTACTAGCTGTGCCTGCGGTTTCACCCGCATTCAATTTCAATAAATAATATACCCTGTATGTTATTCTGATCCATAAGTTATTACTGTAATGTTTCAAAATCTGTTCAGTAGTTTTTGCATGAAAGAGTAACAAACACTCACAAACTTTCACATTTATAATATTATTATGATATTAAAACCTAAAACAGACAATTAAAATGTTAAGTATTAAAGTTATGAGCTATGCAAAAGTACGGAGTGAAATTATAGACACCATGTATAATAATAATAGTTTTGTTACATTACATTTAAAGTTTTGGTTAGAATAATAAAACTAATTCCTTACTTTTCTGCAGCAGATGAAATTGATATCCTGTGCTTATCCCAACGACCAATACCTGTTGGATACAATGATATAGCTGGTCCTCCTTCCCAAAAGCTCCATGCTGGGTACATGATATCATAATAATCTTTTGTCTGAAAAATATTACTTTCTTTTAATAACTACTTTCCCAGATAATGGGAATGTCATAGCAACAACACACCAACACATTTGCAGCATATAATATACTTAACAGCTTTTGTTTCCTGCCAGTGTACATGAGACCTACATATCTTACCTTACTAAAAGAAAATACTGGAGCTTTCTGATGGCCCCAAACATGATTAACTTGGGGCCAATCCCTAGTGTTCAGTGCAAGCTCCAGGTTGGGTAATTTTGAAGCCAGTGCCCTTAGATAATGTTCCACTCCAGAACATCTAGCTGGGAAATGACATTCTCTTTCTCTATATAATTTGCCTTCTATTATCTGCAAATTGAATTATTGATCATGTAATGTAGCCAAGTGCAGTCACTATTATTACTCTTATATCTTTATATTATTTTTCCACCTACACAGATAAATATATATATATTATTATATGAGCTATTTATTACTCTGTACACTATATCATTAATAAATACCACAGAAACATAATAATTGAGAAATAATACTATACTTATGGCAATTTATTCTTTATGTCACAAATAAGACCACACATACCTGATATTTTGTTCCCTTGGAACGAGCTACAGCAAAAAGTTCTTTTGTTATTCCATCTTGGTATGGCCTAAGATCTTGTCCAATAACTGCCTTGTGGCAGCTGCAATTCGTTCTTTCACAAGGTGTATATTGCTTCATTGCCACCTGTATCTTCTTATTTATCTTAGAACCCCACTCATTGATATCTACAATAAAAAAATTGATAAAATATAATTTTTTTTTATTAATTTTAAGGAGTGACTAAAATTAAATACATCGAACTTAATAAATTATTTACATCACATACCCTTACTATACTTATTGTGGTTTTCAGTACAAACATTCTCACCGGCACAAGTCTCTTCATTTTGATTCAACTGATTTGATATTACAATATATAAAAATAATATGAAACATTTGAATGCATACATTTATGAAAACTGTTAAGCCCACGTACTACCGTTATATTAAAAGTATATATAAAAGTTGAGATTCTGTAAAATTTAAAGTTATACACAAATATATTTTAAAACACTTAGTTTTATGAATATTTAGGTGACACGAATTTGCACTGAAATACCTCACCCGAAAAATATACCATTATAGTTCCAATTATAATTTTATTATAAATCAAATTTTAATGAAATCGCAAAAAAATATGTAAACAATAATAACACTAAGATTTGTCGCCACAGAACAGAAAAATTAGGGGTAAAAAAGCAAAACAGCTTAAAATTTAATTGTATAAACGTCCTTTAAATTATAAAAAGCATGCTTAACATGACAGTATCGATAAAATGTTGCCAGCAATGTAATATAAAAATGGCCACGAGCTCTGTTAAAACGCCAATTTTGGAGGGAAATTTAAAAAATCTAACTGTCCTAACAGGCTTATACGACTTGATAAGATAAGATATATTTTGTCAAGTTGTTTAAAAAATGTTTTTGTAGGTAGGGATCGTTCAAAACAAGTTTTGTATGAATATTAAACATTTGTGTTATATTGGACAAGCGGTTAGTTTGGAACTGGACGTATTTTCCTAATATGTATTGTAATTTAATTGTAACATTGTAACTTAATCTATAATTTTGCACAATCCGCAAATATTATACACATAATTATGAAGTAATACTCTTCATACTACTAACAAAATAATTATATATTATAGATTATAAATGTAGGTAAATCACAGTACGTTCAGTAATCACCTACATTAATGTGTGTATATCTATGTCTATCTTAACGTCTAAATGAACGGTAGAATAAAAGATTATTAAAAAATGTTTATGTACGACTGTACCATCAATATTTAATTATATATTATATGCAGTTATATCTATATATTAGTTTTAAAACTGAACTTGAAACTAAGCTGCATTCTAATTGATATTACCAAACCGATTTTAAAAATGACTTGGCCTATTTTGTGGTCATAAACAGACAAACAGGAAAGCAAGTTCATAAAATAAAACAAACTTTAGAAAAATATAGGGAATCTATTTTGCTTACATGCATACATTGTTTATATTTTCCTCATGATCTTCTTATATATAAAAAACATAGAAATGATTAATTAAATTACAATTTATTCTTAATATTCACCACTACCATAAACTTTATACAAATGTAACCATACACAATATTACAGGTCCATACTTGTACGTTACATAAAGTTATGGATATTAAATAAAATTGTCTTTATTCAATCAAAAACACTTAAAATTGAATTAGTCTATTAAAAAGTTAATACTACTTGTGTATATTTGGTTCAGAATCCTGGCTAATAAAATACTCTTATTGATAGTGCTAAGCAATCCGTGGTTTTTAAAAATTCTTTTACTCAGATTAATATCTTCTACATCATACCAAACAAACAAGCAAAAAACAACTGCATTATAAGTGAAAGAGTATGTGTTCAAATGACTTTTTAAGTTAATTTAGATAGGTAATCGTAGAAACAGTACTAAGGCACTCAAGGTGATTGTAATTATCACTAATCTGAGTTATTTAGTGCATTAACTATACTCATTATCTCATGTTTGATCCTTGTTTCGACATAAACACATTTATCTATAAAATAATCATATAACCGGCGTGATTAATGTAATAATTTCTAGTGAAATGTTTATTATGAATAACAGGTTATTGATTTCAAAACGATAATTTATAAAGTCAGATGCAATAGAATTTGATATCCTACTAATAAGATCTTGAGTTTAAACTATTACGAGGTGATTTTATACAACTACAGTAAACTATTTAGAATTTAATGTATCACCATGGTAGCTACTTTATCAAAATTATCATAGTATAAAGAAATGGTTTAATTTTGTTTTCTTAGTAAACAAAAAGTTAATAAGAATAAGAGTCAAAAAATAATTCAATTAGTGGTAATTTTATATACTCAACCATTACCGTGGCTCTCCAGTTTTTCCACCACTGATTAACTAAAATATTACAAAGTTATACGCTAAAAAAGCGTGCGAAAATAATTCGCGGGAATATAATTCGCATTGAGTATTATATTAACCCTTAGTTTTTTTTAATTTCATTGTACGCTCAGTTCTGTGAGGTTACTCACAATGTATATACATTAATTTACTTATATTTTCATACAACACTAGTTATCAGTTATCATATCATTTCCAGTTATTCTATGGAAAATATTATTTTGCTAATACTAAATATTTTATAGGAATGGTGATGTATAAAACATCTATAATTTCATTAATCATGCATAAAGAAATCAGAAAATATCTATTTGCTAATTAATTAATTTTTAACTAGTAAGTATCCTTCACTTCGAAAGTTTGTGCTCCAGTTGGTCAGCAATTGCTAAAAGGAAATCTTCGGTGTGTAAATACATGCCTTCCTTAGTATTTTCCAGTCCATGGATGCAAATTACAAGGTCCTTAGTCATCTTACCGCTGTCGATGCATTCCACGCAAGCCTGTTACATAACAATACACGCCCATAAAGTATTAGTAATACAATGCAATTTTTATCAACAACTGTCTACATATCTTTGACATGATAATCTTCAAAAACAAAAATTGTTTTGAAAGGCATCAAGATTTTGTTAACAACAGGATTTAATATGATAAGAAATTATTAATTGTATTTTCATGTCGAAATATTTATAATAATTACACTACTATTGTAAAAGTAATGATAAAGGCTCACACGGAGCAGCATGCCACAACTAGAACCATCCCAATTTCTCACCACATTAGTTAGCTAACTAATAACAAGTCCATCCGTGCCGGTCGGAAACCCATAAAACATTATTACAATGTGCCACTACTATGTAACTACTAATAATTTTAATTATACACTAAAGCCTAACATATCTCTCGTGGAATGATTCTGTTTAAATTTACTTTGGTAACATAATACCAAATATTTATTTACATTTTTATTATTTTTGCACCTTATTAAAATAACTTTCTCCTATTTCTCTTAAAGTTATTGCACACTCATACCTACTGTAGATTGTAGCTGAAAATTAGTGTTTGCTCCCTGGGCAATTATACTGAGCTACGCCCTCTTTACACTGCTGTAGCAGACTTCAATAACATGCATGCATTATGTGACACTTGTGACGTTCAGTTGGTTATTTATTGTTGTTAGTATTTACTGTTTTTATTATAATTATTGTCTTCTATCTATATATAAGATAAATGCCAACGGTGAATTATTCGTTATATAATTTACAAGTGGAAGAAATAATGTAACTGAACTAATAATGTAGGATAGTAGCAAGGTAGGTAGGCTTTTTTTATTTTTATTTAGGCAAAACTCGGAAGTTGATCTTTTTTCTTCTGTGATAAAGTAAGATCATGTATGAAGTGCATGTGTCTGTTATTGTGTTACGGTTTCAACGTTAGGACAGTGGCAACATCTGACACAAGAAGCACTTAAGAATAAAGGTATCAAATCTAACCTAGGTTCTCAAGTATGTATACTGACAATTGTATAGTATAATAGAACAATTGAGTTTATGTATCTTCTCTACTATGCACTTATCTAATTATAGGATGCGTTTTGTGAGTCAAACGGAAAGATAAAATTGTTTCTGATCGAACACAATAAGCGTATAGTTAAAGTACACAATAACCTTAGTCCTCAGGAGCCAGATGAGAAATACAATATCTGTTAGCTACTTTTAATATAACAGTTTAAAAAATTAAAGCACCCATGTTTAGATATAAATAAATAACACCATTTTAGATAATGAATGTTGAATTGTTTAGTATTCAGGTAGAATATTGTATAGAGTACAATGCATACCTCCTCCAGAGCAATGGCGAATCTTTCCAATTCAGGCGTATTGTCTAGCTTGGCACGGTGGATGAGGCCTCTAGTCCATGCATAGATAGATGCAACAGGATTCGTTGACGTTGGCTTGCCTTGCTGATGCATACGGTAGTGACGCGTAACGGTGCCGTGAGCAGCCTCTGACTCGACCGTTTTACCATCTGGGCACATTAACACTGATGTCATCATACCCAGCGATCCGTAGCCCTGTCAAGAAAATTTTATGACGTATATTTATTTAAACAGGTAAGAACTTATTTTCTGAATATAACCTGGCATAAAGGTAGATATGTGTATATGAGAATATATAATATTATAACTTTATTTAATCTGTTATATACAGTACAGTGTCTTATTGATAACACACAAATAAAACTTGTGTATCTGGTAACATGAAGTTTCATATAAGTGTTTTTCATAACTGATTGTTATATAGAAATACATAGCTAAAGTACATAAGCAGTAACAAAAGAAATGCACGGCACTGGGAAAACCTGGAAAAGTAGTTAGACTGCAATATACGGAACATCCTCTAATAAATAATGATATAAATGAGACATTTATTTAGATAAAGTCGTAATTTCCAGATAAAATAAAAAAATAATAATAGTATCTTTAAAAGGCGAGTCGGTCGGCCACAGGATCAGCGTAATTCCTTTTTACATTACTATTATAGTGGATTTCGGGTTATAGTTTTAGAACGGGCCGCCTGTAAGACATCTTTGCAATTAATGCTATTTTTGTGTCTTAAACCATTGTATTTGTCTTTACTATTATATTGTCACACATTGTATATAGGAAAATGAATTTGGAAGGGAAAAGATTAGTACCTGGAAGGATTTAACATAGAACAATACAACTGTGTAATAAATCCTAAAGTAATATACCGGATATTACTTTAGGATCTAGTACGCATATACTTAGTTGGTGTAATTGATACGGTATATGGGACACCAATTATAGTACTAATTACACTACCAACGTACAACTGGTCAAATCACGATAATTTGCAGTATTTTTATAATTTACAATTTTAAAACAGTATCTACAATAATTTATGTAATACTACAAATACTAATGAAACATTCATATTCTGATATTCTTCTATATACTTTATTATAATTTGTCTTGTTGTAGTTGTACTGTGTCTATAGCCTGTATTGTAATTTGTAATATATCTAAATAATATTAGTACACAATTAACAGTATCATAAAATTGTCGTAGAAATGTACGACAAACTAAATGTTTAATATAATAAAGTTATAAAAGTACTCAGACACATTATTGTGATAAATCGATAGATTAAGAGATATCGCTACGATTACCTGTCTACATTGCAATAAAAATAATCAGAATTATGACGGATAGGGAATTTCCTACAATATGCGATAGGTTCACAGTGAATGCGTTGAAATTGACACGTAAATATGTAGTAGTACATCGTTGTTATTGACTGATAAAATTATTTCATAGGGTATAATTGGTCTCAAACTCTAAATACAATGTACCCTGCACTGCACTACAAAAATATAAAATAAGCATATCCTTAACTTAGTACATATGTATATATAAATAAAGTTGAATAAAAAAATGTTATTGATTATATTTTTATACCTGAGCTACAACTATGTATATATATTTAAAGTTGAATAAAAAAAATGTTATCGATTATATTTTTATACCTGAGCTACAACATCTGACTGGACATCGCCATCGTAGTTCTTGCAGGCCCACACGAATCCACCAGATCCTTTGATCGCCTGCGCCACCATGTCATCAATCAAGCGGTGTTCGTACCAAATCTTCGCATCTTCAAATTGCTTTTTGTAGTTGCTGAAAAGAACTTATATGAGATATCCTTGTGACTGCGATTAGATCTCGGGATAAATTAATAGTACCAACAAGAAATTATACTGGCAAGTATAATTTCTTGTTGGTTAACTATAATTTCTTGTGGAACATGTTATGTTCCATGCACTGCTGGATAACAGATTATGTTGGGGCCAGAAGCCGTCGTGCAGGTCATTGAGTACCTAAACACAACTTTGTACTATTTCTAATTGATAGAGAGAGGGAAGTACGTTAATAATGGGAATAAGTGATTCACGATTTCTTATAATCCATTCAATAAACTGCTATTTAATGAGCTTGTAATTCACCGTATGATATTGTAGTAATTGCCGTTAAATTATAAGCGTTTTCAGCTATATTATATATGTATCAGCTATATATAATACATATATTATTATTGGAAGAGTAAAACAGTATGAAATAGCACTGTAAAACAGTAAACTAAAAAGCACCCTACTTATTTTTGTATTACTATGGGAAGATGTAAATCATAAAATTGTCCGCGTTATCTAGTGACCTAATAAAAGGTCGATACACCAATGCCGTCGTTATCGAAGTTTGTTCAGTAATAGTGAAGAACCTTCAGCTTTAACTATGAGCGATGTGTCTTCAGTCATTGTGTTGATATAACTTTATTAGCAGTTAGAAATTTAGAATACATACAAATAGGTAGGTACTATACTTATATTCACAATATGAAGACGCTTTATTTTCACAAGTAAGTAAATATTTTTGTCAGAGAACTAAGTATTTGGCATTGTTATCGTTGATAACTAAAAATATATATAAAATTCTACCTTTGATAAATTTCTTCGAAAATATCTTTGAATCTGCCGTCGTAACGCTTGAGGATCGTATTCTTTGTAGACAAATACAGAGGTATTTTCTTTTGTAGTGCCACCTGAATAAACAAAGTGTTTTACAAATTGCAAACAATACTACTCGTTTGTGAATAGTTCACATAACCGTAATGCACTTTAATAATAGTGTACATAGCTACATAGTCATAAAATATTTATACCTGAAAACTGGAGTGTGCGAAGGCGCGTATAGATTCGTCGGTATTGTACATGCCTTGAGCGATACCGGGCGATTTGAAGTCGAACAATAAATATTTCTGTGTCGTTCCATCTGCCGCTGTGTAGACTAGTTCCACCTGATTAAATTAAATTAAATCAAAAATTGTTTTATTCTCAAATAGTTTTTTTTATTGTATTAAACATTTATTGCACCAACTTTAAAAGCAGATACATTCAAAACTATAACAATATATTAAAGAAAGAAGAAGGTACAGAAGACGGTCTTATCACTAACATAATCTCTTCCAGACAACTTTGGAGAGACAACAAATACAACAATAGAGTATTGATAAAAATAATATAATAATTTTTATTATTATTATTACGAAAACATTATTGTGCCAAAATGGCTACACCCTTTTATCATTTTTCCATGTCTGTATTGTGAATATAGTTAACTATGTACACTGATATTTGTTATCACTCTTAACTAGTTGGATGCATTATGGATATATATATATACATATATATTTTAATTACAAAGTTTTATATTTTTAATTTTGAAGTATTCTAAATAATTACCAAATTAAATCATATTAAGTATTGCTTTATTAGATTTCTCAACTACTTTTGCTAACATACCTTTCCTGGTTTAGGTACTACGAAGTCCTGTGCCTTGTATTGATCTCCATGAGCATGACGGCCTATAACTATAGACTTGGTCCAGCCAGGCACCACACGTGGAATGCTTTTACACAAGATAGGTTCTCGAAACACGGTCCCGCCGAGAATGTTACGGATCGTCCCATTTGGGCTCAACCACATCTTCTTCAACTTGAACTCTAAAATATACATATTATACGTTTTAAACAAGAAAAAACTAGTTATTTGCAGTAATGAGTTACTATAATAGTATAACATAGCAAACAAACCAATAAACGATTACAGCCGTGCCGCATTAATGAATGATATTGAGAATAAAATGCACTTTCTGACTGATTTTTTTAATAAATGTTCATCATCCTTGCCTTGGCTTTATTCCATTATTTGGGGTCGTAGCAGTATGTCATCCGCTTCCACAGATCCCTATCAGCTATCATATCTAAGCATATTCTCCTTTTATACCATGTTTTACATAATCCATTTAACGTTCTTTCGACTTCTCCTTTTCTATCCATCCACTTTACCATACTTTCTTTAAGACATGGTCCTCATTCCTCCGCAAACAAGCCCATAACGTTAGGAATATAAATTATTGATAATTAAAATTAATCCATTAATTTTTTTAGTCTATCATTTTAGATGAAATACCGAGAGACAGAGATATAGTTTGTAGACGCTTGCGCGTGTGACGACAACACAGATTTTTATTTTTTTTATAAAATGCTTAACGTGTGCGATCGTAATATATGTATTGTCTAATGTCTAGTGAGCTCATAAGCTAAATAAAAAAAGTAAATAAGCGGACAGCGATCCAACCACTTCAAATAAGCTGTAGAACAACAAACAATTGAGTTAATTAAAATAATTAGTAACTTCCACTAATACATGCATTATGTAGTACGAGTATATAGATTATAATAGTATATACTACGTGTACGTGTTCATTAATTTAGAAGTGACACGAAACAGAGATTATCTCAAATTTTATAATGTTTATTATATAACAATTATAACGAATGACCTGATCGTTTAATAACTTTTATTATCTATAGGTTATCCGAAAGTTAAATAATAAAAGTTGTCTCATTGTTATGGCAATGGTCTTTTCTATAATGTATATAAGTCTATTAAAGATAGATTACATATCACAGTTTGTTTTTCGAAATTAATTTGACAATTTAAGAATAATAAGTATAAATTTAAACTACAATAAATATACTGGTAACGGTAAAAGTAGTACTGATCTTGTAGATAATCTGTGCATATTATAAAATAGCGTCTCCGCCGCTATCTATGTATATACTTGTTTTTTTTTTAATTACATAACGGATTTTAATGGGGTTATCAGCAATAGATAGAGTGATTCAAGAAGAGAGAAAGTTTTAGATATGTAATGTAATATATAAATATAAATATATAAATATAATATAAAACCATAAATTATAGTACAAAAAAGACGAGAAATTCAAAGATTTGTAATACACCCGCGCGAAGGCGGGTCGGGATCCCTAGTAATTATTATTTCAAACCATCTAGGTGAGTTAATACCACAAAAACAACGTGTTTGTTTTTTTATATCTATACATATAAATAAAATTGGAGTGTCTGTTTGTAATATTGAAATAACCGTTTTTTACTACATGCATATGAATATAAATACGGTACACAGACCAAACTAACATTTTACAATTTTTCTCTGTCTGTCTGTTTGTTCCGGCTAATCTCTGAAATGGCTGGTCCGATTTTGACGGGACTTTTATTAGCAAGTAGCTGATGTAATAAGGAGTAATTCAGGCTATTTTATAAAAATAAAGTTAAATTCCACGCGGACGAAGAACGCTAAGATACGTACCTTCAACCCTCTGTTCATCGGGTGTAATAGTGGCACACTTAATTCCCACATTGTGTTTGAGGATGGCGTTAGCTGCGTCGATGGTCACCTGGTCATTAGTCGCATCACGGTGGGGCAGGCCCAAGTCGAAGTAAAGGCTGTCTAGCTATAATACCAACAACATTATCCATTACATACATAATAGTTCTTCTATTATACCTACATTATAAAATATATTTACAAGATTTAAAGTTCTTATCCCTTATCACAGTCGCCTGATAGTCCACTAAAACACATGCGGATCTGGACTCTTACAAAAAAATTAAAAAAGAAACCAAGAAGGTAATTGCTACAGAACGAGCCAATGCTCAGCAAAAACTTTACAGACAATTAGATAGTAAAGATGGTCAGAAATATATCTATAAACTTGCAAAGCAACGGTGTCGGAGCGCGAAGGATCCCGCTAGATGTAAAACCATCAAAGGTCAAAGTTGTTGTATAGGAATAAAGATGTGATAGAGGCTTGGCATCAATACTATGAATACCTATTGAATACCAATGCAGCCACTACACAACTTTCAGATATGCCCAAGAGTGTAGGACTCATACCTCCAATACATCAGAGTGAGGTTAAGGTAGCATTATTAAAAATGTCGAACAAGAAAGCCATAGGCCCTGATGGAATGCCAGTGGAAGCGTGGAAATGTCTACGCGACCAAGGAATCGAGCTGCTGACTGACCTTTTTAATCAGGTGATGCTCTCTTCTAAAATGCCAGAGGCATGGAGATTGAGTAGAATAGTTCCGATTTATAAGGGAAGGGGTAGTAGGTTCGAATGTAATAACTACCGCGGAATCAAGCTACTAAGCCTAAGTGTGGCTACACTATGTGTGGCTACACTATGAAGCTTTACAAAAGAGTGATTGACAGTCGTATAAGATCTGAGTACACACTGTCTAAATATCACTTTGGCTTTGTACCTGGCTTATCGACCACCGATCCGATGTTTGCTCTCAGCACAATGGCTGAGAAATATCGCGTTAAACACAGGTCATTGTATGTAGCGTTCCTGGATATGGAGAAGGCATTTGATCGTATCCCTAGAAATACGATCTGGTGGAGCCTTCGCAAGAAAAACGTGCCCGAGCTATACATTAATATTCTTGCTGACATGTATAGAGACTCCAGATCTATGGTACGAACGGTAGTGGGTCAAACAAAACCAATAGCAGTAACAGAAGGTGTGTACCTCAGGGCTCAGTACTAAGCCCCTTCTTGTTTGCCTGGTTCTGGACTCACTCACAGAGGTTGCGCAGGAATCAGCATGCTGGACCTTCATATACGCAGATGATGTAGCGATTTGTACAGAAAGTCGCATTGAGTTGCAGGAGTAGCTTCTGTATTGGAAGCATCAGTTACAAATGGGTGGACTAGTGTTGAATATTGCGAAAACCCAGTACATGGCTATGAATGTGCCAGATACCTCTGATAACAGTCCAATTTGCATTGAAGGGCAAATGATCACCATGTGTGATCAATATAAGTATCTGGGAAGTATAATGAACTCCGGGAATATAGAATGCAATATTCAACACCGAATAGCTGCAGCGTGGCTTAAATGGCGAGAAGTGACTGGTGTTACATGCGACAAGAGAATGCCTGTTAAACTCAAAGGGTTAATTTATAAAACAATTATAAGACCCGTTCTTATGTATGGCAGTGAAATATGGCCCGTAACCCAAAAGAACGTGCATGCCATCCAAGTTACTGAAATGAAGATGCTGAGGTGGATGTGCGGTATAACCAGGCACGATAAAATCCGCAACGAGTACGTACGAGGAAGTCTGGCTGTTCGCGACATTGCTGAAAAAATGCAGGAAAGTAGGCTGCGATGGTATGGACACGTGAAGAGAAAGCCGCCTGATTACGTCGGAAACCTGGCACTGCAACTTTCTGTTCCTGGTCGAAGGGGCAGAGGCAGACCAAGGAAGGGATGGGAAGATGTTGTTGCTAGGGACATGATAGAGTGTGAGGTCTCTGAAGACGATGTCCGGGACAGGATTAAGTGGCGGACAAAAATAGGGAAGGCTGACCCCACCACCATGTGGGATATATAGCCAGGGAGAGAGAGAGAGAGATGTAAATTAATTGAACCTTCAAAAGGTGCATTACTTACGAGAAAAAATAGTAAAGTAAAGGAGATATTGAAATTTAAAGAAAAAGACATATGCCATTAGTTTTGCGAATAATAATTTGGGTAACAACTAAGATAATAAGTATTTATTTATAATAAATGTACATCCATTGTAAATAAACATTATCTTAGTACATGTCAAAGATCCGGGTCAGCAAATAGCTCCATAAAATTAGCCTATATCTGATGGGCAACAAAATAACATAGGCACTTTTGCTGCTTTACATGTTTTACAAATTTTATAAATAAACTAATGAAGCAGCTAGTGCACTTATATGTAGCTAGAATTGTTCTAACAAAACGTGAAGATGTGACTTGTCTTGTAAATAGATTTATTACTTTATTTGTAACTAGCGACCCATAATAAATCTTCGAATTTCTCATATTATTCTATAGTAGGTATAACACGCATGTATTATTATACATATAAACCATCCTGAATCACTCAATATCTACTGCTGAAACGTGCATGTATATATATACGTTGCATAATTTAAAAGATTAAGCGAACAGACAGCTACGGCGACTTTGTTTCATACTATGTAAAGTAAATAGTAAGTTTTGTTCGCATCATGGTTCATTCACAAATGGGGAAAAAGGGAACCTATTCCGTTCCAAATACTACGTGTATGCTGAATTTGATGATTAATTAAGTTAATTAATGATGATGGGATAACGGAACCCGAAACTCGCTATGAAGAGACCGATAGATAAAAAAGTGATTGATGGTGAAGTTCTTAAGGCGTTGCCATTTTAGGCAAATATGACAAAGAATAATGGACTGAGGTAAGCCATTAAGGCAAACCAGATGGAATAGTTGCAAAACTATTCAACGGTAACTATATAATAAGCTTCTTTCTGACAATAACATAAGGCAGATAACATATAAAAAATCGTTGATATAATTAAAATTCGTCATTGTATAGTTAAATATCAATTTATTTATGCAATATAGGTGTTCGAAGTATTTAGTATTCCATGAAGTACATGATATAGCAATAGGAGAAATACCTATGATGATTGACGTTACGAATGTTTATGTGCTTGTATATAATAGACATAATACGACAGGATTCAGTAAAGTGTAAATTAATTGAAAGAAGCTCCGACATCTACTGGAACAACGAGCAGAATAATAATTACATAAACCGGTTAAGCGGGACCTGAATGTGGCAGGATTTTTTTTAGAAAATGGACGATGACATTTTGTACGAGTGGCTTTGGCCTTTGCCGCAGGCCATGCCCGTTTTTGCAGATTAATCCTTACTAATATTATAAATGCGAAAGTAACACTGTCTGTCTGTCTGTCTCGCTTTCACGCCAAAATTACTGAACCGATTTAAATGAAATTTGGTACACAGATAGTCTAGACCCTAAGAAAGGACATAGGCTACTTTTTAATGCGAAAAAAGGGTTGTAAGGGTTTGAAATTGGGGATGAAAGATTGTTTGGGAGAATCGTCAATTTTGAAGCTAGAAGACTGAAACTTATTTTTGAGGCTGCTAATTAAATATAAATAAATATGACATACAAAGTTTTTAAAAATTTTATCCTTAAGGGGGTTAAATAAATTAGGGCATATTTTTTTTTTATGTAAATTTGTCATTCTTGAAGCTAGAATGAAGAAACCTTTTTATTGGCTTTTTGAGTTAGTTTATTAAATACTTTACTAATATTATAACTGTGAAAGTAACTCTGTTTGTCTGCCAGTCTCACTTACACGCTAAAATTACTTAACAGATTTAAGTGAAATTTGGTACACAATTAGTCTAGATCTTGAGAAAGCACATAGGATACTTTTGGATGCGAAAAAACGGTTGTAAGGGAGTTGAAATGGTAGATGCAAGGTTGTACGTAAAAATCATCATTTTTTAAAGTATGATACTTATATTTTAGGTTGGTGATTAAATATGAATAAATATAATATTCAAAGTTTTTAAAATTTTACCCCTAAGAGGGTAAAATAAAATAGGGAATGAAAGATTTTAGGTAAATTCTTCATTTTTTAAGTCAGAAGCTTGAAACTTATTTTTGAGGCTGTTGATTAAATATATATAAAGAAAAATGGGTTGTAAAGAATTTAAAGGAGAGTTAGATGTTTATATAGAAATATTGTCATTTTTAAAGCTAGAAGCTTGAAGTTTAATGTTTAGCCTATTTATTCAATATATATTTAGAAAAAGAGTTATAAGGGGTTGAAAGAGCTATGTATGGAAGTGTCGTCATTTTTGAAGCAAAAAAGACAAAACTTTTTCATTTGGCTTTTATTGGGTTAGGTCATAACATTTTTTTTTTTCATTATATGGTCAAGGTGACTATTTTACGCGGACAATGTCGCGGGTACAGCTAGTTATTCATAATTATGTACGTCCATCATTCTCCATGTAAGATTAAAGTCCCTAGCGAAGATAGTAAATGTGTATATGTATAAGTATATTATTTCAGTAAGCAAGAATGAGCTGATCACTAGAAATAATACATAACATAACATAATTAGATATATATTGCAGTATTCACTTGTAACTTTGTATTTACAAAGATTCCTAGATGATTTTTATGTGAGACGGAAAATGGCAAGTAAGCTGATGGCCTAAAGTATCGCCTCTATATAAAAACCACGCCTACTCCATCACATGCCATTGTAGAGAACTAGTGCCATACCCCAAACTTTACTGCCGTATAGCGCTCTTTATCTATAACACTGCATCACCGCTAAACAACCACACATTTTTTAGAAAGCTTAGAAAAAATATGAGTTTTTGTTAGATTGAAACATTCAACAAGCTGATGGAGTATTCCGAATAGAGTTGGAATTTGTAACAGACTAATAGTAGAATTTGTTGAGACTGAGATACCCATTCGCACATATTTATAGTCTCTTCTCGATTTACACAGCGTATTCATTATTATTCAATAGTTATAGGCACTTACAAATACGCTACATAACATACGACAGACATTTAATTCAACTAACATTGGCCTCATAAAGTAGTGATAAACAAGTGACACTGTTAATTGGTGATGATAACCTGCAGTGATAATTGAGTTTACTCAGCATACATTTTATAATTACATTACGTGCGTATTTTTTAGTTATCGTTCTAGGGGCAAATATCTAAATATATACAGATTAAACACAATGTAACTCATTATGATGACAACGGTAAAAAAAAATATAAACATGTAAATATTACAGCAGAATTTTACTTCATTATGCCACTTCCCTTGTGTTATTGAGCCTCTTGGAGGTCATGAGATATCTATGACCCAACTCTGTAAGGTTTTTTATTGGCTGAAAGAAATGATAGTGCCCACCAGTGTATACTTGCAATAGACAACCAGTCCATTATCTATTGAAAAACAATACTAAAATTAAAATGAGGAATAACTTATAGGGAAAAGCAGCAAAGCTGTCTACATGTCGCCCTATTTTTCGGGAGCTTCAATAATCTGTTACTAAGATAGATTAATTTTATTATTATTTTACAAACTTTCATATTTCGAAAATAAATAGAAATATACACATCTATTTCCTTGGTTTGAATTTTACTGTTGTGTCAAGCCTATAGGATGATGTCTACATGAGTACCTCTGTCCCACCTATTTCTAGCTAAGCAGCTTACTTTGTATGTTATGGTTTATAAGTGACTGTGGGTGTAAAATATAAAAACTTAAGAGTCATGACACCTTAATTCGAAATGCATAAAGACATCAACTTGTATGCCATTCCTGTCATCAAAATAAATATTTTTATGATAGTGGAATAAACATCATAGGCAACCAATGAGAATGTGATTTTAAAACACAACAACACAAACATAACAACACAATTTCTTTAAAATATATCTACAAAATTGCTATACTCTATTGGAAACGTCCATGTAATCTTTTAGTTAAAAAATATATATTTTTAATTTAAACCATAATGTTTCATATTTATATGCAATATTATACAATCACTGTGGTTTTATCTATTAGTACCATTTTCCCTATACTTATATTCAGTAGAACATTAACTATACTACAAATTATCTATTTAGACTGGAAAATTTTCCATTAAAAGTAATTAATATTTATGTGTAATTAATTATATAAAAAAAAATCTATTCGAAAGAGCAACATGCAATTTTCTTGTTAATTCTTCTTGTGATGATTCTGCATTCTGAATGAGTGGTAGATTAACAAATATGACTATGCAAAAGAGCTTATTTGAATAAAAAATATTACTATTTCTATTTACCTTGACATATGGGAAAATTAGTTTTTCCTTTATTTTTTCCCAAATAATGCGAGTCATTTCATCTCCATCCATATCTACAACAGGATTAACTGCCACAACCCTCTTAGTAGTTCCATCTAAAATCAAAAATTAGAAGTGATTATATTTCTTAAATAAAATCCAATAATAACTAATATCACTCATATGTATGGTACTTATGAGTAAACTCAGCAGTAGCAGTTTAGTCTTTACTGTTGCTTAGTATATAACAAGGACAATTTATGAGTATCTTTTGAAACAACTGAATTGTAACTTTTAAATAAATGCAACAGTTATTTTTTTAAATATCGGGATGACTGATCTGAAGATCTGTTTTGAGATTTATGATTTTATCTTTACATATATGAATTTATACATATTTTATGCCCCAAAAAAAGTTACATACAGTTACATGTGAATAGTAGTATTTCCCAATCCCAAATTTTTATATTTTGATACCTATTTGGTTGTATTTCATAACTGACATTAGATATATTAAACTTCAATATAACACTAAAAATACAAAGTAGACCTCAATATAAAGAAGTTGCTAAATACTCTTTGAACAACTGTAACTCTTGTGACATAAGGTTTATACTAGTACATCACTGACCCAAACTCATCCACCAGACATCATGTCATATAATGACAATGCAGGATGTCTGATTCCAAAGTTGCTTTAAAATATATGTGATAAATATCATATAAATACATTCTCAATATAATATTCTCAGTATAAAAAAATGGTTATTAAGAACACATGGTATCTTATAAAAATAAAGCAGGTAGCTGCTTATAATTTGTCTTACATACTTGACCCATTACCCTTTTATATGTAGCACAGTTTTTTTAATAAATAATATCTATTTAATTTCTGTTTTAAAAAATAACTTCGTAATTATTATTATATAAAGAAAATAATACGAAAAGAAAACAGTGAAAAAGAAACTTACAATGTCTTGCTGGTTTGATTGTAAATTCGGTTACATATCTAAGTAATTGTCTAGAATGGTTGCAGGCCATTTTTACTGTATTTTTTATTATACTTGTCTTATTCCCGCTTATTCAGTTTTCACCGTAATCAATTATATTGTTTTTAATTTTGATCAATAAATGTAATTTTCGATTATGTGCTGTACAGTGACAGCACAATAAAGACAAAATAAATTCAATTAAGACCAAAACAAAATTACGTAAAGATACGAAAAAGTTTTAAAGACTACAATGCGATATAAATATATAAATACAACACGGCAAACAAGTAGAGTAGACACAGCAGGTGAACAAAATACAGTCAAAACTGGAATAAGTTGGTACTACTACAGGATATAATAAACTATTGGTAATTATTCGCATGTTGGTACTCGACATAATTATAATAAAAAAGTACGGAATAAGTCAGTGTGACCAATTTAAAATAAAGAACTTGCTACATTGGTTTTTTAATGATATATTCTGGTAATCAGTATGAAATCCAAACTATTTTTTTTTATTATATTATCATGCATGCATGGCGATCTGCACCTCGCAGTGCAGACAATAGATATCACTAATAAGGTAGGACGTTAAAGACCAATGCATTATTAGGCATATATATTTTTTGAGACAATTTTGTAATTTGAGAAGACATGGAAGGAATTGCAGCTGTTTTTCTGTCATTAAGAAATAAAAGTATATCGACATTTAAAAGAATATTATAACATATTTTTCTTTACTGTTTTACTTTTCTTACGACAATTTCAAGTTGAATTACATCTCAACTTAAAAAAAATTAAAGAGAACATTATTTTTAAATTAAGTAAAATAAAGACGATCAAGAGAATAAAATTCGGTTTCCCCTTATAATATAAAAATTCCCCAGTAAACATTTTTATGACCATTGTAGAACTAGACACTTTAGTTAATATTACATGTACTAAAAATATATTATTTTAAGGTTTACAGCGTTTTTCTATCTCGATTTCTAACTCCGATATTAACAAAAGTCTGTGGTAATAAGTTGTACTTGTCTGGTCTATAGTCTGTCCAACTTTTTTTTTTGTTATATGTGCTCGTTCTATTCTATTTATTTTATGGCTTTATTTAACTACCGGCCGGTTGGGTTGTGCATTCACAATCCTGCGCTTTTCTTTTATCTCTATTAAATTACCAAGTTAATTTTAAGTTGTATAAAATTATTTTTTTCGTATATATTTTATTTTGTCATATATTATGGTACAAGATTGATTTAATACAGTGTAAAAACCGATTTATTAGCGTAAGCATTCTAACAGTAGCATTTGTCGCTGACAATCAATTCAATTTCTTAATATACTGAATAAATACCGTGCATTTTCTATTTTTACAATTTTTACGAAACTGAATAAAATAGTGCGACTAACTATCAGGTAAGATTTTAATTTAAATTATACTATACCTTCAGAAAATAATCCTGCTATCGTGGTCTTTTATTTTTTTACAAAAAAGTTGCTTCTACTCGTGTTGAACAACTTATTTTTTATACTGCTATACAAAACAAGATATGATATGTTGCAGGTCATATACTGACTTGACGGTTTAGCACACTCGCAGGTTGGACGGCACAGAAATTAGTATTTATGTATATGATGATTGTAATGGTCTGGGTGTTTATTGTATGTTATGAATGCAATTCCAAAAAAAAAATGTATCTATGTATTAATATGTTATATAATACCAATAACACAAGCCCTGAGTAGCTTGAGACTACATAACGCGTGATTTGCCCTGAGATATTATCAGAGGGAAGGTAATTGTTACCAATATTCTCTTTGCTAGCATGTCATATTTACAACCACATTGCTGTGTATGCGTTTAGGGTTGTTGTCATGTAAATAATTTTTATATTCTAAATGACTTGTTGAGTATATTTGTTTAATTCTGGGAGGACCTAAAATTTTGTAGGTAGCATTGATGGGACACTAAAGTTGTAAATTGTTAAACATAAAATAATATGTATGTATTATGTTCTAATATATTTTGATTACTTTCATATCATAGGTAAAACAGCATGTGTGGGTACTTAAGAGTACTCCGCACATACAAACCACATGTATGGCAATGCAGACACTCTGGGTCTTCATCAACAGTTATTACACCAGGAATACCATATACAAAATTGAGTATTGGCATACCAAAAGAAATTTGGCAGGGTGAACGAAGGTAAGTTTATTTAATCAGGATGTAAGTTTATTGATGTTTTTTGTTAAATGTAATTAATAGAATATATAACAAATGATAAATCTCTAATTAATTATTACAATTGCAATTGAAAATTATTGAAATTATGCTGAATGGTCATCAATATTATTTACTACTGGTTACTATATATGATAAATAAAACACATATATGGGATAACAATTATTTTATTATATAGTAAACTAATTAATTTATTATTTTATTCCTTTGAACTTTTGCTTTGTTGACCCTTACTTAATAACATTATCTCTGAAAATTTTATTTTTATTCACATTTATTTTAATTTTACATTATGAAAATTTAACACATAAATGGACAAACGGATGTTTATTGCCTCATTATGAGTTTACTTCATTATTATATGTAGAGTATTGAGTTTGTCCATTTGTTTACTGCTGAACATAATTCACAGTATAACACCAGAATTGATAGAAAGATGCATTTTGTGATATTGGCTTTTAAATTTATTATTATAAATGTTATATAGAATTACGTTTAAGTTTTTGTAAATGCATATGGTACTTCTTTCAGTGTACTGAGATTTCTACATTAAATTTCAGAGTTGCTGTTGTACCAGCGGTAGTTAACAAACTAGTTAAAAAGGGTTTTAATGTTAATGTAGAGGAAGATGCTGGAGCATTTGCAAATTTTCCCAACAAAGCTTATGAAGAGGCTGGAGCTAAAGTTTCCACTCTCAAAGATACATTCCAATCCAGTATGAATATTTATTTAATTTTATATTTATTTGCTGTTTACTGTACATCGTAATATATTTGTATATCATTAATGCTTCATTTACATTTCAGATATTATACTAAAAGTTCGTCCACTTGTCGATACTGAAATTCAAAATGTGCAAGATGAAAGCACTCTCATCTCATTGTTGTATCCCGCACAAAATCAAGATTTGATAAAGAAACTTGGAGCTAAGAAAGTAAATGCTTTTGGTAAGTTTTCAGCAATTATTAATACTATAATTTTAATTATAGATACATGTTGTAAGATTTGTGTATTTGAAATTGTTTTAGCAATGGATTGCATTCCGCGTATCAGCAGAGCGCAAGCGTTCGATGTTCTCAGCTCGATGGCCAATGTGTCGGGGTATCGTGCTGTTATAGAGGCAGCTGCGCACTTCCCTCGTTTTTTTTCAGGTAATGCTTCAATTTGTTTTAAATAGATTTTTACTTCTTTCTTTGTAGGTACTTTGAACAATGATTTTAATACTATTGGAAAAAATTATTTCCTATCTATCCTCATATCCTGGAAAAGGAAGATGTAGTCAACTATACTATTTGTGTATGTTACTTGATGTTTACCTAATTATATATAGAACTGATAGTCATGATTATTTTTATCGACGGAGTTTACTCAATAGGCAATACAGGTTTAGTCACAGTTATTACTATTATTTCGTGAAATATTTTTTTAAATTACGATATTTTATTTCAATATCTCACTACATATGTAGTTAGTACCTAGATCTGCTACATTCCCAAGTATGAGTAGTTGCGGACGGCTTGAAGTTTTATGTGCGACAAAATCTTTAATAATATAAAGAATAATAATACCTGTCTTAAATATTAGTTACGCTTCTGTAAGCAGGAGAACCTTATATATCCTAATGGCGGTAAGGTTCACCTCTCACAAAGAGGGCTTAGGTTCGAATTGTATCGTAATTAGACATTCCTAATTATTTTTCTTTAGACTTTGTACAACCACTTCCGCTACTATGGACTTTGTATTAACTTGTATATTTCGATATCTAGATTTTATGATAATAACCCCTTAATCCCTACTAAGATACCGATAGATTGATATTATTTAATTTAAATGTTTTATCGAGTTTTATTAGGTCAATATGTAGTTAGAGAATTTTAGTTATAAAGTAGTATCCGCAAATCGCTGTTGTCATGTTCACGACACAGCAAAGATCACTGAATACTAGTTTCATTACATTTAAGGATGAATTATTTGTGCGAATATTATTTCATTATAAAGTCTCGCGACTTAGAATATATATATATGCACCACAAAACTGGATTACACACCAGCATATGAATGAAATGATATGTCAAGTTTAATATAATTTAATTCAGTTAGGCAAAAACTATCTCTTTAACTAATGATATATTATAACAAAGTCCGTCCAACACTAAAATTTTCTTTTCGAAGTTCTGTAATCTTGTTTTTATCAACTATGGTAACCCTGAAACGTTTCTCGACATAAATATGTAAGAACATCTGATCAAAATATAATGAGAACCAATTAAACGTTACTTATGAAATCATACAAATTATTTGTACCTATTTTTTTTATTGATGATATTGGTATGGTTTTCCATCTTTAACGTTTTCCACTGGTGGCCCCTTGGAGGATAATAATATGTGCATGCGGTCAAATCAGTTAGCCCATCATGATAAGTTGACCAGGAACTTATCACGATGTCTTCCAGGGTGCACCGCGTGGAGGTCAACCTGACATGGAACATTGTTAGCAATGGGTTGATTAGTCCACATTACTAACAACCCCAATCCCCCCGGTTTGTACTTATTAATGGACTTCACATTTGAATTTGTCAAACTATCTTTCATACCATCTGTATCATAAAGTATCTTGGCTGTATTTATGTAGGTCAGATGACAGCCGCAGGGCGGGTACCACCCTGCCGGGTCTTGGTTGTTGGTGGTGGCGTGGCTGGACTAGCGGCCGCAGCCCAGGCACGTTGTATGGGTGCCGCAGTACGCGCGTTTGATACCCGTCCCGCCGTGCGGGAGCAGATCGAAAGCCTCGGTGCACAGTTCATTACTATGGATATGAAGGTCAATTTTTTTTTATAATTATGTAATTGTACTGAACCGTAATCTTACATAATGGAACTAGTTATTATTTTGCTCAGGTCATGTTAAAGTAGTAGGTGCGGCCACATCATTGACATTTTAATACTTTATTAAAATGGCACTGAGAACAAAACTATTTATCAAAGACATTCAAACGCAATTGAGCGTATTTTTTATTGTTTCACTGTATGCACCTCCTAATATTAATGAATAAATATTTAAGTACGATGAATACGGTAATTTAGATTAGCTCGTTAACTAACGTTTTTTTTTGTGAACCGGTTGGAATAAATCAAACACTTAATTTTAATTAAATATTCTCACAATACAATATTTGCTTATGAGATTAGCATGCATATTACATCCAAAAAATCTAAAAAAATATTATACTGTGTATTATAAAATCTACCAATAATAGTTTTTCTCATATATCTACCATGTACAGACAGCGATCAGTGCCCATCAGGCACATTTTTATTATATTTGGATAGATAAAACAAAATTATTTGGATAGCTATACACACGGCTATCCAAATAATTTTGTTTTGAGGCTATGTTGTATGTTCTTAGTGATACGTTATCTGTAGTTAATGTTTTTATATTTGATAAACAAACAATTTAAATGTGATATCAGTATGAACTTATTATCTTATAATACAATTACCAAATATCCAATTACTAATTCTACTTTTTTAAAGAATTTGTTTTTAAATAATTTACAACTACTTTCTTATTTGTCAAAAAAAAAACCAGACATTTAATAAACCTAAATTATCGTTGTTTCTATATTTAAGTATTTTGCCTTTTTTCTCTTGAAATAACTTGAAAGCAAGTAACAACATGCTGTTACAAAATAATGAAAGGGATATGTTTATTGATGATTTTCTATATGAACTGTGGTCTTAATCGTGAATTTGCATTTAGGGTCCACACAATAGTACATACTTAATTATATGTTCAACATTCGCGTTTAACGGCGACCTATTTGAGTAATAAATCATCTGCACGATTACAATATACACTAATTGTTATTGAAATGACATTGGTGTATGTTATCAAATGACTTCATATGATGTAGGTTCTCAATTCACTTTATTTTTATATTATGTTTGTCTTCATCAATTCTGAGCGTATTTCATTTATTCTTTTTGTTAGTGCCAAAAGTTTACTATTACTATGTGGTCTTTCTTTGAGATGGATGTATTATAATTTATAATCAATGTAATGTTGGTACTTGGGGTTCAACAACCACTACGATATTTACCAGTAGTGAAAGCAGCTCCTGACTCCTTTCACGACTGATAAATTGATATACAAACCCAATTAATAGATAATTATGTTATATTTTTGTGATATATCTATAATTAGATCATAGTATTTTTTTACATACTCTAGTTATGTAATGCACTGTTTTATCTACACAACAATAAAAACCACTCCTTGATAAAATTGCGGCCATGACGTGTTTACTTTTAGTTAAGTCGTTTATTTTGTTTATTATGCCAGTTGTTTTGTTTGTAGAGTTGTGTGTACTTACAACTGAATAAACATATAGTTATCTGAAAACATGTAACATGTGTATATAAATTATAAATATGTAAGCTTATTGAAACATTTATACAAAATGTTAGAAGGCGTAGTTGTTTATTTAGAATTGACTGAACATTATTTGAGTACATGTATAGGTATAGAAATTAATTTAATTTTCATCTATATTAAAAATTTTGCACTGCAGACGCGCAGTGTAAATTATTAAAAATAAATTAGACATAGTTAATAATTTAATGATTAATAAATTAAAATTTAATTAATTTAAAACGTTCTCTTGAAATACTAAAACGCTATTCATAGAACAAGTTGCATATAAATCTACCTAAAAATTTACTGTATGTGACTGTTGCAATTATATGAACTAAAATTAAATGTATAACTAAAGTAATAGAGACCGAAACGTTCATACTGAAACAATTAACTTATTATAATTGTTTTAGTATGACCGTTTCGGTCCACTATAATATTATTACGTTTAACTCGGTAAAATTATAGTCTATGAGAGACACTTTAATATGAACAATATAAATACCTACTTACCTTTGCTCTTGAGATTACAAAATAAACTTCGGTGCCTTGATTTAATTTTATCACTCGTGCGAAATATAAAGATACCCTATTATTTAGGTTTATGTCGGAACAGGTAGCGATTAAACAAATAGATATAGAATATTGATGTCAAATCATTAAATTCTTACTCAATGTGGACGCCGTAGTTAGGTAATTGGGTTTTCATTACTTTACGGAAGAAGAACTTTTATTAGGCAAATTATTCAATTTCTTTTTGAATGACATTATACATTATACAGATGAATTTAGGTCATTAAATTATTGATTTGTGGTCATATTATGTAGTAGAAATTTCTTTTGATAGCTGTAGACGCCATAGCTACCTGGGCTGTCATGGTCATGAAAGAAGAACTTTTATTAGGAAAGTTCTTCAATTTCTTTTATAGAAACATTATAATTCGCTATTGCACCGAGCAGAACGCGTCGTGGTAAACGAGAGTGTTCCATTCTGTGCACGTGCCCTAGCCAACGTAAACGCTTCTGTTTAAGAAGTGCGGTCAAGCTAGGCAGCTATGCGATTTCTAGAATCTCGTTGGTTACCCTGTCACGCCATGAAATGCTCAAAATTTTGCGTAGACAACGCATGTAAAAGGTGTTTAATCGACTCTCTTGTTTTGCATATGTTGTCCAGGTCTCGGCTCCATATAGGAGAATGCTTAGTATGGAAGCCTAAAAGACTACCATCTTGGTCTTGGTAGTCAGGTATTTGTTGTACCATAGTTGCCTCCCATACATAGTTGCCGCTTTGCCAATACTTGAGTCAATCTCCGCTTCAAGCGAGAGATTGTTTGACACGGTCAACCCTAAGTAGCAAAACCTGTCAACTACCTCTCACAGCGTGCCATTCAAAGAAATTAAAGGGACTTCTTGAATGCCTTGTGTTAGCACAACTGTCTTCTTGGTGTTAACAGACATGGCGTACAGGGAGCAGGCCTGAGAAAATTTGTCCAACATAGACTGAAGCTCAGCTGCAGAATTGGCTACAAAGGCGGCGTCATCGGCAAAGAGAAGACTATCGACGAAAAGGTCCTCGCGGTTTCTCTTAGCTTTGAGGAGAGAGATGTCGAACATATTTCCGTCGGTCCTTGTATGCAGATGGATACCCTATTGGTCAACGGAAGCGCCACCTAGGCGGCTCAGTATAGACTACTGCCAATAGTTTCCCTTGTCGGGCCTGTGGTAGGCCATGCCGTTCTCGTATCGGTTTATACAGCCACGAAAAAAGCTGTTCACGGACCATTACGCTATAAATCTTCTATAATAGACGCAAAGGCCATTATATAAACATTATAAAAGCCAATTTATGTTGTTCAATTATTAATTGATTTGTGGTCATAGTAGGAATTTCTTTTGATAGCAGTAGACGCCATAGTAGACTGGGCTTTCATTAGGTCATGGAAGAACTTTTATTAGGCAAGTTCTTCAATTCCTTTTTGAATGCTAATATAGATACTAATTTACGTTATTAAATTATTGCTTGATGTGCGGTCATTTGTTGTAATAGGAAATTCTGTTGATAGCTGTAAACATATCGATTCATTAGTACTAGTATTTTATAATTTTTTCATATCTGTAGCATACGATTTAAATCACGGTTATTTACATTATACTTATGTATATTCATCTGAGTATTTAATAGTAATAATATCACAATTCACACAGCGCCATGTAGTCCCAAGTTAAGTTAGCTAAAACTTGTAGATAACCCAGGTCGGATCGTGAATTTGTGGGGCCCTGTGCTAAAACTACTTATGGCCTACCTAATTATAATTCATTCATTCATAATTTAAGAGCTATGTTAATGCTAGCCTGTCGCTATAATGTATAGTATTTTCCACCAATTTGCCCCATTTTTTATTTAAGATTATGGCGGTCCCATTTGTACCTTGTTTTTCTCCTCCCATATATATTATTCTATTATTCTCCTTCCAGTAATCTCCACTACCTTCCCATCTAACCTCACATAGTCCCAAAATGTCTATCTTTATTCTATTCATTATTACTTTGTCCAGTTTTCCTGGACTCAACCACGTCCTTTACATTCCAAGTACTTATTTGGCAAGGATTTCGTATGATGACGACCGGTTCAGCCTTGCTTCTGCCCCTGCCGGACTCGGACCGCCACGGCATATTACATCATGGAAGCCCGTTGTCAAGAACGTTACTCTAGGTGGTTTCCCCATTTGCCTCCCACACGGTGGTTCACCGGCCGAAGGAGTTCGCCCGTTGATATCTGGTCCAAAGCCCTTCCTGAAATTATTTCTTCGGTCCTTTGCCAGTACTAGCGTCGCCACTTTCAACGCTAGGGGAAGACCTATTTAAGGTCGGGGACTGCTTATTCCACATATTCGCAGCTGACCACCATATCTGATGGCCATTCACTATCCGCCACCTGTGAGCCCGTTGGTAGCCTACAGCTCAGCCGCAACACCCTAATTATAATAACAACAATCTAAATATAATACTCAACAAAAAATACACGGACCAAAAACAAGCGGCAGCTAATTTCCCGTTCCGTTCGATAGACGCGCACATGGGTTAATTGATCCCAGGGTTGTAAACCATAATATTTTATGTGTTAATATGTTAGAGTTTATTAAAAATCTGATTATTGTTTATTGTTTTCAGTCGAGTTTGGGGGCCCTTTGTTTCTACGGGGCCCTGGGCTGCAGCCCAAAAAGCCCGTACATAGATCCGCCCCTGTAGATAACTGATACAAGTATATAAAAATTAGAAATACATTTCTTTTTTTTTCATGAATACATAAATATTATACATAGAAAACACCCAGACCGATACAAACAATTATTCTCATGAATACAAATATTTGTAGTGTGCAAGAAATTCAAACTCGCGACCATCGGAAGTAAGACGGTGTGCTAAACCGCTAGATGACCGAGGCCGTCAAATTCGTCTTCTTTAAGTATTTGACATTCAATGTTATATGTCATAATCGTAGGAGGAGGGTGCTGGCGAAGGCGGATATGCCAAGCAGATGAGCGAAGAATTCCTAAACGCTGAGCGTGCTCTTCTCGGTAAGGAAGCGAGAACGTCGGACGTTGTCATCAGTACGGCGCTTATCCCGGGGAAGCCGGCACCGGTTCTCATATTAGAGGTGATTACTGTAACTTTTTTTGTACTGCATTGTTTTAAACAGTCACGTAAAAATGGATAAACATTCTATTAAATTAAAATTAGAAATTACGTTTTATGATATATGATTAAATTTATGTAATTATATTTTTATTGTACGAATTTCAACTAAGAAGGGAAGAGGTACCAATAATAATGTAACCTAACCTACTAATTTTAAAGGTAATAAACTAGTAAAAAAAATAACCATTAGTTTGGATTGTATGGTATCTTATATAGAAAATTTGAAATGCTTCGTGCGGGTTAAATGTACCTGCTAAAAGAAAGTGCATTATTTAAGGCAACAAGAACTTCAACATTAATTATATATATGTATATATGAGAGGTAGACTGTAAAAAGTCATCTGCATCTACTAAGATACTCAACCTCAGTCTCACTTTGTTCAGTCGCTAAGCAGCTTGCTTGGTATGCAGTGTTTTGTTTGTAGGGTGTACAACAGCCAATGAAACTTTTTAACAAAAATCAGGTTAATTGGTATAGATTTAAGGTTTTTAAAATAGCAATGCAGGAGTAAATTGTAACGTGCTAACGTAGTGTTGATCATCTAAATAGGCGGTTAACACTTACCTTCTGTCGCGTCGTTAAAGCTTATTAAACCAAAACAAAAAATAAGTTTTATAATCAGAATCATTAATGTAGGTGCCTATGTTGTCAGGATGCAGTACAAGATATGGCTCCAGGGAGTGTTATAGTAGACCTGGCGGCGGAGATGGGGGGCAACGTCCAGACAACGCAGAAGGGAGAGGTCGCGAAAGTGTACGGTGTTACACACATTGGCCTCACTGATCTGCCCAGCCGCATGCCCGCGCATGCCTCCACTTTATACGCCAATAATATATCTGGATTTCTGTTTAGCTTAGGTAAGTGACAGTTTTTTTTTCGGCATTCATACTAATGTTAACCCTGTGATTGAAATTCTACTTCAATTAATTTCAATTTGCATTGTATTTTCATTATGAAACAAAAGAGTATATAAAAATATAAAGTAGATGCGTAGTAGTGTGTTATAGTTGTTTAGATTCCTTTAATGTATTATATGTATATTATTTTAAAAAGTTTTAACTTTTTGCATATCTTCTCCATATAAATCTCCTTTACTGTGTCAAATATCTTAAAAAGGTAAATAAGTTTATGCATCACATATTAATTCTTGCATGCAAATGCATATTAATATAAATATTTGCTATACAAATGTCATATTAAAAATATATCAGTAGCTATAAATTCAGTTAAGTTGTTCTGCATTAGGCACAAACGACCATTTCAACATCAACCTTGAGGACGAGGTGACCCGCGGCTCTATAGTACTCAAAGCCGGCGAACTTCTCTGGCCACCGCCGCCCCCGCCAAGCATGGCGCCTGCAACAACCATAACTAAACCCACCGCTGCAGTTAAAGTAGAACCGCCAAATCCTTTCAACGAAACTCTGAAGGATACCTTTTTATATTCCACTGGTAAATATATACTTGTATTATAATTTGTGATGAAGAAATTAAGTTACCATATTATTAGCCTGAAGATGTGGATGAAGGAAGACTGAGACATAGTGGATATAGGAGAGTGTATAAAATATTGCTGATACTTATAGTACCGTCATTAATTTTACAACAAAAAAAGTTATTACATAAATTAAGGGAAATTTTCCCTAGTTTAAATTATTATATAGCTATTTTGATCGTAAAATGAGTCGGAAAGGAGATATTGTCACACAACTGTTTGTGGACGCCATTTTTCCAATATGGCGGTGCGGCAAAGATACGAGGTGGCAAAGTTGAAATTCGCAAAGAGCACATCGAAATCTATAAGATTACCAATTTTCAAAACTCCCGGAAAACTTTCCAGGTAAAACTACCAAATGATTTTTTTAGTTACACAAAAAAATAGTCATGATATTTATGTATTTTTATGTATTTGTTTATGTTAACTTAATTAATTATTAAAGATTATTCGAATGAGTCATAGGAAATTGAATATGCTACCCTAATGTTGTAATTTACAGAAATGTATTGTTAAAATAAACATAGTATTTTTAATAATATATTATTTGTCTCTAGGTATGGCTAGCTTAATAGGGTTGGGTATGGCGTCACCTAATCCTGCTTTCACCACAATGACGACCACATTGGCTTTAGCAGGTAATTTTAGAACCATCAAGTTATTAATACTAATTATTAAAGAATAAAACTCTGAATAAGTAGAGTTGGATCAGTTCAATAAGTAATTTATAATTTAATTTATAGAATTCTTATTCCTCATATTGCAGAGATAGAACCAAAAAATATACCTAGCGAAATATGGGCATGTCAAGTGTCGAATTCACCACGACACCAACAGTCGACAATGCCTGTGTGATAATAATCACGAGGGTATATTATACTATTTATTTAAAATTTTTTTAATTGTACAATAGGCGAACTTAATGCTATTAGCATTCTCTACCAGCCAACCTTAGGGAATGTAGAGATACTCGAAAGTGGTTTTAGTTAATTTAATCCCATCAAAAACATAAATGTGAAATGATAGCCGAGTTTAATATTATGATATATGCCTTGATTGTTGACTTCTACAACAAAAGAGGTGAGATCTAAATGGGTGCCAAGTTCAATGGTATGTAGCCTAAGATCTAACTTGTCCAGTTCTCATATACCAATTATTACTTTCGATTGCTAACTAGCAACTACTACTAACAATAAAATAGGAACCGACAAGTAACTGTTGTAAATGTTTAGAACTTGCGAAGGCTACAGTATATTTTTTCCTTTATATTCACCTAATTACCTATCTGCATGCCAAATTTCAACTTCCTAGGTCATCTGGAAGTGGGTTATAATTTTGATCTATAGTTGATCAGTGATAAAAATGACGATATTTGGACGTTAATATCTAAATAACCGTTTGAGATATGTTTATGAAATTTGGAACACATATTTATCTCGCAAGTCTCAATATATGAAGCAAATTTGACAGGTTTATGTGAAAGAGTTTTTGAGTTATGAGGGGGTCAAAAGTGGCTCCAAATGGTCGTGTAAATATACACACGGCGCTGCTCGCCAGTTACTTGAAACTCGGCTTGACGCGGTAGGCGTGTCTAGATAAAAATCTATAATATAATGAATATATATGTTATTCTAAAAAAATAATTCTTAATACAGCTGTACTCAAAACCCGCATTATTCAATCTCTACAAATTTGTTGATCCTTATAGGTGTGGTAGGCTACCATACTGTGTGGGGCGTGGTCCCCGCACTACACTCGCCACTGATGTCGGTCACCAACGCCGTGTCTGGTATCACCGCCGTTGGGGGACTGCTCCTAATGGGTGGTGGCTATGTCCCGGAGACACCTGTACAAGTATGTTTCATTAACCAAAATATTACAGATCTCATATTAAATAACTAATATGTAATTATAAAAATAAGAAATTTGTATTGTTGTAAGTATTAAAATAAAAATGAAGAAACTGATTTTAAAAAATCTTTCACCATTACAATGCTACATTATGTCTGAGTAAAATAGGCTATATATATTACTAGAAAAATTAAGAATCCCTCACTTAATAATATAACTGAAGGTGTAAAAAAATGTCCACCTGTACGAAGCCTATGGATGGATCGCTACTATTAAATAAATTTTGAATCTCCGATTTTTTTATATGTATTTATGATAAAATATAGTAGAACAATTGTCACATTGAAATATATTACTTAATTTTTTTTATATTTAACAAACCTATTACTTAAGTGCCACTCCCGCGTATTATTTTTTCAGTGGTTAGCAAGTACCGCAGCCCTCATCTCGTTTGTGAATGTATTCGGCGGTTTTCTGGTAACGCAGCGGATGCTTGACATGTTCAAAAGGTTAATGCTTATATTTTCTTAATGTTTTCAATTGTGACCATAATTGAATGAAGTTTTAAGTATATGCGTTTTGACATACTTGACACAGTTTTCAATCTAGTAATATGTATTAGTGATAATATTTTTTGTAATAATTGTATTTACTGCAGACCTGGAGACCCGCCAGAATATGGATACTTATATGGCATACCTGCAGCTGCACTTTTAGGCGGATATATCACTACAGCAATGCAGGTAGGTAAACATTTTTGAGTTACATAGTAATTCATATTTTTAATATAATTTGTATGTAAAACTTTGTTTTTATTTTATTAGGGTTATCCTGAAGTCCATCAGATAGCGTATTTAGCTTCTTCGCTGTGCTGTGTAGGCGCTTTGGCAGGGCTCAGCTCGCAGACAACTGCACGTAAAGGAAACTACCTTGGAATGGTAAATAATTATTTCTGATATCAATTATAATATAGTCGACTATTTTTTCCACTATATTTATTGTAAAAATGTGTTTGCAATCGATGATTAAAAAAGGCATTCATAATACATCATTCAGTGAACGTAGCTTAAGACTCGACCCAAGACCCGCTCATTGTAATCTTGATGGCTATAGTCTCATTCTATTGACCATTGTAAAGACATTGAGACAGCAATGACTAAACAAACGAAACTACTACATCATTCATTAATCTACTAAATCTGTATATTAATGTTCTTGTTGTACTTAATAATTGTACTATTACTTTGTAAATTTATTAATTTAACTTTCTTAAATATTTTTGTAATGTCGAGATGTAGTAGTTTTGTTTAAAGTCAGCAATAAATTTGAGTATATTATTTCATTTTTTAAGGCTAAAATGAAATTTATGTTTGTACATGCAGTTTTAACGTGGCAACTTGGGTTTTAGCTCGTCACGTCAATATTGATGATTCTTTAGTAATATGAGGTTGCAAAATTGATATGACCTTAATATTAAATTATTCATAATTTTTTTTAATATGAATTAAATTTAAATTCTTTACAGATCGGTGTTACTGGTGGTATAGCTGCAACTTTGGGTATATTAACGCCCAGTGCCGAAGTATTAGCTCAGATGTTGGGTGTGGCAGGAATTGGTGGTGCACTTGGTGCTGTTATTGCTAAGAAGATTGAGATTACGGACTTACCGCAGCTTGTGGCTGGTTTCCACAGGTGAGTGTTGTTTAAATAATATAGTCATTGTCTGAGTGTTGACACATTTTATGGATGTGATTTTTCTATTTAAATGTTCTAGTAGTTCATATATTTGTTTTAGCTTGGTGGGTATGGCGGCAGTTCTGACATGCATTGCAACATACATGCACGATTTTCCCGCAATGGCGCTGGATCCTACCGCCGCTACTCTTAAAACTTCACTCTTCCTCGGTACTTATATTGGAGGCATCACATTTACGTAAGTAATTGTTGTTATTTTAATACCCTAGTAGAATTTGCAATAAGAACAAACTCTTATTTTACCCAACAGCTGAGAAAGTATTGGTCCAAAGAAATTAAGGTTCTTTATTCTCTTCTTCGTTGTGAGTTATTATAGTTTTTACTATACTATACTACTTCGGAGTGATTAAGGAGGAACATCCAACAGGAGACTAAACTACAGATACTAAACATACTACTAGAATTTGTTTGAAATAGAACGATATTTTGGATGTTACCTGAAGAATATAATACTAACAGTTTCGAAAGAACTCAGATAATGAGTAAAGTTCATAACAATACAAAATTTATTCAGTGGATCGTTGGTGGCATATGGGAAGCTGCAAGGCACGCTATCTTCAGCGCCACTAATGCTACCGGGCCGTCATGCCATCAACGCAGGCTTACTGACCGGAGCATTGGGCTGCGGAGGTGCACTGTTGGCTTTCCCCGACGCTCCAGGACTACCATTGCTGTCTGCGGCTGCGATCCTTAGTGGTATACAAGGGCTCACGCTTACCGCTGCTATTGGAGGTATTAAAATCTGTGTTTTTATGTAACACCGGTTTAATAAAGCATCTGGCAAGCAGTAGCAACGATCCCTTTTTACTGTCTGAAAAAAAAAATTGGGTATTCTTACGTAGTTCACGTAGGAGTAACTAATTATCGAAAAATACTTATTTTATGATTATTAAATAGCCATGGATGTCTTAGTAATCTTGTAACACATTTTGTATAATTATGTAGTAAAATATTTGTTTAAGGTGCTGACATGCCTGTGGTCATAACTGTACTAAATAGCTACTCCGGTTGGGCGCTATGCGCTGAAGGGTTCATGTTGAACAACTCTTTGATGACCATCGTCGGAGCACTAATCGGCAGCTCTGGTGCTATTCTGTCGTATATCATGTGCAAGGTACTAAATTATAAGTTTGCCTAATAAATTAAAATTATAAGCACTGGCATGGTAGTCTCACAATGATTCAAATGATTTACGTCTCCTGTTATAAAATATAATATTTATGTTATTGATTTGATGTCTGAACAATTTTTGCATGACACTATTTATTTAAATAGTTCAGTGTAATTTTATTTATTCATAAGTTAAAAAAACATTGCACTGATTCTTATTTTGTTCTATTTTATACATTTGTTCAATTTTTCAATATACATTTACATTATTTTTGTTCACTCATTTAAGTTTTTATTCCATAAGAAGAAGCCTTTATAGCTATCTCTATAATTTTGCAACAGTACTGTTACATTAGTTATGAAAATATATTTAATTTTCTCACATGCTCTTCCCCTTGAATGATATTGTTTTGTATTTCAGGCAATGAACAGATCCCTACCCAACGTAATTCTAGGCGGATACGGCGTAACTTCGAGTGGCTCTGCACGGCCCGCAGGTGCCACACACACAGAACTCAACATCGATTCTGTCGCCGATCTTATCTATCGCGCCTCAAACATCATAATTACGCCTGGTATGTTGATTCAACTTTATTGACTGCAATTTTTGATACTATACTTCTTCATAAAGTTATAATACATTTTTGAAAAACTAATTTATTTCTATGTTTCGTGTGCTATCATGCTATAATTGTATTTTCTATTTTGCCCAGGTTATGGTTTATGTGTTGCTAAAGCTCAGTATCCAATAGCTGAATTAGTAGATCTTCTTAAGGGAATTGGCAAGAAAGTGCGGTTTGCGATCCATCCTGTTGCGGGTGAGTATTTTAGTAGTTATTATATTTTTACAGTTATAATAAAAGAAGGCTCTCTATTGAAAGTGACGTTGCCATGAATTAATTAATATTATATCACGTGTCTTTCATTGGAGTAAACAAATATTAAATATTTTACATATATGAACACTGTTTTCATATTTCCCCATTTTTTAGTTTTTTCGTTTGACGTGGTCGTGAGGAATGAGTAGTCATGCTCACTAAAATGTCCAGATATGTGGCGGCGTGGTGGGCCGGGTCAATGGGCTCCCTAAAATATGGTCGAGCGCAGTGATGGCTGGCTCATCCGTCATACTCGTGAACGAGTGCTGCTTGTAGGGACTGGTCTGCTCTTATCACTACGACTGATTTAATCTTATTGCATGATTATATTTGACCAAAAAATTAGTGCTTGTTGGTAGTTTGTATTCACACGTTTCGACTTGTAAATGTAAACTTACAAGGATTATTTAAAAGAGCAACACACAAGTTTCTTGCTCGTTCTTCTTGTGATGAGACAGCTTTCCGAACGAGTGGTAGATAAAAAACAAATTGTTATGACTATTCAAAAGTGCTTAAATTAAGTTTATTTGAATAAATGATTTTCTATTCTATTCTATTCTATTCTCTCACACGCAAGTAGATACTTATATTTTTTAGATACTTGCTTTAATTATATACGTTCTCTGCTTGTAGGTCGTATGCCAGGTCAATTGAATGTGTTGCTTGCCGAAGCTGGCGTTCCTTATGACGATGTATTCGAAATGGAAGAAATAAATGATGACTTCCCTGAATCTGATCTTGTGCTTGTTATTGGTAAGTTTTAAAGATGAATATAATTTTATGAAACTATGTACGTACATCACTCTTATAATTTATCGTAGCAACATATATCTTCTACAGAAATTTGAAATTGTCTACATACTACATACTGTGTATATATTTCTATTTTATTGTAGAAATAGTACGACGTCATCCCGTTCGAGAATGTTATATAAGTTTCTAGAAAGTAAAAATAAATAAATACTGTTAGTAAAAGTGGTGAGATATTTATACATATATATATATATATAAAATTCTCAAGATTTCGATAAACCTGTTACTATTTCCATTTAGTTAATGTTTAGGTGATATTTTGACGATGAAATGGTTGTATATTTGTTATGTAAATTCTATTGGAACGGAGTACATTGCGTATATTCCACTTGCTATTTTAGTTACGGTTACAGAGGATACGTGTATGGAATTTGTAAATTAATATGTCCATATAATCTACAGGTGCTAATGATACAGTGAACAGTGCTGCTGAGGATGATCCTAACTCACCTATTGCCGGAATGCCTGTACTTAAAGTGTGGAAGGCAAATCAGGTACTATAATATTGTTTCCTTTTTCTCTTGGAAAAAATTAAGCTGTTTAGGTTTGGTATTGTAATATTAATGGAATCCATACTTTCATGCTAATCTCGTAAATACGAAAGTAGGTGCTTGGCTATCTGTTTGTTTGTTATCTTTTCACGAATGAACGGCTAAACGGAACTTATAAAATACTAAATTGTAATTCGAGAACGAAAAATGTTTACAATACATATATGTAATAGAGATCTATATGAATAAACGTTTTAGTAACATCCTATCCACGAATATGCAGAACCTGAGCTAACAAAATATTTTAAAAACGAATGAAGTACATTGTTGCTTAACGTATCGATTTTAGATTATATATTTCCTATATAAGTGAATTATTTAATATTTGTGATTTTAGGTTGTGGTGATGAAGCGTTCCATGGGCGTTGGATATGCCGCTGTTGACAATCCTATTTTCTATAATCCGAACACGGCCATGTTGCTCGGCGACGCTAAAAAGACGTGCGATGCTCTGCTTGACCGCGTCAAACAACTATCTGCATAATTAAGCTAATACATTTATAATCCGATTAATTCATGTGAATCAATATGGAAACAGCATACGACACGGTCCACTGGAAGCGCTATTCCAAACAGTTACCATATTCCGAGGTTTTTTGCAATGTACTTTAATTTAATTGAGATTATCAGTTATTTATACCAGATCCATATTGAACAAGGTCTAGTCTACAAGTCTTTTGACTTTTAATCATATTGAGGTATTTAACCCTTTTAATGCTACACTGTAATATTTATCATAACTATCTGTTTATAACTGTTACTGATGAATTAAGAGAGCTTTAATTTCTATGAGTACATGCAATGTTTTATGAATTAATATACTAATATACACTTAAAATATACCTATAAGTATCAAAAGGGGGTAATATTTTTGCATTGATAACGGTAATTTATGCCATAAATTAAAGGAAAAATTATAATCCATTTCATTTTGATGAATGGCGCGATTAAATTTGTAACATTATTCTAAGTAAGTGTAGTTAAGTAATCTTCGTAGTATCTAGTCAACGTCGTTTAAAAAAATATATATTTTAACATAAACATACATAAATTTCTCAACTCAAGTGCATAGTTTTACTCAGCCATTTCACATTTTATACATAAAAGACAGTTTCAAGCAGAAAAAGGGTTAAATTGTAATTGTTGAATGTGGATCTCTGAAAGAATGACAGTACATTATGATATGTAACTAGAATAAGTCTGAATAGATATCACAATGCACTTGACTGACTACCTGTCTCCACTGTCTCATGTGTTGTTAAAATAAAACATTGAGAAGCGTGTTGCTAGGTGATTTATATTGTGCAATTTATTAAACTTTTACTTAGATCTCTAATGCGTAATATGCCTAATATTATTGCTGTTTATATGCGAGGCATCATAGTAAGTAAAGTAAGCAAACTAACTGCGCCTGCTGGTATAGCCATATAAGATTTTTAGACATTTATTTTTATATCTTAATAGTATTTAAGTCATTCTCAATGCACTGAAATAGGCATATTTCAGGCACTGCGTAAATAGACTATGTGTATATCTGTCGGTGCTAATCGCGCTACATGTCTTCCCAGTTTTTTATTGCATGAAGTTAATGAATAGTTCTAATAGGCTACTTATCTTGGATTTTATATATAATTAGTATAATGTCAGGCATTTATTAAAAACACAATATCTAAAAATGTCAATACATTTTTCAAGCCAAAATTGAATAGAGATTAGTCATCATACATGAAATCTATCATCTATTAGTGAAGGAAATGGGGGTGCTTGATGATTTACTGATTTATTTATATTGTACTAATTAATGTGATAATTTGTGCCTTTCAACACTGAATAAGTGATACATCTTGAGACTTTTGACAACTAGTCTGTTTAATTATAACTAGGTTGTAAGAAAATAAATTTATAATTTGTATTTTATTTAAATGTCAATTTATTAATTAACAGTGATTTTAATGAAATTGAATTTATACATTATGTCCAGTTTAATGATTATGTCATTTATGTGGCATATATATAATTTTTATACTTCCCTTGACATTCCATTTGTTATATATGTTACACTTTATTTGTATATATATATATATATATATATATATATATATATATATATTATTAATACAAGCCAATTATTTATATAAAAAAATTCTCGCCGCGCATTATTCTTTCTCTTTCGTTCATTGTTTTCAAGTTGTTTACGGTAAATTGTATTTTTTTTTGCAGAATCAAAAGATATTTATAATATCATCACTGTCGATTCATATCCCCGAAATTAAGTACTTAATTTATTTGATGTAATTTTTGAGCTGTGTATTTTGTATCCAGCTCAAAATACTTAACTTAGTTTGTTAATATTCTAGATTAGTCCAACAGGTAATCGTATATCAATGAAATATTGCACAGTGACAATTAAAGAAATCATTTAATTAAATTTGAGTAAAATAAAAATATAGTAAATATAATATGAATTCGCGAAATTCTCAATCGTTCATGTTACAGAAACATATTTAGTTCAATAGTAATTTGTGGATGATTGTATATTAATTAAAATAATTGTTTAAAATTCAACAATTTTGTATTTTACATATCATTTCTATAATTTTCAATGGAATTAAACTATTGTATCATTTTAAAAATAAATATAAGATTAATATAAACAACTCGTTTATTTCTTATAAATCTGTATTCAAAAGATTTGTGTGGCATCTTCATATATTTATCAATAATTATTTCATTGGGGCGTAAATATAACAAATAATTCCAAGAGAACTTTTAGTGAACCATAAAATACATGGGTTTATGGGTTTTATAGTAAACTTACTCCTGACACAAAAAAAAATTGTACAAATTTAGTTTATAAAGAATATATATATATATATATATATATATATCATAAAGAATACATATATGTATATATTTTGTACGACTGTTTCTTGGCAAAATAAAGAGGAAATCTTCTAATATATAAAATCTCGTGTCACAGGTTTCATGTTTGTACTCCTCCGAAACGGCTTGACCGATTTTATGCATATTCAGTAGGTCTGAGAATAGGTTTATATCTAATGTTTATACCCCTAAGTGTTGCGGGTGGCTCGCCCCAAAATTTTTTTTCATTTTTTCGACAAAATTGTTTCTATTTTTTTATTATGGCATTAAAAAATAAAATTTAAAGCATTAATTTTTTTCCGTTCTACCACCAATTCCTAATTTTTAATTAGAAATAAACTTACGTCATTTTAATAAAGCTGAAATTTATATATATAATTGGGAGTTCTCTCAAACTGAGTTTCCTAAATTGCCAGACAGTTTTCTTGGTTCCTTATCCTACCAGACTCATTGAAACCGTATATAGGGTAACAACGGAACCAAGAAAACTGTCTGGCAATTTAGGAAACTCAGTTTGAGAGAACTCCCAATTATATATATAAATTTCAGCTTTATTAAAATGACGTAAGTTTATTTATAAAATAATATAGTTTAGGGGGGTCCGGCGGGGGGTTGGAACCACACTAAGTGTCTGGCAATGAGCAGCGCAAGTTATAATAATGCTACGAACAATATATGAAAATATGGAGTATCTTAAAATAACGAATTTGATATGAAATTGTATACACCGTTGTTACCCAATATACGGTTTCAATGAGTCTGGTAGGATAAGGAATCAAGAAAACTGTCTGGCAATTTAGGAGACTCAGTTTGAGAGAACTCTCAATAATATATATAAATTTCAGCTTTATTAAAATGACGTAAGTTTATAAAATAGTATAGTTTAGGGGGGTCCGGCGGGGGGTTGGAACCACACTAAGGGTCTGGCAACGAGCAGAGCAAGTTACAATACTGTTACGAGCAATATGTGAAAAAATGGACCATCTTAAAATAACGAATTTGATATGAAATTGTATACACCGTTGTTACCCAATATACGGTTTCAATGAGTCTGGTAGGATAAGGAACCAAGAAAACTGTCTGGCAATTTAGGAAACTCAGTTTAATAGTTCTTTCAATAATATATATAAAGTTCAGCTTTATTAAAATGACGTAACTTTATTTCTAAAATAGTATAGTTTAGGGGGGTCCGGCGGGGGGTTGGAACCACACTAAGGGTCTGGCAACGAGCAGAGCAAGTTATAATACTGTTACGAGCAATGTGTGAAGAAATAGAGCATCTTAAAATAACGAATTTGATATGAAATTGTATACACCGTTGTTACCCAATATACGGTTTCAATGAGTCTGGTAGGATAAGGAACCAAGAAAACTGTCTGGCAATTTAGGAAACTTAGTTTGAGAGAACTCTCAATAATATATATAAATTTCAGCTTTATTAAAATGACGTAAGTTTATTTCTAAAATAGTATAGTTTAGGGGGGTCCGGCGGGGGGTTGGAACCACATTAAGGGTCTGGCAACGAGCAGAGCAAGTTATAATACTGTTACGAGCAATATGTGAAAAAATGGACCATCTTAAAATAACGAATTTGTTATGAAATTGTATACACCGTTGTTACCCAATATACGGTTTCAATGAGTCTGGTAGGATAAGGAACCAAGAAAACTGTCTGGCAATTTAGGAAACTCAGTTTAATAGTTCTCTCAATAATATATATAAAGTTCAGCTTTATTAAAATGACGTAAGTTTATTTCTAAAATAGTATAGTTTAGGGGGGTCCGGCAGGGGGTTGGAACCACGCTAAGTGTCTGGCAATGAGCAGCGCAAGTTATAATAATGCTACGAACAATATATGAAAATATGGAGTTTCTTAAAATAACGAATTTGATATGATTTTTTTTACACCTTTGTTACCTGGTAACTGCCAAAGGAACCACGATCCAGGTTTCATGTTTGGGGATCGTTCTTACCTGTGTTGGGGACACACATACAAGAACTTTCACGTTTACTAAAATGACGTATGTCTGGCAGTCGTGGGCTCTTGGGCTATAATGGTATTTTTTTTATAAATGAATATTTTGTAGGACCCCCCTATGTCTAGTTGTCATTTATGATTTGGCTTAAGCACAGAGTATTTATTATATATATGAAAGGCTTAAGGGTCCTGTGACTGAGCCATAAATCTACAAAAAAAAAATATAATTGTCAATTATATCATATTATATAAGATCGTGAACAGCGCTCAAACGGCACAGACTTGGGAGTTCATATTATATAATTATATATCATCATATTATATTTATTTAAGCTTTTTAATTATAGGTTCTTAGTTGTACAATTAGATTATGTAAATACTAGTAATAAATATATGTACACATGTAAATTACGATTATATCTGATTGTCAATGTCAAGTAGACATGTGTCACAATGTCACTCTTCTGATGTATTCAATTTTCAATTTAAAATTTTATATATTTCTCTTAATTTGTTATATTTAACTATATTAATATCCACTTCTTATTGATAAATGAAAATATTTTTACGCAACTCAAAATTGTCGTAATTAAGTAACTACTGTCACCTAATACCTGGATTTATTACCTTGAATCAAGTTGTTTTTGTATTCGTCTTACATATAGTTCGTTCAGTAGGTATTCCAGCTTCTTATTGCTATGACTTCATCGCTAGTGCACGCTACAATTTTACATAAATCAGTCGTTTGAATTGGTTAGTTTTATGTGGTCGTATGTATGTAGTTCTTGTTATTATTAACTCGGGTGCATCCACTACACTTGAGCACTAATCATGGTACGTTTTTTTATTTAAAATTTATTCGCTAATATGCAAGTGTTATTATAATTTCGCATATAATATAAATCTATTAATACAAGTGACTCACGATAATCGAATTTTTAACAGAGACAGATAGATCTTATCTTTATCTTATATTACTCTTAATACATTCAATTACTGGATGGTTGTCTATAATGATGTATTTAAATTTTCAATTTTTTATTCAATTAATTTTAGTATACCAATTTTTTTTCCAAGTGAACATTCGTAATGGTAATTTATAGTAAACTTATTTATTTACAATTTCTTTATGATACTAGCTATGTATGTAGTTATTAATATATATATATATATATATGCCACTAATACTTAGTGTCATTAATTAAAGATAAGATTGGACATGTTGTAATGAAAAAATCTAAATAGCATTGTGACTTGTAGGCGAATAATAAAATGGTGGCACCAAGCAAGGTGGCACTGCCACCAGCCACCAGCGACGAGAGTGCCACTATCTTCTCCTTGATATACAGATTCTTTAAAAAGGTAATACTATAATATTTTCTATTTCTTAACACTTACATTTTACATAAACATACAAAAATTCAATCTTTCCTCTTTATTAGTGTACATAACATCTTGTATTGTATCTATGGAAACTATATTTATAAAAATATATAAATGCAGATTTGTTTTTGTAATATTTTATTTTGTAAGGAATGTTACATCAGTACACACAATAATATTTTTTTAACATTGTCCACTAATTCCAATTCAGTATCTGTTTCATGTATCCTTATAAGCAGGTATGATTGCACTGTTGTTTCCTCATACAAAACAGTTATTTTGTATGAATCACCATGACCTTGAAATTACGGTATTAAAACTAACTTATTAACTTCGGCCTCCATATTATTTGTGTTTATTTTAGATTTCCAAAACAAAAAAATTGGAAAGAAACCTTTATAACATGATTTTGTTTGTATGTCTGTATTTTACATAAACTACTATTGCAGTATCTACAAACTCACAACAATTCACAACCAGGTAGTTCCAAGCTAAGCAAAGCTTGTGTTATGGCTTCTAGACAACTGATATAAATGTGTAGGTACACCTATTTTAGTAAATATATACATACTATCCATGGAATACAAACAATAATATTAATAAATGTTTGTACTGCTGTGCAAGCATTGGAAGTAAGACGGTGTGGGAAACTGCTAGACCACCAAGGGTTTCCACACAAATAAAATCTAACATCATTATAAAACTTTCAATTGCAAAAATATCAGTCAAAAATTCTAAACCTATTCAGTTTTGCCAGATACAACACAGAAAAATGTACTTGTGAAAACAATTTCTTTTTTTCATAAGATTTGGTTAAAACAATTGAGATTAAATTGTAATATATTTACAATAATATGAATATTATTGTAAATATTCATGATTTAATCAAAAGCTTTATTGATGTACTTAAATAATTATTGACTTAAAAAATTAATAATATCACTACACATAACACATACTTATAATAAAACAGACTGGAATAAAATATGTCCATAACTTCATAGATAGTTCTAAACAAAATCTTTATCTACCGCAGTACAGTACTAGTGCCTAGTCATTCTAGTGATTAGTAGAAATATTGACATTGTAATTCTTATCCTCTACAAGAAAAACATGACTTTTTAAAATACCACTCAACACTTCTTCTATTGTGTTGACTAGAAGAGATCTCTTTTAGAGACAAGTCCTTTGCTAACAATATTTATAATGAATTTATTTAAATAATTAATTTAAAGTGGAAGACATTCTTTTAATATTCTTTGAATTTAAGATTCCAGCAATGGAAATGAAGTCAGGACACAACAAGTAACTTATTTTTAAATTAAGCAAAATTTAATTTTAACAGTTCAAAATGTTAATTTAATTTTATATAGGTATGTTTTAAGTGAGTCATCCCTTATCGGAAGTAGGCACTATACACTAGCAAACACATAAGTATTTGGTTAGGTAACATTGCATACTATAGAAACCTATAACAACAATGACATCATATGGAATGATAATATTCCTCCTGCGGCACAGGAAATGTTAATGTTCATTATATTACTACTGTTTAATAGTCAGGACCTGTCACATTTGTACATAAATTATTTTGTGAAGATGCACACATTCATACTATCTATGTAATTATTTTGGCATTGCTTTCTACCTTAATGCTAATCATATTATTTAGAGTCATCCTTAGAAACATCCCTTTGATTAAATAGTCTTAATTATTAGTTTATACTTAGATTCAACATTTAATAAAAATTAGGAGTGTGACCCTATTTACTTCTCTAACTTACAGACTTCAAATATTTTTTTATGATGTTGGAATTATAAAAAAAGCTTTAGACTTACCTGACGGGAAGTGGTAACGTGAACGGCACTACGGACATCATTGTATCATCTCCTGTCCACAGCATCTTATCCTGTATTTTCACTGCCTTAACTCACTCTTTTACCAGAACACATCATAAACATAATCGAGCGTGCTGCTTGGCAGCGGAAATAGGCGAGACTGAGCAGAGCCAGGCAGATTACTTTTTAGAACCTCTATCTTAGTAAACCATTTTGAATCCAGTCAACACTGGGAAATAATTAATTTAATTTTTTAACTATCTCTTTATTTTATAGAGAATGTTATTGTTATATTCTATTCCATTCTAATTGAAGGTTTAAGTAGCCACCCAAACATTAGCCTTTATCTAACTATCCCTTGTAGGAATACATACTTCTTTCCTTTTCGTATTATGATGCAAATTATTTTTAGTCTATACTTTAATCAATATTTCTCAGGTATCAATAGTGGGAGCTGTTTATTTAGTGGGTTATATGCAATGGAGTGTGGCGTGGCTTATCGGGCCCGTTATACTATCGGTGGTTCGTGATCAGTGGCGCAGAGAAAGCGAGTACCGGCGTAACCTGGCCAAGGCCGCGGCACTCTCCTCTGAGAAAGATGTTGTTTTGGCCAGACTTGATGATTTGCCGGCTTGGGTATGTTGAGGCTGATGTCTTACAATTAATTGTTTTCTTTAATCCTTATGTTGGGTTTCTGGTTACATCAGAAAAGCTTTTAATGATATTATCTTCCCGATCAATACTGATACCGGCCTTCGCAATATCCAGTTGTTACTATAAATGTACATCAAACCTTATGAAGTTGTTCCGTGTATAGTAATGATCATGCAATAAAATAAAATGACAATTACTTTGAGCACAATTTACTAAAATTGTCAATATTCTCGTCCCAAACAAAAGGACGAGAATACTTCGCCTCTAATATTCAACCTATTTTCGTGTAACTACACTTCGCAAGACTAAGTGTAGTTACTCGAGATGCGGTGATCTACATATTGTAGAAACCAATGCAGGTGTCCTAAATCCGGAAGTGTATACCAAAGTATATCTCAGTATACTTGAGAATTGTATGAGGTGAGATATTGGGCACAGAGTTTTAAAGTTCTGTAGGTATCATTATTTTCACTAAAATCAAACACCATATACCAGTGGTATAAGGAATATCCAAACATTTGTATAAACTTTCACATTTATTTGTAATTTTAGGATTTATTTACTTTCTCCAGGTTTTCTTCCCTGATATTGAACGTGCGGAATGGTTGAACAGGGTAAGTCATCTTCAATATAATGATTCGTATAGAAAAAATGTGAAATAAAAAAAACTACTTTTTATCTTTGTATTGTATTATTCCAGATACTTCTGCAAGTTTGGCCAAATGTAAATCATTTCGCACGAACTTTATTGAAGGAATCTATCGAACCTGCTGTGGCTGAAAGCTTGTCGAATTTCAAACTAAATGGATTTAAATTTGAACGAATGATTCTTGGGACCATTGTAAGTAATACATTTTTTATTAATTTACCTGATATTAGTCACTTGTATTAAGACATACTTATTACTTACTTATACATCTTGCGATAGTACATGCAAATGTTTATAACGTCACTAGGATTAAGTAATAAAATGTTTGCATAGCTGTGACCGTGATTGTTCTTGTGTATATTTATTTGTAATTTTATATATTATTATATTTTAGTTAATATTGGTTTTATGAATTCTTTATTTATAAAGCGGTTGAGAGCTATCGGTATGTATACATATACCTACCTGACTATCTAGCTAGAATATTTGTATTTCTGTATTTCTATACAGCAGATGTACTGATGATAATGTTTATTGTCAAAAGAGCTGAAATAGTACTAACATACATAGCATCTCTATATAGTTTGTGAGTACTAATTTGACCATATTTTTAAAGGTATCTAAATTTAAAACATCTAGTTATAGATACAGTCAAATAGCTGAAATACGCGAATTTTAGATCCTATTTAGCAAGGTTCTAATAGATCTGCTGATTTGAAATAATTGGCATTTAATTACTATTTCGCAAATACTTGGTAATTAGTAATATTGTTAGGTTGGATTTAAACTCAACGATCGAATTTTTTTACTTATTTATTCCTATCGTAATATTTTTCTTGAATGATACGTTTATTTATCGTCGAATTGCCACTCCAACTACTCACTAGTAGTTACTATGTTCCTCTTCTTAGTCAACAATATCCTCTTCACTATATTCTATCGATGCCTGGGTTCGCAGTCCCGCATCCGTATCCGATATTCTTCCTACTAAACACAAAATTTAGTAACGACAGGGCATGGGGAGTCCAAATCTAAAATTAATAGCATTAGTAGTTTCTGATAGTATACATATGGAGGTAAAGCTGGATTATAGTGGCACCAATGTTCGTTTTATTTTGGAGCCTTATACTCCTTCCTAAGTTCTAAAATTATTAGATATTTACGTCATATATTATCAAGTAGAGTCAACTAACCTACAAAAAAATAAAGATTGTTCAGAAAATAGTACTTGGATTTTTAAAAGAAGAACATAGAACCAAGTTTTTATAAATGTGCTTTTGTGTATAATCGCATTTTTGGGAAAGCCGTTTTGCATCTAAGTTAAACTTATTAAGAAAAATTCAAAACTTAACTGTAAATGCAGGTTTTTGTCACTTGGTTGATCTATTTATTAGGCAGCACATAAAATATAAGGATTGCTCATTTTATATAATAGTATGTCGTATTCTCTTATTTACTATATATATTTACATAATATTAGGTACAGAACGGATTTGTTTATCATAAGGTTTATCCCAGATTTGATAACAAATTTAATACACTATCTGAGATAACTAATCCCGTATTTTAACAGTAATACTTAAATACTTCGGTCTTCCTTTAGGATGTCAACCTGTTGTAAAAATATTCATTTTTTATCTCACGACGTAGGAGGTGATGGTGATAACTATTTTATGATTGTATGGGTTCCTAGTAAAAGCTGATAATAATAATAATAATAATCTGATAAAGAATGTAAAAAGGCATACTTGGGGCGTCGATTTTTAACACGAGACCATAATGTTTGTAATATTCATCTTCTAATGACTGTAATGTTTAAGTTTAAGTTGTAAGTTTATTAGCAAATATATCTACGTAGGTAATGAGTCTCTTGAACCCATATCATAAATAGAACGTATGGCTCTCTTTTGTAGAATAAATAAAGTATTTACATCGGCTTGTTTACCCCACAGCAGTATGCCATATGACATAATGTTATGGAAATAACTAAAATGTATAAATTTAGCCGTCGCCACATTTGTTAATTGCCTTATTATTCTAATTGCATAGGCAGCAGAACTGAGTATATTGGCTAATTTTCGAGTCCACTGTTATACCTAAAACAACTGTATTATTAACAAAATTTACTATTACATCATTAAGCAATAGCTGTGTATTTATAGGCCTTACATTAGGAAGTGTAAATTTAGTACACTTTGTTTTGTTGGAATTTAATAAAAGGGTTTTACATGTTAACAAATTTAATATAGCAGAGATAGGAAAATTTATATCGTATAATTATTATTTTGACAACAAATTTTAAACACTAACGAAATATCATCCGCTGACAGTACTATATGTGCAACTTTATTTACCAAGGAAAGTTATTAAAAATGGATATGGGCCTAACATTGGTAGTTCTCAGATTGAAGAAGTTTTCTGGATTTAATTGACCCTTATAATATATTTCGCCCAATCTACACAATATATTTTTAAATTATACCCTAGATGATATTCTCATATAAAGCTAAGCACTCTCATAATAAGCCGTTAACCTATAATACGGTAAAGTCTCGTCATAATTTTTTCAGAAGTTTAGTGTTATTTCGTGAATGAGCAATATGGAATACATACCAGTTTTTTAGTCTATGATCTATTTTATAAGCTTTATATTTCAAATACCATATTCTATTTTAAATTGTCACTTCTTGCTATTGTTCCTTTTGGTTTTCCTTCCTGGCCTTAGTAATGTTTCTTTGTGTAATATATTATATATATGCACATTACGTCAATTCCCTGGTGTCCTCTATCGCCTACAAGCAACAAACACATTTATTCATGTAAACAATTTTTCTCGTAAAATACCAAATACTGTCTAGTGAATAGTTATTAAAAATACTATGGCAATATACAAATCTGAATTCTCTTTATTTTTTGGATCTATTAATTTTGGAAAAACAGTCCATCCATCTCTTTTTCCTTCCTCTGCCCATATATCCACATTCTTATGTAACACCTTCCTTAAAATATTATCTTCATTTCTACGCATTACATGTCCATACCACGATAGACGATTACTCTTCAACCTCTCCGACACAGGCGCCAATTTCATACTTCCTCTAATGTATTCATTCTTTATCTTATCTATTCTTGTCACACCACACATCCACCTCAACATTTGCATTTCAGTTGCATGCAGTCGTCTTTCATCCATCGCCTTTACGGGCCAGTCATGATCTCTGATCCATACAAGACAGTAGGCCGGATCATGGTCTTGTAAATTTTTCCCTTAAGCTTCCTGTGTTCCCCACACGCGAGTCACACGTCGTTGCCGTAACCTACCGCCACTTCGTCCGTCCTGCGTTAATTCTGTGCTTTATGGTCCTGTCTAATTCACCATTGTTTTGGAGGAGAGAACCTAGATAACGGAAATCGGAGCAGATCGGTAATGAAGCTCTATTTAGTGATATGGCTGCAGAGCAGAGCAAAGACTGCCAAAATCACCAAACATGTATTCCGTTTGGAATCACTAATTTTTAAGCCACCGCTTTCCAGCTTTTTCTGTCACATCACCAATCTACTCTGTAATAGAATATATATACGTATACATAGAAGATATAGATATGGAAAAACAATTAGCGTTATTGTTTTATTGACACTATAAAGTAGGAAATGGTTTTAAAAATAATAGCTTACTAACGTAATATTTACAGGCGCCTCGTGTTGGCGGCGTCAAAGTCTACGATAAGAATCTCTCCAGGAATGAAATCATTATGGATGTTGATTTGTTGTAAGTATTAATTGACACATTGACACATTTGACAACAATAAATACATACGGCTAATGTTCAAGTCAATTAAACTTGGCAATATCGGAAGGTTTTTATATTGTAATTAAATATTTATGATTACAATATTTTGAATTACCAATATTTGGCAGTATTACTGCCATGATCACAGGTGTACTGTTATATATAATATATAGAATATCTGTTATAGGTAAATAGATTGTTGGATTATGTTTATCAAAGTTTCCGACTTCTAAATCAAGGAACGCAGTACTATCTATTTTTAATTCTCCTCAGTTGTTTGGTTGGTGGTTGTTTAACTTTTTGAACATAAATTTTTAAATTTTTTTATAATGTGGCGTTTAAAAACATATAAAATTTTTGAATAGATATTTTAATTTATATAGCAAAGCAACGTTTGCTGATGACCCCATCTAATAATTTTACATTTTCAGCTATGCCGGCGACTGCGACATATCATTTGTCCTTCAACACGTAAGAGGAGGCATCAAAGATCTTCAGGTAATTTATTCTTCACTACCTAACTCTAATACGATCTTTTACTGCAAGAATCAATTAAATTTGATGGAAAGTAGTCAATAATTCTATTCACATAAACAGCTTCACATTATCATTGGTGTATCGTTCGTGGTATCATTCATGCGTTGCCTTGAAGATACCACAGTTTTTCCCAAGGACTGAAGCTGTCAAGTTTTCGTTAAAATTAGACATTAAAAATTTTCTATGTTTTTCTTGCATCTGATGTAGGAAAACCTTTTTCTCGAAAGTTTTTTCCAACATATACTGAACAATAGTCAGTAAAGGATAATAAAAAATATTCTGTAATAGGGAGTAAAGTATTACAAACAATAGTAATGATTGATCCACAGATACCGTATAAACCAACGCTGTGTGTTGTAAGGTATTAGGTAATATTATGTCAGTGCACTTACTACACTTATGTTAACCGCCGCTTAACAAAAGTTTGTAAACATCATTCTTACTCATAGCAGTGGCACTCAATGAGGAAGTAGCCATTATTATTGCTAAAAGTTGCATATAGATGGCGTGATTGGTATCGATGGAATTCTTCATAGTTTTGCAAACGTTTTAAAAAACAAAACTGTGTTTTCAAAAATGTTTAATCAATTTTTAAAAAGTTATATATACATGTTAAAATGAAATAATGCGTTTAGAAAAGTAATTTTCATATATTTACTCATTTTGTTATTTTCCAGTACTTAATTACACTTTAATCAGTGCTAATATGGGGCTCAATGTTTTCAAAATGCTTTCATAGATGGCATTGTCGTCATTTGTATCGGCCTAATTAAATGTCTTTTTTATATTTTCCAATAAGCACTTAATATATTATTATTGTAAATTAAACATATAAAAAATTTTTAAGTAAATTAAAAATAGCCGAACAAGCAAGTAATACTATTTCCAATAATACTTATGTATGAAGTGTTGTCATATTAAAAATAAATACATGTATTATCGATTTTTTTGAATAATCGATAACAGGATTTTATTAGAGCGCATTATTCGATGATGCTTTTAATGAGTCGTTGTGAACAGTAAATTTTCATTATTTTGTATTATAGCAGTGTTCCGTTTCAAAGAACGGAATATAGTAGTACATTATTAGTGTCGTTGGTTATTTACATTTGTACTGAAAAATCGATTACATAATAATTTAAAATATCGAGTACGAAACGTAGCTGTCTTCGAATACTGGCAACTGGTAAGATTAAAATAGTATTTAAAAAAAAGAGAGAAATCGACCCTAACTCGAATAACATAAAGTTGATTTTCCTTTCTCATTAATATCATAGCAGTTTGTTTTTAACTTGCGTATGACTCTGTGGTATGATGTTTAACGTGTATTGTTATTGTACGGTGCATACATTTCAAAAATTATATTTTAATGTAGGTACATACATTTCTTTCATACATTTCATACATGTCAAAAATTATCTTTTAATGTAGGTACACACATTTCTTTCATACATTTCATACATGTCAAAAATTATCTTTTAATGTAGGTACATACATTTCTTTCATACATTTCATACATTTCAAAAATGAACTTTTTATGTAGGTACATACATTTCTTTCATACATCTCATACATTTCAAAAATTATATTTTAATGTAGGTACATACATTTCATACATGTCAAAAATTATCTTCTAATGTAGGTACATACATACATTTCTTTCATACATTTCAAAAATGAACTTTTTATGTAGGTACATACATTTCATACATGTCAAAAATTATCTTTTAATGTAGGTACTGTTAACTATCGTGTGACGCACCATTAATTAAAAATGGTAAAGTCAATAATCATGTAGCCTGAAACGGAACGTCAGAGGCCAGAGCCAAAGTAATCTATGTGACATTGACAAGTGGATGACGGATAATTGAACAGAGGCAGCGGGAGTTTTGGAGCGAAAGTGTATATATTATTATAAAAACAAATAAGAGATAGGTAATTGTGAATATTGTAGGCATTGAGGTGTTTCTCTCCCTAAACCGGCATTACGCCTAAGTCGTCAGGATACTAGTGATTTTAAAAGTACATACATTACTTTCATACATTTCAAAAATTATATTTTAATGTAGGTACATACATTTCTTTCATACATTTCATACATGTCAAAAATTATCTTTTAATGTAGGTACATACATTTCTTTCATACATCTCATACATTTCAAAAATTATATTTTAATGTAGGTACATACATACATTTCTTTCATACATTTCAAAAATTATATTTTAATGTAGGTACATACATTTCATACATGTCAAAAATTATCTTTTAATGTAGGTACTGTTAACTATCGTGTGACGCACCATTAATTAAAAATGGTAAAGTCAATAATCATGTAACCTGAAACGGAACGTCAGAGGCCAGAGCCAAAGTAATCTATGTGACATTGACAAGTGGATGACGGATAATTGAACAGAGGCAGCGGGAGTTTTGGAGCGAAAGTGTATATATTATTATAAAAACAAATAAGAGATAGGTAATTGTGAATATTGTAGGCATTGAGGTGTTTCTCTCCCTAACTAACCGGCATTACGCCTAAGTCGTCAGGATACTAGTGATTTTAAAAGTACATACATTACTTTCATACATTTCAAAAATTATATTTTAATGTAGGTACATACATTTCTTTCATACATTTCATACATGTCAAAAATTATCTTTTAATGTAGGTACATACATTTCTTTCATACATTTCATACGTGTCAAAAATTATCTTTTAATGTAGGTACATACATTTCATACATGTCAAAAATTATCTTCTAATGTAGGTACATACATACATTTCTTTCATACATTTCAAAAATGAACTTTTTTTAGTATGTAGGTACATACATTTCATACATGTCAAAAATTATCTTTTAATGTAGGTACATACATTTCTTTCATACATTTCATACATTCCAAAAATTTCATACATTTCAAAAATTACCTTTTAATGTAGGTCCTTACATTTCATACATTTCAAAAATTTCATACAATACATTTCTTTCATACATTTCAAAAATTATCTTTTAATGTAGGTACATACATTTCACACATTTCAAAAATTTCATACAATACGTTTCTTTCATACATTTCAAAAATTATCTTTTAATGTAGGTACATACATTTCTTTCATACATTTCAAAAAGTATCTTTTAATGTAGGTACATAACACCCCATGTCAGACCCCTTGTATTTGGAAGAAACTTAAAAATAATGCCAAAAATATTAGATGAATATATTTTTAATACGAATATTGTTTTATTTTTGTTCATCAACTTTATCCCTCACTAACAATACTAGTAGTAGTACATAACCTGGTTTATACCGCTAAAGATATTGAAAGATATACGAGTAATTCAGAATGTTATCAAGTTCAAAATAAGCACACATTACTTGCTTAGATAACAGAGTAACATTACTCGTAATAAAAACATTTGTAACACCTATATGTATACTACGTATGTATAGTAAGTACTTACGCTGCGGCGCCGTGAGACTCGTCTACCTCATCTACGCGCGGTAACCGCGCCGACCGACCAATAGGAGCGCGCCTCTCGTGTTTCCAGAAAGTTCGCGACTAACGGACGATATAGTAGTAAGGCAATGAGTGTCCCAGTGACATCATTATAATATTTTCTCGTTAAATTTTATTGTAATATACACAATTTCGCACTAAATAACGTGTTACCCAGTTACACATTTCTAATAATGAAAAACCTAGACCGACCCTGTTCACTTAATCTTACAAGATCTGACTTTAAAAATTACGATATCCTCATATAGCCTTTCATTTCCCCTTTCAATACTTTTTCGCATTAAAAAGTAGCCTTTCTCAGGGTCTACATTATCTGTCTACCAAATTTCAATTAAATCAGTTCAGTAGTTTTGGCGTGAAAGCGAGACAAACAGACAGACTGAGTTACTTTAGCATTTATAATATTTGTAAGAATATCGCTATTAAAAATAGGGGTTGGTGAAAGACGGGTGAAAATTTAGGCGTGTATGTATTTTCAATGTAACATTATAAATAAATAAAAAATTGTCCATAATACAAAAAAATATTTTTTCGGGGTAGGCCACCCCTATGACTTAGGGGTATAAAAAATAGATAACAACCCTACCTCAGACCTGGCAAGTATACATATCAAATTTCATCAAAATGTGGGAGAAATATGGCAACTAACACTGTGATACAAAATTTATATATAAGATATAGCGGAATTCTCATTAGGTAAAAGAGGGGTACATCGTAGAATACATGAGGTATATACCAGTAAATTAATTGTAGCTAAAATCAGTCTCATACATATAACGATTGAAATAAAAAATCGTATAGCCCGATTTTGATACGTACGAGTATAAACGTATCAAAATCAGGCTATACGTATAGCGCAGACGCGTTACAACATATCAAAAAAAAATAGGCATGGAATGTAAAATAAACCATAACATAATAGGTATATACATTGGCACATAAGCCATATCTGCAGAGTGTCGGCTAACGATATTATACATACACATTTACATTGAATCTTGAATCGTCCCTAATGAGGTACACGATACAGTTACCTACATATCTATTATATACATATCTTTGCAAAACAGATGTCATGTAGACTGAATTGACTGCCATCTATTTTCATGCTTTGTTACTAAGCACCCACTAGTAATCCGAACTGCCTCAGATCTAGCGACATCTAGCGGCTACGGTGGCGAAATAAAATAGCCCGAAGAATAGCCCGAGTTAGGAAGGAACCATTTTCTTGTATGGGATGGGGTATCTGTATGTAATATTATGTTATCTGTGCTCATAGCATTACACTGTATAATTTTATAGAATGAAGGCAGTTTTGATTTTAAATAATGTTAAACAAATTGCACTCGGTAAGACTAAATATTATGGACCTGTATTCATTGTTTGTAATTTATGTAAATCTTATGAGAAATAAGCGTCTTAAATCATATGACTATAATTATTGGATAGCTATTAATTCGAACTTTACAATATTTTGTTCTTATTGGTTTAGATTCACGGCATGTTACGTGTAATAATGAAGCCCCTAATTTCAAAGATGCCCTTGGTGGGAGGTCTACAAATATTCTTCCTCAACAACCCGTCTATCGACTTCAATCTAGTTGGGGCTGCTGATGTTTTTGATATGCCTGGTTTCAGGTAATTTGAAATTTATTTAACAAAATATAATTGTGCGATAATGTTTTACCCAATAAAATTAATATTTCAGTGACATTTTGCGGCGATGTATTGTAGAACAAATTGCCAGAATGATGGTGTTGCCTAACAAATTACCAATCAAATTGAGTGACGAAATACCGACAGTAGATTTGCGTATGCCCGAGCCAGAGGTGTGTCTGTTAACATTGACAACATATGTACAATATTGAAATATTATTAGAAAAATATTATTAATTAAAAACTTTAAACGTGTTTTAGGGGGTACTTCGTATTCATCTAGTTCAAGCTCAAAATCTCATGAAGAAAGATGTGTCTATGCTCGGTGAGATATATTTTCAATGCTTGCTTAGAATTCTAGGCTAAGATCTATAGATAAGTCTTTCATTAGCTTCGAATTGATAACATTGACACCAACATGTTGCTAATATAGAGAAACATTTTTCTATTAAAATAATAGGTAAAGGTAAATCGGACCCATATGCAATCATAACTGTCGGCGCACAACAATGGAAGACGAAACATATCGACAACAATATCAACCCTCGCTGGGAGTTTTGGTGCGAGGTGAGAATACAAATATATATTTTTAAACTTCCTTTTTATATATTTTTTTATAGTAATGGGCATGTATAGATATGTAATTCTGTCATTGTTTTCAACCCGTCAGCATCGTGCGCGGCTGAGGGATATACTTACAGGGTTGTATTGTCTATGGGTAGACGTTTTACTTATCCGCCTTCTAGGGAATTTATGCCGTGCACGAAATTGAGGGGGGAAAATACTATTAGTTTTGTAGATATTCTTGAGAAATGGTTGCTTCATAAAAAAATTCTAAATGTAAATAACATTTATATATTTTTTAATCTTTTAAAGGGTATATTCTAATCTGGTTATGAATATTCGACGGAGTTGGGATGGGTAATATAATAATCGATTTAATGTCTTTTCTATAAATATAGAAGTGCCATTTTAGCCTAAACTGGTCGTGGTTACAAACCTCTTTAAGACGAGGAATGCAAGATACCACGTATAGTCACAGAATAGTTTGATATATTAGTAGCTATTGAATGATTTTGCATACTTAAAAATATGTGCATGAACCTACAAACTGTGCTTCACTTTGATGACATATGGTTGAAAGACATACAGGTGTGTAATGGATAATTTAAGTATATTTATTTGTGCATTCTATCTGTAGTTTGAAAAGATGACAAGAAAATGTTGTACAAGCAGAAATGTAATTTAATCTATCTGTTATTACTGTTTCAAACTATAGAAGATAGGTTAAGATCGGTATTGAGCATGTTAGAATTTTTTTAATCATACCATCAGCCGACTTTGCGGACTTGATTGCAATACATAATTTGCGTATTTCTTACCTTAGTAGTAGTTACACTATGCTAATATATATGACGTGTTTTAGTTATTCTTTTATTAATTAACTGCGTTTTTAATTATAATTAATATTCATTATCAGATGACTCAGTTTAGTCTTTTATTAAATAATTTGCCTCTTTAATTATAAATTTACATTGCCTATATATTTATATTAAGCTTTCTTCTAATAACTGTCTATTAATATGTTTTTATTTATTTTGTTTCTAATTAATATTTTCTTTGGCTTTTCCTAACTAGTCTGCTTAATGTGCCAAACCTTTCGTTTATTGACTGACCACTAAGTTAGTGTTCGTGAATATGATTTTGTTTTCCCTACTTATGTTTACGTCGGCCTTTGCGCGTTCGGCTTAAAGGCGCGCGTTATGCAATCGCTGGGTCAAGCACTGGAAATTGAGGTGTTCGACAAGGATGAGGGCAACAACGACGACCACCTCGGCAGGTTAGTGAGGGCGCCGCGAGTCGTCCCCGTGGAAGGTAGACGGTGTTAGTGGCAGGTAGCGCTTCATGCATGCTAACCGGGCTTGTTTATATGCCGAAGCTGTTCTGGCCAAGTCACGTTGTATATATTTTTCAATTGATAATTTAACACGCTTTTGTATAAATGAAAATCCTCTAAAAATATATATAACAATTTTTAACATACTCAAAATCAAAAGCATTTTTTGAGTCTGTTTGCACAAGAGTTTTTACTATTTTTATTATACGGCCCATTTAGCTGCATTAAAAAAATATTATGTAAAAATTATATACAATGTGTATTTTGAATGCCAACGTAAGTATTATTGTAGTGATTAATTTCTTGATGAATAAATGCTAGAGTTATTTTATCATTTACTTCGAAATTCCGTATTAGCTTTACCACTCTGTAATATTTTCTAAAGTACTCGTTAAGGTATAAGATAAAATAAACCCTAGCATTTCATCCGGCTTATATTCAGAGCTTTATATCACATCATACCTACTACATTTATCAGACTGAGTAACTACATAAATATAAAGGTGAGGGTAAGTGTTCTTATACATTTATTATAAAATGCTTTTTCACGAATTACGTTTATTCATTTGTGGGTAAAGGTTTACTTAATAAAAACAAATATACAAAACCATATGATTGAAATCGGCAACATAAATGAAATAATCATACTACTTCGTTAATAACTTCGATCAATAATACCAATAACATATGCTAAAGAAAATAAAACAATTTTTAATATTTACCAGGTATTTTGGCAAATTGGATAGCGATAGTTCTTTACTTTGGTACTTTCTCTAGAAATATACTGAAAATTATTGTTGTTGTTATTTGTGAAAATATTCTCATTCTCTCTTAGTAAAACAATAAAAATTAAACAAACAAACAGTAAAAATAAGAACCTTATCTACAAGTGAAACGGTGTGTGCTCTATATTGACCATAGTACAATTGATCAAAGTTACTACTATATTTTCTATAAATACATAAGCGTTGGTGTCATATGAGGGATGTGTTATGTCATAGTTTGTTGCGAGGAGCAGTGAGCAGCGAAACTAATATGTGGATGTTGTGGTTTGTCCCAAGGCAATAATAAGCTCAAGGAAGAGCCAAGTGTTGCAGTGCGAGGTGTGGGACTGGGACCCGGGGATGGGCATTCAGAACGATGATTTTCTCGGCAGGTCCGTGTAAACTCCACTCGTGCCACGTCAAGCTAGCGACGTATTTCCGTGTTCTTTTCATACATTTTATACTATTAATGGGATTTTTTAAATTTGTGTTTGTTTATTTATTATATCTATTTTCGCATAGTATTATTTATATTATTTATTAAGATTTTGTAATTCATTAACCAATAAGAGTTTTAAATTTTACGTTGCTCACAATTTAATTATGTGTGTTACATTTTTGACATTATACTAGGTATATACAGAATACTAATATAACTAATTGGAACACTAAACATTTCATACAGGTCGATTATTTTTAATTGCGTTGTGTATACAATACCAAAAGAAACATACCTACCACAAACCAGGAGTCCTCACTGAATACTGAGAATATACTCTAAACAGTAAATCCACATGCAGCTAATAACGCTATTATTTATATGGTCAACTACTAAAATAGTAATAATTAATACAGGTTAGTCTGAAAGGGTACACCAACCCAGAAACTCAGCGGTGATATTTGTGAAACTGAATTATAAGAAACATACAACAAATCATCACTTCTTGATATTTACATAATAAACTGCTGTTGCTAAATTTGTGACGAGTTGTTAGAGTTTATTTTAATAACAGTCGTATCACGCCCGCCCTATAATCCTGTATATGGTTATTACTAAGATATGTTCTACTAAATCTGTAATATATTTTTTTACGGTTATCAGGCAGTCTGATATTTGTTATTGAATCATAATTGAGTAACAAATATCTAAATATGTTTACAAACTTGCACATTAGACATTAGTAATGTAAAGTAAAAGACATTTGCAGTATGTTGTATAGTTTAACTTCCACGAAGTCAAGATATGATTAGAATTCGAGTTGGCTTATCCTATCCGAAAAACCTGGTATAAATTATCTTACAACTGTGGTGGTAGGTGTAAAAGCTTTATAATTATGTGTGTAAATTATGTGTGGTGGGTTGTGACAGTCAATACTGCGACGCACGGAGACGAGTGCAGTGATCAAGCTTTACGACTGGGACCGCGCGGGCAGGGACGAAAAACTCGGCAGGTCGGTTGCTGCCATAACACCGTACCAACGAACAGTTCGTCACGAATGAATTGAGTCAAAGTGCATATTGTAAATTATTCATCATCCGATCTCTCCATCCAGTAGATATGGCGCAGTACTAGCCGTGTTGGAGTCTCGCTTCAATCCGCGGTCGGGTCACTAGGAAATTAACTATTCCGTATTATATAGAATTTTCTACCCTGTGCTCATAGGTGATTATGATATATAATCCCTTAACACAGTATATAAAGGATTTTCCAAATATAAACCAGGCATACGTAGTGGTGTTTCTGTGACACTATTACTTATATATTTATGTTCTATTCTATATTGTATTTATTATTTTTCTGTTCAACCAGTAACAATAATGAGTACATAATGTTATTGCCTACTTTTACTCAGTTCCAACGTGTACGGACTACACTTACTACGATATTGTAAATGAGACAAATGTACATGTATTATATGTGCTCACTCTATACTAACAGGTCTGAGCGTAGAAGCGCATACAATTTGCACAACATTGAATTGACTGTCACTGCAGCACACATGCAAAATCACTGTAATAACATTATGTATAATACACATGCATCTATTATGCGACTTAATTTGTCTGTGAACTGAAAAGAAGAGAGACGCTATTGTCGATCTAAGCTTCTAGTTTATATAAAGACAGTACATAATGTAATTTTGCATGCCTATTGATAATAATTATAAATACTTATATATATCGTATATATGCAATCACATTAAAGAATTTAGCTTAAAAATACACAATTATTACGTGTTATATCTTATCTATTCTCGTAAACTCAAGATAGAATTTCGTATTCTTTTTTAAATTAAAATATTTTCGTTATAAAAAATAATTCATTTATCGTATAACTGAATGTATATATATAATAATAAATAATCTTAGCATAAGGAAAACTATTTTAAAATAATATATTTGGAATTTTATTAGATGACACTGCGCCTATCCCAAATAATTAATGGGTTACAGGCAAGGAAACGACGACGATGATTTGGAATTCAATAGAAGTAGCAAAATGGCGGCCGTAGTTCTAATTTTGCCAATTCACAGATAACTCGGGTTGCTCTAATATATATATAATTTATTTGTAAGCAAATACTTCTCAAATTCACATAAATTATGACACACTCACTAGTAAATATATTGTATAATATTTATATTATATTATCTCATATTTGCTGCAACATGAAAATTGTCTGAAATATCACAGTAGAGTTTGTATTGTCCATAATCCGCAGTAGAGTTTGTGATATTCCTGATTCATAAATAACATGGTGGTACCATTTTCAGGTGGACCGTCACTATATTTTTAATTCTCATTATAAAAATGAAAATTATTCTATTTTAAGTATTTTTGTTTATATGCAATATGTATATTTAGCACATATCTCTGTAATATATTACATCATTACAATGCTTGACAAAATATATACACATTAAAATTGATATCTTACTACAAATTACTATATTAGAACTGCATACGAAATCGATTAAAATAATACTTCATAGCTTTGCTTGAATACTAATGGCACTAAATGATATTTATAACCCCGTGATGTGTCCAGTACTAATTGCACTACATGTAACTAAACTTTAATAAGATGTTTAATGGTACGTTTTTTGTTACTAACGATTACTAAAGGGCTACAAAGTAAATACTTTATGTTAATATATCTAGACAATACTGTATCAACTTTATTATTATTATTTCATTTGCAGATGTTCTATGGATATTTCACAAGTTGTCCGTTCCGGCCGCTTAGATACGGTATTTATTAGAATATAATTAAAATATGAAACAGAATTAACGCAATCCCTTATATACTTCCATTAACATATTTTCTTTATGATTTTATTTTATAAAACTATTTATTATTTTTTTAATATACAACTATAATTTTAGTAGAACCAAACTATATTTCTTAATAGTAATTATTGCCACTTTTTTGTGAGAGAAAACTATTATTTTCTCTGTGTTTAAGCTCTACATAGGCGCATAACGGTAAAAAATCCTATAACACAAAATGATATATGTTTTTATTAATTCTACTTATTTTAACAGCCATGGTCATAGTTATTGTAAAAATTTTAATTCAGTGAAGTCTGTACTTCATTTTGGACAATCTTCTTTAAGAAATTGGGTTAATTCTTGTAGACATTCAATACCTATATTTCATGCAATATATTATACTTTTTAAATTATTCAATAACATAGAGTACCAATAAAATATTATTTACAGTGGCAAACCCTTCAACAAGCTAAACATGGAAAAGTTCACTTACGCCTCTCATGGCACCGCCTCTCCAGCGACCTGCTAGATTTGAGTCATGTAAGTTTAGTTTTTTTTTGCTTTAACAATAAAAAGCAAGTGTAAAATATTTGTTATTCGACTACTTTTTATGTATATATTGTGCTATATGTACTATAATATTATTTTCGATGTGAAATTTATGTAACCTGTCTTTATTGTTGTATTGTAGGCACTAACTGAGGTTCAAGTAATCAAGACTGGAGAGTTGAGCTCAGCTGTATTATCTGTTTACATCGACTCGTGCAAGAAATTACCTGTTAGTATAATTCGTCTTTAGAAGCTATATACTTGCAATTACCTTCTCATTGGGTTTCTTACTTATTATATTATCATTTGTTGATATTGCTATATCAGAATTAAAAAATCGTGGTGCACGGCTAATTTAACTTGATCGTTTGAGTGCCATAGGTAACTCATATATGCCTACAACAGACAAGAAAAATCGTTATATCGGTATTTTTTATGTTATATAGGGTATATTTACACATTATATTCCTGCGGAAAAATCTGTATATCTTCAAAAAATTGTCCAATTCTAATCATATCTTCCCTGCGCAGCGCTAGACAGCAACTGATTTTGGGAGCGCTGTCGTGCTCCTTGCAATTTTGGTACAACGCGCAGAGGCGCGATCGCGCTCCTCGCCACTCTAACGGATATAATTACCTTTTTTATGAATTTAGTAACTATTACATTATTTTATGTTATATTTTTAGAATGCACGGCCACAATCAAAGCCTGATCCATACCTGACAGTGACCGTTGGCAAGAAGACGGAGAACACCGCTGTGCAGATGAGGACCGATGACCCCGTCTACGAGATAGGCCATTCGTTCTTAGTACAGAACCCTGAAATCGATTTGCTAGAAATTAAGGTAAGGAAACTACTAAGTATTAAATTGTCTTTATCAATTACATATACACAAGCGAAATACGCAACCGTGGATCGTGGGACAATGCCATGAACGTCAAATCATTTGCTAAATTGAATTTGAAAAATTAATTAATAATGTAATAACTTACAACTTTTTTAGATGGAATGTAATTAAAAAATATATGGTTAGTCATTCGCTGTGATTTGTCAATGTTATTGTTTAATTAAAATAGTTGGTAATTCAGCAATACCAAACAATAAATCTATCTTTATGCCTGACTTCTTATAGAGTGACAGACGTGTCAAGGTTCCATATATGTATCTCCACATGCATCCTTAGCCTTTATTCCTAGGATTGTAAATTGGCGACTAGAAGGGTATGGAATTTGCTTCTTGCGTTTTCATACTTGTAAATGATCTTATAAGAATAGAGACATAGTTTACTCGTAATTTAGATATACTAATGAGTATACTTGACATTCATCTGAACACTGATAGGTCTATTTAGTCTTTACCGCTATTGTTAATCATCATATTTTAGTTTTGTTCTACGTGTTATTATCATTTTCTTTATTACCAATTTCTTTTTAAATTCCTCATCAAAACAAAAAATCCTTGTGGATATTGTTTTTGCCACGTTATTATCTCAATAATTGTTATACCAGGCCATTGATCAGAAGACTGGAAATCAGCTCGGCCAGCTTGTGTATTCAATATCTTCGCTGCTGAAGCAACAAGACTTGAGCATGCTGACGCAACCAATAATGCTACAAAAGTCTGGACCTGAATCGAAGATCATTTTGTCATTGCAACTCAGAGTTAGTATTGTCAGAATATATGACAGTTTTGTATTATATGACGACCTCGGTGGTCTAGCGGTCTAGCACACCGCTTTACGACCGATGGTCGCGGGTTCGATTCCTCGCACGGCACAAACATTTGTATTCATGAGTATGATTGTTTGTATCGGTCTGGGTATTTTCTATGTATAATATGTATGTATTTACGAAAAAAAAAATATCTATGTATTTGTATCAGTTGTCTAGGACCCATAACACAAGCTTTAGCTAGCTTAACTTGGGTCTAGATGGCGCTGTGTGAATTATCCTGAGATTATTATTATTATCTTTAATTAGTTATGAATACTGTGTTTCACTGTAAAATAAACAAATCAAACTGCTGTAGGCGTAGATTAAATAATGACATTACGGAATTTGGAAGAGAAATTGCCTCTTTTTAGTACCTACCTAATTGGAATGGCTAACAAGCTGACGGCCCACCCGATGGTAAGAGGGAATCGTGGCCTGCATACATGAACAGAACCTTATCTCGTTGGCTATACATCTTTTTGGAGATCGCTTTTATTTTCGAGTTACTTCCTTTGCATCAATGTACTTATATACATTGATACAGAGAAGACTTCACTTAAAACATCCAGAGTATGAAACATTGTATTATGTTACTGCCATCAAGCTTATACAGCATGTGGTTTGTGATTTCTAGATTTTGAAGGAAGCCGTTAAAGAAGAAGATCTAGATGACGAGGCTACTCTGGATACAGTAAGCGAGCCGTCTCCAATAACACCTACACCACCTGTGTCTTTAGCAGAGGCAACGGATGGAGTTGTACCTACATCACCATTGAATCAAATAAGTAATAATAAGCATACATCCAACTAAGGTTTACTTTTTAGAAATAAATTTAAGTCGCCACAATGACGGGGAAACAACACTGCCATGAAATGTCTCCTTAGAAATATACATTATATATTTTAAACTACATTATATAAATAAGTATATATATATATATATATATATATATGTATCTCTATCTTAAGGAGAAACGACTTAGAGAAATTGTTAAATTCCTATTCATTACAGATTGTATTGGTCTGGGTGTTTTCTATGTATATTATACTTAGTAAGTACAAGCTCAAGTTGTATAGTACCCATAACAAGCTCTGTTTAGCTTGTGACTAGATGGCGCTGTGTGAAATGTCCACGGCTATTATTTTCCTTTTTTGCAACATATGTACATTTACAAAAATTTGTATGAATGTTTCTTACTCAATGGTTTTTAAGCGGCTAAATGGTTCTATATTAACAGCGATTATTTTTTGTTATATATCATGTAGGCAAAGCTGCCAGATGCAGTTAGTCATTGGATAAAAAGTACAATCTGTCATTTTTATTTCTCTCTACAGTACCAAACGCGAATGCGAACGATCTGCAAGACATTGAAGATAATCCACTTGATACTGCATCACAAAGTTCAATTCCAGTTGAGCAGATTGTGAAAGACATTAGTGAGTTATTGGTATTTTAATATTATTAAATGCATTTGATAATATGAAGCTATTTAGTTTTAATACTATATGTCATTTTATAAAATGTTGTGTGAATTGTGATGAAATCTTTCTAAATGCTTAATTTATTTTGAATTATATAGCTCTCGTGATTTACTATACTAATTATACGTATTTATACGTGACCACGTAAAAGGATCTAGCTGATTAAGAACTCTTCATCAGATGCGAGTGCAGTTTTCATATTCTTAACACGCTAGATCCCTTAAAACAGTATACATAGCTACTTCTTCCAATATTTATAAATCTTGTTCACTGTTTATAGATGTAAATCAAGACTATCAAACGCCGTCATCTGGTCGTCAATCGCCACCCTCAAAATTGGTACATAGAATATCTTCATTGACAACGTGAGTACTTTATGTAATTATGATGTATATCAATATAACAAGTAGCTGTCCGTATACTACGGTTATCATGACGTGTGCGATTTTTTAATGTAAAAAAAAAGATACAGGTATATGACAATCCTTGTTTTGAAGTTATCAAATCAGGTCAACCGAAAATTAAATTCTAGACTTGATCATAGTATAAGCAATAAGGTAATTATATAAATGAACTGTAGACGCTCTATTTCTACTTCGTATTATTAAGATTAGAACGAGAGTACCAACCATTAAGTAACGAGTAACAAATCAACAAAAGCTGAGACAGTGAAGCAAAATAACGGGCATAATTCTGAATCATGGATAAGACTTACAATTGGGCAGTAAAAATCTAGAGAAGTGCCTTATTAATGCTTTATAATTAAATAACAGTACTTAACTTTTACTTAAAGATCATGCAGTGTATATTTTAGTTCTACATTGTTCTTTTTTTTTATTATTATTTAAACCTGAAGCTAAATCTTGTCTAAATTAAAACTGTAGTTATTATGATTTTCATTAACAATCTATGTATCTTTTTCGTATTCAGGTCCGCCGGTGAAGCTGGATTGGGCCGAATATTACTCTCCCTTCGTTATAGCATGCAAAATCAAATTTTGTATATGGTAGTTCATAAAATAATGTGAGTATTATTATTAAGAGATATTTGTATCACTATTATGTAAATTAGTGAAGACAGTACCTTAAAAGTACCTATATTATAGTTGATACTTCAAAATGTCATCCTGTGATATATCATCCACCCTAGTGGTCATATATCATTAATATTTAGTTTTACCAAAAAAAATGCTAGCTACTTGCTACATATATATTTTCAGCGAGATGAAGATATGTCAATTGAAGAACTGTTTGGTTGTTTCGAGAAATACGCCAAAATCCCACTCAACTACGTTCAAACTTTTGCATTCATTTGAATAAATGTATTCCATTTCTTTACTTTTTTATTCTTCACAGGCACATACCGTTAAAGGACCCAACCAACGTGCCTGATCCGTATGTAAAATTGTACTTATTGCCTGGACGATCCAAAGACTCAAAACGGAAAACAGTGGTAAAGTACATTAAAATATTTGACATCAAGATAAATAAGGTTAGCCAGATATTAACTGACGTGTCATATTTCAGGTGGTCAAAGATAATTGTATGCCGGAATATGATGAGCAGTTTGAATGGGCGATTCCACTCGCTGAGTTGCACTCCAGGCAAATTGAAGTGACAGTTGCAACGCACAAAGGCTTTCTCGGTGGCAGTCCTGTTATCGGACAGGTTTGTAATTTTATTAAGATACTATCTGTTCCCGCCATTATATCCGCGTGGAAATTAACATTATTTTTATAAAATAAAAGTAGCCTAGGTTACGCCTTATTACAACAGCTACCTGCCAAAAAAGTCCCGTCAAAATCGGTCCAGCCATTTCACAGATTAGCCGGAACAAACAGATAGACAGACAAAAATTGTAAAAAATGTTATTTTACTGTATGTACCGTATTTCTATTCATATGCATGTAGTAAAAAACGGTTATTTCAATATGGTTTTAACAGACTCTCCAATTTTATTTATATGTATAGATTACAAACCAAGAAAAACTACATCATAAGTTAAAGATCATAACATACCTCTTCTTATTTGTGAATTATTATTGAAACGAGTTTCTTGGATGTCAGCTTAAACCTCATCGGTGAAATGATTGAGAATGATTGTGATTGTGAATGATTACGATATGCCGGTTGTTCTCTAACAACGTTGACGTCAAGGATACAAAACTGTTATCGCAATGATCACTTTGTCACTAATTATGTCTACTAGTGATCGCCCAGTGGTTATAATTCGACCATATATACAAAAAAATTTTGAATCAGCAATAACAATTACACAAAATAAATTATATAAGTGTACGTGTCAAATACACGGTAGTGTGTGTAAAGCCTTTTTTATTGATTTAATTTATTTTTATACATATTAAAAAAAAACTGTCCACGTTCTTTATATAAACTACAAAACATGCTCCTCTGTCCGCGCAATTTTTGTAGAAAGGAGTACAAAGTTTTTGTGTAGGTATATTAAAATTATTAGCGACATGTTCTGGAACTATGAAGCTATAGCAAACGGATATTTTTAATTAAATCAATTAGCTGTTTCTGAGTCGTCTTATAAAACAGAAGTAAAAATACAAAGGCTCAGTGCGAGCTCAAAAAACTCATAGGTCCCAAGTTTTTTTATAGTTGATTAATCGGATAACAATAATAATAAAAAATTTTTGGGTATATCAAAACACTGATATTGTATTAATATAAAAATATTTGTTACAGGTTCTAGTACATCTTAACCAATATGACCTTCGAGAAGCAAAGACCGTATGGTTCGATCTTATGCCGGAAACAGCCCCAAGGGATTAAACTATTCAGAATCCAGCATAATATGTACGAATGTAACGGATTCCGCTTAAAGCACAACTCTTACTTTATAGATATTATTTGTATATGAATGCATATATACATTTAAAAAATCAACTTGTATTACGATTTAGATTCCTTTTTATATTTATTAATCCTTATGATTTTCATTTGCTTTAATTTTTTAAGCGCGGTATATATCAACCTGGTCAAATAAATTCTGACCTAACAAGCTTACTAATTGCGACTAGCAGGTCTACAGATATCCCATTGTCCACATTGTATGCGAAAGTTACAAATATACGAGAACTCGCATTTTTATGCTTCTTGTGATTTTTTAAATCCTTATGTTTGTGGTGATAAACATAAGGATTGCAGTCTCCTTATTTATATATATAATTAATTATAATTGCAAGCTCTTATAACAATTAATAATATAATTGAACATGGTCACCATTTATATGACTGCTACATGAAAACTTTTTTTCGTCGAGATTTTTTTTGTTGTAGTGTGATTAACAAACAGTAATTGTTATATTTATATTGTATATATAAATTACAAAAAATAATAAAGCTAGAATATTTTAGTATGCATAGAATATTTTAGTATGCATTGCTGTAATTTTTACAATCAGTTAGGTATGACCAAGTGGTATCATTTTCTTTGTTTCTTTAACTAGTACGTACGTAAGTACTGTGGCATGTACAATGATAAATGAATTTTATATATCCACTTATTTCTACATATGTTATGTTTTGTTTTATTGAATACAAGTTTTACATTGCATTTGTTATATAAACACATATAACATGATTATCGTTAGTGATACCAGAAACATCCCTTAGACTCCTGTGGGGTAAACAAAGGCAAGGTGCAATAGTTGAATTTAAAATATTCTTCATAATTAGATAATTAATGTGTATTCACGGTACTATTGTTTTAGTAGCATTCTCTGTTGTCACATAATTATTAAAACTAAAAATATCTTGATTAAGACTATCTTTTAATACAGGTGTTCTATTAATCTGGCATTGCTTTAAATGTAATCTTTATGTGAATATTAATAAATATATTAAAAAAAATAACTGCATTTAGTTTTCTTTTTGTAGGTTATTATGAAAATAAATTAAATTGGTATAAAAAGGTTTAATACAGATGCAACATCCAGAATTTCAGATTGAATGTTATAATATCTTATTATCTATATTACAGTCTTTCACAAGGTATAGTGAAAATTATTCGAATAATCCACATAAAATAATAATCAAGATCAGCGTTCTAAAGTATTAGGAGTAAATTTCTGTGCAATTATTTTTCCATAACCTCCACGGCCTCCATCATAATCGGTTCTGTATTCATCTCTAACCTAGAAAAGAGAGATACAATAAATGTTTTCAGCCTAAACAAATCTCTGACACATTGGTTGGCGTAAGGTAGGTCCCAATTTCTGTGTATATGAAATCTGACCTACTACAAATTCTTTTAGCATCGTAATTGATCAGCATCTGATAAATCTCTTTAAGAAAATAAATGGTAAATAGTGTTGCTGAGATACACAACTATACATTTGATATTAAAATTTTCACAGACTATCAACAGGTTGAATTTAAACTTGATGCATGCCATGTTATATATACTTGAAACTTATATTTTATATATACTGTTTTAAATTTGATGGGGTCATTATTTATACATATAATTAGTAAAAATCATGACCATGTTTTATATTTATTTACTGAGTTCCCGATATTATCTTTACCCATGATCATGGTGGTTGCAACACTGCCGAAATATTGGGAACTCCATAAATAAATATAAAATGTGGTAAGATCCAAATAATTTTTACTAATGACATTTTATAATAATAAACAATACATTTGAAAATTTTATAGAGAAATATTTACCTGGCCACCGGTTTTACCCCGCCCATACTGACGACCTTCAACAAAACCAGCATCCCAATCACATCGAATTATCCTGTCATCTAGTCTTGTACCATTTATATACCTAAAATACAAATAGTGTAATATTAAAATGTTAAAATATGATTGCATTGTGGGGAAGGGGATTGGTAATAAGGTTGAATATTCCTTTTTCTAATAATACACCATGTCAGGTAAATTGTTTACACAGGAACAGTTGATGGTAAATAATGAATTAATGATAATGTTGCCAGGGTAAAAGATGTGATGGAGAACTTGCTGAAATTCATATTCTTATTTGTATCTTATTTCAAATATATAAAGAAGGGAAGTCTACATCAGTCTATGAGGTTTTGTTCATGAGTTTCCAAAATAGTAAGTATCAATTTTGTAACTTTAGCAATGTTATAGCATAACAGTAACAGGATACCTACCATACCTTTGCATTACCTCAATGTATGTTAACTTGTTTTTATTACCTTGCTGTTGCTATTTTCCTAGTGCTTTCAAATAATATTGGGCATCATTATAGATGCCATATTGTTGAAATAGTACTACATGTACCTCACACTGCACAACTGCACATAAGGCATATTTTTGCATGCTGGCAGTAAGTATACCAGGCTAGAACTTAAGTTACCAAAATTATTTACACCCTATAAACAAACTAGAAGAGTTTTGAGTTTACATACCTCATACAGTTCTCTGAATCTAATCTCGTATAATACTCCACAAAGCAGAAACCGCAAGGTGTTTTTTTGTATTTATCCAATCCCATAATAACTCGTCTAATATCACCACATTTGGAAAATAGTTCATATATTTGCTCTTCTGTTGTATAAAAAGATAAATTTCCGATGTATAAAGTGGACGATAGACGTAGTAACCGTTCTTGGTCATTTCTAGAACCCTGAAAAGGAAGATTTATAAAACCAAGCAGTGTTTTCATATATATTACTATCAATATTGTGACAAGTTACCTTAAAATGTTGATCACGATAGGAACTAATCTCAATTGAAGAATTATTCATTGAATCGTAACCTCGTTTCATCTTGTTTATTTTTCAGAATATTGTGATTTAAATTACAAATATTTAATAAAACGAATTTTAAAATATGTGTTGGTGTAATTTAAAGTGAACATAAATAAGCTGAAATTATTTTTATTACTTCACGTCTCTACTTCTAACCTATAATAGAATTGCAATCACAGAGCACTTAACAATATGTAGTCATTCAGTAGATGTGTCAGTTCGAGTTAGAAACTCGAGTTGTGCTGAATTCGAGTTGTGCTGAACTCGAGTTATGCTGAACTCGAGTTGAATTCTCCAAACTAGAATTGGGAGAATTCTAAATCGGTAAATAAACGAATTAAGTGACCGAGCGGGAGCGTGATTCAGTCGTAGGGTTCGTGCCTTAGTAGGTACTCGAAGTCGAGTTAACTTCAGTTACCTGAATTTTAACTCGAGTCGTGCTTATTATGAATTAACACATCTCTACAATACGTTTGGAACATCCACTCTTGTTATTACCTTGCTTTACTCTTTGTTTAGTAGAGTCAGTTTAAACACAGATAAGATAATATTGCATAGAGTATGTACAAATTTACACTGAGTAAGTAATCACTACGTTAGTTTTTATTCTGCTTTTAAATTTAAGTAAAAAAAAAACTGTAGTTTTAATTTTAAATAATAAAATAGATTTTCATATTTTATTAAAAATAGTGAATACGTACATATATGGTCCCTATTTTGAATTCAGTATTTTTAATAGAACATGCCAGAGTGCATCTTATTAAAGTGGTCTATAGCATAGTGTGATTTTTTAAAATTAAATATAACACAATTATAGTGTAAGGAATGCGCCAAACCTCTGATATTGAAGATGGCGCCAATTAGATATCCACTTCCTTTTAATGCTCGGCGTATACTGTTGCTGAGGCGTGAGGCAATGTTCAAATTAAATATAAATATTTCTATATACAAAAAATTGCTATTAAATTAAAATTTCGCGCTCCAATGTAAGTATATCGCATATATACATACATTGGTGCGCGAAGTTTGAAATATGTTCCGTCCCGAAATAAAGATGGCACGGGAGAACAAAAAGGGGTTTATAAAAATACTAATTAAACTAAAATACTATAATACTTTTTGAACTGTATTATTTGTAATTTGTTTATTGAAGTTAGTTATCATTTTAACTAGCCGCCGTAGGGTAACTGCGTCTAATGCCTAGCTATGCCTAAACTTAGCCACTTCGAATTAAAATTAAAAAAATATAGTAGGTATTTAAACCATGATCATATAAATAATAATACATATTATTTATTTTAGAGTGTTCTTATCCTCATCACACACATTGAAGTTATATTTAAAAGTGAAACTCTATTATCATAAATAATGTTTACATACATGCTATAAATAATTATTTTATTACTGTATGCAATAAAAGGATAAGCCGTTTCCTCAACTTCCCCATTTGTAACATATCATTAGTTTTCATATAACAAATTACCAATCTCGAATAGCTAATTAAATTGTCCAATAATGATTAACATATTTATTATTGGAAATAGAGATAAAGTAACAATACATAATATCCATCGGCAGAGTTTTCGTTTCATTTTCGAAAGTTAACGTCTTCTTCGTGAAGACTATAAAATAGTTGCGCTTGTGTACCTCTACCCTGATTTATGCAGATGTCATGATCATCTTCATTGGAAATCATCATCATATATTTTTTGTATGGGACCTCCTTGTACCCGGAGTTCATTTCAAGTTGTATACGTTATAGGTACTGACAGGTACGTTTGGTGACGGGCTTCTTGCGAAGGGCGGCGCGGACAGCCTCTTCAAACACCTCATTAATATTAACACGTTCTAAGGCTGAACACTCCACCAATTTGACGGCACTGAAGCAATAAAATTCATATTACTTTATAGAGTAAATTTCTTTACCACCACCACCGCCTTACTTCCGATGGTCGCGGATTCGATTTCTCTCACTGTACAATCTTTTAATGTAAGTATTAATTATTTTCATTTATGTACTGAAAATGATTGTTTATAAAATATGTATTTAAGGATTTCTATCAGATGTTCCTACTGAATAATATATTTCTCTTCATCCTAAATACTATACGCAGGCATTCCTAACTTTATAACAGTATATAAAAAACTAATTTATGTTTTTTTATCAGGATCCAACCATGAAGTAGGTATGTAAAATATCTCTAAAAGACTTATCAAAATTGGTTTAATATTTTAGGAATGATTATAGGATAAACATACAGTCATTTTTATTTTTAAAGTAAGTGGTCGTCATCTGTTCACTGTTTAATATGACAATATACCTACTATTTTTATAACATACGAGTACCTGTTTTGAAACTGTTTTAACAAATTCTAGGTATTTTTAATTCATCAAAGAGTCCGGCGTTATCGCTAGTGATAAGGGAATATTAAACAATGTAAATTAGCTATTCTTAACTATATTTTTTGTTAAAATTGAAGTAAGGAAGCCAGATATATCAAGCGCGAAATTTGGCAATTACCATTATCACGTATGATAACAACGGTAGTGATGATGAATATGACAAATGATAGAATTAAAGATAATTAATGTTAATTTAGCATAATTAGATATTATTTAAGTACATATTTTTTATAGTAGAGTAACTAAAATAATATTTTTAGGCTCAATTTTATTAATATATTCGATAAGTATAAAATAAAAAAACTCGTACACTCAATCATGTGTTTCTGTACATTACTGTACGTCCATAAGTACCATCTGTTTTTGTGTTAAGACATAAAAACAGATGGTACTTTTTACTTGGGGACTGATTTCCCCATAATGAAGACCCGCCCGCTATAGGGGTAACGAACGGGTAGGTTCTGCCTAACTCTTACGCGCTAAAATCCCAAGGTGTATCTCTACCGTTTATTGCCGGAGCCAAGGAGTGTTCGCGTGTAAATAAGTAGGTAGGGGAGTGTGGGGTACAGTGGTTAATAACTTCACCTTTTCTGCTCCAGATTGATCATTGGTTTAATCAAAACTCAGAAGATATATAAAAATAGCCTTACAAATACTTAGTAATTAGATAATCAAGTTTTTTTATTAAATGGCAAAGTATCCACAGTGATCCATTTATAGGGCACAATGGATAATGGCTATTTAACTTCTACTAATAGACCACAACAAATAATTAAATCTTGCAAAATCTTTGCACACAGAATAGTAATAAGGTTTTACAAAAACGTGTAAAAAAATATTTTTATCTCACTTGTCGACTAGTGTTCTGCGACGCAAATCCTATCTCTGAAATTATGATAGCGACCAGATAGGACGCGGAAGAAATGTAAGAACGACAAGGTCACGGAGTCGCAAGTGTTTGCGTTCACTATATGCAAAGCTACAATGATCTATCCACTATGACCCGCGATCCACCGTATCCCACGCTCCCCTACCTTCTTATCGTTACTTTTGCACTTATAAACTTTAAGTCACTTTTTTTAAATAGGTATTTTATATTTCAAATAGATACTATATCTGTTTGAAATATAAAATACCTACATATTCCAGTAAGATACCAACTCCATCCATCGTCACAAATAAATTTTGTGTCCGTGATTCGTATTTATAGGCGACGGTCACATATTCGAAAACAAGTCTTTACAAATATTTTTTACTTGGGATTTGAATTTCTGTATCCTCAGAATAGAATTGCAAAATAGTATACCCACAGAACAACAAAAACCAATTAACAATGAAGCTATTATTACCTACTAATATGCAAAAAATACACTAGACATTATTATTTACCTTATTTTCTTTTTTAATTTCTTTCCTTCCTGGCGTGTAATAACTGATTCATTTTTCGACCGTAAATCAAGTTTTGTAGCTGAAACAGACAAATAATAATTATTAAGTACCTAAGTATTACCGTACCGGTAAATTACTAATCATTTGACAATAAGTTGAATGTATAACTACACAATAAGGAAATATTTAAATTAGTGACATTAAAAATGGAAATCATATTCACGGCCACGGAGTTCTAACTAGTAGTTTTTGGACGACATAGAAATGCATATACTATATAGGTAGTATGGCCTCAAATACTGTTACAATTAAAAATAAACAAAGTATTGCATTTAATTTTGAACATGTTCTTATTTCTTTAAACGTTCATTGTGTTTACGACATATTTTGTGATATGGAGTCGGTCTCCATATCACAAAATATGATATCGCTATGATCGCATTACACAAAGTACCTATGTATGCAGTTGGCACCATACATCCTTTGTGTAATACAATTTCTGAAACTCTTCATCTGCTCGGTTTTAGTCGAATGTTTGTGTTCAGGGGTTGATAGGTATAATGAAACCTCCTCTGTTTGTGACAGAAAAGAGATCTGGCCTTCTAGGCAAAACATTCTAACTTGCGAGTGAAGATAACTCCTAGAACCTTCTTTATTTCTAGAAATGTGCCATGTCTGGTCCACTGCCACTCTGGAAACCATCATGATTAATCCTGGAGGACCACAATAGCGTTAGAGCAGGCTAGTGCACCATTCTATATTCTTCCCTTAAAAATATATTATTATACTTATTGCCGAAAGGATTGTTAGTAATAGAGGCAAGAAAAGCAATTTATATAGATCGCTAAACGTCATTGTTATGAATAGTCGAGAATATAATAGAAGTAATAGATGAGAACTAATCTGGTATCAAGTCTCATCTCTATTATTCTCTATTGGTGCCCTATTAGCCCATATCATTAGCGTAAGTTGCTGCATCATTCGATCAATACTCATATATTGATACTTATTGCTAGCTGGTTTCCCGCAGTAGGTAAGTTTTTACTTAGTATACAGTATACTCACCAACTAATACAATGGGAACCGAAGGACCGAAATGCTTTAACTCCGGATACCACTTATGCACAACGTTGTTGTATGAAGCGGGCTTGTCAATTGAGTAACATAGTAGGAAACAATTTGTCTGCAATACACAACAGTACTTACCTTATTAAATTTACAATTTAGTCTCGTGATTATACAAAATTATAATTTAATATTAATCACGATTGTATGTTCATGCTATATTGTTATATCAATAACATCAGTTATTTATGGAAATTTATTAAATAGGTTCGGTTCGCAATGAGCAAGACTGCAAGACTTTAACTGTTGTAAAAAAAGGAAAAAAAAAACAATCCTTGGGCTTCTTGGGTAATTCTGTCTCACCTATTTCTACTAAGATGTTGTAATGTTTCAGTTGAAGAAAGATATAAGAGAATGAAATTAGGTATAGGGTAGGGTGGCATGTGAGCACACAACACATCTTAGCACTCCGGAATGGCAACGTATCAGTTGTACCACGGGCATCACAAGGTGATTTGATATCCTTGGTGATTTTGATTAAGATTGCCTTTAAATTGTTAACGGTTACCACTACTTTCACCGTCTGCTTATTAAATAAACAGAACCAAATATATAACTACGTTTTATCAAAGTATTGAATTTAATATGAAGCAGGTCAAAATGATAATGGCAGGACATTAAACGAGAGGGAATGATTAACGAAATTAGGCTCTGACTACATTTTGCTGGGTATAATTAAATCGAACGTGAAAATTGGCGAGCACACCGCTGTCTTATAGATTAAATTTTGATTTGTTATCGGAGTGATGAAATCACCGATGAATCGGAGATTTCATCAGTCAGAAATAGAAATTAACACATTTTGATCCGACCCGATCCATGATAGCATTAATCGCAGCTGTGGGAAAGTTGTAGATGGCAAAGTTTCACGTCCAAAAAAAGCATGGTTTTGTTAATATATTCTTTATTGCACAGATAATACAAAGATATTATAATTTAGAGACAATGTGAGTAAAGATGGACTTATCCGCAGAAGAAATCTCTTCCAGTCAATCTAAAACAGTGGGATATGTGGTTCTGAGTGGTTAATAACTGGTGCAAACAAAAAAATGTCAAAGGCTAGATACTAAATAAAATTCTAATAACAAATTGTATAATCTAAAACAAAAGTAAAATACATAAATAGTAATACAAATATATAGGAATAAACATACATATCATATAATACATAAATATATTTATCATAATAAACAAATAAATAATGATAAAACTCATCATAATAAAAATCATTCGTTCATTCAAACTAATCATTTGTTTACCTGACCACTGCCTCATTAAAACATTTTTCGTTTCATTTAATATATACCAAGATGATAAGAAGAGGATTGCTTGCCTCTTCTGATTATTTAAAACAAAAATTACCTTATTATATGAGAGGGGCCTCAATCTTTCGTAGCCTTCTTGTCCAGCTGTGTCCCATAATGATAATTCTACTTCTTCACCGTCTACCGTTACGTCACAAGTATAGTTATCGAACCTGTTCGAATACAAAATTCTATATTAATTTGTTAACACGAAAACTTAAATTTAAATTTGAATGAAATTTGACACACATACATCATATCGCAGCATATATATAATAATAATAATTTTTATTCAATGTACATAACATACCTACTAATATGTATTTAACATACGCTCTTAGTATTTTTTTTTGTATATTACTATATATTATTAAATATGTTACTATATTTTTAGACAATTAACCAATAAACATGACATATGATAGTATCCGGTATGTCCTGACAAGGGGACTTCTTAGGTTTATATTTTATTTTTTTATATTTTATATTTTATCTATATATCTCAATTCAATGATAGCTATGATGAAGAACATTTTAAATGCACAAAAAGAATTCTCAGATATTTGAAAGGTACAAAAACTATTGGTTTAAAATTTGAAAAGAAAGGCCCAAATAATTTATATGGACTGGCAGATGCTGACTGGGGTGCAGATAAAATGGACAGAAAATCATTTTCTGGATATTGCTTTAAATATGCTGGCTCATGTATTAGTTGGTCATCAAGAAAACAAAAGTGTGTAGCACTTTCAACAGCCGAAGCTGAATACGTCTCATTGTCTGAAGCTGCAAAAGAGGCAATCTACTTAAAAAGACTATTTGAAGACTTGGGCATTTCGCAACAAACTGTAGTAATATTTAATGACAACCAAGCTGCACTAAAGTTGAGTGAGAATCCGATAATCACATCGAAGTCGAAACATATCGATTTAAAACTACACTTTATTCGTGATAGTGTTAAAGAGGGAGTGATCCAAGTAAAATATATGGACACAAAAACGATGGAAGCTGACTTACTCACTAAAGGACTACCAGGACCAAGACTATCACAACTGAGAAGTTGTCTGGGCATCACAATCTAGTAATAGTGTTGTGAGGAGGAGTTTGTTGGTGACACTGGCACATCACTACTCACTCGATCGCCGCTTTAAGATGAAAAATATATATTGTCAAAAAAATAAAAAAAAACTATATTGTACATTCGTAATATTATATTAACAAAATAAACTATTTATACTAAACAAGTCGTTTTTCCATCGACCAAGTACATCATATTATTACTCTTGAAAAAATATATTATGTAGAAATAATAATAATCTTAAGTGCGGGAAAACCTCAATAATAGTTTATCAGGAAATAACCAAAATAGGGTTATTCTTAAATATAAATTAAACGAAGCAATATATAAAGGACATAGGAAAGTTGCAATACAAGGATGATTTTGGACTTGCCACCGAATTTCGAAATACAACCTTAATATTTTATTTACCACTACAAAATATAAAATTATATTGTACATACGTGTCCCCAAGGAAATTATAACTGTTTAATTCATTAATGAACTATTGAAAAAAAGAATGTCCACTCGAGCCGTACCTAATCTAATAAAAAGATAATCACCCCTTTACGTAGCTATTACTTCTATGTTTTGAGTTGAGTTACTCACATTGCCCACCACAACGATACCATTCAGGAAGACTGCAGTCGCAACTTTGGAGTAGTCATAGGCGTGAATTTCGTTGTAATGGTACTTTTTATTTTAGAATCGATCGCTTTGTTATGTAATTATAATGGCAAACAAGCTGCCCACCTGATGGTAAGTGGTAACCACTGCTTATACCTAACAAAGAGCGCCGCGAACTAAAAATAATGTGACGCTCGCGATATTTCTCATACTTTGCCTAAGAAACTAAAAAATCATGCCATGTATTCTGTGGTTTCACTACCCTCGAACCCTTCTTAAAACACAGCTTACAAAACAACGTGCCTGGCGGCTGCAATAGGTGAGATCAGGTACCTCCCTAGTTAGTTTATTACAAAGTCTATCTCGGTAAAAATATCAAAAATTAAACAAACACTAGTTTTTACTATAAGCCACTAAAATCATGTAGTGACTTTATAAAATGTAAACAGTAAAATCCAGTGAGTTACACTTCATGGAATGTTATATCGTAACGTCATTATAAAATATTGTTAGTATTATGGCAATCCCAACAACATTTCAACAACTTTCCGCTATTCAGTGGCTTTACTTAGCGATTAACGAATACCGTCTACCACAGTTGCTACTAAAATACTACCATAAAACTACTTACACTGTAGGCACGTATTCTTCGGGAAATTCATTTTTAGTGTACACGTATAGCAGGCAAGTCTTGCCGACCGTACCGTCTCCGACCACTGTTATCTTCACCGACCTCTTCGTACCCATACTGCACGACACATCCGACAAAATATCACAAATAATTCACTATAACATTGCACTCTTTACAAACCGATTATTATTGTCGGTGCGTTATATAAATAAATTATTAAATAAGGAAAAATATTCCTTGTAGATTCTTATCACTGTGACGTATAATCTTATCAGCCTTGTAGGAACGCTTACGATAGAACATGTATATTATAAAACAAAGCGCGAGCGCACTTAGTAGCGTTCGGTGGCAGAATGATTCTATCTAAAGATATTGCCATACAAGTTAGTACTACTTTTGTTTTGATACTTAATAACATCGAATCAATCTTGCGATACTTATTCGATATACAAACGAAAGTGAAACGAATCTGATGGTATGGTAACGAAACAGATTGTTATTTTGGTGACAATCTGTTCCCTGCTTCCCTATATCATTGTTCCGGACTTTAGAAAACATCTGTACTAAATTCGGTTGAAACCGATTGATGTTGCGACAACCCAATTTAAATTAAATGTATTTTTGCCAGGCCGCACATAAACTAACACTTATTAATTTTATATATTTACAAATTATATATAGGTACATAACTTAATTTTATAAGGCAATTAATATTTATAGGACATACTTATACAAGCAAATCCAAAGTTCATGTTATCCGATTCCTTAAATGAGCAACTTGTAATTGACAGTAGATTCGATAAGTTGGTAAATAGAAACTTGCAGAAACCAAAAAGGAACCCTTTGCTTTAAATTATTAAATTAGTGAGTGTTATTATATGTTGTGAATGTAATTTTAAAATAAACATAATAACTACGATTACTAAGTCGGTAAGTCATTCAGATTACAAGTGAATTATGACCTACTCGGATTTTTTTCTCGTTCAAGTACTCGATATTAAGTCTTTTTAGCATAGTGTCACATTATTTAAACGGATTTACCGTGATATTAAGGGATCATAAATAATATATGAATGTAAACAATTATAAATTTGATACGTACTCACCGTATAAACTTATTTTACGTCACCATTACTACTAAAATTTAATAGTTATACACAAAAAAAAAATAGACAAACCACAATCTCAACGATTTTAGTATTCCCTTGTTTATACAAATATACCCTTACAATATTTCTTTGTCGTCAGAACAAAACATTGGTAGCAAACAAGTACATATTTTCCAAAACAAGAAAATGAGATACAAGGAACTGTTATTATTTCCTGGTAGTCCGGATGCTACGAAGTTATTATACAAAGAATGTTTCCATGTAGGTACATACTGTATAACTTCGCAATTAATTCGTCAAAATATCTTAATATCTCTATTTACTTTAAGATTACATATTTTTGTGACTGTTATTATAAGTGGCTCTATAATAAGCCAAACACTCCGCTATCTAGTCCCAAGCTAAGCAGATCTTGTTTCAAGCATTAAATAAGTCTATACAACTAAGAGTAATACTTAGATCCATATATGTTTTGTACCAAATTTCATACAAAACATCATACCCAGGCACACGCATACATAGCTGGGCACTGTTAATCAAATAGTTAACTTCGTTAATCGTTAATCCGCTACAAAAAAGTTAGCTTCGTTAAACGTTAAAGCGTTACATTTCAGAAGAATTAACGCAAGTTAACCTTAATCGTTAATCCGTTAATATGTGTAAAATTGCATTTTTATATCGCTGCGTTAGTGAATTTATAAAACCTGCTGGTTTAGGTCCTGGAAGTTAAAAAGTTAGGAACAAAACAAAATACTAATAATAATAATTCAAATGAGTAATTTAATCGTCGGGGCATAAGATGCATATTCTCCTTTATGAACATTAACATGTTGCAGTTCTCGTCTGAAAACAAGGCTCGTTATGGTGTTAAAATCTCTTGAGGGTAAAACAGTATTATATTTAATAAACAGATTTATATCAATTTGTTGAGTCATTTGATTTTATGTCCAGCCACATTTTATTGAGATTTTTCGTTTTATTCTTTAAAGAGAAGCTTGGAGCTTTTTTGTTATTGAACCTGATTTTTACACAGCGCCGCGGTTCCATACGGTAAATAGTAGGCATTGGATTAACGATTAACGGACTTCTGCATATTAACGGAAATTAACGTGTCCGTTAACATTTTTAAAAGTTAACTTAAAAATTAATCCGTTAATCAAAATGTTAACTTCGTTAATTAACGATCAATGGATTAACGAGTTAATGCCCAGCTATGAATACAAACCATCCAATCCATGAATAGATACGATTGTGCGATTAGTGCGTGTAATCGAACCTACGGCTACTGGGATAAGGCGGACTGCTAAAATGATAGTACACTGACGTCGTGTATATTTAAAAAAGTCTGTTTGCTAACTTCTTTTCCATGAGACATTCATACCATACCACCATACCGTACCCACGTAATTATTGGCCGCTACTATGTAAGTATATTGATGTAAGAAATTAGTCTTGAACCAATTTCTTACATTTTCTCTCTCTCTCTTATCTACTTTTACTGCATATGCAGTTTTCTCTCTTACTAGCATCATCTATACATATAAATAAAATTGGAATGTCTGTTTGTAACATTGAAATAACCGGGCATAAAAATATAAATACGGTACAGACACCATTTTTTTTTTACAATTTTTATCTGTCTATTTGTTCCGGCTAATCTCTGAAATGGCTGGACCGATTTTGACGGGACTTGTTTTGACAGGTAGCTGATATACCTAATAAGGAGTAACTTAGGCTACTTTTATTTTGTGTACATGTATTAGATACATATATAAACCTTCTTCTTGCATTATTCTATTTATATAAAAAACAGCTTCCACATCCGTTGCGTAGTTTTAAAGATTTAAACATACATAAGGACAGACAGCGACAGCGACTTTCTTTTATACTATGTAATGAAGGAGAAGTCCGGGCATAGTGAACAGCCCGGGAATAGTGAATGGCTAATCGCTTTCTCTGTGATACTATAAAATAATTAGTAAAGTGGTATAAGTATTATAAATATCTATCACAATCAAGAAATGTCTAAAGTTAATATTGCTAACATTTAGGTATTTTTTTTTAATAGTATAATGGTACCTACAGAAAAAAACAATATAATAGTGATATATTGAAAATGTTTTGAAACATCGTACTTGATTTTAAACGATAAAGTTTTGACTTCTTTTCCCAGTATTTCGATAATTCATTCATTTTTTATTCATCGACTAATGAAGCGCTAAACCAACAACACCATGATTTTTAAGTTACTGGAATAATGGCAAAATCGCAATATGACGTTTAATATCAATAGACCTTAAACAGCGAATGCGCGAGCAATCTTTTGTAACTCTGATGGCGCTGGTCCGCCTATGCATACCTCTTCTCATTATTGTGTTGCTACAAATGGGAGGCACATAGAACACTCGCGAACCTCCCGAGAGTTATCACAAGGCCGTAACCACCCCTGTGGCCAAAATGTATACCTACTACATGGATTAGCTAAGTGATATGAAATGTAGTATATGGATTAGCTAACTGACATCATCCTTATATACTCCTGCGCCAGCGTTATCTTAGGCAGTTACACCACTCCATTTGTTATTTTTCATGTTGATCGAAATCATTTCTGATTTTTTTTATTTTAATGAAATAAATAATACTTACTATAATAACATGTTTCAATTAGTATTGCGTTCACCACAATCTCGACGGTTGACAATGCCTCTGTTTATTAATCGAATGTATATTTATTATTATTTTAGCGTATACTCTTACACTTGTAGTTATATAATTTTAGAAATAAAACTCTATTATCTTAATTAACATTTATATAATGTTATAAATAATAATTTTATAACTATAAGAAATCAAAGGATAAGCCATTTCCTGGACTTCACCATTTCTAACATGTCAATTTATTCAGATATCTATTTACTAATTCTTGCTCTATAATTATTTACAAATTTCAATATATATTATAACTTCGAAAAGCTCATTATTATCTAATAATCTTTAACATAGATACTTAAGTATTATTGGAAATAGATACAAAATAACAACATATTAGGTATATAATCTGTTGGCAGTCAACACCTTGTTCGTGAGGGCAGTAAAGTAGTTGTATGACGTGTACCTCGTGGAGCTTAATCATGTATCCATAGGTACAATATTGGTGATTCATGCGGATGTCATAATCATCTTCATTTGGAATCATCATATTTTTTGTAGAGGACCTCCTTCCATTCGGAGTTCATTCCATAGTTCCAAGTTGTATACGTTATAGGAACTGACAGGTACGTTTGGTGATGGGTTTCTTGCGGCGGGCGGCGCGGACGGCCTCCTCAAACACCTCATCCATATTAACACGTTCTAAGGCTGAACACTCCATCAATTTGACGGCACTGAAACAATAAAATTCATATTATAGTGGGTAACCTATAAATATCTAATAATAATCCCAGGACTGTTCATGACTGTTATGAGTATTGGACAACTGATATAAATATTTTTTCTAAATATACTTAGGAAACACCCAGATCAATATAAATACAAATAATCATGCCTATAACCAAATACAATTTTTTATGCTGTGCGAAGAATCGAATTCACGACCTTTGGAAGTAAGCGGGTGTGATTAACCGCTAAACCACCCAGGCCGTCATATAATTAATATGTATACGACTATCATATATTTTTTAACCAGGAACCGTCCCGATATATAAAATAACTCACCAAAGGGATTAAGGGTTTAGGAATATATAGGCATATAGAGGATACATTTTACACACTTTTTTTCACATACATTTTATTGATATAAAATATACGTTTACAGGTAAGTGCCTGTCACCCCACCGATTGATGTATAAGTAGGTATATACATATGTAATATATCTATTTTAAACAGTTTTAACAATTTTATTGTTTAACATTATATCAGAAGTGTACGGCGTTATCGCGCAGGATAAGGGAAGAATAAAAAAATGTAATTTAGCTACATTTTTCGTTAAAAGTGAAAATTTGTGAGGCAGCGAGATTTATCATGTGCGAACGCCGGCAATTATTATCAACTCTTATCGCAGGCGATACAGCGCTAATGATGAATGTCACAAAATTAAATATTTATAACATTTAAAACATTGTAGCTGGTTACCGTTATTTTATATGTTTTTTTTTATATATCAGAAGATAGCTTATGTTCGTCGTATCACAATTTATTTTCACGTCTACTTTCATTAAGTTATTCAATCTTGAAAGGGTAATAAAAGGACCAACACACTTTGATATCTACAATTAATTCCTACATTTCCTTTATACCTCAATACCTATCTATGTGTACTAACTACTTAACATGCACCAATAGATCACAAATGCGTGGCTCATCTTAAACAAAAGCATACAAATACACAATGATAAATTACGCGGATTTTGATGCGTTTTTTTTAATAGACAGAATATATAGATTCACTCAAGATGAAGGTTTAAGCTATATAACATCCCTCTACTGAGCATTTATCTTTAATCGCGCGATAGATAACCTATAGTCCACGCGGGCGAAAGCGCGGCCGGAAAGCTAGTATAAAATAAATGAGGTAGACAGCTCCTCTCCACCACTTACCGTATTTTCTTTTTTAATTTCTTTCCTTCCTGGTTTGTTATAACTACTTTATTGCTCGACCGTAAATCGAGTTTTGTAGCTGAAACGGACAAATAAGAATTATAAATAAACGGTATGGTAAATTAATAATTATACGATAATATTAATTGAATTTAGTAGTTACCTACCTACTACATAAGGAAAATACTTATTTAGTTTGTTGACGAACGTACACAACTGTGCATCGACATTTCGTGAAACATGTGACAACGGAAATTAGTCTCATGAATACGGACCAGTATAGCTTTTTGATTGCATAGCGGTGAATACTGCAATATTAACTGACTCAAATCAAACTAAATGGAGAAAACTTTATACACTATATTACACAGTCTAAAGTAAGGAATAAGCTTATTTTTTTTCAATTAACCGATTAATAATTAAACAGCTGTACAATTGTGATGACTTATCGCTACCCATCTGTGCACTAATTCAAATCAATTAACTAATTAAATTATTCCTATTATAATTCATAATTAAAAGCTTTTCTAACTATCGTTATTACGAGATAGGTCTAGTGTATGAAACAAAATATTTAGTTAGTACGCAATAGGAAGCTTCAGTACGCAATTAGAATCAAACTATACTCACCTACTAATACAATGGGAACCGCAGAACTAAAATGCTTTAACTCCGGATACCACTTATGCACGACGTTGTCGTATGAGGAGCGATTGTCGATCGAGTAACATACTAGGAAGCAACTTGTCTGCAATACATAATTAATGTATGATCAATGCATTATTGTCACCTTAATAACAATAGGTATTTATATAAATTAATGAAGACGATTGAATGGATTCAGCATGCGATTTGTACGAGGATTATTTTTTAACTATCATAAAAATCAAGTTAAGCAGAGTTTGTGTTATGAGTGCTATACACCTCATAGAAATACTTAGGAAAATATTTTATACATAATGTATGTATATATAAAAAATACCCAGACCAATACAAACAATTATATTCACAAATCTTTGCATTCTGCGAGGAATCGAACCCACCATTTGAAGTAAAGCGGTGTGCTAAATCGCTAGACCACCGAGTTCGTCATTATATATTGTATCTATATAAATATATTATGCGATAATATTTCAATTAAATAAAATTTCGTTAGGGTTTGAACTTTCGTTTGACTTTTTAGAAAAAAGATATATTAATATATAACTGTAAGTACGGACAGTGTTAATCTATATCTTTTAAATTGACACTATGTATCATAAGACACTATATAGGCTGGGGCAATGTTTAGTCTTTAATGCAAGAAATTGCCGTTTCTTAAATCACACACAATCCTGTCTCCATACAGACACTTTCCATAACTTCTGATCTATTCTGAGTAGGTACCTATGTAGTTTGTTTACAAGCGCTACATTATTTGTATATTTTTGATCATAATTCAAATAAGTATACTATAAATATTATATAATTCTTCCGTAGATGCGTTTGTCACCTAACAACATTTCAGATCAATTGAAATAATAATATGGAGCCAATCATACACACACTATGTTATAAACTTTAGAAATGGTGCAAGTGCCAGGGTAAAGTCTGTATGTCTGTCTAGGTCCAATATAATTCTGCCAACTAAAAGTTTTTTTTTGATATGAAAAGCCACTAGTACCTACTAAAAGCTACGATATCTACTGAATGTGGTAACCTATCACTTGAGGTAATTAATTTAATTGGCTTAATTAGACCCGAACGGACGAGGGGCTGTTCCTTGATATTCTTTATTGTGTATCAAAATGGAATTCATAATTGTGACTGTAACAAAGGGAAAATATATATTCGATGTTCGTACAATCAGTCCACTGCCTTAATAAATTATTTTTCAATACGTTTAATATTTCAAGAAGAGGAACGTCTTCAAACTTACGTTGTTATATGAGAGAGGCCTCAATCTTTCGTAGTCTTCTTGTCCAGCTGTGTCCCATAATGATAATTCTACTTCTTCTCCGTCCACCGTCACGTTACCAGTATAATTATCGAACCTATTAAAAACATCCTATATTAATATTATAAATGCGAAAGTTTACGAGGTTTGATGGACGATTATATTATTTGTCACTTATTCACGCAAAACATACGGGACGGATTCTAATGAAATTTGGCACATAAGTAGTGTGTTAGAGACTCAACAACATCAATAAATAGGTAGGTACTACTGGATCGGGCCTAAATATCAACATATATATATTGTCGGTGATAGTTACTTCGAAAATACACATATATACTATATGTTGATATTTAGTACCAATCCTATTAGAAGATCGTATGATATAGGTACTTAATTAGAAACGTGTACCAAATAGCAATCAGTGGAGACAGGGGAATTGTTGATAAATGGCTCATTGTTAACCAAGTAAACTTGTCAGGCCGACCGACACGTGCCATACCACTCTAGAAACCATCATGGTTAATCCTCTACCATTAAACAATGTTAAACAATTAAGTTGAGTATTAAAGTTCTATGTATATATTAGTCTCTATATAGTTATTGTCTGCGTCACATATTAAGTATATACGAGTATATTTGCTTAGAATAGCAAGGAAGTTGGACTAGCTATAGGTGTGTGTCTAGTTTCATGAAGGAAACGGTGACGACGGCTGTATGGTGCTGTTCACGAGTGAACAATATGACAGTACAGCGACATATTTGACTTTATAAATAGGGAGTGCTGCTCGCAATGCCCAGCGGGTACCTGTCCAATATTAGATTCTGCCATTAGCTGCAAACATCGTCGTATTCATTTTGTATCATTCCGTATTTTATTGTAATAATAGGAATCAAAGACTGGTTCTGTTAAGACCAACGTGGGCTCAGTTATCCGAATTAAACTGTAAGTTTTTTAATATACCAAAAATATTACTTCCTAAAAATGCCTCAGGTAGGTATTTTTAGGGAATAAGTTGTAATAATTTAACAGTGTTTGTGTCTAACTATAACCTGAGCAAACCCACAGACAGTAGTAGTTCACAAGTGTGATAGAGGAAGAAGCTGTCATTGAATTCAAGCTTATTAGAAATTTAGAGAATACAATCACACGGGCCACCACAACACCATAGTCGTAAATTTAATTATAATGTAGTTTGAAGGTGTTATAGGTGTTGTAGAAGGTATAATATAGGTTACATAATGTTATTTCAATTAGTTTACATCTATTATCTTATAACTATACGATAGTAAGTAGTATTTAGCATAGATATGGGCTCCACGCACACGCACACGTTGACTTAGAATGGGTGTGTACGTACCTAATATATAGCCTTGACCTTATAGGTAGTTGCTCTTATCATCTGAATAAATATTACTACGAACAAACCAAACAGGTAGGTCTATTTGTGTTTCGGTCATGATATCGTCCGGTTTTCAAGTCATGACCGAGATGCTACGCACCAATGAAGTATTTAGGTAGGTACATAAATACTTATACTTATGATTTCGGTATGTATAGACGCTCAAATTACTCATACCACCATTGAAATATTAGTCATTGTATGTGTCCACTTCTGTTTAATAGTAAATATAAATAATTTAATACGTCATACCTTAAACCTCTTTATAATTTATGTATATTATAAGTGACTGATTGCATTTGTTGTATCATGATATAAATAAAATAATACAAAATATGATATAAAAAATATCATATTTTGACTAAGATATAATACCTAGTAGATTTTGTCCACTTTTCTACACTAACCATAAAATATATTTATAGGTACTTTCCATTCCTTCAGATCATAATCTTTGAACAGAAACATAAAGACAAAACAAAAACAAAAATAGGAAAACTAATATTTTGCCCTCGGTAACAAATTTATTTGAAGAGATTGTTTTTTTTAATACTGCTACACTATGAAAGTATCATATACCTATGTATGATTTGATACGGCTATCTGCAAGTAGAAATCAAGAAATTAGAAGGTTTTAAACATGAAGTTTGTGATATTTTTTTTTTTAAAAAACACGACGCAAGATTAGAGGTATTATTGCAAAAAATAATATTTCCACAATAGCTTCGCAAAAATCATAAATTTTGCGGGGGAAAATAATTTTTCATTCTATCAGAAGTCTCTTAGAACTCTCAGAAGTTCTAGAAATAATGTTCTAAGTTGTAAAAAAATTCTTTTGGAAATATATATATTTCCGAATAATGTTATTTTGTTCTATACGATGGTAGCACCTAAGTGTGTAGTTGTGTACTATATTACATAGGTATACGTACTAACAATATACTGTTTTCCGATAATAAATTTATTTTTATTTTTATCCGTATTATACCTATTAGCTCGGCATCATGTAAACATAACAAATGATTTCATCAAAATTGTGAGGATATATACATTTGAAAAATCGTGGTTAAGAGTTTTAAAATGAATACTACAATATATTTATTTATTAGATGGTACGTAGTATTATAGATGATACTGTAATACAGTGATCGTATCGTAAGGATAATTATACGAATAAACAAACACTGTTTTGAACCTATGGTGTTCGGAAACATAGGATATGCCCATGTTTCCGAACACCATAGGTTCAAAATATAACATAATATAAGGTTTCGATGACGGTTACGAAAGACCGATAAAGCAAATCAATGTAATCACACTATTATATTCATATGCTTATTAATTTAAACATAAAATAATTTATATTCTCAGGCTGTCAAATATTTACACAAAAATTAAATACGGAAAAGAGTCGATAAATGCTATACGTAGGTATATGCCGATATGACCTAGTCTGGTTAACAGACGGGTCCAAAATAGGAGATGATGTAGGATGTGGAATATGCGGTGTAAAACCCAAAATCTGCAACTATATAGGCTTAGGAAAATACGCCTCAATTTTTCAGGCAGAGACTTACGCCTTAATTAGATGTCTGGAAGTAATCCTAAGCCTCAACTACATCAATCAGAACATATACATTTATTCGGACAGTCAAGCTGCTCTACTAGCACTTAACTCGTACGAAATCCGTTCTAAACTTATTAGAAACTGTATCCTGCTACTAAATGAAGTAGGAAGCAGAAATAATATTATACTGAGATGGGTCCCCGGGCATTCAAATATTGAAGGCAATGAGAATGCCGACCATCTGGCAAAGTTAGGGGCAAAAACCGTCCAACTGGGCCCCGAACCCTTCTGTGGTGTGCCTCGTTGCCTAAAACTGGGACATCTCAAATTAATAACCAAACGAAAAGCACTGAATCACTGGCAAGAAATGCCAGGATTAACACATTCAAAAGACCTAATATCGGGCTTCTCGAACAAATACTCCAATAGACTACTGCTATTGAGTAAAAACAACATATGCATGATGACTAGGGCCCTCACAGGATACTGCAAATTAAACAAGCATATGGCTAAACTAGTCCTATGCACGACAAGTATCTGCAGATTCTGCCAAACTGAAGAGGAAACGCCGCTTCACATCCTATGTGGTTGGAGCCCACTCATGCATAAACGAAATATCTCCTTTGGAAAGTTTACACTCTTTCCCGAGGAGATAAAAACGATCGCTCCTAAGAATATCCTTCAATTCTTGTCTCTGACGGGTCTAGGTAGCGAACTCTGAAAAGGGCGAGCACAATAGATCTATGTAGGTCGCAGTGCTACAGGTGCTACACATCTGACAATAGCCCAAACAATCCAATAAAAAAAATATGCCGATAAGGTTATACCTGTAATTTATGAAAAGTAGTATCAATGACTTGACTAGAAATCACTTACGAATATCACCGTCTGGATTTCTATCATAAATAAGACAACTATATAAGTCATAAACTCATGTAGCCTTGTACGTAATAGTTCAATTGAAGCAAAGGAAATGAAATCACGCGCTTAACCAAGACAGCCGTATTTTTGAATATATGTAGGTAAGTAGGCATTATGATATCAAGCTGACATTTGATTAGATACAAGATACAAAAGAGGCAGCACAAGATATTTCATATTTCGATAAAAATCTATTGCTTAGATATATTAAGATTGTATGTAGGTAATTTAATTCCATCATATAGTTAACTGTTTGTATTATACATATATGACTCACAAAATTATATTGTACCTACCTATATTGCTATAGTGACTTCATAAAAGGTAAACTGAGAAAACCAGTGAGTATACTACTCATTGCGCACAATAATGTCCGTATAAATTTATGGAATGTTATATTGTGACGTCACTATAACCACGTAATGATAACAACATTTCAACATCTATCCGCTAATTTAGTGGCTCGGCCTCACGTAGCGGCTAACGAACATCGTCCGTCTATCCTAGTTGCCGCTGACAAAGACTTAGAAAACTACTTACACTGTAGGCACGTATTCTTTAGGAAATTCATTTTTAGTGTACACGTACAGCAGGCAAGTCTTGCCTACCATACCGTCTCCGACCACTGTTATCTTCAGTGTTCTCTTCGTAGCCATAGTGCACATCCGACATCCGACAAACGACCACAAACAATTCACTATAACACTGTGTTTACAAAACCTATTATTACTGTGGATGCATTTTATACACTAATATTTGAGCAAGGAAAAATATTCCCTGTAGATTCTTATCACTGTGATGTAATAATCTTATCAGTCTTGTAGAAACACTCGCGATAGAGCAACGTTTATATCGAAAGGAAAAGCGCGAGCGTACAGTATAACGGCCGAATGCTGAATGATTCAATCAAGGGAGGCGTCGATTGGTTACATTTGTTACGCCAAATGTTGTGGTTGCGGTTTTCGTAGCGTCATAAAATTATAGTCACTCAGTTCGGCAACTGAGTGTCGGTCGTAATTAATTCTAGAGACGTATGCCAGTCAGCCTCGACAACAAACGGGCGACGTCACACGACCGTATTTACTATTCGACACAGTCAAGTACTAATTATAAGTAAAATTATATACCTCTTTTGTAATTCAAAGGGACAACAGTCGTTAAATTTCAATTTGTGTATAGATATCATTAATCTAATTTGCATTTGAACATAATGGGTTAATTTAATAGTATATTACTATTAAATATTATTACAGTGATATACCACGAAGTAGATATCTGTACTAGGTCTATACCACAAAATTTTAAAGTACTTAAATTTAAATATTTATGAAACTATTACCCTGCCTTCACTTGCAGCTATTCATGAGCGTAACTAGTGTCTATTAGAACCCGCACAATTTCGCGTAATGTCCGTTGTCATGCAGCTCTTATCGAAATTAATAGAGCAAGAGCCCACGACGGCCAGACATACGTCATATTAGTAAACGTGAAAGTTCTTGTATGTGTGTCCCCAACACAGGTAAGAACGATCCCCAAACATAAAACCTGGATCGTGGTTCCTTTGGCAGGTAACAGGTAACAAAGGTGTAAAAAATTTCATATCAAATTCGTTATTTTAAGAAACTCAATATTTTCATATATTGTTCGTAGCATTATTATAACTTGCGCTGCTCATTTCCAGACACTTAGTGTGGTTCCAACCCCCCGCCGGACCCCCCTAAAGTATACTATTTTATAAATAAACTTACGTCATTTTAATAAAGCTGAACTTTATATATATTATTGAGAGAACCATTAAACTGAGTTTCCTAAATTGCCAGACAGTTTTCTTGGTTCCTTATCCTACCAGAATAATTGAAACCGTATATTGGGTAACAACGTTGTATACAATTTCATATCAAATTCGTTATTTTAAGATGCTCCATTTTTTCATATATTGCTCGTAACAGTATTATAACTTGCTCTGCTCATTGCCAGACCCTTAGTGTAGTTCCAAACCCCCGCCGGCCCCCCCTAATCTATACTATTTTATAAATAAACTTACGTCATTTTAATAAAGCTGAACTTTATATATATTATTGAGAGAACTATTAAACTGAGTTTCCTAAATTGCCAAACAGATTTCTTGGTTCCTTATCCTACCAGACTCATTGAAACCGTATATTTGGGTAACAACGGTGTATACAATTTCTCTGGCCATCGTGGGCTCTTGGGTTATAACCTAGCTACTCGCGGCGATCTTAATTCTACAGTATTTTCTCAATTTACTACAGTTATATTTAGCATTTTATTATTAATCACTGATAATGCAATTCACATAGTTACAAAACACAAGAGAAATACGTAGTAAAATATGTACCACTAACCTATAGTCTAGTGATTTACCACACCTCTTTACTTCCGGTATTAAGAGGTTCGATTCCTCGCATGGTACAAACATCTGCTCCGGATGTTTTCTGGGTCTGTAACTATTTATAAATAAAATACATATCTTTATACGTTATCAGTTACCCATAACACAAACTCTGCTTAGCTTGGGTCTAGATGGCGCTATATGAATTTGCCCAGGCACAGTATCATAATGAATAATATTATAATTAATTTTGTTAAATAAAGTTCGAATTGTCTTTCTCTAAAAATTCCATTAACTACTTATATTTAATAATGTATACCTAGATGATTAAATAAGGGTCAAAGTTTAAAAGTTCTAAACTTCGTCTACAAAAAATTATACGACCACGGCATACTACACCATGGATATTAACAAACATTATATTAGACAAATATATAAGATACCTATTTTCTTCTCCATAGTCGAGAAAAATGAATAGCTTACATTTTGAACAGCATTAAACACCGAGCGGACGTTTAAGAAATAAACTTTAAGTTATTCAAGGCAAAGGTTATTTCTTATATCACGTGCAGGCTATTGCTTGCCTACATAGAATAGAAAAAAATATTATACTTTTAACCCTTCCGAGTTTTCCTCTGTTCCATACACAGGAAAACTCGGGAGGGTTCACAAAGTCGGGACTAATTGAAGATTGAAAATAAAAATAGTTAAGTAGTTTAATACAGACAGCCCCACAAAAATTAGTGCCGTTGTCTTATTTTTCAAGTCAGAGCCATTGTCAGCTGTGGATCTCGTGGTGAAGCCAATAGTAAATATACCCCCATTAGCTTCGGTATATTTGAATTCAAAATCTGTCCCCTGCTGGGCGAGCCTATTGCCGTCTCTTGGATATTGTTTGTTTGATACTCAACATGAGTATCAAACAAAAAAAATCCAATCCTTCAACGAGATTTAGTCAGAAATATAAATGAATACTTTTCACAACACACAAGTCACAACCTTTTGAGCGTAAGTCTAGGTAGTAAATTACTAAGCCACGAGGCTCTCTATATTTCATGGAAGGTCAGTAACAACATCAAATACAAACAAGATAAAATACAAAAGCAGTTGAGGAAGAATGTATTCACCAGTCAGTATAAAAATGTAAATGGTATTTATAAACTTTATGGCATGTGAATTTCAAAATCAATACTTATAACTACGCTTGCAGCATCACAGTCAACAATTAACAATATTTTTTAGGTATTGAGATCAGTTAGTCACTTTCACAGTCTCAATTGTTTATCAAGATTAGTAAGTTACGTCAGCTATTAGTACCTCCAGTAGTCTGTTATGTACACAGATTACATTTTCATTCATTTACATATTATTAAAATTACGCTGTCAGAGCTAATGACATAACAAACAGCCAGATTAAAACCTCTTTTCAAAACTTTATCAATCTATTCATAATATGTAAGAGCACCTATCTATTCATCTATTGATATAAAATTACAATACCCACAGCCACAGCATAACAAATACAATGTGACTATTTTTATCAATAAAGTTAAATTTGTACTTAGATGTTAATCAATACAATAATGTCACACGTAAAAGATAAGGCACTAAAATTACTTAGCATATTTTCACAGTTTCTAAAGGTAACAAGTAGTATAGTGATAATATAGTATATATATATATATATATATATATATGCAAATAAACATATATATATATACATATATGCAAATAAACATATCACTTTCAAACATTGTTAATAGGTTAATACTTATTAATTAAAAATATTAAAAATCAACAATTAATTGATATACTAATTATTTCTTATTTATATTTTCTATTTCAAGACTTTCAAATCCTCCTAGGAGAATTTCTTCTTTTAAAGTTAATACTTCTTGTAGTAGTTCTTGATTGTTGGCTTGTAATTGTGCTATAACTGCCTGTTGCTTTCTCTCGCGCTCCTTCAGGTGCAATAGAGATGAGTGACACACTTCACTACATGATGTGGGAGTACCTATTAAACATTTCGATATTAAAGTGTATATAGTTGTATAAATAATTCTGATACTAGAGTGTACACCACTGCAGTCTAACGACATATGCATTATACTGTTTTAAATTTAATGCAGTCATTATTTATATATATAATTAGTAAAAGTCACAGGATCTTAACATGATATATATTTATTTATTGAGTTCTCAATATTACTGCAGTGTTTCAACCGAAACACTCGAGATCCCTTGATTTTTACTAATTATACATATAGACATATGCATTGTCCCATATCTGTGCTCTTGTAAACAACTATATACCTTAAAATATTTAGTTGCATATTAAGTTCAACTACTCCATACTTGATTTTATGTCAAGTATACAATAAGTTGTACTAATATGCAACTAAATATATTACTATTGCAGCAGGAACACTAATTGCTATCCATCCACCCACTACAAAAAAGAGAAGTATGGCTAAGAAACACAACCTTTAATATTTTCCAAGAAGAAATAATATTTCTATTTAATTAAAATTTAAAAGAAGCTATTTATCTATTCATTATATTATAATGAATAGATAAATAGCTTCTTTTAAAGAAGAATATTAATAAGTACTCACTTGATTTATTTCTTATTCTATCCATCAGCTTCTCGTTCTCTTTCTTTAGTTTAGTTATTTCATTGCGAAAGGTTTTTTCACTGGCTTCTTTCTGTTTTGTAAGTCTTTGTAATTTTGACTTTGTCTCCAAAAGTGACTGTACCAGCTCATCTGAACGATCAGACACTCTTTGTGCTGTTGCAACACAAGCTCTAGATTCATTCATCTCCACATTTAGCTTGTTTTTGAGCCTGCCATTACTTCCCTAAAGACACAACACATATACAGCTGCTAAATTTATATAAGGAAAATTATTTAATAACAACAATATACCAATTGGCATTTATTGCCATTCAGGTGTAAATCATTTTCCCTTGGGCATTCATATTTGGAGTTATGTTCAAATCTTTTAGCTTTCCATTTTTTTGCTTGTTCTAATGTAAGTTAAGAGGCATAGGTAACAATATTTTTGATATACTTTTATTCTAATATAACATTTTATTGTATAGAGAAAATTAGAAAACAAATTGTTCAATACTATCTAAAATAAAGGAAACCAACAAGTATTCCATATAATAGGAGTTGTACGAAATTACAATATAGTTATAAGATATAATGAATGAAACAAAAATAAAATATTAAAATACACACAGTTAGCTGTTTGTTGTTGTTTTCAAGGATATGCATTTGTTCTTTCAATTGAGTATTTTTCTCCATTGCATTTTTATAGAAATGTAGTAACATCCATATTACATTAATAAGCTTTATAAGAGCTTTTGGTTCCAATGTGCCATTTTCCACATCAATATAAGGGTTGAAAGTGTAATTTAAATTGTAGAGTCCTAATTCCTGTAAACAATTTTTGATAAAACAAATAAACCCTAATAATTACACCACATCATTCAGTGCCATATACTGTGATAATTTGCAGTATAGGTACTAGGCAAATAAGAACATTATTTTTTTTCCGTTACCAGAAACCAGCCCTGGTTTCACACAGATATTACACAAAACTGTAACAAATTATACACTTAACCCTTTTTAGAAAATTTCGATGTTGATGTCTAATAATTCATAATGTAGTTTTTGAGATTATTGCGAAATTTCTAATGCAAGTAAACAAAAACCCTGTTTAATGTAATTGTGTCGTCACGTACTAGTATATAAGTATTTGTGTTACACGGGATAAGGCATATAAGACAGAAGACTGCGAATTAAATCGCTGGACAACTAAGGTCGTGAAAAAAATTAAATACCTCACTTAATCCGATTAAACACTCCTTAATATTATTCTGAGTACATGGCTCATAAACTGTTGCCTTTTTATGTTTGTAATTTTGTAGAAGCTCCTTTACTTCCTCGTCCAAACATTCGAACTCACTCATTGTGATATAAAGTTCTGAAAAGTAGGACCTATCGCAGTATAATTCTTTGATGAAAACCTACAAAATTAAAATCATATACAAAGCACAATTTAATAACACTTTATTGATAAATACATTTAAAAAAAGACAAGAATTTGAATAAGAAAATTTATATATATCTTACAGATACAGATTGCAATATAAAATAATAAATTTAATTTTGGTAGGTACCTAGATCAAAACAAATTAAATATAACTTGCAATAAGACAATGTCAACGGTCACTGACAATTTTTTTTATTAATATGCTTTACTGCTCTGGGTGCAGGTACTTTTGCAACAACAACATTTCAACTTTATTTTTATTAATATATTTTACGGCTCTAGATACAAGTACTTTTTAGCCCAACGTAACAATATTTCTAGTGACTGGACTTGCCAGATCTGATGACCGTTTTCTTTCTCCCCAAAGTAGGTTCTCAAGAAATATTCCCTAATAAAGAAAGAAGCCTCAAGAATTGTGTACTGCTTTATTAATGAATATTTCCTGTTACTAGTCCAGTAGTTATTCATAGCCGTATTCAAATATAATATTTACTACATGTCGTACACACAGAAATATAACATTAAATTGTTATTATTCTTAGTATTACCACAGATAAAATAATATTGCATAGCAAGCCAAAAGATTTAGACGGGATAGCGAGAACTATCGTCGGGGGATCTGTTAGTAATAAGAACAGGTTACCTACTACTTTGTTTTCAATGTAGTCCGCGTGGAGGTCTCCACGCTCCACTTCACTTAAATGTATACACCAACGCAGAAAATGCATGCTACATAATCCCGCCGAAATGTGTATTAATTTTTATAAATATGTATATATGGTTGAACAATAAGCTCTATAATCTATAACATTGGATTTTTATTACATGGAACATGTGTACAGTGAACATCGAATCAACTTCGACAGTTCACAATACCTATGATTACCTCATCTAGGACCGTATATTAAAATAGTAAAAAACGCACGACTAGCGCATGAAGGCGCACTCTTTTATACCTTTACAATTTTATATGCACTCTCTTCGCCGCGCGTGAGTACCCTCTGTACTTGTAAAAACTGGTTGTCACTAGATTCAATACTCAGCATAAGCATAGGATACTTTCTAGTTAGAAATGTGTATAAAATCGAGGTTCTGGAGATCAGGAGCGTTGTACTTATTGAATGAAATACAGTTATGAGGTTACAACCGTATATATTGATCTAAGTGCCTAAATAAAAAATTACATATCTATATAAGGAACAACAAAAATATCTTATTAGCGTGTTTTAGAAATATGTATGCAAAAATACAGCGCCATCTAGTTGTACTAGTATAAAACTATTTTGACTCGAACATACCGCCCACCAAGGACATAATGAAACAATGTCCTTTACAGTATTAAATATCCGCCCACCATGACAAAATGGGTTGAAGTTACATGTTTGTAATTAACTACTTAATAATACAGAGTATAAAATTGTTGAACTATTAAACTTAAACACTAAATAAATGATAAATAAAACATTCTTTAACATACTAATCAACAACTGGTAGTACACACAATTTAGATGTTGGTCTTTTTATAATTGAACTTTTTGTCTTTAATGTGACTACTCGGGTTATGTTGTCATCGCCAGGATGTTTTTGAATAATGCGACCAAGTAACCATCGACTAGGAGGCATATCGCTTTCCTTGACAAGAACTATGTCTCCTAATTTAGGTTCAGGAACTTGAGAAGCCCATTTATATCTATGCAACAGTGTAGTCAAATATTCCTGGGACCATCTCCGCCAAAAATTTTGCAACATTTTTTGTATAGTCTGCCATCGAGTCAATGAAGAAATAGGTGAGTTCTCAAAATTAACATCTGGCACAGCTACTAGTGGTTCACCTACCAGAAAATGACCTGGAGTTAATGGCATAGGTTCTTCAGGATCATTGCCATTTATAATAGTCATTGGCCTAGAATTTAGACACGCCTCAATTTGACTGAGCAGTGTACTCATCTCTTCATACGTCAACGTTGACTCTCCTATAACTCTTTTTAAGTGAAATTTAGTGGAGCGCACCGCTGCTTCCCATAATCCACCAAAATTAGGCGCATGAGGGGGTATAAAATGCCATTTAGTACCTTCACATGCTATATTTTCTGCAACCTTTTGTTGTAAAACAAGTAACTCTTGTAATTCTCGAGCAGCACCAACAAAATTGGTGCCATTATCGCTCCATACTTGTGCACAGTGTCCACGTCTGGATGTGAAGCGCCTGAAGGCCGCTATAAAACCTTTTGTACTCATGTCACTGACGACTTCTAGATGTATCGCTCGAGTTGCCATACAGACAAACAAACAAATGTACCCCTTGTATGAATGATGACCCCTACCCTTCGATGTCCTAATATTTATGGGTCCTGCGTAATCAATACCAGTATGAAGAAAAGGTCTTGTAGGAGTACAACGTTCAGATGGGAGTGATCCCATTAGTTGGTTTGCCACCTTGTTTTTATGTTTTACACAAGCGATACATTTCTTGATATGTTGTTTTACAAGACTCTTAACACCTACAATCCAATAGGCAGATCTTAAATAGTTTATCATCATTTGGATACCTCCATGCAGAGTTCTCTCATGTGAATCCTTTATTATAAGTTTAGTAAGATGCGATGCATGAGGTAAAATTATTGGATGTTTTGCATGTTCATCCAATGAAGACTTATGTAGTCGTCCATCAACTCTCATTATACCATATTCATCAATGTACGGACATAATGTATTAATTTTACTTCCCTTTACTTTTTTACTACCATTGCTCTTCAATTGTATATACTCTTCTTGAAACCACTTACTTTGACTATCCCTTATTAAACATTTTAAAGCTTCTTCTATTTCTTCCTTTTGTAAATACATAAATTTTTCACTTTTCTTATCCCTTTTCACTATTAAAAAACGTCTACAATAAGAAACTGCTCTCAAAAGTTTCTTAAGGTTTGAAAATCTTGTCCATGGAGAATCCTCTATTATTGTTACATATGACTTAATTGTTTCTTCAATTTTTGTTTCGAAAGCCTTTGATCTATTGTACAATATTTCCTTTTCCCGTAAAAACTCTGGACCAGTCAACCAAAGCTTATTTTCTGCAAGTGCACTTGGTTGAATACCTCTCGAGGCACAATCAGCGGGGTTATTCTTCGATGATATATGAGCCCAATGAGATGAATCCAGTGTAGTTAAAATTTCCGATACACGGTTACCTACAAATGTCTTCCATCGACTAGGGTGACTGTTCAACCATGCCAGTACGACAGTGGAATCAGTCCACGCTCGTAAATTGGATTTCTCGACATTCATAGCCTCTGCTACTTCCACCAAGAGTCGAGCTAGCAAAACTGCGCCACAAAGCTCCAACCGTGGAATACTTACTTGCTTTATTGGCGACACCTTCGTTTTAGCTGCCAATAATGATACAGAAATGTCTCCGGTCTGACTAATTGTTCTTGTATATACAACTGCAGCATACGCTGCCTTTGATGCATCACAGAAACCGTGAAGTTCGACGTGATCACCAGGCTTCATACCGAGCCACCTTGGAATACGCACATTGGTAAGTTGTGACAACTCACCACGGTAAGTCTCCCATTCTTGTAATAATATATCCGGGACTACATCATCCCAATCTATACCCGAAAGCCACAATTTTTGTATAAATATCTTAGCTAAGATCACACTGGGTGCTACCCAACCTAGTGGATCAAACAACCTAGCAATGTCTGATATGATAGATCTTTTTGTTACAGATCCAGTATCCTGTTCTCCCGGCGGCAGTTTTACAGAGTACTTAAATTTATCATCACTGCGGCTCCAGGTAAGTCCTAATATTTTTGTTGTATCTATCATTATGTCCTTTTCTATTTTATTCTCTCTGATATCTTCCTCTTGATCCTCGCTGTCCTTCCTTTCTTTTTGTCCTTCATAAACTTCTATTTGCTCTAATAATGCCTTATTATTACTATTCCACTTTTGTAGTATAAATCCTCCGCTTTTTAATAAATTATTCATTTCCTTGTATAACTCCACTCCATCTTTCACTGTTGAACATCCCGTCATAAGATCGTCCATATAGAATGAATTCCTGACTATATTAGCTGCAATTTTGTACTTCTTTTCCTCATCTAGGGCAACTTGATGTAATGTTTTTACTGCTAAATATGGAGCAGATGCTGTTCCGAATGTTACTGTTACTAATTCATAATCTATAATTTCATTTTCAGGTTTATTTCTCCATACTATACGTTGATACGCAGCATCATCATCCGTTACTCTCACCTGGCGGTACATTTTTATTATGTCTGCTATTAAACCTATGTAGTGCATTCTCCAACGTATTATTATATGCCGTAAGTCTGACTGCAGTGTGGGTCCCACCATCAATGAATCGTTAAGCGACACTCCATTCTCATTTTTGCAGGACGAATCGAAGACGACACGCACCTTTGATGTCAACTTATCTTCTCTAATAACAGCGTGGTGTGGTAAGTAAACAGATTCATTTTCTTTTTCTTCTTTTTTTACAGGTCTCATGTGTCCTAATTGTATGTACTCCTTTATCACCTGTGTATACTTTTCTTTCAGCTTTTCGTCTTTTGATAATCTTCGTTCTAACGCTTTAAGTCTGTTCACAGCAATCGTTCGAGAGTTGCCGCCTACGCAGAGTGGATGTGAATCCCGAAAAGGTAAGTTTACTGTATAGCGACCACCCTGTGCTCTAGTTGTCGTTAGTGTATAATACTCTTCACATTTTTGTTCTTCTTCGCTTAATATTCTTTGTGTGCTCGTAGTTTGATCTTCTATTTCCCAGAATTTTTTCAGTAAATCATTTTCATTTACCTGTGCATGCATTACTGAAATTGTATTTGAACTAATATCCTGACTTGAACTTTCCGAATTAACTATGCCAGATAGGATCCACCCGAAAGTGGTGCACTGAGCGACAAGAGTTCCCATCGGTGCTCTTTTCACACCTTCCTTTATTATCTGACTATAGACATCTGCCCCTAATAAAATATCAATTTTATTGGGGCGGTTGAACTGCGGATCTGCCAATTTTATATTTTGGAGATCGCTCCATTCCATTGCTTCTAGTCTCTTCTCTGGTAAGTAAGAAGTTATGTTCTTTAATACGTATGCTTTGACCTTTATTTTAAAGTTACTATCAGTTAATGAGTGCAAAATAAGAGTAACCATATGCTTTGAAATTATTGTCCTGTCTGCACTCAATCCCGATACTGTTCCCCTAACTGTACTCCTTTTTAAACGTAAATGTTGTACTGTGGCCTCCGTTACAAATAACGCTTGGGAGCCTTGATCAAGCAAGGCCCGAACTACCTGCAAATCTCCTGATTCAGACTGAGCTTTTATTAGCGCAGTGGCTAATAAAACTTGCCTAGTTTTTGATGATTTTATTTGTCGATAGACATGACACTATTGGAGCATTGTCTTCTGAAGAATTAACACCTTCAGAGGATGTGCTCTGTTGCGCTTCCTGACCTTGTGAACTATTATTTGAATCATCCTTTGGATGCAAAAGCGTGTGGTGTCGTTTTTTACAGATACGACAATTGGTTGGTTTTTGACAATACTTAACCGAATGATTTCCCCCTAGACAATTAAAACAAATATTATTATTTAAAACGAATTGACGCCTTTGATCTGACTCTTGTTTACTAAATTTTCTACAAAAACATAATTTGTGAGCTTCTGAACAAAACTCACAACTTAATCTGGCACTGCTAAATTTTTGTGTTGCCAACAAAACCTTAGGATGACCTAGTGTATGTAAACTACTATGCTGTGCCAATGCTCTTTTTGGTTCGATACATTCCAATGCTCGAAATCTGCCTTCAATAAATTCTTTAAATTGTGAAAAGGTTGGCAATTCCATGGAGTTGTCACTAGAAATCTTAAACTCCCACTGTTTCCTAGTTTCCTGATCGAGCTTAAAAGATACGATATGAATGATGATCAAATCCCAAGTACTCACATCAATATTCAAATTGTTTAATGCACCCAGACACTCAGAAGTTGTATCTAACATTTCTTTCAGAGCCGATGCTGATTCTGTTATAATGCGTTTTTGACCGAAAAACCGTTTTAGAATACAATTGGCTAGATATTTTTTATTATTATATCTATTTTCTAATGTGTCCCAACATTGTTGATAGTTTACATCACTAATTGGCACATGTCTTACAAGCTGTTCGGCTTCACCAGTGAGATGGCCCTTTAAGTAATGCATTTTCTGCACGTTATCTAAAGCATTATTTTGATGTACTAAAGAAATGAATAAATCGCGGAAGGTTACCCACTCAGAATATTTGCCTGAGAATAACGGAATCGAAATTTTGGGTAATTTCACTAATGAACCAGCGACATTGCCATCATCATTACAAGCTGGACGGGTTAAGGTTACTAATTTATTATTCACAGTTTTCATAAGTGTTTTACATTCCATATATGTTTCTTCCGTATTATAATAAATATCATTTTTTACATACACTGAATTTTCTAATTTATCGGAATCTGAAGTCTCAATCAATTTTGTATTATTTTTACGAAAGAGCACCCAATCTTTGTCTACATTCTCTGATCTAGTTTCTATATATTCTTTTGTAATTCTGTCCTTAGGGGACTTTTTAAAATTAACTAAAGCTCTTTCAATAGAACGTTGTAAATCTAACTGAACATTTATTAAAGCTTCCATGTTTTATACAAATTATTCTTACTATAAAGTATCAATTGGTTACAATAATCAGTTTAAATTAAGTAAACTCAAACCGAAATAAACAATAAAAAAAAACTATAATATATCAAGGTTACTTCCAAAATAATCAATTAAAGATTGTATCTAAATTGTTTAAACTTTTTTTAAAAAGTTGTAGATATTATCAAAATGAAAACATAAAACTTTCTTAGTTAATATCTTGTTTAAAATTAAGAACAATATATGTACCACATGTAAGAGAACTCGTAAAGTAAAAGTTAATATTCCATACAGAAGTTATCGAAAATATTCTAAGTTCAAGACAAATCCTAAAATTTTACAAGTTAATATTTCATACAGAAGTTATGGAAAATATTCTAAGTTCAAGACAAATCCTAAAATTTTACAAGTTAATATTCCATACAAAAATTATCAAAATTATTCTAAGTCCATGAAAAATCCTAAAAATTTTACAAGTGTTTTGACAATTTTCAACCTGGCTGAAATCGGGCATAGATTCCTCGTTCCGTCGTTTTTTCTTAAATTATTCTAAGTGTCTACTAAATTACATGCAAATTATTCTATGTCCAAAACTGCTTGAAATTTTTCTATGTTTTTGATTTCTAATTAATATAGTTCAATTTTGCTTGGCAAATAAATAACAACAAATGTACTCACAATTGCACTTCACCAACACACACATGTATACTTGACTGATGTTTCACTGAAGATGATGCCCTGATGACGTCATGTACGACCAGCTCGTACATCCGCTGTACTTCCTCAGTGATGTCCTCGGTGTGGTGCGGGGGCTGCGGGGCGGGCTTCGCTGCAATAGTCGGCAGGGGGAAACACTTCCCGCCGATGACCTATGGTACCCCTTGAACAGCGGTCCACTGCCCGTCGAGTACGAATAAACCAAAAACCTGACCAAGCCGTATCAATCCGGCTACGAAGAACCATGTATAAAATCGAGGTTCTGGAGATCAGGAGCGTTGTACTTATTGAATGAAATACAGTTATGAGGTTACAACCGTATATATTGATCTAAGTGCCTAAATAAAAAATTACATATCTACATAAGGAACAACAAAAATATCTTATTAGCGTGTTTTAGAAATATGTATGCAAAAATACAGCGCCATCTAGTTGTACTAGTATAAAACTATTTTGACTCGAACAAATGCATATAAAAAATAGTATCGTTCTGTGATATTCCTAAAGTCTTACGTGATTCAGAGGAAACAGTGTTAAATTTAATTATAAATAAAACTTACTTTTTAAATTTTTAAATCTGAAATTACATACACTTAGTCTTTTTTAAATCTGAAATTAAACATTAATAACAATGCAGACTTAAAAATATAAATAAAACACTTTGATAAATTAAATATTATTTATTAACGTTAGGAAGTTGCATGACGTATTCCATGGCACTAAAAGAGAGCTGTTATTTAGTTGGTATAATATTATATAACTTATTAATCTATATAACCCTTAGTTAGTTACAGTAACTTAAAAACAACTAATTATACGCGTGATTTCGAATTAAATCAATTCTTTTAATCTTAAATGTGAAACTTCAAACTGATATTGATCAGTAATGTGCAGAATTTTTAAATAGAGATTATTTGACGTGGATGCAAACGAAGCCCAAGCACGGTGTGCAGTTAACAGGCTCCTCACAACAATATTGTCACTTCTTTCTTGAACGATTAATCAATTTATTCTGTTAGACAAAATACAGAAATTCAACAAAACAGTCTTAATGACAATACGAGAGTAGAAATAAAATTGTACTGGGTTTTTGATCGAGAGAAAAAGCACGCAAAATCTATACTCTATATTAAATGAAGACAATTAAATTAAATTCATATTAAATATGCATTGTAATATAACTAACAAAAATTGTTACTTGATTTAAGAGTTACGTTTGCTCACCACCTGAGTCGCGGTAGATTGCTAAGACGACCCCGTGACTCCGGCATTGGAGTAGTCACGCCGTATGATGGTTATTAATGCGATAAGACTCCGACAATTCCCATAGTATTTCAGAAGACTTTCCGCAAGTTAAAAAAAAATGTGTTACCTTTGCTAAATTGAGCCCGATCTCACTGAGTCGCTTATGTTGATAGGTGAGGGGTTCATGTAGTTTGGCATCACCGCGCTTATAGAAATCGCTATAGTCAAGACGAAACGCAAGAGTTTGGAGAGACACCTCGGTGTGCAATGCAAGCTTCAATATTAGTGTCGTCACGTGACCCCTGCGCAAATACATTATTATTTAACAATTGATTGACCTGTTACTCTGACCAATTATTTAAATTAAAATTATTGTCAATAAAAGGCGTCGATCAATAACTAAGAAAGAGAAACTATGTGGGTTCTAAATATATTATATTAAATAACAGACATATATACTTAAATAAATAAATTTCACGTTGAATGATAGAAAATCTATCGAAATTAGAAATGCTTTTTAAATTGTACTGTACGACAAAAAATTCGGCATATCCTAAATAGCTTCATAATATTATAGGATCTTTACTTATGTCAAGTATATTCATTAGAAAACATCCTAAAATAAAATAAAAATTACCTATAACTACGAGCCCAAACATTCAAATCAGCTTTTCTACTGCCTAAGAATTGGTGAAAAATTTTTCGTTTTTCCTTATCTTGAGCCTCATCTGCCGCAGTAAATGCATATTCACCTGAAAAAAGGGTTACAGTTAGCAGTGAACCAACGTATAATACTGGTCGTACATACATATCGCCAACGATGACGTTGGGTATCATGACCAGATACAATTATCTAGACACGCGGTAGCGTGTCAAGCCGAGTTTCAAGTAAACTAGCGAGCAGCACCGTGTGTATATTTACACGAACCATTTGGAGCCACTTTTGACCGCCTCATAACTCAAAAAACTCTTTCACACAAACCTGTCAAATTTGGTTCACATATTAAGACTTGCGAGATAAATATGTGTTCCAAATTTCATAAACATATCTCAAACGGTTATTTAGATATTAATGTCCAAAAATCGTCATTTTTGTCACTGATCAACTATAGATCAAAATTATAACCCATTTCCAGATGACCTAGGAAGTTCAAATTTGGCATGCAGATAGGTAATTAGGTGAATATAAAGGAAAAAATCTGAAACTGGTAAATTGTTATCATTTTAATACAATTTTTCACTTTAATTGATTCTATTTCAACTTATACTGGACGAATACTAAAATTCTATGAAAACGTCGATGGCCACCAATTAACATTGATCCCTGGCGAAAATATCTCATCTTGTACTGGACGGAAAGTAATATTGTATGAAAACGTCGATCATTACCAATTTACGTTGACCCCTTCACATCAGTGTCGATAACTAGCAAACTTCAAATATTGCATTGAGCGGTAAACACTAGTTGCTATAATTTAGATTCAGTCTAAAATATACTCGTACTTATAACTAGGAGTATAGTCGAATTTCGTATTTATTATGTTATTAACTGAGATTTGGTATTAATTATTGTTTCAATATTTAGAGCACATCGATAGTGTAAAATCATTATTTTTATAAATAATTATTAAATAATAGGCATTTCGGTATAGGGCGCCGCGGCGGCGCCATGTGGGAGCGGTGCGATAAAACGTTGACGCGAACCTGTCCGAGCGAATGGCAGCCGCCCTCATATGTCTCAATGTTTTGTTTCTCGATATCTAACCTATAAGGTTGCGATTTATGCTACGAAATTCATAGCTTTCTTAAATTATACTTATATTATTTGTGGTTATATTATTATTACATTATTTCAGTAAATACGTATGGTATAGACAATAGTTTAAACCAAAAATTAATAACAATTTTAGTATAGTTATAAGTAGGAATGTATAGTTAACTCGAGAATGAGAACTCATTGGTAACAAATTGTTTTCTTGAGAATTCAATAGATAACAGTCAATTTGTTATATAATCGTCTTTACGAACTATAACGTGTCAATACGAAGTTTCAGATATTAAATAATGTATATGTTGAAAGAGAACAATTCCGTATTTGCTTAACATATGCTATTACCAGTGGGGATCAATGGCATAGTAGCCATTTTTAGTTCGAAAAACGGATTTAGATGGCGTCATTGGTATCGAATGGAATTCAACATTGTTTTGTAATCGTTTAAAACCCAAAACTATGTTTTTAAAAAGGTTTAATCTATTTTTAAAAAGTCATATATAGATGTTAAAATGAAATAATGCGTTTTGAAAAGTAATTTTCATATATTTACTCATTTTGTTGTTGCCCTGTATTTGTTTACAATTTAATCATTGCTAATTGGGGCTTATTGTTTCCAAAATACTTTCATAGATGGCGCTGTTTTCATTTGTATCACCGTATTTTAAATGTTTATTTTATATTTTCAAATAATAAGTACTTACTATATTATTATGATAAATTAAACATAAAAAAAGTTTAAGTAAATATAAAACAGCTAAACAAGAAAACCATATTATTCCAGTAATACTTATTTAGAAAGTGTTGCCATATTAAAAATAAATGCATAGATTTATCGATTTTTTCGAATAATCGATAACAAGATATTACAACGCATTATTCGATGGTGCTTTTAATTAGTCTTTGCAAACAGTAAAATTTCATCATTTTGTATTATACTCTTATTTGGAACGAATTGCAATGCATAATTTTTACTCGACGACGGCAAAATAGAGAGATTTTGACAGGTATGCAAGTACTATATATTTATCTGTTCGCTCATAACTTCGAAACTTGAAGAGGGAAATATTAATTAGATTGATCTGATACAAGTGTACTCTATTATATCAACCTCCACGCGGTCACCCTGGTAATTATAGCAATTAATGACATTAGTGACATAGTTCTTCTATTAAAAAAAATAAATACCTACTTATTGTAATTTAATGAATGAGAATTGAATGTGGTATAGAGTATATAAGGTCAGCTATACCTTTATGAAACCTCAATAAACAAGTGTTATATGGTATCTAAATTACTGACATTGGTAGCTAAATATGAGGATCCTCGAATTTTTAAAAATACTCATAAGAAACTTTACAAATACTCGAATTTTGCTTTTGTAGAAGGATATTTTCAACCATACTAAATTGTACAAGGTTTTGAAACGATAATCATTCATAATACTATGATATATTACTGATCCTAGTACCTACTATTCATGATAATTAGTTTTTTAATATCTCCATTCGAGGGTAGGTTATTCATAATTTATATTATTAGATTTCATCACAAATAAAAATATCGATTTAAAATCGTAGGTTGGTCCATATTTTTTTATTATATCGAAATGACAACGAGTACTGGCAACATAAATGAAATGTTAAAAATATAAAATATAGGAATAAAAGAATAGGATAAACGACTTTAAGTCAAATGCTTAAAACATATTTTCACTAGCATTGGATTTTTTCTCTTTTTTCATCATTTAAGTTAAGTAGGTACTTCAACTTTTGAATTGTTCCTGTTCAGAGTTCATTGAACTTCTTATTTTTTGTCAAACTCAATAATTTAAATGTGTCTAAGGACTACTACAAATATTTAGTAAACTATCGTGTCTTTGAGGATTATCTCATTCCAGGTATAACTATAAGTTGTTAAAAACTTGCATATGTATGCGTGTGTATCTTTCATATTAAAATATAATAAACATAGGTACTTGGTGACCGCTTTAATGTGGTATTATTATGTTTTTATTATTGTTATGAATGTAACTTCAAGAAAACTAACACTGATTTTATAATTTTTGATTGATTGAGGAAATACTGAAAATATTAATCAAAATAAAGTACTAAACAGTAGTATTATTTTTATATTTTATTAGAACTGAATGAATATGATGTATGAATAATATGTTTATTGTGCTAATAAGGTTACAGTTTAGTTACTTTCATGTAAATTCATTCATGTATGTTCATGAAAATGTAACATGGTATATGATATTGTTTTCAGATTTTCCTGACATCAACAACTTAATACTGAACAAAGTTTAAACAAATAAGAGATGATATTCTAAACCTCCTAGTCATTCAGATGAAGATAAATAACATTTTTACTGTAAAGAACAGGAGTTCAAAAGAATAAGAAATATATATATATATATATATGAACATTTTACTGTATAAAATAATAATGCAAGTAAAAATAAGAGAAAAAAGCAGAAGAAAAATCTGTAAATTATTAATCACAATGCAATTAATAATATAATTAAATAAGTAAGAAAGCAACGGACTAGTGATGAGAAGAAATTCCAAGTAATTATATTATGTGTAACCGACTGCAAATAAGTTTATGATTTAAGCTCATGATTATTATTATATTGCTTCATCAACAAATCCAGGAATATTTTGTGTACCAGGAATTAACTATGAAATGATTTTGGTGAAATATTATGTCTTGATATTGATTTATTTGGAATATAATATAAAAATAACAGAAGTGTTTGAAGTTTTAGTGGTATAACAGACAAGCAGTGAAAGAAATATTATTGTAAATTATTAACAATTGTTTATTCTGTGATTAATAAATTATTTAAAAGTGTTTTATTACCTGAAATAAAAATTTTATGATCTTCAAGTGTTGTGTTCATGCAATGTTAGTTTCACCTCATTCGATTTAAAATGTCAGGAATTATTTACTACATAATGATTTTGCATTAGATGGTAATCATATATATTTTTTAATGCAATGTGTATAATAGTTCCCATTTACATCAAAAAACTTTGTGTAAATCTATATTTCTCTGTCTATAGACTTTGGTTGCGGAATACTAATAAGAAACAAAATCTAGAGACTGTAGTATATCACAGCATCCCAGAACCTTGTATTTAAGTCATATAAGGACTTAGTACCTACCTAATACTTGCTACTTTTTTAATCAATTAATTAATTTGATCTCAATCATCATGATGAACAATGATGATAATGTTGAGAATACTGCCAATGATGAATTTTATGGTGGTCATAAATAAATACCACCGTCACTATCGTCAACAGTCATTATTGATCTCATCATCATCACCGTTACCCTCCTTCATCCATATTGTCAAAAGTTACTACCTACTATTATGAACTGAAATGGTAAATAAGCTGACGATCCATCCAACCACGACGCTATCCGACGTACATACATACACATATATTATTAAGCAGCATTACGTCATCATGTCGTGCCCGCTATATCCCGCATACGTTATCATTCCGGAGAACATAGATGTTATGTCCAAATATCCTGTAATTTCGCAGCTTAATTTCAACTGAATAACAACTTACATAAATACCAAAAAACTAGCAGTAAAGGCGTAGTTTGTAGATATCGAAGGTTCTACAAATAGGTATAACATCAAAATAAGTACCTACATGTCATTAGCACCGATGTAGTATCCCTGAAAGAACCTACATATAACAGATTGATGGTTTGCAGATATTATTTTCAGTTTTACAAATTGCCAGTTTACCATAATTAACTACATAATGAGAAATAATTATACACTGAAAATTATATGAGGTACCCATATGCACATCAATTGATTATAGCTAAAATCTATCACTATCACATAACAATTTAAATAAAAAAAACCGTATTAAAATCGGGCTATTCGTTAAGGAGCTATTGCTCCTTAACCGATAGCCCGATTTTAGTGCAGACGCGTTACGACATATCTTCGTCGGGAGAAAAAAAAGTAGGCATGTAAAAAAGTAACTGTAACATAGTACATAGATACATAGGTACATTAGCCGTGTCTGTAGACTGTCAGCGAACAATATTATACCTACATTGAATTTTCGATTGTACCCAATCAGGAGTTCGATACAGTTATATATCTATTATGTACGTATCTTTGCAAAACAGATGTCATGTAGACCGAATTCTCTGCCATCTATTTTCATGCTTTATTACTAATCACCCACTAGTAATCCGAACTGCTTCAGATATAGCGACATCTAGCGCCTACGGCGGCGAAATAAAATAGCCCGAAGAATAGCCCGAGTTAGGAAGGAACCATTTTCTTGTATGGGATGGGGTATCTGTATGTAATATTATATTATCTGTGCTATTACTATCCACAAATCACAAGGCCTTAGTTTTGGCAGTCCTCTTCTCAACATAGGCTCCTCTATATTTAATAAAGGGCAGGTTTACGTTGGACTCTCCAGAGTTAAAACCTTAGATGGAGTACGTCTTAACAATTTAGATCCAAGTCACGAGAGCTCTATTGTAGAGTACAACCATCTGTGGACGTTATACCGCCCCGATTTGCCCAAAAATTCCTGATACTGAATTGGCATTGCACTTGAACATTTAAAAGTTACAAGAAAATATAGAAAATAACACAAAAAAAAAGACAATTATACCCCGTAAATATACGAAAATACAGTAATTTATCAAAATTAATTTAGTTATAAATAAGTACCTCGTATAATTTATGTACAAAAAGTAATGATATCCCATCAAAAACATAAATGTGAAATGATAGCCGAGTTTAATATTATGATATATGCTTTGATTGTTGACTTCTACGACAAAAGAGATGAGATCTAAATGGGTGCCAAGTTCAATGGTCTGTCCTGAAATGTATTTATAACAATATAAAATATCATTTCTTCTTATAACTTAGGATAATATACTGTAGCCTAAGGTCTAACTTGGCTAGTTTTCATATACGAAATATACTGTAGCCTTCGCAAGTTCTAAACATGTTACTTGTCGGTTCCTATTTTAATATTAGTAGTAACTAGCAATCGAAAGTAATAATTGGTATATGACAACTGGCCAAGTTAGAACTTAGGCTACAGTATATTATCCTAAGTTATAAGAAGAAATGATATTTTATATTGTTATAAATACATTTCAGGACAGACCATTGAACTTGGCACCCATTTAGATCTCACCTCTTTTGTCGTAGAAGTCAACAATCAAGGCATATATCATAATATTAAACTCGGCTATCATTTCACATTTATGTTTTTGATGGGATCTTTAATTACCTCTTGACACGCGTTCCGCTTTCATCTGTTCAATACCTTCTCGACGTTCAAGCTCCGCGATGATCCCTGTGTGCAGAGTAGTTTCGAAACTGCGCAGTGCTAAGGTTTCATTTAATACATTGCCTAAATATGATTGCAGTTCCTGAAAAGAACAAAAGAAAAATGTTGTATTGTGGCTTCTATGACCAAGTTTATATCTTATCTTAATAATATTATAAATGCGAAAGTTTGTGAGTATTGTGAATGTTTGCACCGTGCCAGGAATCGAACCCGCGACCATCGGAAGTAAAGCGGTGTGCTGAACCGCTACACCACCAACGTGACTTAGTGGTGGTTAGCGGTACCTGTGTGGTGTGGTGTATCATGGCGTGTATGGAGTGGCGCTCGAGCGCGGCGTGGTGGAGCCGCAGGAGGCGGTCGAGGTCGTCGCGCGCGGCGGCGGCGGCCAGCAGCTCGGCCCAGGCCGGCTCCGCGCCCGCACAGCTCGCCTCCTGCAGCGCGCCGCACAGCCGCAGCGCCTCCGCGCGCAGGCACGACACGCGCCGCATCAGGCCCCACACTTCTGCAACACCATAACCGACTCCACATGTGGCGTGGGTTTACTTCTCTCAGATAATAAATAAATAGACCAAAGTTCAGGACAAATAACACAGCCATCCATCCCAATCCATCCCAGCCATCTAGTCCCAAGTGTATATAAAAATGTTTTTGTATACATAATATGCATAGAAAACACCCAAACCGAAACAAACAATCATACTCATGAATACACATTTTTCTACCATGCGAGGTCATCAGAAATAAGGCGATGTGCTAAACCGTTAAACCACCAGCTTGGGCATTAGTAAACTTACATTATTTTGTGAGCTAGACAGATAAATTGTAAGAAATTGTAACATTATTTATTTTAAGACAATATGTGGATATATCACAATATGTGGTAAAACTATTCTTAGAAATTAAATAAATCCTAATATGGAATATTACCATTATAGTCAGTGGTAGTCGTTTAAGTACGTTTTAGTTTGAGAGGGGTGAAGAAAAGCGAGATGGTTAACTCGCCACAAAGAAAGAGTCAGTGCGATGTCTTTATCATTTACATAACCAGATACCAACATATACTAAAAAATCACTGAAAGTGTATCTAGTGAAAGACAATGCAGTACAATGTAACGTGAAACATCTAACAAATGAGAAATCTTTTAATTATTTTGTTTTCTAAATATATTAAAATCAAATATTGCATATACATTTTTTATGTATAATAACCTGGCATGTACTTCAAACGCTTCTGTAGTATAGTGTGTTCGCGCCAGGCGTCGTGCAGGCTGTACTCGATGCGTTTGACTCGCCAGAGTTGCGTGAACAGCGCGCGGTACCTCGCGGCGCACGTCGCCGGGAACAGAGTGCCCAACGGGCCATCAACACGGTACTGCAAAGCGAACACGTCCCATCCGCAGTCGTCACGCCCATCACCTAAGCAGCGCGATTGAAACAAGAAAATATGTTAACCCCATGTACTTAAAAAGTAGGGGTTGCATGAAAGAGATAGTCTATTAGTAAGAGGCGGATGGCATCATATACATATTTATAGAAGATCACGTTACGCCAATTTCAGTGAATTCCAACCCCTCCTCCATCCATTAATAATATTACAAAATCTAAGACCGTTCCCAGATGTGGAGGGGCCCTACACCTTCAATTGATAAACATTGAACATCCTTGTTACGATGTCACAATTTTTCGTCTCCCCCACGTAATTTACGAATAACTAGCGGACTCGCGCTTATTACTATATACATGTATTTGACAATTATAAAATGTAAATTACAATAAAAAATCTTACAGTTTGGATAAAGGTTGACGTGGAGTCGTGCCAGTACGTGCGACGGCTCAAACTGCGCATTGGTCGCCCGCACGGCGGCTTCTAGCGTGCATGTGAGGTTGTGTACATATAGGGATGACGCTGGCTTGTTCAATTCATCCCTAACATAAAAAGTCTATTAATATTAGAAAAAAATACTTATTTTCAAAAAACATTTGAAATAGATACTAGACTACCTAGTCACTTGAAGATTTCAGGGTCTCCAAAAAATAACATTCTGCCCACAAAGTGTGTATTGATAATAAATTTGATTCGATATTTGACGGAGTCTTTAGTCTAGAGATGCACCACACTGCATCAGATGTACCGATGGTCGTGGGTTCGATTCTTCGCATGATACAAACAAAACGAATTATTCATTACTAGTTACTCGCCCCGGCTTCGCCTGGGTGTAAAATGTATATGTATTATTTACATAAATCTTCCTCTAGAATCACTCTATCTATTAAAAAACCGTTTAAAAATCCGTTGCCTAGTTTTAAAAATTTAAGCATACATAGGAACGGACAGACAGCGACAGCGACTTTGTTTTACACTTAGTCATTACATATTATGATTGTTTGTATAGGTCTGGGCGATTTCAAAGTAAATTATGTACGTACTAAATTTTTTCGTAAATACATACTTTGTACAGCATGTGTAGAATGATGCATGCTTCGCATGATTAGGAATACACTATTTAACATTTAGTGTGCATTTAAAGAAATAATTACACTGAATGTGTCTCATAGGACCAATGGATCTGCAAAGTAGGTCGAAATCATAGCTATAAAAATGTATACTAGCTCGTATAATAAAAACTATAATGTCTATATTTCATTTTACTGTTTGCTACGTATAATAAAGGAGAGTATCTACGTCTAGTGTGTACGTAACAAACTAAATATAGTATCCATAACACAAGCTCTGCTTAACTTGTGACGATATGGAGCTGCATGGTCAGGTGCAGGGATACAATTATGATGAGAGGTGTCGTACCGCAGCAGCGTCATGAGATGGTGCACGAAGTCGCCTTGCGCGAGTAGCAGGTAACGGCGGTGCGCGGCGAGGTGGTCGAGCAGGTGGTGGTGCGTGGTGAGCGCCGCCACCAGCCGCCGCGCCGCCGCCTCGTGCGCGCCCGCCACGCCCGCGCACACGCCCGCCGCCTCCCACCACGCCGCGCCGCCTGACCACACCGTACCACGCACACACATGTAGCATACTCACAAACTTACAGTTTCTCAACCGCATTTTAACTTCGACATCAAATAAAGTCATAGGACAAAGTTATGATACATGCATACGCTAAAGTCAAATCCGCTATTGTGCGGAGTGAAGATGAACGACCGTGTGCGAACTATGATTGGCGCGATCAACATGGTCATGTTCGTAGCCCCCACTATGTATATATGTATGTGCGCAATGTCACGCCCGTGTCGGATTTTTATTTAATAACTTTTGTATATCAACTCGTGGAATGCAAAATTAACATCGATTCTGTCGCTGTAACTAACTCAATAATAAATTAAATTATCGTCGCACTACAACTTTAGTCTCTCCCCGCGAGGTCTGACCACACGTCCCGTCACTCAAACGGTGACTGTAGAAAAACTTACAGGTTTTCCTTACGTGACAATTTCTGCCTATTGTGTGAAATTCGCGTGACTACAACGACGTTTTAAAGTAATTGAAACGGTAATCACGCTGTCGGAGGATCGAAGCTAAGTGGTAAATACCAGTTCTATACACCACGAATCATGTTCATGTTCTCATGTATCGCTCGTAATAACACTCATATGTTGACATACCAGAAGACTAACAATTGAAACACAGTTTATAAAACAAATTGCTCGGCTGGTAAAATACCCACTGAGATTCCGAGAGTGCCCACGTAGACGACTTTTTATAACCCCACCAAGTTAAAAACAAAAATTATGCTTGAACACATACGAGTCTCACGAAGTTCTTTAAATAGATTTTGTCTAATTTTAAAACAGTAGTTAAATTCTTATGAAAAGGATATTAGTTTATACTAAAAGGATATTAGTTTATTTACGGACTATATTTATCTTAAAAAAGGACACGTAAATATAATACCTAATAAAACATCAAATATTATTGTTATTGATATATTATTATTATTATTGTAATGTTTATAACTAGCATTTTAAAACAATATTTCCCATGTTCTTTGATACTGTCACGACTAATATTGAGGTTCACAATTCACACATCGTAAACTATAGAGATTATGATATGTTAATAGCAATTTCTGGAATAAGATCATTGTATATACAAATAGCAACTGATATATCATACCACTATGTGATTTGAGAAGTGCCTCCAGGTGATGGGCGTGGTCACTGGGGCCCGGCTCGTCGGCGCACGCCTCTCGCATAAACACTACGCTCTTCCCCGTCGCTAGAATCTGAGCCGCTTGTTCACGAGACATAAATGATGGCACCATCCATTCCCTAACAAAAAAATAATTACCCTTTCAATAAATGGGTCCATTTAAATTGTTTGTTAGGCCGCACATAAAGTAATATCTATTAATAAAGTATAAAACTTTATTTATAATAAACATTAGAATATAAAATTTAATAAAGTAAAGATTTCCTATATAACCATTAATGCAAACGTTCGTATTGCGTGTTTAAACAATACGCCGACAAGTAACTAGTCACAAAAATGGTTCAGTTTAGTCTGTACTATGTAAAAAAAAATTTTGAATATATGTACGGTGGGTATAATTTAATTTAATTTAATTACCTTACGCGATATTTATCGTGCCACATTCTGTCTATCGGCACGCCACTTCTGCTCTCAATGAAAAACTCATTGAAAGGGTCGTCTATTTCCCCTGTTGAAAGATATTAAGTATATGTTATTATACTTATTCAAAATTATGTATACGATATTACACCGTTTTATACATGTCATGGTATAAGATAACCTAATCCATAAATAGATATTATTTGATGTTAAGAACTGAACGTTTATTGTACAAAAAAAAAACACAGACAGCGCCAAGTTAAGCAGATCTAGCGTCATAAGTACTAGACAACTGATAGAAATACTTAAATACATTCTATTGCCAATAATCAAACTCATAAATGTCTGCATCGTGTGAGGAATTGAACCCGCAACCATCTGATAGTAAAGCGGTAAGCTAAATGATCTGGTGACCATTGAGGCTGTCAATTATACGGTCATCGTAAAATAGTAATAAAATAAATAGTAACCATGCAGCAGCCATCTCGTGAGCATGAGCAGCAGCGGGTAAGTGAGCGCGGTCAGCAAGCGGCGCGCGAGTGCGGACACGCGATCGTCGCCGTGACTCACGAACCTGTGTACGCACGACGCCAACTCCCCTCCTAAACAAGCAACATTTCGTTTAGTGTTCAACTGAAACTGGATATCGAAATCTCTTTCAGTTATGACCGAACTTTTTTATGTATTTATCTTATAATAGTCTTTCTAATATTATAGTGCGAAGTTTATAAGTGTGGATGGATGGATGTTACTCTTTCGTGTAAAAAGTAATAAATGGATTTTAACGAAACTTTACAATAATATAGCTTAGCATCAGAATAACACATGGGCAATAACTTAATTGGGCACAATATAATGATAAATGTCAAGCAAGTGTGAAGCAGACAAAGTTATGCGGGTAAACTAAAACTATTATTATAGATAGAAAATGTATATTCATAACGTGAATGCGATAGAGGGTGAGAGTAATCGTTAGTGAAAAATATTGATTAAATTATAAATATTCAATTGTGAACAAAAACGTACAGCACCGACCTAAAATTCTTCTGTTATGTCATGAGCATACTTTTAGTACATAATTAATGATTCTTGATGATAATTGATAGACCAGTAAATAATAGTCACAAACCTTTTTTGTGGTGGGCCGTGTGAGCTATACTAGCCAGCCAGGTGAGGCGATGTAAGGGTTCTTGAGCCCACACGCAGACGCGGCGTAACGTACCGCCGCCGCCGTCGCCCTCGCAAGTCTAATTAAAATATATATTTTATTGCATCCACGTTTTTTTACTACTTACTGGAATAGGAAATTTTGTACAGTATTATTTTCAATATTAAATTTGTAGTGTAAGGAAAAGCTTTTTATAAAATAAATATCCGTCATGGTATTATGATATAATGTTGAGATACCTGGGACTGAAGAAGAGCAACACTCCGATAATATTCAGTGAGTTCATCTCTTATTGATGCAACCAATCCTTCGCCCATTAAACCTGCACAAAATTAAATACATTTTTATACTCAACCTGTACTTAAAAATTGCCTTTGAACCTTCGAACCATATCAATGAGACAGACGAGCTTTACGTTATTTCAATTGGAAATATACTATTTCCAATTGAAATAAGAAACTCATATCAGCTTCTTTCAAAGCTCGAGTACATTTGCTACAACAATTTATGGTGTTAATAAAATGTATGTTTCGTGCTTTCGGGAATGACACTTTTACACAAACTTGTAAAACAAAATCTCCAGTAAATATAAGACGTGATACATATTATTACAGCCATTTGACAGTACTAATACTTGTTACGTTAGCTTCATTTAATGTGTACCTTGTGGCATCAATCCTGATGCAGGATCAATAAATTCCTTCAATCGGTCATGCAGGAAGCCGAGATGTGCTATTCGTGAGTATAACATCTGCTGAGGTCGCGACCCACCACCCGCACCACTGACTTTTACTCCAGTGACTGCCAGCACCACATCTCTGACGCACGTCCGTTCGGTGGAGAGATCTGATAACAAATAATGGTAATATTATGATAACTAACTGTATATTGGACTAGTTAGGCTATTGGTCGATGGCCTAACTAATCGAATATACAGTTATTTGTAGTACTAAAACATAATTATGTATGTAATTTGTTTTTTTAAATTATAATTGTAATATTTTTATCTTTAATATTTGGAAGTTAGAAAATAATAAAATCAAAGATGTTGTATAATATAATATAATGTTGGCAACAAGTGAATATGTTCCTCTACTATAATGCCCTTATTATTCCTAATACAAAGTTTACATTGATTACAAACAAAATCCAAAAACTTACCAGTTGACTGCAAAGCAAGAGGCAGATTACTATTATTGGATTGGAGACTTTGATTGGAGAGTTGCTGCTTAGGTTGGTTACTACCCCAGCTCATTGACCCTATTGTGCTTTTACTGGAACTAGATGGTCCGCCAGACAGACCAATTGTTGATTTCTATATCAATATTAAAGAAAACATATAAAATAAAAAGATTAGTAATTCGCCCTGGATATATCGTAAACTAAGTGGATCTTGTAGTTACTGAGGTAGACTTTATAATTAGTGGACACCTCAGGTCGCCTTATTTCTGCCGTTGATTTACCTAATAACATTGTTAGTTACATTGAAATTAAGTATTAAAAATACAAGATAAGAGACATGACATCTTAGTCCACCAGAACAGCAATGCATGCGTGGAATCACAAGTGTTATATATGTGTGGTGCTTGTTCATGTACATAGGTAACGGTTACCACTTACCAACAGGTGGGTCTTAAGCTTATTTACCTTTCCAATTACATTAATAATAATAATAGATATAATTAAAAGCATTTTTTAGGAATTCATAAACATTTGTATTGTAAGATATCCACATTTATGGAGAAATTAGTATACTTTAATATAAAGCCTAAGGCAATATTCATTTTGAATTTTATTAAATGGGAAAATTAAAATAAACTTAAATACTCACAGTATTTGCAAGCTGTGGTATAGGAAACAGCTGGTGAGTTGATTCACTTTGATGTACAGTCTCTGATAGTGCTAATAGTAATGACAATACTGACACTCGCTGCTTTAATATAAACTGTAACAATATGAATAATTTCAAGAATTTATCATCTCATTCACCAGTCCCAGTCCCTGCCCCATTTCAATACCCAGTCCCATTCAAACAGGGATCGAAATTACGATGACCGAGCTAAAGTTCCGGCCTGTAGTGGTGCCTTTAGACTAAAGTCATATACATCAGTATCGTCATGAGACTTCATAAGATCTTTGGGGGTTGGAGAATAGCTATGGTAGTAAGACAATTTGAAAATAATACATTGTGCGAAATATATAGAGAAAGCAATACAACACTATTAACAGTATTCTCAAAATGGCTATACTACTATTCCAATGTTTTTTATAGCTATATCGCTAGCAGTATTAATAAATAGGATAAGGTTTTGTAGCATATTTTTTCAAAACCATAAGATAAATAGCAAAATAAGATCACTAACGGAATTCTTTAACTTTGCATAGCATTCATTAAATTTGTCCACATCTCTGCTTGAATGACTGAGTCGTGCAACAATTTTTTGATAGAGCAATCTCTCATCTTGCAGAGTCCTAGTCTTTTCTGCAGTAGAAGATAGATATGACACTGCCAACTCATATGCACCATCTAAAAAAAATATACTGTATGAATACAAGTAGGTAAAAAAGTAAGATCCTACTTCTCACAAAATCTACTACAGATATAAACTTGACAAAGTTAAATTATAGCTTGTACAACATAATTTTGGGTGAGTTAATGTTTAATTGATGGTTTCATTTCATTTAAGTAATTTGTAGTTAAATCCACTTTTCCTATTCCTCAATAATTTCAAGCATAAGAAAGATATTGGAATTATGTATACACCTTTTTTAAACCTTGATATTAAGTCTTTGAAGTAGTCTTGAATAATATTCATGAAAATTAGTAGTCTAAATAAACAGGAGTAATGAAAACATTTTAAAAACAATCATATAAAACTTAGTGTCAAAATTAGGTGAAAGACATTAGACAATTGACAGCTGACTCCTAAAAGTTCTCAGTGTTTTACCAGCCAGGATAGAACTATCAGTAGCATTAATATTATAGAGTTGCTGGTAAGGCAGTTTCAATATACTTGACAAAAATGTGTCTTGCCGCTACTAGAGTATAATTATGTGCCAAATTATGTTACATTTCTTTCAATTGGGCCTTACTATGGTTATAGGCCATAAGTTGAGTATCAGAAAGAGAGCCCTTAGTTAAGATCATAGGTTACTACAATTTTCAAAAGGATTGGATTTTATAAAATAATCATTAAAATAAATACTGATAAATGCTTGAAACCATTTCCCTAATATAAAAATATTTAAAGTACTGTGCTTCTCTGTTGATCAAATCCTATGACATCCTGAACATTTGATCTCCAGACACCACCAATGAAATTAAATTGTCAAGACAGTAATGGGGAACTAATGCCCAATACATATGGAGTGCAAATTAACTCTAAAATTAAAAATACCATGTAAATATTTAATTTTACTCTACCCCTCCTCCTTCAGGAAACTAACTTTCATTGTTGATTTGTATATGTATTATATGTATGTATATATATTATTAAGTTATGTAAGTTTTATGTATTATATGTTAATCATAATGCACTGCCCACATGAATCTCTGTTTGCCTTATAGTTGAGTGGGAAAAAATGCCTCTAGGTGTTAAGTCCACCATGTGCAAATTTATTGTGTATATGTGCATTAAAGTTTTAATAAATAAATAAATAAATAAATAGTAAAAGTATTATACATTCTTATACTTATCTTTTATTCAATAATCTTTACATAATATAAAACAAAGTTGCCGCCACTGTCTACTAATTTATATCTTTTAATATGCACAACATATTCTAATGCATTTTCAGCAATAGATAGATAGTTTCAAGATGAAGGTTTATATTTGTAATACAGGCATGTTATAGTATAGAACAAGCCGAGAAACTCAAACATTTGTAATGCATCCATGCGAAGCCAGGATGGGACGCTTGTGATTTATATGAAAAATAAACATGGGTTGGCCATGGCCATGTTAAAATTGTAATCTTACCAGGGTCAGATGACAGACTCAAACACAATCTATGAAGTTGAGTAGCCAGACTAGATGAATTTGGATCCATAATATAATGTCAGATAGTCCGACCAATTCAACAAAATATTGCTTTCAAACAGAATGCAGTTCTAATATTATGTGTTACAAAAATTTTATTGACAATATAAAATTGGAATACATATAGTGATTTCAGTACATTATCACAATATTCATTGGCTATTTTTCAGATTTGTATTTCATTATTCACAATTCATAGCATTTTATTTCAAATGTTTTTCATTATCACTGTGGAGTTGTACTGTAATAATATTCGGAAAGTTTACAACTCAAATGAATAGCTAGACGACGTTAATTTGTAAAATTGAAAATCAAAATTGTATTTGATGTTTTTGAACCAAGCAGTCTTTCTGTTTTTCTGATCTGTGCAAGTGCAAGCAGCACAGACTAATTATGGGTTAGCTGTATGTGTAATGTCAAAAAAAATATTTTGTCAATCTTGAATTAATAACTATTGTATTAAAAAAAATAATCTCATCAACAGTCTATAGAATTGTTACAGTTTTGAGTTTGAGTTACTAGTCAATGAGTTAGAATAGAAGAAATTATTTGTAATGTAAGCCGCGTTCAACCTAGAAATAACTTTTCTTTCAGTGTTCAAAAGTACTCTGTGGAAGTAACCAAAATGGAGCTTTGTAACCAAAATTCGACGTGACATTTGTATATGCGGTATCTTCTAACTTATTAGTACATTCGAATGTCAAAAAGTGACAAACGTATAGGACTTATTGCTACTTTAGACATAATACCTTGTTTATTACAAATTTTCTTATGTGCCGTTTAAAATTAATTAAAATTCTCAATGCATTATATATAGAACTTTCTTTGTAATAAATTATTTGTAGAAATTCTACAAAATGAGTTTTTCCAGCGACGAAGTGAATTTTCTAGTATATCGATATTTACAGGAATCTGGTATGGTTCATTGAACTGGGAGACGCTGACTCTGATGGGTTCAATTTTTATACAACTTTTATTTCTTTTTTTAGTATATCTTATTTTTTGTATTACGTATTTTTGTATTTACAGGATTCCACCACTCCGCTTATACATTTGGAATAGAGTCTCATATATCTCAAAGTAATATAAATGGTGCCCTAGTGCCGCCGGCCGCGCTTTTAAACATACTCCAAAAAGGTTTACAATATACTGAAGCTGAAATTACCATCGGTGAAGATGGTAAGTGGCAAAATATTAATATAATTGAATACATTGTATTTTTCCAATATACATGAATTATAGTGCCACTTATGATAGTATGATAGTAGCTACTAAACCAAATTTTTACAACCTTATCCACTGTGATCCGACTGCTCTGTGTCTATATTGTAAACAATTGAGATTTTTTAGAGTAACCAGTTTAGTTATAGTATAAAATGTTAAAAACAATTTTTTTGACAACCATAACATAAGTATCTATAAAATGTTTTTTTTATGTGTTAAATGTATTGTACATATTAAATGATTATGTAAAGGATTTTTATAATATGTATTCTTACTTAATTACTCACTCCTACTGTGTATCTATAAATTTATTTAACTCTATTTCAGGCACTGAAACACGTCTCACTGAGAGCCTCAGTTTAATAGATGCTGTGACACCAGATATTGTGGCAGCTCGTCAAAATGCACACAATGCCCAGAAGCAAGCTACTAAAACTGAACCAGGCTCTGGTGGGGAACAGAATGGTGTCGATGTATGTATTATAGGAAAATTAATATATATTGTATATTATTATTTGTTTTACATTAAACTTACAAGGTTTTATTCAGTCTTATTCTTTATATCAGGCTAATATTAGCCTATTGCTAGGCATAGGTACTAGACACATAATGGTTATATGCTACTATACATCTATTAAACCTTTTTACTAGATAGGAAATAAGTAAATTATTTTATAATTTATAACATGCAAAAAATTCAGTATAGTATTTTTAATATTATCTCATATTTTTTAAATTGAACTACTTCTGATGGTTGTTGGTTTCATTCCTTGCACCTGCACTTGCATTTTTATTTATGAGTATTATTCTTTGTATTTGACTGGGTATTTTCGACATATTATGTATGCATTAAAGAAAAAAACTGTATTTCAATATTTATATCAGTTGTCAATTACACAAGTTCTGCTTAGCTTGGGACTTTTTTTTTTGTGGATGATAATAGACTGGTGCACTCACCTGCGCTAACGGTTTACGCTGGCGGGGCACTAGCGGAGGATGATAAGATGAGCATGAAGTCAGGTCAGTTAGCCCATCGTGACAAATTCACCAAGAATTTATCATGATGGTTTCCAAGGGGAACCGCATGGATGTCAACCTGACATGGTACATTGCTAGAAATGGGTTCATTAGTCCACATTACTAACAATCCCATTTCCCCCCCTAGCTTGGGACTAGATGCCATTGTGTGAATTCTCCTAGGTTATTATTTTTAGTTTATGTATACATAAGTGTCTCCTATAGATCTGCATTATTAATTTATTTTAGGGCACACCCTGCACAACAGGTGCAATCACAGGAGGTGCAGCAACACCTAGTGCTCCAGAGACCATGGATGTTGATCAGTCTATTGAGATACCCGCAAGCAAGGCTACGGTGCTCAGAGGACATGAATCAGAAGTATTTATATGTGCTTGGAACCCGAGTACAGATTTGTTGGCTAGTGGTTCTGGGGATAGTACAGCAAGGTAAACACATTTATTGATTTTTATGATTTCACCTGTATTATATACTCACTAAAACACGTATTTTTCGAAGCACACATCACACTGGCCAGAATGACATCTATTGACTCTTTTTTACAAAGTACCCACTTTAGTACATAACATATCTTTCCCCCGAGATTGTTAAACATTTACACAACACAATTTACATTCACTTTTAAATTTCATTGTCCATGCACATTTTGTTAACACTTAAATAACTAATTACTAGGCTATTTTTTTTTTTTTATTAAAATGGTCGGTGAGTTATTCTACTTCAAATGATTCCTCTGTTTCAACCTCAGACTCTTTGTCCTCCAAGCTACACTCTACCCGCGATCTTACTCTCTTGGAAGATAGTGTAGGTGGGGATAATGATAAAGCTCTCTTTGTCCTTAATATTTCACCTGAACTTCCTGGCATTACAATGTCTTGTGGCCCTGATACTCCAATGATGTCAGCCCATTTCTCTGGAGATGGTATAACCACATGACTTTCATCATCACTATTATATTGGGTTGCATCAGGCCTTGAAGTATTTTTTAAACTGTCTCCATTAATTGTTATCCCTCCTTTATGCATCTGGTTAATGTGTCTCAACAACAACCTTCCATTCCATCGTACCAAGTATCTACATACCCCTACTCTCTTCTCCACCATTCCTCGTCACCATCGAGGTCCTTTGCTATAATTGCGAACATACACAGACTCACCAATTTCAAATGACCGTACTTTAAGTTTTTCCTTGTTTTCATATGCACTTAATTTTCTATCTGTTTTATACGATAATGGATTTAAATAGTCGAACTGTGTTCTGAACCAACGGTTGTTCAGAAGTTCCGCAGGTGTTTTTTCATTAACACTGTTAGGTGTGGCTCGCAATCCATATAATAAGTTCGGCAATCGGACATGCCAGGGTTCTGATGTTCTTTTCCTAAGTTTATTTTTTACTGTCTGCACTGTACATTCAGCTTGCCCATTCGATGATGGATGATAAGGAGGTACTAATATCTGTCTAATTCCACAGCTCTTAAGATATTTCTGAAATTCTTCTGAAATGAAACTTCGACCATTGTCACTTACAATAGAATTAGGTAAACCTTGTTCAGCAAAAATATATCTTAATTCTCGAATCAATGTAGCACTGCTAAGATCATTTACTATTTTAACTTCTGGCCACTTAGAGTATGCATCTATGAGTATTAAAAAAGATTTACCCTGAAAAGGTCCAGCGTAATCAACGTGTACTCTTGACCAGGCCTTATCTGGTTTCAACCACTGATGAGTAACTGGACCAGGCATGTTCCTATTTTCTGAGCAAATATTACAGTTTTTTATCATCTCTTCAATTTGTTTATCCATACATGGCCACCAAAAATAACTTCTATCTAAAGCTTTACTAATAACTATACCATCATGGTTCCGGTGTAATTCTTCCAATATATAAGAGCGCATTTTCTCTGGCACCACCACTCTATTTCCCCACAGTATACAGTCACTATGTACAGATAATTCCTCTCTAATTTTCATAAACATTTTATAGTCTGTATGTACCTTAGAAGGCCATCCATTTCTTATCCAATATAATATTTTACTTAAAACTTTATCTTTTCTCGTAAGTTTTGCTACATCTTTAGCTGTAAATTCTAGTTCCATTGATGTCTCTTCAATTAATAAAACTCCTAAATATTCCTTTTCTATAGTTGATTCTTCTGCTGGCCACCGACTTAATGCATCAGCATTTCCTAACTTCCTGCCTTCTACATATTGAATCTTGTAATCATATGAGTTCAATAAAAGTGCCCACCTCAGCATTCTGGGTGATATAATTGTAGGAATTGGTTTTCCTGGTCCAAAAATGCCTAACAGTGGTCTATGATCTGTTTTAATTATCACTTTCCGTCCACTTATGTATTGATGGAATTTCTTCAAACCAAAAACAATAGCAGCTGCTTCTTTATCAATCTGAGCATAGTTTCGCTCATGGCTATTCATAGTACGTGATGCAAACACAACTGGTTTCACCATACCATTGTACATTTCCTGTTCTAGAACAGCACCAAGTCCATACTGAGAAGCATCACACGACATAATCAATTTCTTGGTGCCATCATAGTGAAGCAGCGTATCTTCGTTGGATAACGTTGTTTTCAATTTTGTAAAAGCAGTGTGTTGTTCTTTGTTCCATTTCCATTTGGAGCCTTTCTCTAATAATCTATATAAGGGTTCAGCAATGGTTGCCTTATGAGGTAAAATAGGTTTTTACCTCATAAGGCAACCATTGCTGATCATAAAAATTAAGAAGTCCTAGAAATGCCTGTAATTCCTTTATATTTTTTGGTGCAGGTGTCTTCTCAATGCAATCAATTTTCTCTTTAGATGGATGTATTCCTGACTCATCTATTAAATAACCTAAAAACTTGACCTTAGGTACTGCAAACAAACATTGTTCTTTATTCACTCTTAGACCAGCTTTTTGTAACCTCTGTAACACCATCTCCAGTCTTGCATTGTGTATGTTGATATCCTTACCAGAAATAACGATATCGTCTAACAGAACAGCTATTCCTGTTATTCCTGCCAGTAATGAAGTCATCAGCCTTTGAAAAATACCAGGACAAGCTTTAACACCGAAGGCCAACCGCTTTACTTTGTATAATCCTCTAGGTGTATTTACTGTAAGCAAGCTGGCTGTGTTATTATCAACAGCCACCTGTGTGTATGCTTGCTCCAAATCAATTTTTGAGAATATTACTCCCCCTGAAGCTGCACAAAAGCTTCATTAAGTGTAGGTAAAGGGTATGTATCTGTATTAGTAGCTGCATTCACTGTGGACCGATAATCTCCACACAAACGTACCTGACCATTTGCTTTTAATACTGGGACTATCGGAGTAGCCCATTCAGAATGTGTAGTAGGTTCTAGTACCTCCTCTTGAACCAGTCTGTCTATTTCTTTAAATACTCTTTCTCTAATTGCAAATGGAATGGGTCTACTTTTAAGGAACTTTGGTTCAGAACCCTCTTTTGGTGTAATATTCACTACTGGTCCAGTGTATTTGCCTAAACCAGGCTCAAAAATCTGTTTGTATCTATATAACAATTGTGTTGTCTGTCCCTTATTAAAATCCATTGATTTAACATTATTTAATCCTTCTATACTTATACCCAATTGTGCAAACCAATTCCTGCCAATTAGGCTTGAACCACTACCTTTTGTAATTAATATATTCATAATTTTACTTATTTGATTATATTTTACATGGACTTTCGTCTAACCTAATAATACTAATTTACCTTCTGTGTAAGATTTTAATGCAACATCTGTTAATTCTAGTTTAGGTAATTTACCCTTCCATATTTGTTTGGCTGTTATCTCATTTATAATTGTATATGGGCAGCCTGAATCTACTTCCATCAGTAATTCCATTCTATTAAGGAATACTCTAATCACAAAAGGATCCACTTTGTCTTGTCTAATGCAGTTGATTCCCACTTCATATAGCCACATTACATTCTGAATTATACTTCTTACCTTGGCTGGACTTCAATAAACAGGCTGCCTCTATATGACCAATTTTCCCACAATGATGGCATTTAGTCCAGCGGAACCTACATTCACCCCTATGTGGTTTCCCACAACGAAAACAAGTTGACATATTCTCATTATTCTTATTTGTGCTTTGAGAAGACATTCTCTGACTCACCCGTACTTTGTTAATATCCATTGGCACTATTGTATCGAGAACTGGAGTATTTGTACTACACGGTGTGATAATATTTGCATCAAAATTTGCAGTTTCCTGTGATAATACTATGTCACAAGCTTGTTCAAATGTTAATTGCCTTTGTTGAAGCAGTTTCCTCCGAATATCTTTATCTAATATTCCACACACCAATCTATCTCTCAGAGTACGATCTAAATCAGTGAAATTACAACCTATACTTAATTTACGTAATTGAGCAATATAATTTTTTATCATTTCACCTTCCTCTTGATTTCTTGTGTGAAATTTATACGATTCTACAATTTCATTAGGTTTCGGATGGAAATGATTATTCAAAATGCCCACAATAAAAGAGAAAGTCACATCACTTATTTTACTTGGAGATGTCAAAGAAATGATTAAATCATATAATTCAGGGCCACAGACCGCCAATAAATTCGCTTTTTTCTTTGTATCTTCTTCAATTTCACTAGCTTGGAAGCAAAAACATAACCTTTCTATATAATTTTACCAACACCCATGTGCTATATCAAACTCGTTAAATTTTATGCCCATTATTGTTATTTATGTAATTAGTAAGATAATAATCACTTTATTGCACTTTTCCACTATTTTCTCTCGTCGCCACTATTATATACTCACTAAAACACGTATTTTTCGAAGCACACATCACACTGGCCAGAATGACATCTATTGACTCTTTTTTACAAAGTACCCACTTTAGTACATAACAACCTGTAATCCATTTTGTAATAATAATTTAATATTTAACATCCATCTATTCCATGATGATGGGATAATAATAAATAAGAAGGGATGCAATAGTGTATGTGTGTAATAATTTATTGAAACAAATTTTCGTTATGTGACATTGGGTACTCTGATTGGTCATAAAATTACCTATTACATATTAGAGATGGAGGAACAAAGTCCTGCCATAATGATTCCTTTTAGTTTGATTTGGAACCCAAATAAAGACAGTTCATTTCATCCAATACCAATATTGTGAATGTTTTAGTAAAAATACCATAAGTATACCTTGGCAACATTTGTATGTATGAAAGATTGTAGTATATTGATTGTAATTTTAATTATGATAATTTTTTTTATTTACATTGTGATAAGTTTTAAAGTTGGTTTAATTTAATCCTTATTGCAGGATATGGGATATGTCTGACAATCCAGCGACTACTCCAAATCAATTAGTGCTTCGGCATTGTATACAAAAAGGAGGTACTGAAGTGCCTAGTAACAAAGATGTTACATCGTTAGATTGGAATGTAAGTGTTAGTAGTTAAAAATTAAAATATACTGTATAGCAAAACAATTATTTACAACTTTTGATGTCACAATGTACATGAATCAGTGCACTGTTCTCTCTGTATAAGAGAAAGATATTAAGATGTGATTAACGAACTGGACTGGAGCGCATGGATGTGGTGGTCTTTGTTTGGCTATGCTGGTCGACTTTTAGTACAACATGTGTGGTTTCGTAATGTTACGTAATCTTATACAATATATATAGAAAACTCACTTGATTAGCCATATGTTTCACTTAGATTACCTCCTATAGAAGTACTACTTTGTACTCTTCTTCCTTGTCGTCCTATACAGGACGTCACGGGATAGTTACGCACAGCGGTGCTGTTTGAATAGTGTTTCAGAGATACAATTACAGTCGTGGTGCATTTATATTTTATAAAGCATGTATATCAACTGCTTGGTATTTGATATAAATTCGCTATAGCATTTTAATAGAAGAGATTATTTTCAACTGACCATAAAGTGACAAACAGGGATGAAATTTGTGTACTTCTAAATACCGAAATTATATCAAAATTAATGTGATCTTTGTCAATGAAAAGAAATCGTTTTTGTATGTGTTGCATGATTACTAAATTGTGGAGAAATAGTTTTGATATATATAATTAAATATCTTTCAGTGTGATGGGAACCTCTTAGCCACAGGATCATATGATGGCTACGCACGCATTTGGACCACAGACGGAACCTTAGCATCTACATTAGGCCAACACAAAGGACCTATATTTGCTTTGAAATGGAATAAACGTGGAAATTATATTTTAAGTGCTGGGGTAAGCTTTCACTATATAAATATTTGATTAGTTTATAAATATAATCGTAATTTAATAAATAATTAAAGTAATTCCATAATTTACTGGTTTATTAAACAAATTGCAGGTTGATAAAACAACTATTATATGGGATGCTGCAACTGGGCAATGCACACAACAATTTTCATTTCATTTGGCACCCGCACTGGATGTTGATTGGCAGACAAATACATCCTTTGCTTCTTGCTCTACTGATCAATGTATACATGTGTGCAAGCTCAATGCCGATAAACCTATTAAGAGCTTCCAGGGGCATACTGTAAGTAATTTGAAATTAGTAATAGTAATAGTGTGTGGATTTCAATATAAAATAAGAATAAACGAAAATATATGTGCAGGGTTAAATGAAAAACGAATAGCAATATTGACACACTAGAAATAAATCTCAAAAAAATATGAACCTACATTATATAATATATTTTGCTAAAGTGGCGTATATTTACACAATCTGTATCATACACATAATGAAATATTTATCCAGTTTATTGAATTATTAACTTTGAAAACTGATCAAATTCTTAAACAATATGTTCACTGTTGGACTGATAATTTATTTCTCTGCATTTGCCACATAATTTTAATAACAAAAAAATGTTAAATTGCACTAATTGTAAGAGGTTGTAAGTACTGTTAGGTATTTTTATGTATAGAAGATTTTTTTAAGTGTTGTGTGCTGTTTAATTTCTTTAGGTGTTAAAGATTATGCTCATAAAAATTTCTTAGCCTAGTGGAAAGTAGTCTAAGAAATCATTATGAGCATAATCTTTAGCACCTAAAGAAATTAAACAGAAGTTATTAATTTAATATAATGCCCCTATATATAGATAGCTATATACCTCAGATGTGATAGCTATGAGGTCGATATTTTATTTTTTTCTTTTTATTGTGGGTGGTATTAATTGTGACTTTAAATGAAAAAAAATGATCATTAAATAACGATAATGTCTGTGATCTATATTTTTATGTTTTGTTTCATATACAGATGGTTCAGTTCCAATAATATTTGTATTGCGGGGATTAACAATTTGTCTTGGTCTGAGTGTTTTCCGAATATGTTCTTACAAATGTATTGTTTATTTAGTTAAGCTCACACATTCTTATTTCGGGGCTAGATGGCATGATATGGTAAGTCTAAGATTATTATTATTATTGCAGAATGAAGTCAATGCTATCAAGTGGGATCCACAGGGGCAATTACTTGCCTCATGTTCAGATGACATGACACTAAAAATTTGGTCAATGAAACAAGATACTTGTGTTCATGACTTGCAAGCTCATTCAAAGGAAATTTATACCATTAAGTGGTCTCCAACAGGACCAGGAACACAAAATCCTAATATGAACTTGATTCTGGCAAGTGCTTCTTTTGATTCCACTGTGCGTTTATGGGATGTTGAAAGAGGTGTTTGTATACACACATTGACAAAACATACAGAGCCTGTTTATAGTGTTGCCTTTTCTCCAGATGGTAAATTTCTTGCTAGCGGTTCTTTTGACAAATGTGTACACATATGGTCAACACAGACTGGTGGACTAGTACATTCCTACAAAGGGACGGGTGGTATTTTTGAAGTATGCTGGAATTCTCGTGGCACCAAAGTTGGTGCTAGTGCTAGTGATGGTAGTGTATTTGTTTTGGATTTACGTAAATTATAATATTACGCTCATCAAAATATACATCAAACTGTACATTTTGATAATATACAGCAAGGCTGATTTCAGTGACCCAGGTGTACACATGTAGACAATGAGATGACTGTAAATGTTATATGTAGACACATATATTTCAAGTACTTTATAAAATCAAGCAGAACTGCAAGCAACATATTATTATGCAAATAATTTTGATAGAAGTGTTTTTTTTTAGTTTGTATCCATTTTTAGGTGTGTACATATAGTAAAAATAAGATAAATGATGTTTAATCCTAATTTGTTACATAGAAATATATATATATATATATATATATATATATATATATTTATGAAGCATTATATATATATATATATATAAGGCTTCATAAAAAATCAAGGCTTGAGATTTTAATTGTACAACATCTAAGGACATCTTATTAATATAATATTAATACGAAATGTAGATTTAAATATCTTTAGGTGCGCATTTTTATTGGTCGATAAGCAAAGCAATCAGAGTTAATAACACGTGGCGGGCTTCTATAAAGCGGGAATTAAATACACGAAGTTCCGTTCTTAAACTATTCCTCTCAATTTATTTTTAGTATAAAAATGCTAAGTATATATTTTTGGTTTATAAGTCGATTAATAAATAATTTTGTATACATAGTTGGTGTTCTTGCTGTTGCGCTATTTTAGCGCTAAGTCTGTCCCCTTTTAATATCTATTTATATTAAAATGTTAATTTAGTCACATGTTTAATTATTTTTATTATTGAACAACATTAATTTAATAGATTGTACATAGAAATTACATAAATACATTGTTTCAAAGTCACAATTGTAATACCAAATTATAATTAATGGAGTTCAAAGAGCTTTAAATGCGGTAATGAAATTAATACTAAATCCCAAAAAAAAATGTGTTTCGCTAGTAGAATTATGTATTATGGAGTATATTTTATAAATAAAATAATAAAATGCATATGAAAGGGAATAGATAAAATACACATAGTATGCGTTCGGGTGGATTCCTTCACTAATTAATTTCATTAAGATTCCTCATATGCTGCTTATAGATAATACGACCATAGAAAATGTACATCTAAGCCTATTATGTAGAAAAAATATGAAAAATTTACATGCGATTCAATTGATATTAAAATTCAAATCGATCGCTTAGTATTGATTGATTATAGAGTTTGTCTTCTTTAATTAGTGTATAATTTTCATCGAACGATTAAATAATCAACCGGTGTAATAATACTGGCTAAAAATTTGTCTTATTTGTATATAATTTTCATACACAGAACATATGACAAATTTTTATGTTCTGTGTGTAAAAAAACAGTATGATATCAACGGTCTAATAGGTGCCACTTTATTGTATTAGTATAGGACGGATGTCGTGATTAAAATCATTATGGTGACGTAAACGTATCAGTATGTACTATTTATAAAGTGAAGTGTGTAGTCTGGATTTCAATAATTTAAAAATAATTATGTCAATATGTTCATTTCTTATTGTCTTACTATATCCTTACTACATAGTAGAGATATAGTAAGACAATTATGTTTTGGAATAATGAGTATCTAAAAATTCTTTAAGGTATTTAATAATATATTGAATTTACTCATTTAAATCAATTCCTAATCATGTCTAAATCGACATAGAGATTGTATAACATCGTCTGCGTGGGCATCTGTCTCACCCACTTTAGCTAGTAGGTTGCTTTGTATGCAGTTTTGGTTGAAGGTGGGATATGGCAATGAAATTATTAGTAGGAATACATGAAATCATAATCCTTCAGAATTGCAATGAATAAGGGTTACCACGAGCATTAGATAATGAGGTGATACCCATGATACTGGTCAGGTATAAAAGCGACTGTTAGCAGTCATCTTCAGCTGGTCAGTCAGTTTGTTAGGCATTATATATATAATAATATAAAAAAGACTTCGGTTATGTACTGTTTGTCTAGTTTTAGAATCTATAACAACCATATTCATAAGGATTTGTTCGATGTTATTATTGTTAGTACTTCTATAGCATTGTATGAGAATCAAATAAATGTTATTCTAGAAACATTTATTTATAATAACTTATATATAACATCTAACAAGATGTCCATTTTTGTAGAATCTTCTTTGGGGATTTCTAAATTGTGATTTTTTTTTATAAGATGCTCCATACCAAGATTACAGTTTTAAATAATGTATTCATTATATTTTTTATTATAGGTAATTATATGTTTCTAATAATGTATGGTTACAATTTACACATCATGCTTTGCATTATCATTAATATATTATGAATACTGTTCACCTATTTTAGTGGTAAATAATATTGCAAGCTATGTAATAATGAACTATAGACCAGGCATTGTGCTACCCTGAAAAAGAGAAAAATGTGGATGTATAAACTAACTGCATTTTTTGTAAGGTAATTCAGATTTTTTTTTATATACAGTTACGATAAGAATGAACTATTGCATTTGAAAATAAAAACAGGTTAGTAGTGTTATCTACAAAATTTTGTTGGTTGTTGATAGTCATCAGTAGCATAGAAGAAAATTATTCATATAGTAGTAATAATCCTTATGCAAAGAATATGTGTATGTACTTATTAGAGTGCTCTTTTACTTACAATTAATCAACAACAAATGGTAGTAAAATATTAGAGAAATAGTAAATAACCTATGTAAAAAGGAAGACTTTAAAAAATTATATCAATTATTAAAATGAAAAGTATTTGGACCCGCCATCTGTGTAATAGTGGTTGATAATTATTATAGACAGATGTAATAAAATAAAATATTTAATTATAAGATAACATTAAATTAATGATGTTGAGAGATTGCTTTTCATTTTATAAAATTTACCTTTTTGTCCATTTTTAAAGATATAATATAGCAGTGGTATTACAAGGTTTGGCAACATATCAATTAAATAATATTCAATATTTTGTCATACTGTAGCAACAAATATCAGTATAATATAATATAATATATAAATTATTCAAGTTCCAAAGTTACTAGGATTTTTGTACTGTAATATATATATAAGAAAAAAACAGTAACTGTGAAACTAATTTATTTATGACATAGGTCTTTTATATGACAACATATCTTCATGTTTGTACAATGTATGTAGCTTTTCATACATAAACTTAAAAAAATATAGTAAATTATCATATTGTCCAGTGTAAGGATTACATTGTGGATGATCATCAAAACTATGTATGGGGTACTGGAAGGAAAGTTGGGACCTGTAATGTACACTACGTCCCCATGCACATAAATGTAATTCCAATAACAATTGATGTAAGGCTTCAACAGTAGAAAGGTACCAACGTGGGCTGCCTTTCTGATGTCGCCAGAACTGTGATACTCTATTTTGTAACACTACTTTTGGAATTTGCTGTAATCTTTCATCTGCATAAATACCACGACTTTGATTCCAAGTGCTGTCTATTAATACCACACGGTCTATAGGGAACTTATCTGTATGATATATGTTAAAATTATTATCAATATCTACAATTTTGGTTCTAAGTGTGCCTACATTATAACCATGAGGTAATTCAGCAAGTAAGTGTTCTTTATAGGTTACAGTATTTTTTTGACCTGTAAATAATTCTTGTACAGTTCTAGCATCAGCTCCTGGGTATAATAATACAGTTTTATCAAGGTTGTAATTAGGCACTTCTGGATAGATATAAACATTTACATCTTGAGGAGCTAAAACAGCTGCATGTGCAGCTGTACTTTTACCATCAATTTCTCGTTTGTGTTTGATGATGTCAACTTTAATCGGTAACTGAAACATTTAAACAATATTAATATTAATAAAATACTTTACAACCTAATTCAGTACTTTTAAGAAGAATAATAAAAACATACGAACTTTGCAAATGGGAATTCTATCTGCGAGTTTAGAAACTGGAACGTAACAAGTATAACAAAAATACATGCGGGATTTTCCACAACGTGGACAAGGGCTTCGATTTTTTAAATTATTAAGATGTTCGAAATGATCAATATGCATTCCTTCAAACGGCGTGTCGTCGCAGTTTCTAGCTTCTAAACTCTTTGGGTTCATTACGAACAGATTTTTAGCAAAGTAATTTTATTCTTAATTTATGTGAATAACATGTTTAATTTCAATACATGATTTATATAAAATATAACAATGTGATGTTAACAACACTGAGTAATTAATAGTACGTTTTATAATTAACAACTTAATATAGGAAAAATCTGTAGCAATATTTTTACTCTGATTCGGAACTAAGAAACTAAAGGTAAAGGCCACTAATTGACAATTGTAAATGACAAATGTCAAGTTTTTTTTTTATTAAGTATTTTACGGCCTTAAATGTCAAGTTTTCTATTAATGTTGCCAGCTCTAGCACTCTAATGCTTGCTTTAAAACTACCATACCAATTTCTTGAACGTAATTTTTTTTAATTTCCACAACATACTTTTTATTAAGGGCGTTTTTATTTAATTGTCATTGTATAATTAAACAGCACAAAATATATGTTTGTTGTTTCTGTACTTACAATAATTTTTACGGTATTAAACTACATTTTCTTCTAAACAGCTAATTATAATAAATAAATTTATATTTTATGAACTATAAATACGGAGATAATTTGTTTTATAAAAGAAACTTTTTTTATATAAACCCATATTTATATATAATAACTATAATTTATTCACTTTGTGTTAACATGTTTTAAATAAACAATCACACATATTTCTCAGTAACCTATAGAAATCGGTATGTAATATTAATTTTCGATAGTGCTACAACAATATTCAGAAATCGGTGGCAACATAATTTCACATTTGTTAGCGAGATAAAGGAACAGGATTATAGATGAAAAACATCCGTGTCATGTCTACCATAGCATCGACATCAAAAATTAAAATCGGCGGTCAGCTGATTTGACATTTCAAGATGACCCTTTAGCAACTTTTAAAGTATATATACATACAGACTGTAATTGATATATGTTCATAGGCGAATATTCTGTAACTATTAAGATATTTAACAACCTTAAACCTTGATATATAAAGAACAGGATCTAATGAGTGAAATTACATATTAAAATATATAATAACTTATTAAAAATAAATCGACATTATATGTACAGGTATAATCGTTAAGTGTACACACCTTATTAAGTATCAAAAATTATAAACAAATATAGAAAGTACGTTACTAAAAATAAAATGTTATCAATAATTTGATAGAAGTAAATTTAAATTACCCAAAATTTTGATATTTAACACTCCCAAATATTTGGTACCAGATTAATAGAAAGTTTTCTGTGTTTAAATTGTAATGTAGCATAAAATCTATGTTTAACTTTATGGTTTTCCGGTGATTTTAACAGATTTTCCATTCGGAAGTTAAACTAAGGGTTTCCTCAGTCATTATTGGCATTTGGCAACACTAGTTATTTTTCATCTATTTTCGTTCTTTACGTCAAAAAAGTGTATTGAATTCTATTTGTGATTTAGTTCGACGTTTTTTTCTGTAATTTCAATATATGTTGACGTTAAAGGTAAATTACTACGCAATATTTATTTTCACACTTCACAGTCACAATAAAAACTTGTAATATCATTACCATTTTCTTTTTTGCTTTGTCTTGTTTAGGCTAATGACGCCATTTTGTACCGCCGGCTGATTCTATCAATTATTATTTTTTAATGTCGTAGCACTTCGATTATAAAAATTTGGCAGTTTCATTTATCATCAATTTTTGATATCTTATCTGAAACGAGTCCTATAATATTACAAGCTATTGATCATAGAAAAACAGCTTGAATATGAGACACCCAAAATTGGCGAAGAAAATACACTTAACAGGGTAGTTATCAGAGTGAATATTAAATAATATGTTGCCTATTGATTTTATTCTTCTTGGAATTTTTTAATATTTTTTTTATTAATGCTTATATAAAACAGTGTTTCAGCATTTACTGTTTTTCTTTTGGATAATAATGACTCTGAGTTATTATAATAAGAATTTTACACTTGGGTATTTTGCTAGTAGCTATGTAAATATTATGAATGTAAATAGTTCTCCAGGTCTATGATTCTAGTACCTTAGTTATTGTACATTTAATTAATAAATGAATATTAGTGTTTGTTAATGCATACAATTAGTATATATATATCATATTAATATCATGATGTCTATTTCAGGACAGGCAATGAATAACTTTATGTTAACATAATGACAATATCAGTGAAGGAACAAGAACAAATACCTGGGGAGGTGAGATTTATTCACCAAAATATATAATTTAATATTCCATCATAACTTACAAATCTGCTTATCACTATGTTTATTTTATTAATGACATATTTTTCTCTAAATACATATTTATTTATCATAGGTCTCCATATTTCTGGAGTTCCTGAAACAAAACATGATGGTTTCTGTGATTTGTCAGATTAGCACACTACCACACCTCCAATGGTTATAGGTTCAACTCTTGCATATTACAAACATTTTCATTGATGAGTATGATTATTGTATTTGAAGTAAAAGCTTTATTATAATTACAAATACAAATTACAATAAAGTGTTACTTCATAGCAAAAACAATGATGCTTGTAACTGAATTTGTTTATTAAAAATGGACAAATTTTGTGGTTTGGTCCACTTTATACATATACTGTTCAGGCAATTTTGAGACATATATTTAATAACTAAACATGGTCAAATCAGCATTACAAACAATTTCTTTAAACTTACTATATCTAACTAGTTGTTATATTTTGTACTTGGATCTTTCACCCTCCATGTAGAACATATGCACTGATTGAAACTTATTTAACTTGGTTTGATTTCAGAATTTGTGTCGTTGCATGCCCACTTGCACATAAAACCTTTTTAGTGATTTTGTTATTGTGAGCAAGTCCTATATTAAAGACATAGGGAACCATATCATATTTTGTGTTTAATTGTCAAAGGTTGTTACTAGTCTACATGTATAATACTTTTAACCAAGCTAATTCTAATAAGTAATTTAAATAATGAAATATTATAATTATGCCTTTGTTGCCACAAACAAAACCACTTTTCTAAGTATATGTGTATAATGCAGTCAGTGGCATAGTTAGGTAACCAAGGGCCCTGGGGTAAATAAAAAAATATTACAGTTTTATTAAAAAGCATATGTCACTATCCATCAAATTGACTACACTGCCAACCCACAGAAAGAATTTAGGGGAATTTTGATGGTTCTCAACTGAGTTGCCATCATTAAAGTTGGGTTGCAACCTATCCTATTAGTTTTGAAAATGGGAGAAATGTTCAAAAATTCAGTTCAATCAAGGTTTTCTGGTAAGGGTTTGAGGGCCCCCTGAGCTTAAGGGTCCCGGGGCACTGTCCCGCCTAGCTCCTAGGTAGCTACGCCACTGAGTGCAGTGTAGGTAAGTTAAAGATAAAGAAGCCTTTATTCTACACTTATCAATACTTTTTTTACATATGTTGAGTTTTCCTATTATTATTATTTTTAATTATATTATATCTTTCAGTGCAGAGTGCCTTGTGGCAAAGGCTTCCTCTAATTCCCTTAGTGTGGCGTAGATAGGCGTAGATAACTATATAGAGATCTAGAGAGTGGAATATTTTACTATATTTTTAACAGAGAAATTCATATTATTGAAAAATATATATTAAATATATCACTTAAAGTTCCCAAGTCGAGGTGATATTTTGTCAATTATTTCCCCTGGACCAAAAACTTCTAAAAGGGCGATGATTATTGTATTATGAAGTCTACTGAAATACATAGAACAATAGATGACTATTTTTATATAATATTCTAGAACAGTATATATGGTTGGCTGCATATCCAGACCACTCACATACTGTGCTGTGATTGATTATTAGCTTATGTGATGATCAATGATTTTTTGTTGGATTGTGAAATGGTGATCTTTACACTAATATTGTACCTTACTGTGTCACCAATGAAATTAATGAATTTGTATGAGATGATGTAGAGGTAGGTAGGTGTAGGTTGGACTCCATTTTCCGCAATTGGCCTCTCATTCGGGCCGTTGTGCGTGTAGAGCCAGGCTACTAACGTAGCCAGCCAAGCTCCTCCCAGAAGCGCAGAAGTCTCCTGGTGTCTTCGCAGGCTTCTCGGAGCGACCTCACCGTTCCGAGGATTTGATTTCGTGTGGTCACCGCTTCGCACTCCAGGATTACGTGAGCGGCCGTTTCCTCGGCTACAAAGCAGCCCCGGCATAGGGGACTGTCTGTAGCACCTATTGTGTACAAATGTTTGTTTAAGTGACAGTGGCCCGTCATTATCCCTATCATTATTTTTATGTTATGCCTGTCCAGATTTATTAGGCGTTTTGTCATTTGTGGATTTGTTCTGCCGTTTTGTTTGTTAGTTTGTATTGCCAATTTTGATTGTTTGCAATCGGTGGTTTGTTTCCATCTTTGGTTTTGTATCTCAGTGGATCTTTGGCGAATCCAGGATCGAAATTGTGAGAATGGTATTGGCAGAAGCGGGAGGGGGCCTGCTACCGTCATGCCTGATCCTCTTCTCGCCAATTCGTCCGCGGCATCATTTCCATATGATCCACTGTGCCCTTTTATCCACTGGATGGTTACACCGTTGTGCTCTGCCACCTTATCCATGATATTGTGACATTCGATTATTAATCTGTTGTTTGATTTCCTGTTCTGTAGTGCTTTTAGCACGGCTGCACTGTCCGATATAAATTTTAAGTTGAAGTTGTTGACACCTAACTTTTGCACTGCTGCCTCAGTCAGGGCAACGCGTTCACATTGGAAAATCGAACTGTGTGGGCCGAGTGATATGTATAAATTCATATTGAGGTCAAGGGAGTGTGCTCCTGCTCCTGAACCGTTATGTGTTTTGGAGCCATCTGTGTATATGCGTAGTTCATTTACTGCAGATTGGTCTTGTTTCTCCTGATTCATTTGTATCTGGTATTTTCTGTTAAATGAGTGATATGTTTGAGTTCTGTCACACGGAGCGGCAATCAAAGGTTCGTGTTTGATTGCTTGGTTCAGGATGTGAGTGTGAGAACTATTATGGTTTTTGCCCCATAGACCAAGATGGTATAGTCTTATGGCAGCTATGGCTGCCTCCTGTTGTATGTACAAATCGAGGGGTGTTATATTGAGGGCTATTTCCATTGCTGTTGTTGGGGTAGTTTTCATACATCCCGTGATTGAAGAGCATGCAAGTCTTTGAAAGGACCTTAGTTTGTTGACTGTGGTCGTGAGTTTCGACCTTGTCCACCAAACCAAAGCCCCGTACACGAGCATTGGTCTTATCGCTGCTGTGTATAGCCAGAGTGTTATTTTTGGTGTAATACCCCACTTGTTTCCTAGCGTCTTTCGACATTGATAAAATGCTATGGTACTTTTGTTAATTTTGTGGTCAAGATGTTTGTGCCATAGGAGTTTACTGTCCAGTATAACTCCCAGGTACTTGACGTCTTCTTTTAGATTAAGGTCTATGTTAAAGAGTTTCGGTGTCCTGAAGGTACCAGGAGCTCTTTTGTTAGTAAACATGATTATTTCTGTTTTGGAAGGATTTACCGAGAGTTCGTGGTTTTTACACCATCTCTCTACAGTTCTGAAGGCTTCTCTCATGCGGCCGCATAAAGTTCCCTCAAAGTTTCCTGTTATAAGTATAGCAATATCGTCAGCATATCCTACCGTGTAGAGGTCGTTGTCGTTGAGCTCCTCAATGAGTTCGTTAACAACTAGGTTCCAAAGAAGAGGTGATAGGACCCCTCCTTGTGGACATCCTTTGCTCACGATACCTCGTGTGGTAGTGTTTACGGTAAACTGAATTGCACGATTCTTTAGCATGTTGCTTATCCATTCTATAATAGTTAAAGGTACTCCATGTATGGCAAGTGCCCGGCTTATCGGCTGGTAAAATTTGTTTTATCAAAGGCCCCTTCGATGTCTATAAAGGCACCTAGTGTTGGCTGCTTTGAGTATAACGAGTTACCAATTCTGGTTACTACGCTGTGGAGTGCTGACTCCGTTGATTTGCCTTCGCTGTAGGCATGTTGGTTAGGGTGGAGTGGTTTGTTTGTGGACACAAGGTCTCTGATTTCTTTGTCGCAAAGTCTCCAAAGTTTTTAGTAAAAACGATGTGAGACTAATTGGTCGAAAAGATTTGGCCTGTGTATAATCACCTCTGCCTGGTTTTGGGATGAAGATTATTTTCATTTCGCGCCATTTCAAAGGTATGTATCGGTGTGCCAGACATGCTGGAAATAGCTGAACGAGTTGTTCGGCTATTATGTCTCCGCTCCATCTTAGGAGGGCCGGAAAGACACCATCTAGTCCCGCTGCTTTGAAAGACAGGAATGTGTTGATTAGTTTTTCTTTGTCTATTATTTTGCTAGCTACCTCCCAGTCCGAGCTGCTGGTTGTCCTGTCTTCCTGTGAATTCCATGAGTGGTTATTGTCCACAAGAAATCCTGGGAAGTGAGTTGACAGTAGTATTTCGCAAGTTTCTGTGTCATTTGTTGTGTAGCTGTTATCCGGTTTTTTTTAGACAGCCTATTGTGTGGTCTTTCTCCTTGGAGAGACACGCTTTTACCTTGACTGCTTGGTTGCTGTTTTCTATGTTTGTGCAGAATCGCCTCCAACATTCCTGTCGTCTTTGGCGAATTAGTTTTTTATATTATTTTCTCGAAGTAGTGTATTTGTCCCAGTCACTTTGTGATCTACTATTCATAGCTACGTTGAAAGTTCTCCTCAACTTCCGGCGGTGTTTCTCTAGTTCGAGACACCACCAGTGTTGCCTACCTCTGATTTTGGGTACGGTGAGAGGGCAAGACTGTTCGTAGCACGTGGTTAATATGGACGTAATGTTCTTTGCGTGGTTGTCTATTTCCGTTTTGTCTAGTTTTATTGAGAGTCCGGATTGTTTAGCTACGTACGTTTTGACCAATTCAAGGAATTTGAATTTGTCAGTGTTACGAGGAATCCGTCTCGGCTGTGGTTTTGGTAACTGCATGTCGATTGTAAAGCGGGTCCATATATGATCAGAGCATGATAGTTCGTTGGACACGTGCCAGTCACGAACATGCTCCGAGATGCCTGTCGATGTCAGTGTTATGTCTATGATGGTTTGTGAACGAGCGTTTATGAATGTAGGTTCGGAACCTCTATTGAGCAGTGTGAGGTTGTTGCTAAAGATAAAAAGAGCTAATTCCTCACCTCTGTTGTTGGTCTTACTGTTTCCCCATAGCGTGTGGTGCGCGTTGGAGTCAGCGGCGACGACCAGTTCCAGCTTCTCCCTCTCGCAGTACTCGACCAGCTGGCTGAGTTCTGGAGGTGGCACCTCCCCGTCGCTCGGCAGGTACGCTGAGGCGAGAACGACGTCCGGGAGATTCTGTTCTTCACTGGTTATTCTGACTGTTGTTAAATCCCTTGAACAGAATTCGTTTATTAGTAATGTTGGAACATGTTTTGGTAGGAAAATACAGGTCCTAGGTTTACTTACGGAGGTATCCAGTAGCAGTTTTCCTCCGATGTTGCCGAGACCACAGATTTTGTTGTTCCTGATCCACGGCTCTTGGATTAGGGCTATGGTCTGGGTGTTTTTTTCCAGCACTCTGCGTAGTGAGGCCGTCGCAGTTTGGCTGTGCTGGAGGTTTCCCGAGTTCTGTAGAATACACAGGGAATTATAATAATAATGACTTCAGGGCAATTTACACAGCGCCATCATATTTTCAATACATAAGCCGAGCTTATGTTGTAGGTACTACTAGATAACTGATATAAATATTATAGTTATATATATTTTAATGATATTTAATAATACAAATGTTTGTTCTGTGCGAGAAATTTAACCCGTCACCATAAAATATAATGCTGTTCTTCAGCATTAGAGCGCCGAGGCCGATTGCGATTTAAACACTTGGTAGTGTTTAAATTGCAATCGATAGTGTTAAAAGAGCAAGGTTAATCTGACAGCAACCATTTTTATAACACTGGCCTTTATAAACGACCCGTCAATTCTTCCATGTCCATAATTCCTAAAAGTATTTAATCTTAATTTATTCTATTGTATTCAGATGGTATTCCCTGAGGCTAAATTGAAAGCGTTAGAGGAGAAAATATCACATTCTCGATGGGTGGTACCAGTATTGCCAGAACAAGAATTGGAAGCCCTTCTTATTGCTGCTACGGATCTAGCAACTAAAGGTAAGCTGTTACATATTACAAGTTACCAGTTAATTATCAAACCTAAAAATCCATCCTGTTCCTGCTAATGAACATTTAATTTTAAATAATGATAATATAGGCAAATTCTCATCACCGGTAGAACTTAGTGTTATTAGTAATATGTGAGTTTATGTCTTAATTTACATAAAATGTGAAATCACAGATTTTGAGGAATATTTTGAGTCGCCGTCGAGGTTCCTCGGTCTCTGTTATTTCTACCAATAAGCCTGTTGCTTGAAGTGTGAGATTAGGTAGTGAAATTTAAAGGTATGGAGGCATGATACTTTAGGTCTGAGGTATGGTAGGAAATACATGAGGAGTACCACTAGCGTTATATTAAAACAAAATTATATAAGTATATAAGCGGTATGAATGATGTATTTGAGAGACAGTTAATACTTACCATCTTCTAATTAGTATAAACTATTGAGGAATACTTGTGAGACACTGCATTTGGTCTAAGATACGTCTACTAGAAAGGAACACCTACCCTAATCTGTTATTTCATAATGACAACGTTAAATATTATATGATATGTAGATAAATAAATCACACTTGTGTTGGCAGACTAATTCCTAGTCCAAGGGTGGTAAAGTGCATATATTTTAATTTTGTGTTTTATTTTATTGTCTTCCCTCGTTTATTATTCATGAAAATGAATAATGCAAAGATGATAAAAAATAGTAAATCCTATAGGAAATACGTATCGAAACCTTACTTTGTGAGTCCACTAGAATACTACTAGAATTTCAGTAGCTTTTACTAGTGTGACGTAAGATGAACTAGTGAATATATTTAGATACATTATTTTTGTAAAAGCATACGTCATATACAAAGAAAACTCGCGGTCATAGGAAGCAGAAAAGCGGTGTGCTAGACCATCTAGTCCCAAAGAGATTTTCTAGTATATTACTGACCTGAATAGCCTTTCTATTAACATCACAATCTGATGTGATATAATTAATTACATAACAAAATTGATTGCTAAATGTAGTTAAAATATCTCTTTTATCCCACAGCATGCTACCACAGTATACATGTTTGAGTAATGATTAATCTTTTTTATTTATTTATTTACCATATTTCAGGCGAAGATGTAAACCACATAATCTGCCAACGATTCTATAATAATGCTCTCGCAGTATCATTTACTAAGATCCTAACTGATGATGCTGTGTCATCATGGAAGAACAACATCCAGCAATGTGTGAGGTCCAACTGCGAGAAACTCGTGAAACTGTGTGCAATGAAATTGGATGATCCAAGATTTTTGCATTTATTATCTATGGCTTTCAATCCTAATAATAAGTATGTATAGCGATTATTCCTAATACTGTACATGATCAATTACAGAAATCAGTGAATTAATATTAAAAATTCTTGTAATTTTAGATTTCATACTTTCAATGCATCCCGGACTTGTGAGGGTCTATCAGTAACAAGTAATTCTTCAACGTCTATTAGTCAAGGGTCCACTCAAGAACTTGAAATGTTTGCTAAATCACAGGATCACAGGACACCCAAAGGATGGCTGGTCCATCTAATTAATGTGTATGTTAATAATTTATTTTTCACTTTGTTTTTTAATGACTGACTCCTATGATAGCTACACTAATAACAAACCTAATTAATTAATACGAGAGACAAAGTTAGTTCGCCTCTACTACTCTAGATCCTATTTAGATCAAATTTAGTCAGGTTGTAAAAAAAAATAGAATTTTATATAATTTCTACATTAAAAATCTGTCTGTTGTCGATGTTTATATTAACGGCCTGTCGTTTCATCAACCATTCAAAATTCAAAACTCAACGTTTTGTGAAGTTAGGTATATATTGGACTACTTAGATGTCCGTGCGCTGCAACTAATTGCGGTCTATCAATTCAGTTACATTATATGAATGATGTGCCCTGTATGTGGAGTAGCTGTAATATTTAGTTCAAACTATCAGTAAAATATAAATGAAATATTTATGTAATGTGTATGTGTATTTTCTATTAATACAGATTTGGACAAAATGGTGGTTTCATAAGGCTAAGGGAGCGATTTGAAATCATAATGGGTTTTCAAAAGCCTGATTTAACATTATCTATTAATTCAGAAGAAAAAATATCAACAGAGATTACAGAAAAAGAAATAGATGAAACAAAAGTTAACAAAACAGACAACACTGAAGTACCAGCAATGATTTCTGAAAGTAGTGACGTATGTATCCCTAATTTTATTTTATTTATTATATCATTATATTTATAATATTAGTCTCAAGGAAAAATTTGACATGATATCACCATCTATCATCAAAACTCAGAATGTGTGCAATGCTAATGCAATGGAACTATTTGCATTTTTATTTTTCGGTATTTCCAGTTGAGGTTTTACGACTACAACATGGATTTCCAAAGTAGTATATTATTACGATATAAGCGCGTTATGATGGTTATAACATATAATATAGAATTTCAACCCGAGTCGAAGACGAGGGCGTAACAGAACCGAACATGTTAAATACTCACGTATTTCATACGACGTTTTTCCACACACTTGATTTTAAATATACTTAACCATAAAACTGAAATGCACACTGTTGCTTTTCCGGCGTTTTGCTTTTTTAAACCTATATACTTATATATGTAAATATAGCAGTTATGGCGTATAACTTCACGGTTATAACGCACACGTGTTTTATGAGCCGTTTTATATATAGAAACCTGGTGAAATTAGATCTACTTTAGGAGCAAGTGTGTTGAAAAGGACATAATAATATTTTTTTTCTTAGAAATCTATAACGCGTGCATTGTTTAAGTTATGGCGTGCAGGTAATAAATAAACCATCAAATAGACCGCAAGCTTGTTGGGTAGCATTACAGCATAATAAACACATTTTAAAAATGAATGTCTTTACTTATGTATAGCTAAAATTATGTATCATTTTATTAAAATAAATTACAATTTTTTAACTCTGTTTCAGATTTCAACACCATCATCACATAATGAACAGCCATCGTCATTAGAACAGTCTATAAATGGGGAGACTAGAGTGGCTTCTGTGTGGCAATTATTGAGACCTCTAGGCCTATGTCACGATCTGTTGACTCCGCACACCGTTACCACATATCTACTGCCAGTACTAGTGTGTACCATTACAATCAGTAACAAATACATAAATTCTCCCCTCCGATCGATCACCCGTCCAACTCAAAAGTTGTATCCGTCTTCAGCCGCTCCATAAGTACGTCTGCGGGTTTGAAGTGCCATCTGCACTCGCTCCCTATCGTCCAGTGAAGATGTAACGGCCAGCTGCGGCCAACAGCATTAGTGTAGTCGGATAATAAAAAAAGAACATCAAAGATCCTTCTGTATTCACATATAATTAAAGTTTCTGAATCTGTGAGAGTTAACTACAATTGTTATCGCATCTCCATACAGACATACACAATTATGTCAAGCAATAATGAGTCTTTCAATGTGTTGGCTTAAAAGTAATATTTTATTAATATACATAATAACATATTGGTTTACAGGAATGTATACCAACTCTACTAGAAAGTTTAACTGATGAGGAGCTGAAGAGGGAAGCTCGTGGCAGTGAAAATAAGACAGACACTGTCTCTTGTTTGATACGTGCCTGTAAATATGTTTCAGCTAAAACACCACAACCTCATAGTCTTCTTAAATGTAAGTTAAATAAAAAAGGCTGGATGTAATGTTATTACATCACTATTATGTTTATATCAATGGTTTAGTACCCTTGTGTTCGTTATTAGTGTTGTCAACTGCTGTGGATATGTTAATAAGTTATTATGTGTGTAAATTTAATGTTTGGTTTTAAATAAGTTATTGAAATGGCTTGTATACTTATGATCACAAGTAAGTTTTTTACAGTCGAATATCTGTTGGTGAATAAATTTTGATTGTGTTTATTTTTATTGTGTGTTATAACTACCCTTCAATGCAGAGATCTACAAAATGAGTAATATTAAATGTTTTAAAAAATTGTACTTTGTGTGTAAATTTATATGTGTATTTATTTGTTACTAAACATGTGCAAACAGCGGCCGGCGCACAAGGGGGCGGTCGCACACCCTGTAGCTGCTTAGGGGCGCAGTACATATTCCTCCCCTACGCTGCTACACTGTATGTGATCACAACCCGCATACGCATTTCATCGATACACCGTCACTGTGATGTCACATTGTGTGTTCATTTGCATGATTGTTAATAATTTTTATATGTTAATATTTCCAGTTAATATTGTTGTTGTTTATAAATTGATATATTTGATAGAATTTTGGCAGGAAGTAGATTCATATGTAACTTTGTTTTCCAGCACTTGAAATGTTTCGACTAAAAATGATTTTACGACTGCTACAAATGTCGTCATTTAACGGCAAAATGTCCGCATTGAATGAGATAAATCAACTTATCAGTACGATCTCTCAACAGCCGAAACCAGAGTGGCTTACACCAGCAGTTATGACTGTAAGCAAATGTGTAATATTAGCTTGGAATAATTTATTGTTTATTATATGTACTGAATTAAACATGAATCTAAGAATATTATTGTTAATTTTAGAATTGGATTCGTGATAATAAAGTTGTTGACATTGTTTTACGAGACTCTCTACATCAGCCTCAGTATGTGGACAGGTTGGAGAAAATGCTTAGGTTTATGATAAAAGAAAACTCGCTCACTAGGGATGACTTGGATGCAATATGGAAAGCCCAACATGGGAAACATGAGGCCATTGTGAAAAATCTGCATGACTTGCTGGCTAAACTTGCATGGGACTTCACTCCTGATCAACTTGACCATCTTTTTGATTGTTTCAAGGTATTTAATCATAATAATCTCTTGACCCTGTTAAAGCCTTTACATAATAATACAACTACGTGTGTGATTTGCAGGCCAGTTGGGCTACATCTAGTAAGAAACAAAGTGACAAATTGTTAGAAGTCATAAGACGATTGGCAGAAGATGACAAAGATGGTGTAATGGCAAATAAGGTAGGGCAAATACCTGTGAAACGAAAAGTTAGTCATGGACGACCAGCTTGAACAACACCAGGATAACACAGTCCAGCGATTTCTTTTGTAATGTTACATATTTGTATACAGATATGTATCTTTCAATTTTAGGTTATTGAATACAGCATTGGTTTGTACATCTGTACTAATATTATAAAAGAGGAAAGATTTCATTGCTTGTTTGCACTGAATTGCCTCCGAAACTATTGGCCCTATTTGAAAAATTATTTTCCATTACAATCCTACATTTTCTCTGATGAACGTAGTTGATAGGATATTTTTAAAAATTAGGTATCCGTATGAAATCATACTTTGGGATAACTTTATATCGCGTACGCTGCGGAAATTGTTGACAATAAAGCAAAGTGATGTTTTTATAAAGAACATCAACATCGAAAAGTCTACAATAACTACTAAAATTTATAATTTCTGTAATTCATAATGTACCTTTTAGAATCCGGGGAAGGCCGCAAATTTTTAATATTAATATTTTCATATTCGGTTCTTTTAATAAATATATTAAATTATTAATTATATATTTAAAATAATTTTACTTTTAAATATAATTTTCGATTAACGAAATGTTCAGCGTTTTGATCTAATCTAAATATATATAACTCAAAGGCGACTGACATAGACATCTATCAACGCACAACCCAAACCACTGGACGGATCGGGCGGAAATTTGGCATGCAGGTAGATATTATGACGTAGGCATCCGCTAAGAAAGGATTTTGATTAATTCTGCTTTCAAGAGGATAAAATAGGGGATGAAAGTTTGTATGAAACTTTGTCAATATTAAACCGATCGGGCTGAGACTTTGCATGCATAAAACTACTATGACGTAGGCATCCCCTAAGAAAGGATTTTGATAAAATCCACCCCTAAGGGAATAAGCCGAGCGAATTCGCGAGCGAAGCCGCGGGCAAAAGCTAGTATTGTATAATTTCTTAGTCACGTCTTTTAATTACTACTATTGTTGACTGGATCGACACAAGGACAACTACACAGTCCAACAAATTGTAAAGTAAACTATTGTATGCGTAACATATAAATTTTATAATTTTAGGTACTGATTCTTTTTTGGAATTTAGCACATTCAGATGAAGTCTGCACCGAGATTATGGATGTTGCCGTAGCTAACCTTATCAAAATATTAGACTATAGCTGTAGTCAAGATCGTGATGCTCAAAAGACTCTGTGGTTAGACAAGTAAGTTTTTCTAGCGATTTTAACACTAAAAGCTAATTTAGTCGCCAGAGACTGCAATTTGTTATTGTACAGAATCGCTTTGAAACAAATATTCACTGCTCATATTCAGTAGTTTAATTTTCTAAGATTTTATCAGGATTACTTGTTACTTCGTTTACACGATTTAAAGTATTTAAATTTTATTTGTCATATGATAGACTATAATTTACCCCAATTTACGCAGGCAGTGCCTCGTGTCGTAGTAAATATTGTAGTAAACATGTATTTCTGCAGGTGTGTAGAAGAATTAAAAACAAACGAAAAGTGGGTGTTGCCAGCATTGAAGGTGATGCGTGACATTTGTTGCCTGTACGAGGCGGGCGGCGGTACAGGCGTACGACCTCACGTCACCCGCCAGGAGCTCATAGACCGTCTGCAGACGCAACACTCACTCGTCATACTTGTCACCGATTCCCTTACACACTACATGGACGGTGTTCGAAACAAATTAGCCGGTTAGTCATTGGCCGTTAGTAGTGGCCAAAGTTTGACTTTTATTTTTCTTATTAAACGACCACCTGTATTAAAACCTCGCAAGGACTAATGCATTTTATAATATACAAAATAACATTTGTAGTGTTCATTGGGAGTTCCTATTATTTTAACATGTAATAGCTTAAGCATTATGAACTTAAAATGCAATGAATCTTAATAAGTAATAAGCGCGAAAGTTTGTGAGTATGGATGTTTGTTACTCTTTCACGCAAAAATTAATGAACGCATTTTGATGAAACTTTACAGTATTGTAAAATAAGTATGGCTTATGAATTAAAATAACACATAGGATATTTTTTTATTGAAATTTAACGCTGGTGAAATCGCGGGCAGAGCTAGTAAAAATATATATTTACATTTTTAGAAAGCTCTTTTTTAATCATTGGTTACGTACTCAATTCCTAAATTCAGAAAGGGAGCCCTAAACTTGTGTTAGTAAATTGTAGTTTTGTGATGATATTTGCGATTTAATTTGCTTGCAGATGAGAAAGAAATAGATTGGGAAAACTGGTTACCGGATGGCAGGTATCCACATTCAGCTCAAGTTCATGAAAGACTAAGCTTTCTTAGATTTCTGTTAAAAGACGGACAACTGTGGCTCTGTGCGGAACAAGTGAGTATATTTTTTAATATTTTCAATTGTATTACTATGTTAATTTTTATATTCCGAACATATATTTATAGACAGAATGCTCCTGGAGTCAACGACAAGCCGGAACCGAAGAAAAGGCTAAGTAGTAATAGTAATCAAAAATATGTAAAACACAAAATTTAAAGACGTGCGACTCTGCGTTTAAATAAGAATTTAGTATTACAAAACAAAAAAAAGTACATATCAGCAACTGGAATGAAAAGGCCATTACAGGCTGTACATTTTCTATGATTTGTAAAATAAGTAATATAGATTTTTTTTATTTTTTTTTATAAGTATTATATTATGACTCGGTTTCGCCTTGATGTCGATTTCTGGGATACCTATATATATGTAGATATTGAAGACCACGCCAGATCATTTGGATGTTAAGAAAAAATCCTCTAGGAGTAGGTCTGCTTATGTTTAAGCAGTATTTTTTACACCTATGTATAAATTTTTATTTTAACTACACTATTTTTTACTTTAATTAGTTTTCGTATATTGATGTGTATATGTAATCGCATTTATACTAAACAAATGCGATTTTATTGTCGAGCAATCTCTTGTAGTAAGATAACTTTTCTTTATATTTTTTCTGTATACAGGCAAAACAAATATGGGTATGTCTAGCAGAGATGCCGGCGCACCTGGGAGACCGGGAGGCTTGCTTTCGTTGGTTCAGCAAGTTAATGGGTGATGAACCAGACTTAGATCCCAATATCAATCTAAATTTTTTTCGACGCAATATCATGACATTAGCTCCAAATTTATTAACTCATGCGGGAATCAAGTGCTTTGAAAGGTAATTTTGTAGCAGTATATTCCAAGTTTATGTGAAAAGGAATAGTGTCTAAACGTTTTCGTCATTACAGGTTCTTCAAAGCTGTTAACTCCAAAGAAGGCAAGCTTAAAATTAAACGAAGAAGTTTTTTAATTAATGACGCTGATCTCATAGGTTTAGATTATTTATGGAGGGTGAGTTCTTTAACTTTCTTTCTAAAAGGTAACGGAGAAATGAGTTGTGTGAAAAATGAGAGTCATTGCACAACTTGTTTTTCAATTATAATTTAATATATATCTGCTTGTCTGTCTGTTATTACCTTTTTATGTCTTAACTGTTGAATGATTTTAGTACAGTATCAAGGACTACAGTATCTTTGGAAAATAAAATCTTAAATTTTTAAAATAAAGTATAATGACATAAAATCATACCCGCTATCATGGCCAAAAGAGGGAACACAAAATATAGTGCAATTGCTTTGCCTTGCGCGCGTTGTTTCCCGCGCTCCTGAAAAAAATGTATCGTGTAAAGTCAGGTAATGTTTAATCACTCGGCAGGTGATAACGGACTGCTCGGACGATATATCGGCTCGCGGCATAGAGTTGCTGCGCGAGGTGTGCACGTGCGTGGGACCGGCGCTGTCTGCTGCGCTGCACCACGAGGCCTTCCTCACGCACTGCTGCGCGCGCCTGCAGCGCATGCAGAAGGACATGGACCTTCTTGCAGGTACTACTACTCCCCCCCACTCAGTCACTCCCGTTTGTGAATGTGCTCTACTCCATTTTTATCTTTTTTTATCATTAACATCGCAAAAAATATTGAATAAAAATATCTGTATAGATTTAATTATTTATGATTGTCGATATTACATAGTGACGTAGGTATGTTACAGGGTTTAAGTATAAATACTTTATAAAAATAGAAAGAACCAGAGAAATTTCTTCCTTTTTAAATATGCGTAACATGAATCTGTTGCTAGTGATTGTGAGTATACGCAACCTTTTCAGTATTATGATTAAGTCCTATTTTGTTAATAATACGTAATATTTCATACTTAAATGTGCAATATCATTTAGTGATATTCTTTCAGATCCCACAGAGAGTTGTACAAGAATGTGTAGAGTGATTCGTGCCATACAGGAATACGTAAACGAATGTGATAGAAGGTTTTCAGCTGATAGACAGATACTGCCTATGTACAGGTCGGGGCGGGGACGGCAGTGTACCATTATAGTCAGATTTAATTTCCAAACGGGCCAAAGACAAATTGATGATATTGAACTGATTTCACACTCAAATGAGACACTGCATTCCTTACGTTCAGGGATTCAAAGAAGGTATAGTTGAAACTGTTTTTGAATTTCTAATACAATGGTCTCAATGAATTTGAATATCCTATTAATTTATATTAATTGTTTTTTATTACAGACTTAAATGTTCACCGGATAGTAACATAAAATTATATGTAAATAAGTTAGAATTATATATAAACGGAGAGTTGTTAGATTCAAGTCATGATCGTAAAATTCTATCGCAAATACCTCTACGGGATAAAACTGTAATCGTTGCTAAGGTAATTAATCAATATACTAAAAATAACATATTTCTGTCAAATAGCTTTGGTTATTACCAAACTGTTAGCAAAAAGGGTCTTAAATTTTCCAGTCAAAAATTAGCCGATTATTATGAGGAAGACAATATGTTTTTGTTCGCGGTAATAATAAATAATGTCATAATTTAGGTATATGATGGCCCAGTCTGTGGAAGTGGAGGGTGTGGGTCTTCAAATGAGTCGAGCAGTGACTCTAGTACGTCGTCACCACCTCTGCCATCGACTCCAGAACACGCACTACCTGGTGTAGTGAGTATATTACATAGATTTTGCTGTTTACTTTAGGTTTAGATTTTTTTTACATAATATCTTACTATATTGTTTTTATTTTCTTATACATTAATTTAATTAAAGTTTAGAAAGAAAATATTTCATTCTGGCTTACTATAACATTTTCTATTAAATAACACTATTTAAACTACGTATAGCATACTTTTTAAAATAATTAAACTGGCGCGTACTATATATATTATTAAATTTTTATTATACCATATGTACTGACTTCTATTTTTAAAATTTTACAGATTTTACTAATTTTTAGTATTTTTTTTCAGCTTTTTGCACAAGGGTCATGGTATTTATCATTCATTTTAGAACTGGAACATATTGGTATAACGAAAGGACACATACCGTTGACAGAGGCCGCGCATTTACTGTCTCAAATTTGTCCAGCACATAAACAAACCGTATGTATATATTTCACCACTGATTATATTAATGCATAATTATTAACTTTTATAAGTTTTGTTTTATAATGTGTAGGTAGAAAAATTGACAGAAGCTTTACTATGTCGTGACGAATCAAAACTGAGGGACATGCTGTATGGTCCGTCTCCACCGACTGTTGCATATAATATACAGGTATGATTTATAAAAAATATTTAATGTTTTATTTTTATAAAATATCCTATACAAAATTTCTATGATGATGTGTCTATATTACAAAGGTCCAAAGCATAATAGTGTGTGGACTGTTTTAATTTATAAGGATTAAGCAAATTAATAATTTGTTTCGTTTTAGGTATTATATAGTATGATAATGTCATCAAACGACACAAAACTGGATCGTAGTCGCAGTTATCAGCTAGCTTGTGTAAAAAAGGCTCCACTTCTGGTCCAATGTTTATCTGACAATGAATTTCTCCAAGATGCAGCACCTCATACCAGAAGGTACTAAGAATTTTTACGACAGGATTGCCGCCAATCTTACAGCACACTTAGTTTCGAACAAAGAAATAAAAATTTAACAAAATCTCCTACATTTACTAAATTTGTACTGACTACTACTACTAACTAACTCGCACGACATAGTACTTTAAACAATTTTCGTAAGTTAAAATTCGTACTAACTTTTGAGGTTGAAAATGTCCCCGTACAAAAGTAAAAAAAATCTAGTATTTCTACGTCGATCCTCATACAAATACTAGATTTTGACGAGTTGGCATCCATGAATAATTGTTTAACGGATTTACTCTACGTATAATGTTTTGTTTTTTAATGCAATTTTGATTAAGGAAATTTATAAACATTTTAATGGTTTCAGAGTTGGTTATTTGGCTTTAGTGAGATTGGCTAAACTGACTTTGTATACATTAGGACATTTATTTGAAATATTAGCTCCAGATGGTACAGACACAACTGTCGACAAAGACTTTAGGTAAGACCGAGTATTGTTGGCTAAATCTTTTTATTATTCTTTATTTTTATGCTTTGTAAACTATTTTAATGTAATTATATTTTTATTTGTATTAAGTATATCAATATTATCCATTAAATTATATTTTTATTATCTTTCGACAACAACACATAACACATTGCCTCTCCGATGATGGCGTAATCGAGTGCACAATGCAAGTATTTATCTTCATGAGTATCTCTGTATTTGGCAGGACATCATCTACATATTACATGAATTTGTAAAACTATATAAACTGTGTCTATTTACATACTTCATATAATCTCATATACTTAAAATATTTAGTTATTATGTTGCTACAATTGATTGTAGTTTATTATTAATATTTGACATAATTTTGTTTAGAAGTCATTATTACTATTTACTCTTTCAGGATGGATGTTAGTATTTTGAGAGAGGCATTACAGACTGTTCCTAATCATAGCTGTGAATTAATAGTAAAAGCACTAGCCGAGAAGTTGGCAAGCACACTGGGCGAACAAGTAAGTTTTTATCAAAAATTGTGTCAATTTATATTTCTGTTGTATTTAAATATATTCAACGAAATGTAGACATATCAAATGTTGCGTTCACCAGTATATTGTAAGTTGACATTGCTTCTGAAATGGAATAAATCTTTATTCAAATACACTCAACACAAGCACTTTTGAATAGACATATTTTTTTATTCTACCACTCATTCGGAATGCAGAGTCCTCACAAGAAGAACGTATCAGAAACTCGCGTGTTGCGTGCGTGTAAATAAATGTCGTTCTAAGTAAATACATATTAAAGATTAGACAGGCCTCAAACTTTGTGCAATCAGATACTCTACAGAACGGACTGACTGACTGAACTAACAGACTGACCTGGTATAACGGTTGCGAGGGCTACTTTTTTTAATGCTATGTTGCGGTGGACTGCGTAATGATAGTGGCACGTTTGTGTGAGGTGGTGGCGAGCGGCGAGGAGGGCGAGTCTGTGTCGTCGCTGGTGTGGTGGCGCATCCCCACCGCGGCCACGGTGCGGGCGCTGTACGCACTCGCCTACACCGTCGCGCACCCCGCACACCCCGCGCACCCCGCCCATCCCGCACACCCGGACCTCATGGTGCATCCCGACGATGTCACACGTCAGTACATGTGTTTAGTTATGGCTGTATACTTACTATTACTTTTTATTTATTCATTCTTTTACACACACAATCGTATACATGCCTGATGGCATTCTGTACCAGTTAAGTCGCTCTGATCGGAAATAATAAGGCGGTGCAATGTCATAATTAATATTAAAGTATATAATTATATACTTTTTAATAACACGGGTAAACTTTTTACGTCTTTTTTCGTCCTTCTAAGCTGTGTTCCGTACAAGGCAGATAGTGAAATTACAGAATAGGAGTCTTGACGTCGTAGTCTTCTGGAATGGCAACGTATGGATCACGAGTGTCCATGATGACATGATATTTGCTGTTCACGTATGTAAGCGACGGTTATCACTCATCGTCTGCTATTTTACCATTCCAATTACATAAATACAAGTTTCGTAATGTCTGTATTATTTAATATTATCTGCATTACTTGTTAAATTTTAATATTTTATTTGTGAAAAATTAAAAAGAAATATTAACTATCAATATCATTAAAACTTTATAACCACAATAAAATGAAACGGTAATGCAATGTGACTGATCAACATTTTAGTTTACCATCATATTTTGATGTGGATACTTTTTTACTTATACCTTCTATGATTGTAATTCTTAACGCAATAATTTAATGTATTATTTTCTGTGTTAGTAATCGACCTCTAAGAAACTGAGCAATATACTAAGTTTGACTATTGCAGAAGCTAATTTCTTTTATAGTAGCCAAATTTATTAGTGTAAATGTCTATTGCACTTTATACATTTCTTATTTTCTTATAGTGGTTCGAGAATGTATGGAAGTAGTCACCATTTGCATGGCCCTCGGTGGACTTCAGTTGGAGACACTACTCCATGAAAGTTGGTGGCAAGATACCGCACTTTATTTGATGATTGATTGTCCTAATCCACAAGTAAGTTTCGTTTTATTTTATATTTACAGATCAGGAATGTGTAGTGAGTTTGTAAGTACTCTCTTGTGTACATGAGTACAGTGATGTATAAATACGAGACGTAATAAAGAACGAAGCCGGTATGAGTTCTCATCCGTCATACTCGTGAATGAATGCTGCTTGTAGGGTCTTCTTGGACTGGCTTGTTCGGGTTAAGGTCACTGATTAGATTCTTTCGTTCTGACAAAAATACAATCGATGATGATCTGATGGCCACAAATTTCTCGCTAACTGAATTTAAAATGAATGTGTTTCTCTAATCATGTACAAGCTCATTTGAAAAGAATAAAAGCTGAGTTTCTTGGTAGCTCTTCTCGGTTCGAAAGTACTCCGAACTGACGGTCTGAAGTTGACATACATATTCATATAGATCTATTATAGAATATTCAAATAGCTTTTGATTAGATTCGATATGGGTGATGTGTGTGGGGATTTTCTAATGTTCTTTATTCAATTATCTTCTGATTTGCTGAGAAATGAGCGGTGTATGTGTGTAGGGGTGCATAGACATCAATATTGTTTATTCAAAGATCGATTGATGCGAGCGGTGTGTGTGGTGTGTGGTGTGTGGTGTGTGGTGTCCCCCCACACGAGCAGGTGCGCGTGTCGTGCGCGGAGCAGCTGCTGGCGGCGTGCGCGTGGGGCGGCGGCGGCGGGGCGCGCGCGGCGCTGGGCGCGCTGGCGGCGCTGGCGGCGGCCCCGCGGCTGCAGCGGCACGCCGCGCACGCCGCGCAGTTCCTGCAGCTGCTGTGCCGGCTCGTCGCGCTCGCAGGGCCCACCGCGCGCACACTAGACGACCTCGTCTTCGAGGTACAAACTTTTGTGTCTTTCTGTTCTATAATATTGGTATTTAATTTCTCAGGACACAGCGCTATTCTAGTCCTAAGCTAAGCAGAGTTAAAACACATTATGAGGCCCATAACCCAAAACTGATATTTAATAATGTCTCAGAAAAATTCACACAGGGCTATGTGGCCCCAAGCTAAATTAAACACAATAAGAGGACCGTGATCCAACATCGGTATTTAATAATGTCTCAGGACAATTCACACAGCGCCATCTAATCCCAAACTAAGCAGTTTGTGTTATGGATACTAGACTACTGATATTAATACATTGATACTTAGCACTTACTTGGGTATAATACAATCTCACACAAATAACGTTTTTCTCTTTATAGCCTTTTTTGAATTGATAATTATGGAATGGTGCACCCGTCAGGGCTATATAAGAGTATTCGTTGGCGGTACACCTATGGATGTAGCATCCTTAATTTTTTTTATAGTTGGTAGTAGATTAGATACCAGATTATAGCTGTATTTTAGATCGGTAAAGAGTCATTTCAGTCATACCCCATAAAATGCAATAATGACCTGTCAATTAATTTAAATATCATAAAGGCATCACTTCATCTCACTACAGACTTTGTTATATTGCGTTTACCTTTAAAGTCCCTTTAATCGGTTATCGTATCCATGTTTTGCAAGGTTCACCCATTGCCACAACTTACTGACGTAGTTATTACCATGTTGTTATATGCAGGTTTCATGGTTACGAGCTGTCCGTGTTAAACCGGAGACTCTTGATGATACTCTTCTTGAAGGTCATCTTAATCTTACCAAAGAATTGTTCAACCACGTGCCAGCGCAGATCAAGTACCAATACGGAGCGCACCCTGACCATAAGGATTCTGGCTTGATAAAGGTATATTTAATTAACTACGGTAATATATCCGGTTATATATTATGTATATTTTTAAAGAGTTATATCATCCTTGCGTACTATGCGATATGTTAATTGAATAGTGGACTTTTAGATAGTGTCGCCACGAAGTAGTAAACAATATTGGATGAGTGGCGGCAATACAATAATTTTTTTGCGTGAATACAGTACACATACTGTATTCACGCAAAAAAATTATGAATACCAATTATGTCTAATTGTTAGCGTGTTGAATTGTAAACGAAGTAGGTATTAATTATTATTTATTATCATTATGTACAACTCATTTAAAAAGAATAACAACATAGATTTCTATAATAGATTGTCGATAATAGATCTCGATAAATAAATATGTTTTTGATACGAATCTATCTTGTCCTACAATTTAACTGAAAATTGTAAAAAGAATAATAAATACTAAGACGTAACAGCACGAGAATACTATACCACCACAAACATTAAACATTTGCAAAACATATCCCGGCGGTATCGTCCAAATTGATATGCTAATATTGTGTGGGGTCGCAGGAGGTGACGACCGAGTTCCTGTGGCCGTACTCGTGGGCGTGGAGCCGCGCGGGCGAGGCCGGGCCGGGCGGCGAGGGCGCGGGGGAGGGCGCGGGGGAGGGCGCGGAGGAGGGCGCGGCGGGGCGCGCGGAGCCGGCCGCGCCGCTGTGCCGCACCGCGGGCGCCGCCGCCGCCGCCGCCGACCTGCTGCTCGCGCTCGTGCACGGCTGCGTGCCCAACATGGCCGCGCTCGCAGCCCTGCTCGGACAGATGTTCTACGGCGGTCAGTCACCCCAAGCATACTACTAGTACACTCTAATGCTGACGACGTGTTCTATAGCGGTCAGACACCTCACACGCTCTAATGCTAACGAACACATTTTGTATGAACATTCCGAACCAGCTTAGCGAAAATTGCGGTTTCGCTAGACATATGATTTTCAATCTGTTTATACGGCACGAGACGTGCTCGCGAATGCATTACGGTTCTAATGGTTGTATTTATAATTTAAATCGAAACCGAATGGTATCGTACGATTTTTACCACACATCACCGAATAGTTTTAATATTTCAATAGATTTTCATGCTCTAATTACATGAAATATAAGGAAATTAAATAGATTAAGTAAATGAAAATAATATTGTAGACTCTGTTCATTTATTTTTTATTTAATTCATATTCTATTTTTGATTATATGAATTTTCATTGCGAGTCTCTTGTGCAAGTTTAACTATATTTGGGTCTATATATACTGCAATATGTTAATACTCAACAAAACCATTAAATTTACCTACTCTGATACCAAGTTTTGTGCTTAAGAAAAAAGTCAATCAAGTTAAATTCAAATCAAATTGTTTCAAGCGAAGTGTATTTAACACTTCGCTTGAAACAATTTGATCGAAACGAAAGACAATGTCGCTGGCGTTGTATCTGTATGCGTTTTGAGCGAGTAATATACTATACTATATAAGTAAAAAGAATAATAGCGTTAAAATGCTACGTAATATATTATATAATAATTATGATATACGCAAGTGAATGGTAGATTGTTGTTTGCAGAGAAGAGCATACCGCTATCGGAGTGGGAATACATGCCGTGCGTGGGTCCGCGTCCGCCGGCCGGGCTTGTGGGGCTCAAGAATGCCGGAGCCACCTGCTACATGAACTCCGTGCTACAACAGCTGTATTGCGTGCGGGCCGTACGAGACTCCTTACTCGCTGTACAAGGTATGTGCTGTAGCATTATTACATCTAAAAACCATCTACGGACGACACGACTCACCTCTTTATATACCAATCTGGTATATAAAGAGGTGAGTCGTGTCAGGATTCAATGAATAGGTTCGGTCGCTCGGATGCCAAATCGTCTCATGCATAGTGATTTTTCTGTACTGTAATCACAATGCAATTAAAACAGGAATAAGAAAATATGTACAACCACACAGCAACCTCAACTACTACAAAACATTGTGAAATTAAAAATAAAATAAAAATCTACTTATTGATGTGCACATTTTCTACATCTTATTTTATTAATTTATAATTATTTTTACAATCAATGTTTTTTACTTATTATTGTTTTCGTAATGTTGTTAGTCTTTATTAATCGCCAGTAGAATAATTTGTTTTTTATGGAACAATATATGTATATTCGTAATATATAAAGTCGCGAGAGATAATTTTGAGGAAATCACTTGTTTGAAGTCAAAACTTTACATTATGCGACAGAATTAATATCAATACTTTTGATCAGTCTGTTTTGTTAATTAATTATAGATTTATTTCAATATCTAATTCATGACAATATAGCGCAAAGCATTCTTGTAGTTATTTGTAAACTTAATTTTTTTGCTCTATTTAAAGTACTTAGTTTGACTTTTTAAGTTTTATAATTATTTGTTTTTTTTTTATTTACTTACAGGAGCCGCTACAGATCCCAATGAGGATTTTTCCGGCGAAAGTCAATATCACAATATTGTAGAAAATAACATTGAGGTAGGTATTTATTTACAACTTAGTTAAACATTCGGTATTGAAATAAACATTATTATTGTGTTTTGCATTATTTTATTCTTCGTATTTGTATTTCAGAATAATAGCGATTACAACATCACCATTTTAAAACAAGTTCAAGCTATATTTGCACATTTACACTATAGTAAGCTGCAGTACTATGTTCCCAGAGGTTTATGGGCCCATTTTAAGTAAGTTAAACACTTCATATTTTCTTAGCTGTCGTTGTACTTTTAACAGCGTCCAAATAAACTAAAAATTGGACTTGCACCTATTCAACACCATTTCACAGAAGAGCTATGATAAGCGTAATAAACAGTACAACATTGTTCTTTTTTTAATCGGGATTTGTTCATAGTTACAACAAAATATATAACAAATTCTTTATAATTAATGTGTAAAATAGTATAAATTATATTTTAGGCTTCAGGGTGAGCCAGTTAACTTGCGCGAGCAGCAGGACGCAGTAGAATTTTTTATGTCGCTCGTCGAGTCTTTAGATGAAGCATTGAAATCATTGGGCCAAGAACAGCTTATGGCCAAAACAATGGGAGGCACATACTCAGATCAAAAAATCTGTAAAGGCTGTCCTCATAGGTAAAGTATAGCTGTTGGATTCGAAAATCTCATAGGATTATAGTACTGCCACAATTAATTAACGACTACTAATTGTTTATGTTGTTATTAATTAATTAATAATTGTTATATATACAAAATCGAAAACGATATAAACGTTTCAGCACATACGATAACTCAGACTGAGCCAATTTAAACAAAATGCTTATTATAAATTTACATAAATCTATTATTTCTGCATGAAATAGACGGTAGACAATAATTTGAGGAGTATTATATAATGAAATTTTATTCACATTGATGCCTATCTAAAAACGCAATTATAAAATGTATGCTTCCTATTTTTTTTTTTTTATTATTAGGTACTGTAAGGAAGAACCATTTAGTGTTGTATCACTCGACATCAGAAACATGTCACGACTGCAGGAATCCTTGGAAGCATATGTTCGTGGAGAGTTATTAGAAGGAGCCGACGCATATCATTGTGATAAGTGCAACAAAAAGGTATACTATTTAATTTTTGTCTAATTATGTAAGAAGGAACCGTAATGTATGTACTTAAACATATATATGTATAATAAAATATATGCTATGCATATTTATTATACATGGGATGTGATATGTGAGCTTGTATAAGTGCCTTGTATCTTTTGCTGTATCAGTCACAATATGATTTGGTAGATATTATAAGGATCATGAATAAATTAAGAGCAGTTTATATGCAGTCAAGAGATTTTGTATGAAATATAAAATGAATGATTGAAACGAAATTAATTAAACACGATTTTTATGAACCCTACATAATTATTATATTATGTAGGGGGTTCATTGTTATATACTATACATATGTCTGATGAATATTATGAATTCATTTCTTATAGTACTTTGTTTTCATTAAAATTATTTTGTATTGCAGGTGGTGACTGTAAAACGACTATGTTTAAACAAATTACCTCCAGTATTAGTTATACAACTCAAAAGATTTGAGTATGATTTTGAAAAAGTATGTGCAATTAAGTTCAATGATTACTTTGAATTTCCACGAGAATTGGACGTCGAGCCGTATACAGGTAAGAGCTTGATATTGTACTGACAATAATAAAATAAGGGATATTGTCTAGTTATAAAAAAAGAAACTAGTTACTGCTTTTCGTAATGCAGATATACTGTATTGTATCTGTATCTGAATATTAATCAGTCGTATCTTATATCTTTTTTTTTTTATTGCACTTTAAAGAGTGTACAAGAGGCAAGCTTAATGCCATATGGCATTTTCTACCAGCTAATCTTTCCTGAATATCTTTTTATAGACCCGTGGTTCTTAAAGTTTCAGTAATGAGGGATCATTTGTCAAAATTGCTGTTACACTATGGACCATCAACTGTTTGAGGGTTACATATGTTAATGTAATTGTTGATAAAAAAATCAAACCTTGATTGTTAGTATTAACTTTTCACTAGAAACATCGCATATTTTTATAATTTAAAGAATAATCTCGAAAAGACCAGATAGATACAAACAATCATAATCATGAATACAAATGTTTGTACTATAATATTAAGGCCGTAGTTTAAGTGGTTGTATAGTTAGACTGATGTGTAAGTACGATTATGTCTGCAGCGTGGGGCCTTGCGCGGGCCGAGGGTGACGTGTCTCTGTGGGACGGCACGGGCGCCGCGCCCGAGACACACTACCGTCTCAGCGGCATCGTCGTACACTCGGGCCAGGCCTCCGGCGGACACTACTATTCCTACGTGTTACTCAGGTTAGATCGACCACTCGTACAGAACATTACACTTACTTATATTGTTTTTACATTTCAATGACATCTTGTACACTAATGTCGCTCCTCGATATATTGAAACGGTGATATATATATTGTTATAGCAATAAGTTTACGGTATTATGTTAAAGGTACATTTATCATTCACTTAGTATAAAAAAAAATGAACACATTTTTAAACATCGTCATGGTCGTTTGCAAACCAATGCTGTTGATTTCTATCTAGCGAAATTATACAACTCAAAGTTAGCCAACTGAATACTGATACTACAAACTCAAAGAATTCCACCTCAATATTTAAGCTTGTAATAAAGACTTAATTGTTTAGAATTCCCTTTAATCTTGAAGCATAAAATTATACTATATATTATAAATAAAAGACCTGTTAGATGATTTTAATAATTTTATTATAATTATAGTACACGAGTGTCGTTATTATGGATAACTAAGTAGGATTATTTCTATAGTATGGATTGGTACATATATATGAGTATCTATTGTAACAAGCTAGTGTCAAACAATAAAAATACTAATAGTTGCTTATGGATATGAATGACTTTTCTCTAGTGTCAATCTTTTATACATGCATTTTGTGTTTTATTTACTTACTGTATCCGTCTTTTTAGGGACAATGGTAGCGAAACAGGCCGCTGGGTGAAACTGGACGACGGTGACGTGTCAGAGTGCGCGATGCACGACGATGAAGAAATGAAAGCGCAATGTTTTGGCGGGGAGTATATGGGCGAGGTGAATTGCACATGGTGATATGCAATGAGATGTTAGAATGCTTGCACTTGAAAGTAGATTTATTTTAAATTTTTGAATAATTTAAGCCCCATTATATAAAATATAATTTTAACCGAGATATAGATGTTTGTTTAATTATATTAAGTTATATAACGAATTATTGTACTGTCCATTTCGCTGACGATATGCGCAAGTAGCATATATAAAAATCTCTTTTTGTCAAAATTTTAAATACGATCCTGCAAAAGAGAAATTATTAAACTAGTCTAAAATGAAATAGTATATGTTATCTTATGCTTGTATATGTCCTATGCTTTTTTTATGTTGAGTTAGCCAATAACGGCGTAATTGAACTTAGCTTGGTCTGTATTGTATATACATATATCTAAAGTGACAATCTATTTATGGCTAATATCTGATAGAAAGTGTTAACCATCATCTATAGATATGAACAGTACCGACTGCATTAACACTCCTGAGGTCTAAGGTGGTAATAGCGTATAGGTTTGCGATCTAAAAATAGATATACGGTATGGTGCATCTTTGTACCATACATCTGTCGCAACAAATTGATATTATTATTAATATTGCTATTAATTTGAAATAATTTTATTACTACTGATTACTAATACATACTGCCTGATACACTTGGAATTTGGTTTGCTGTTTAAGTATATGCTCAATACCCATTTTATATTTACATGTTTGGGCAGACAACAGGCAAAATGTATTTCATATTAGTAGTATTCATATTTTTTTAATTAAGGCCGTGGCAGACCCACTGATGAGCCTTATACTATGGATAAGGTATGCGTATAAATAAAGCCAGTTTGACACGTTCCTTGCCAATTGTTTTTGCTAATACTGCTTTTCATTGTCTAATTATGTGAAGCTAACTACATAAATTCATTTCTTAACTGTACTATTTTCTAACATTCTTCAGGTATTTGATCAAATGCTCAAGAGAGTATACAAACGTCAGAAAAGGTGGTGGAATGCTTATATGTTGTTTTATACAAGAATAGATACAATAGAGACACCAAGTCTTGAACAATCCATGAAGAATTTGAATTTGAAGTAAGTTGTATATATGGGATACATTGGTGTTAATGTTATTGCAGTGAAATAATTTTAATTATCATAATGTCATTTAATATAATTAGAACTCATATTTACATATGCTTTTTTTAGGGAAAGTGAAATACCTCGACCAATCTGGCTTTCAGTTCATCGAAGTAATATAGCATTCTCACATAATCAGGACCAATTTAGTCTTGAGCATTTCAATTTTATGAAAAAACTGTGTTACATGCGTTTGCAAATGGTGCCAGGTTCACAGAGCGCAGTTTGGGTAAGTTTTAACCGTTTCGTCTTAAATTCTAGTACTTTAATATATACTATCAATTGATTGATTGATATTTGCTAGTAATTGTATTAGTTTATATTTTGGTTTTGACGGCTTTCCTTCTATTTGGTGTTATCACTACCAATTTCCAATATTAATTTAATGAACTGACTGACTTATTCTATATGTTTACATAGTTTTAATTTTTTAACATGTTTTCTAATTTCCTATGTGAAGTGGTTTGCAAATATGCTATATTTTAATTTGCAATATTATACATATGTGATTAAAAAATCATTAGAATCCGTATATATAATATTTAAGTATTAGAGACTAACGAATATCTGTGACATCTTGATAACTTACCAATTTGATACTTGTACAACTGAGAAGTATATATGATATACACAATGTTACAGAGTCCAGAACAAGAAGAAATGTCAATGTTAGCAGTGCAATTGGCAAGCAAATTTTTATTTCAAGTTGGTTTACACTCGAAAAAAGCATTACGAGGACCTGCGGCGGATTGGTAAATATGACACACAAATAATACATTATGTATTGTTTTAAAATAATTGTAATTCATAAACCCTATCAATTCATTAAAAGGTCATACTTGTCACATTTTATTCAATTTTGTTTATAGCGTGTATAAAAATTTGAATAAGAAATAAACTTTTTAGCACGAAATATTACAATGGCAGAATTATATTATATTATATGCATTTTCATTTCAGGCATGACATTTTGTGCCAACATCTTAGATGTTCGCAGTCTGTGAGGGCGTGGTTTGCAACTGATCTGTTTAGACATTCTCATAGGTAAGTAGAATCCATTATCTTCAAAACAAGTTTCGTACGTTCTTTCGATGCTTTTTAAATACATATTTATTGTGGTTAACTTTCTGCTTTGGTAAACTTTCTTATTTCAGATTAAATTACATGTTTGCACTTCATTTTTTATTTCAGACTATGTGATTACCTACTTACATGCCCTTCTGCTGAAGTACGGTTAGTTTTCATGAAGATAATAGTGTTCTTGGCTGACTTCTCAGTTCAAGACCCGCCAGGTAGTCAATTGTTCAATATTTTTCTTTTTTACTACAAATAACTAACTTCCAGGTCATCCTGGGAAAAACCTTTTGACTCTGTTTCAACTTCTATGTCACTAGAGTAACGCCATTTTTCGTGAAACCCATTTAAATCTGGTGTGCTTGTTTTTGGTTTACAAATAATTTAACCACTTACAACAAATAATTTAATAATTTATCAGGCTTTTGTAGTGTAGTATCAGTTTCAAGGTATAGTATTATTGTTTTGGGTTTTTACTGTTCAAAAAAGTGTCTTCGGCTAATATGTGGCACCAGTCCATATTACTTATAACCCCTTCTTTATCAAACTAACAACTTTGCCGTCAGCGTATATATTGGAAGTTTGTAATTATATCAAAGAATATCAGGAACTTTTTACAAAAGCATTGGATATATGACTTATATATCACTTAAAACGTGGTCTTGCACTTCATCACACGGTATCTCTTTATCTTATGGTTTGTGTTGCGTATTACCCGCGCGTGCTTTCCTGTGCTTAAATGGCCAGTGAAAGAACGTGTCGTATAAGTCGAATGTCCGTGCGCAGTGAGCAGCGGGTACGGCGCGTGGTGCTCGCGCGAGGAGGCGACGTCGCTGTCGGACCAGGTGCTGTGCAGCGTGCGCGCGCTGGTCACGCCCGACGCGCACCACCACCGCCACCTGCCGCTGCTGTTCAACCTCTTCCACACCTACTCCATGCTCGGCCTCGCAGAGAAGCACCAGCTACTCAGGGTATGTTGTTCTACGTCGTTTCTTTATGTAAGTGTAGTGCCAAATAAATTTACGTCCACCTAATGATAGCGCTAGGAACAGACATCACATTATGATGTGACGCCCGTACCACTGTATAATCTCCCCTCACTTCCACTTCTGTTCGATCACCGTTTAAACAACATTGTTTTGGTATTATTTTTTATAGAAATTGTTTTATTTCAGTTAAAAATATTGGACGTAGTATTAACACTGTGCATGGACGATGCAGCATCTTCACTGGGAAAATACCAGTATCCAGAATCTGCTAAAATACATCAAGTAAGTAAATAAACCTTATTCCAATTGTTTTATTGTTAAATGTTAATTAATATTCATTAATTACATTGTGACAATAATTTTCTATGTCTGCCCAGTGCAATGTCGGTACTAGTGTATATTACTTCCACGTTTTCAGTAACATGCATGCATGTAGTGCGTACTGACACAGGACTTTGTGAACGTTCTATAACTGCGCTATTTGTGCAAAATAGTACGAGTAGTACTTATCATTTGAATATTTATTGCTGACTGCGTATTGTGACATACTAGTGATCGCCTATTGGTCGAAATTGGGCTATAATTAAATTTAACGTTTAGTAAGGCTATAGACAAATAATATTAAATATTAATTTATTGTCAATTTGACTACAGATTTTAACAATAAGCAAATGAGTAAATGTTTGTGTGTCAAATACATGGTAGTGTGTATAATGTTTTTTATTGATTTAATGTATTTTTGTAAAAAAAAAATATCTGCACTCTTTTTGTATATAAATTATATGTGTGCGAAATGTCATACTGCTTCCTCCGCGTATTTTCGTAAAAAGAGATAAAAAGTTTTTGCTACACGTGGTAAGGTATAGATTCGGATAGCATGTAGTGGTGATGCAATATGAGCGAGTGAGATGGGTACAGGAGTGAGTGAGATGGTTACAGTAGTGAGTGAGATGAGCACAGTAGTGAGTGAGATGAGTACAGTAGTGGGTGTGCGTAGGTGGTGTCTGTGCTGGCGCGGTGCTGCGACGTGGGCGCGCGCTGCCACTCGGCGGGCGCGGCCGACGGCGGCGTGCCGCTGCCCAACCCGCAAGCTGAACCGCCCGCCGCCGCCGCCGCCGCCTCCGTTTCCGCCCCCGCCTCTGCTTCCGCGCCCACGCGGCCTCCGCTCTCGCCCGTCGCCGCAGACATATTCTACAACAAGACAGGGTAACTAACGTTCATATACTCTCACATCACTTTTATACACACGATTTCCGCGACTGATTAGTACTTCTTCGTCTGCCATCTAAGAATTCATAATCTTGGTTGAAATCTCCTTTGTCTTTTTACTTGAGGTATGTTAATTATTAAAAGTGCACATATTTTTATCTAGGGCTTACATGAAAAAGCTGACAGAAGACTGCTGCGGTTGCGAGGAGGGTATACGGTTGCTTCAATTCCTGTGCTGGGAGCACGCCGGCTGGTCGCGTATAGCGCTGGCCGAGCTGCTGTGGCAGATGGCATACGCGTATTGCCACGAGTTGCGCCGGCACGCTGACGCCCTGGCTGCCCTACTGCTCATGGAGGATAGCTGGCAGCATCATCGTATACACAACGTTATTAAGGTACCTATATGTTGTGTGTACCCGCTTTGTTGGTCGGAATGTAAAGTAACAAAAATTAAGAGATAAATGGTTTAATTTTTATTTTATTTATTTACCTTTTTTATGATTTTCCATACCTTAACCTAATACCTATAAAATGAACCTGTTTTTGCAACATTTTTCGTTGCAACTCCGCCCCATTTGGTCATAGCGAGATGTATATAGCCTATGACACTCATAAATAACGTGGCTTTCCAGTGATAAAAGAAAAGTCAAAATCGGTTCCATAAATCCAGATAATGCCCGCTACAACTTCACTAACTTTACCTCTTTATAATATTGGTATATAGGTAAGATTTTAGAAAAGTCACTGCTTTATACAAGGAATATAAATATAATACAATAATACATACATACAAATTCTCCCTTGGTCAACGAATCTATATGAACAAACTATTACATTTATCTATATCTGTTGTATAAGACTATCAACACAAACTAGGTTCTACATAGTAGGATATGTCGGTGATTGAGTTTGGTATGCATAGGGCGTGTCGGAGGAGCGGCCGGGTCTGCTGGAGACGGCGTCGCGCGCACGCGTTCACTACCAGAAGCGCGCGTACTCGTGCGTCAAGCTCGTGGTGAGCGTGATGGCGCGCGCGCCCGTCGCCGTGCGTGCGGTGCGCTCGCAGCCCGACGCGCGCCGACGATGGCGTCAGCTGCTGCTCTGGCTGCAAGAGGAGCTCGACCGCGTGAGTCCTGCACTCTGTCTTTAGGGCCGTCTATAAATTACGTCACACGTGACCTAGAGGGTGACCTGTGACGTTAGACAAAGTATGATATTGTCTAACGAGGGATTGGAGAAGTCACTAACTTCGTGTAAAAAATATGACAGCGAGGACTCTTCAGGGAGAGAGATCTTAGTTTTTCTGATAACACATTTCAATTTTAGTACAGGGGTGTAACGTCATTTATGGATGCTCCGTATGTCGACTCGTATTTTTCCCGACTAATACATAGTACTTTATTCGCCCATTATGTGATAAATAATTATCACTGCAAAATGACGCACATCTGACTATGGAGGGAAGACCTAATTAAAGATGCATTGGTAATTTATAAATTTTAAATATGTTTTTGGAAAATAAAATCTGTGGAATAACAACCGAGAATAACCCAATACATTTACAAAACATCTTTCCGGTCATTAGAAAATATAATTTTATTGTTACTTATTTTATTATAGTTTTGCTGATATTATTGTTGCATGCTTCTAGAAGTACGGGCCCGGTGGTTATGGGTCATACGGTACATGGTCACCGCCCGGCACTTCCAACGAAACGTCTAGCGGCTACTTTCTCGAACGTAGCAACTCTGCTCGTAAAACTCTAGAAAAGTAAGTATCTAAAACAAAACCCTCATTTACAAATATGTGAATTACCTCGTAATTGTAATTCATATTACGCATACGCAGTGATATATTAACAGATGAATTCTTTGGTTGTTAAATAATATTTCCATTGATATCATGTCTACGTAATATTCAGAGCTTATCAGCTATGTCCGGAGGAAGAGGACGACGAGGAGGACGCTCGAGAGACGACGGAAGGCTCGGCGTCGGGTGAAGCCGGCGACGACAGCGGCGACGACGACGACGCCGTCGACGAGGACGAGCCGCCCGTGCGACGCCTACAGCTGGCGGCGCCCGCCGCCGCGCCCGCGCCCGACGTCTCCGCCCCCGCCCCCGCCCCCGCCCCCGCGCCCGCGCCCCCCTCGCCGCCCGTACAAGCCGCGCCCCCCGCGCCGCACGCGCCGCGCGAGCCCTGAGCCGCCGCCGCCTCCCGCCGTGCCTCTAGTCTGTCACCGCAGCCGTCGTCGTCGCGGCTCCACTCCCCTTTTTTATTTTGTCGCACTCTCTCTGTGTAGTGTCGGAAACTACCTCTCCCGCCCGCGTCGTTCTTAGAATTGAAAGCCTAATTTTCATTACGAAACAGTTTCACGACTTTAATATCGTCGATGGTTGTGGATGTAAATCTTGTTTTTTTTTTATTAAATATTGGATGAGATTCCGACGTGTGAGGTACTAGTGTCGCGACAGCTTATATGCTGCTGATATATGCTGATTTCGCGGTCATTGATAGTAATCTCGTGTAATTTGATTACTTTGCGCAACTAGTTTCCTGCATATCGCATAAAACTAGTTTCGTAATAAAAATTAAGTTTAAGGTGCGTTCGTGGGAATCGCCGAGCCGACGCTTAGCCGTAGTTTTGTTCTGTGATGTTAAGAATAGGCGAGTTCGTGTGGAGGTCGTCGCACGTCGCGCCGTCCGCGCCGCGTCACTGTGACGTGCGTGTGTGTTGCGCGACTTAATTTATGCATACATTTTAGTTATATACGTGTAAATTAAGCTCGGCTTTAAATTACCATAGTATTTATTTTTTTTTAATTAAGGATAATCCACGTCATTGCAACATTTAAAAATAGGATTTATTTTATACAGAATATTATTATGAAATCGTGCGAACCTAATCCACTTTTAGAACGCGATGTTTACCTGCGATCTCACAAATTGCTATTCATATAATTATGTTATTTTACATTGTATAAAAGTGAGATTTTAGAATAAAATATATATTAATTTTATATAATCTTAACTTAATTGTGTTGGCTTGGGCCTGTTTTTCTATTGCAATTATCTGTGTATTAACTTAGTGAAACTGTTTTGTCTCGTTGTCACATGCTATTACAGTTGTTGTTATACAGCTATATTTTCCGGACATATTTTATATATTTCACACAAAAATTGAGTAGTTGGAAGAACGGACTCGAGCCTAACGTATTTATTAGAACTAACTTTAAATAAATTCACACTTAAATGTATGTAAAAAGAAACGTTAGGCAATGAATTTGACGAAATATGGAGAGTTTTAGGCAAAATTAAACTATTATAAAATTAAGATTTTCATTTAGAACTACTCGGTTTTTTTATTTCTCTTTGTTATTATTTTTGCCGAAAAATTTTATATTTTGTTGACAAAATTGTTTTGGGTCTAGAAAATCACCTTAAATAACGTCACAATGTTACCTGTTGCATTTTTTTATTATATGTATGTATTATTGAAATAACCTGGCTAATTGCATAATTCTAAATTTGTGGACATTGTTATCATTAAATAAAATATGTTACACAGATCTTCACAGTAACAATTTTGGATTAACTACTCATTTAATATTGCATGTATTAAGAAATATATATCTGTAATTTGATTATTATAATTATACATTAAAATTAAATTTTTGGCATAGTACGGCAGAGAATTGAGAGAGTTTGCCAGTGTTTGTTTTCTGTGCTGCCAACATGAGTGCATAGTTTTTATTAATTTAGTTAGAGAGTATTATTTATTCACATCACTCAATGCGTTTATGGCACTAAAGGTTCGTCGTCTTTTATATAACTGTAATTTGCATGTATTCTATTCCATAATGTCGATACACAGGACAATTGGTATTATAGATGTTAGTTGATAATGCAGTGTGGGTGCTATCTAACGATTGCCACTTTGATGAGCTAAATTAACTATGTATAGGATAAGGTCATTTAGATACTAATTTATGTTGAGCTTGTTCGTTTAGAATATTGTAACAATTGGACGTTGTTAAATAGTCCTATGCAGACTACATACTTTTGTTGCTTCATCAACAATGACATTATAATAAACTACAGGTCTTGAACAAAATGCAATGCTGCTTACCAATAGTTTGTGTATATACAGTGTATCAATTCAATTTTAATATTCTTTCCTATTTTTTCCACTCTGATGTAAATTAGACAACGATGCAGATCTTATGTAGTTTTGACTCTTAATATAATAAAGATAACGAAAATCATTATTATTTAGATAAAAGAAAAACTTCAATGGACATATTTGAGGTGATTTAAACACGTTTTTTTTTGTTATAAATACGATTATACGGATACTTCGCCGAACCTACAAGTGATGTGATACGTAGTTATAATGTCATTGTTTTCTAATCTTGAATCGGATCTGTCCACTTAATATCGACCTTGCAATAAAAATTAAAGAGAATCAGAATAATACTAAAATTAATTTTCTTACTTATCGTGACGACAACTATTAAATTTTGGTCGATTTGTCCGTGGGCGAAAATAATTATTTGTAATGTACTTACACGGATATGGATGTATTGTAATATGCGATTACATTGTTTGTATTTTAGTGCAGAAAAAATACACCAATGTTTCTACCGTATCTGCGCAGGCGTTTAAAGAATTTAGGGTATATTAACCCTTTGTTGTTGTGACAGTTCACATAACCTTTCCTTATTAATCTTTCCTTTTATTCATATATAACGTTGAGTATGTCAGTATGTGTGATAAATTATAAAATGTATGTATGCATTTATTTATCTAGTTAATTGTTTTAATTTTTGTCATACATAAAATATTTTTTATTCTAGTTTTAATCTCTAACAGTTGCTATTGTGTTAAACGCTAAATATAAATACAATGCATTAAATTGTGTCGATTTCATCAAACGGTGTATATTTGACAAGTAGCAGTGGTCAAATCTTAGGTCAGTATGAATTGTCTCAACAAATGGTATGTACATAAAAATGACTTATCACATTAAGCCGCAGGACAAACTGGCCTAAACAGGTTATATTAACAACATTCAGTCGTCAGTTTATAATTTAATAGAAATATTGTTATAATATGATACAAATATAGTTTTTAATTCAACGGAAGGTGTAGATATAGGTATTAATGACTAGTCTAACAGGAAAATGTTGCCACTATTTCAACGTTCTGCTTTGTAATATATGTTAATATTTATTTTTATATTTCATAACGGTTGTATAATATTTTCCTTTTATATAGTGGTTAAATGTTAATAACATCCAGGCTATCAGGCAGCGCACATGACATGTAAGATATATACGCAGGGGGCGACACTGACCGCCACTCTAGGTACAAAACTTTCTGTAGAATATAACTATGCAATTTATTTATCTATAATATTGTTTGTTACGCGAATGTCTTTCAAATGTAACCACCGTAATATTTGTGACTTCTTATTTGTTATGTAGCATTAAATATAATAAGGTAATTCTTCAAATTTTGGTCGCATAGACCTTGTGCCTTATTTTACTTTTATTTGCTCAATTTGCTTGAACCTGATAGTCTGCATATTGATTTATTATTCAACCTTAATTTTAACTAAGGCTATTATAAATTTTGTAGTTCGCCTTTCAAATATTCGATGTAATTCATGGACAAAGTCGTGAAAAAAAAAAACCAGATTTAATTACTAAATTAGAAGTCGAATTGAGTAACCGCTGTCGTCGTTGTTAAAGTTATTACCAAAGATGGAGTTAAAGATGAGGGAATAATGGTCGCCCTTTTTCTTATAGCTTAGTAATTGAAATGTTTTGTATCTTTTATAAAATGCATAAATTAAAAATATTTTGTTGAATGAAGAAAATGTGATTAATTATATTGTATTAAGTCATAGAGAAGAAAAATGATCAGGCTAATTAATATAAAATCAATCGCCACACACAAAAATGAAATTTATACCGGCTTAGTATTCGCGAGTATCAGATAATGAAATTGTGATTGTAATATTAATTCGAAACTCGCAAATTCACGTGTATACAAAAAGTCTCTACTCTACATTTAATTGTAATATCAGAACAAAGTAAAAGTGACATGTGAAAATTTGTTTTGATAATAAATAGTTAAGTTCGCTTGAGAATACCTCGATAATTATGATGAAATATATCACAATATAAACATTTGCAAAATGTGTAAGAGGTCTCATTGGGTAATTATTAGATCAGTTAAGATTTGTGTACCTAACATTTCTATGGCAAATATAATGTTGAATAGCATTTGACATTATACAGAAATGCTCATGGAGTAGCATTCATACAGATATTATAATATTAAAATCAAAAAATAAATTGGAAATATATGTTTTGTGTTTTATTTATTTACTACCTGCAACCGCGACTTCGTCCGCGTGGAATTTAACTTTATTTTTCTAAAATAAAAGAATTTTTCTAAAATAAAGGTAGCCTAAGTTACTCCTTATTCCATCAGCTACCTCCCAAAAAAGTCCCGTCAAAATCAGTCCAGCCATTTCAGGGATTAGCCTGAACAAACAGACAGACACAAAAATTGTAGAAAATGTAATTTAGTATATGGACCGTATTGATATACATATGCATGTAGTAAAAAACGATTATTTCAATATTACAAACACGCTCCAATTTTATATATGTATATGTATAGATTATTTGCGTTGTTTTAAACTCGTAACCAATGTAATAATGGAAACGCTCGTCGTAGGCTGTACAAAACGTTGCGAAAATGAATGTTCACCTGTAATGCTCTGCACATGTAATAGCAATCTGTTTCATTAAATCCTGAAATATTTATTATTTGGTGAACAACTATTTTCTATTTATTAAATAATTCTAAATGTTTTACCGAGTTGAAAATGGTACTGTTTTAGTAGGGGACCAATATCGTCCAAAATCTTGCACTCCATGTTAGCATTGTTAGCTCTTAAATCTCTCCATCCCAAAAAAATATAAATACTGAGACTTTACACTAATTCATATAAATTTAATCGAATTAGGTGTTATTTTGCGGAAGTCCATTTCACTACTCGATGGATTTATATTATTTTATCTATTATACAATTATATTATCTATTATAACAATCATAATTTAACAAAGATTCAAAACAATTGTAATATCCAAACGATAAAATATGCAAGTAAATTAATTAAACTGATTAATAGATGTTTATATGAATTACTACTCGGTGGATTTATATTATTTTTTTTAATTCCGCTACAATTAACATGTGTGAGACTACGAATATTCGGTGTGGAAACCTGACCAGCGCTACGACCTTCTCCAGTGGTGATCAAATTCCGACCGTTATTAGTCTACATCTACATTAGTCTACACCCTCGGGGGTACAGCTCGGAAGCCTAGTGTTGACTCATCGGCGACCAAACGCGGTTTGGTCAACAATAGGCTTCCGAGCTGTACCCGAACTCTAATTAACGCCTGATGATGCCTCGTTTAGAGGCGAAACACTTGTCGCGATATTGGTGTAGACTCAACAACGGTCGGAATTTGATCACCACTGGAGAAGGTCGTAGCGCTGGTCAGGTTTCCACACCGAATATTCGTAGTCTCACACATGTTAATTGTAGCGGAATTAAAAAAAATAATATAAATCCATCGAGTAGTAATTCATATAAACATCTATTAATCAGTTTAATTAATTTACTTGCATATTTTATCGTTTGGTTATTACAATTGTTTTGAATCTTTGTTAAATTATGATTGCTATAATAGATAATATAATTTGACCTATAACCCGTTACTATAAGTATCTATAATATATACACGATATCCACATTATATATACATTGATAAACCACAGTATCTTTAAATACACTGCCAGCTACGTTTCTCTTTAACTTGTATTATAACCATGGAAAAATATTTATCCGTAAAAGATTTAGAAAATGCAGCTATTGAATTGTTGCCTAAAGCAGCAAGAGATTATTATAGGAGTGGTGCAACTGAGGAACAGACATTGAACGAGAACAGAAAAGGCTTTCAAAGGTAAACTTATTTTTAATATAAATGATTTCTAAGTAGGTATAAAAATGAAGAAACAATTGTAATTGTATTACAGGTTACGTATTCGACCAAAATGTTTAATAGGAGTTGATAGTACCGATCTACGCACCACTGTATTAGGACATGAAGTTTCAATGCCTATCGGTATATCTCCCACAGCTATGCAACGAATGGCCCATCCTGATGGAGAACTTGCTAATGTTAAAGGTATGGTCTCATCATCTTTTTGTAAAGAGACCTCATTAGATATAATAAAATTATTCATCGGTGTTTTGAATTTTTCAGCTGCACAAGCTGAGAAAACAATCTATACACTCAGCACTATAGCAACAAGTTCCATAGAGGAAGTTGCAGAAGCTGCGCCTCATGGAATCAAATGGTTTCAGCTATACATTTATAGTGATAGGTTGGTTTTTATATGCTTATATTATTTATTACCGATATAGACTTTCTGCAAAGTCGTCTGCGAGGCATTTTTCGCCTACGCCCTGAAAGGAACTCTCTTAGTTTTTGCGTTTTATTTTATATGCATGATGAAATACTGCATTTGCCTGCGCTATCGGTAAATTGGCGGGGCACCAGCCGTATATAGGATGAGTATGAAAACAAATTAGTTAACCCATCGTAGCGAAATTAAAAAGAATTAACCACGGAAGACCGCGTGGAGGTCGACTTAACATGGTACATTGGTAATAATGCCCTTACTATTCATCTTTATATAAGGATCCCGTTACCTGGCCGTATTGCATTTGGAGGATGAGGTATAGCGTGAGTGAAATTACAGGGTACGGAGGTATAAGACTTTCGGAATGGCGACGTAACAAAAGGAACCACAGCTGTCAAATTATATAATCACATGACATGGTATAGCGAAAATTGCCACTTGCCAATACTATATACCTATACCACACCATTTACCGAGGCATCATCGCTTTATCATTCTAATGTATTCAAGCTAACTATATATGATTGTATTCTTTTTTATATTTTTGATGTCTTAAAAGATTACCATTAATAACTTGTTTCCAGGAATGTTACCAAAAAATTGGTGTTAAGAGCAGAAAATGCCGGTTACAGCGCAATTGCCCTAACTGTGGACACACCACTATTTGGGATTCGAAGAGCAGATGTTCGAAATCGATTTACATTGCCACCACATTTAAAGTCAGTAATTATTTATTACAGCATTTTAAAACATCATAATAATGTTACGGTATATAAATTTTATATTACATAATACTTCACAGGCTTGCAAATTTTGAAGGTGAACTAGCAAATAAAATTAACAAATCCGAAAGTGGTAGCGGTTTAACGGAGTATGTTAAAAATTTGTTTGACAAGTCGTTGACATGGGATGACATAAAATGGTTAAAGAGGTACGTCGCCAAAAGAAATATTAATAATTAAACTTCATAAAATGAGAGTAACACGGTCTAATAGTGGTTTACCAACCCTGATTCATATTTATAGACTAAATTGGATACCAAACACAGTACCCAAATAAATACGTTTACATGTTTTCTTAACCCATTACCGGTCGCTGTACCCAATTGAGTACAGGCAAAAATATTTTTTTTTCTTATTTATTTTAATTGTAGGTTATTATTTTTTTAAAGACAGTCCATCATTTAATAAGTAAAATAAAGTAAACTGGAGGTACTTTCGGAAAAGTTAAGATTACGAGTTGTCAAAGTTATGAGTTTTAAGTCACTACAGGTAAGTTTTCGTTATTATATTTAGGTATATTTTTTAATTTTTCGGTTATAATTCTAAGTAAATAAATATGATTTATTCCTTTGAATACAAGAGTATTTGTCTATTGGTACTAACTAATAAGTGTTAAGGTTGAATAGCGCTAGTATAAAGTCTATGACTAGAGTGGTTACTAGGGCTACCCTCCTTGTTTATTGTCACTCTCAAAAAAAACTGAAAAAAGTGTGTGTCATGTATGCGTTCTGCAAATTGTAAATAATAGTGTTAGTGTTCGTGTCGTGTCGTGTACCTACTCGCCCGATCCCTTCTAGTGTGTAATACCAGTATCTGCTTCCGTCTCCACCGCTTACAATATTTGGTAAGCCACTCTAAGTTATTTCAAAATTTACGTCACTGTACTCAATTGAGTACAGTGTATAATATTTATGTCACTGTACTCAATTGAGTACAATGGCCAAATGCATGTTAGAAAAGTAGTACTCAAGTCAATGTAAATTACTTTTTTTGAGATAGTTTACAATGAGTTGCGGTGAGTTTAGAACTGCTAATCGCTATGCAGGCCTTGAGGTATCATCCAAGCCATTTTAGAAGCACAGTTTGATTTATCCATGATTCCACCAGATTCTAGTGCAATAACTGATAAAGAAGAGGGCCCTCATGATGATATCATTTATAGTGCATTAATCAACTGCAAGATGTATCTGGTTCTGTTTTTGAACGTACTCACGAAACACTCTCTGATGACAATAACAGCAGTGATGCCGAACCATTAGTTGCAAAACGAACTCGTCGTACAGACCAGCAGAAAACGCCTGCGCCGGCTTGGCGAAAGTGTTCACCGATATACTTTTCAAGACCTAACTGTAGGTCTGAAGTATATGATTGTCAGTCAGACCACAATAAAAGATGAACTCAGAGATCTAAATCCAGTACATATATTTGAAAAACTATTTGATGAGGAGGTCATTGAAAACATTATTTCTAATAGTAGATTCTATGTAAATCAAAATAATAAGCATACATTTCAACTTGACTATTTGAATTTGATTAAGTTTTCAAGGATATTTATATTAACTGGCAACCACAAACAGCCTCGTGAAGCTTTGTATTGATCGCTAGATGAAGATATAGAAGTCCCGATATTGATCCGATTGAAGATGGCGTGGGATATTTCCCTAAAAAACTTGAAAAATAATTACGCTGTATAACTTGAAAATCAAGAGTTAGATGGGAGTACAAGAAATGTCGCATAACATAGCATAGCGCTATATTTTGAAAAATTTCACCTTTAAGTGTCCAGTGTAGTACTCATTTGAGTACACCCCTGTAAATTGCTGAAAGTTAGAACAACTTTTTTTCTCTTATTTTATGTCCTTATATACTTTATAGTTATGATTGTAATAAAGCGAAATCTGAAAAAAACCTTGTAATTTTTGTTTGGCCATTAATGGGTTAATAAAGATATTCATAATATTTATAGACAAATGCTGATCGGGATCAATCTGGATTATTAAATAAGAAAAGATAAAAACATACATCATATTTTTTTTTAATTCCTAGTGTTTTATACCCTTCGATTGATGTTGTCAATACTATTTTTTTTTCTTTTCAGTATAACTAAATTACCTATAATAGCTAAAGGTATTCTGCGAGGTGATGATGCTGTGAAAGCTATTGACGCGGGATGCTCTGCCATTTTGGTTTCAAATCACGGCGCCAGACAATTAGATGGAGTGCCAGCAACGGTGACATTTCCAGTTTCTAAATAAAATGATTGTGTACAAATATTTTTCGATCCTAGAACTAAGCTTTCATAAGAGTTATTGAATTGACTCTACTTTGCTTTCAGATTGAAGTTTTACCTGAGATTATTGAAGCTGTTACAAATTACAACGTTGAAGTATATTTAGACGGTGGCGTTATGACGGGTACAGACGTTTATAAAGCGTTAGCACTTGGAGCAAAAATGGTATAGTATATTTTTAATTGAGTAGCACAATTTAAAAAGTCGAACAATCAAGAAGTTGAGAGCAAGTCTGCTATTCTAAATAAAAAAAAGTCTAATTTCTTCAGTTACTTTAAATTTACATTAAAATATTCTTATCTCTTAAGGTTTTCGTGGGGCGTCCGGCACTTTGGGGCTTAGCAGTAGGTGGTCAGGCAGGAGTGCAAAGGATGTTAAGCATATTCCGCAATGAACTTGAACATACGTTCCAAATAGCAGGTTAGTTAATCAGAACCTCGAATCCTATTAAAGATAATATAAAAATTATTTCGATTAGAGCTTAGTGCGGGTAAAAATCTAACAGTGTGTTTTCTAAAACATATCACAGTATTAAAGTTGCCGCGTTGTAGCTACGCTTCGCAGCACCTATTATGCACCTAGATATCAAATTGCTCGTTATAAATCAAAAGGAAACATCACAATTCACTTAAATTCTGTAAAATCTCACCAAAACCTATTAATAATATTGCTCCCACTATACTACGAATACAAGATCTAGCCCCCGTCAAACAGCGCCAGTCACCGGACCTGGTGCTCTTCACACCCGTATTCAGCCTATACCAGGTATCGCAGTGTATGCGGGCGCTTCTAGTACACCTCGATCGCCCCCAGTTTCCTGTTTCATGATGTGGTCAAAGTACGATGGCATAAGACGTTGTTTAAACCGATAGTGATGCCCTCATCCTTACTTCGTAGTAGTATATTTTGACCGGAAACTAAATGTAATCCATTCTTTAACCCCACAGAACTCACCTGTGAAACTGTAAAGGTAATCCGCGGGCAAAAGTAGGTAGGCATAAGAATAGTTAAAAATATGAGTTTATAAGGAATTAAATAAATTTTACATGACTAATTAAAAATATTTGTGCAGTAATAGAAATAATTAAAATGATAATAATAAGATATAGGAAAATTTTAGCAGGTTTATACAAAGTTCAAAATATTATGGTCTAAGTTAAATATTTTCCCTTTCAGGAACACCTACAGTTGCTGATATAACAAAAGATATGGTTCGGCATGAATCAGCTTATTGCAAGCTGTGAAGATTTAAATTTACCCACTTAAACCAATAATAAATTAATTTATAGTGATGTAAATATGTCATAAATTTTTAATTACAAATGTATTTATTAAACAATAGAAGTTGAACTTGAAGTTGTGGCGTAAATATTTATTTCAATATTAATTTTCGATAAAGATTATAAAGCACTTCAGGCGTCATATATCTTTCTCGTGGCCACAGAGCAGTAGAGATTTTCTGAAAGTGTAATAATATCTATATATTTTTGTTTACTACATTTATAAACATTTACCTAATTATATATATTATTATGTATACTAGATAATATAAATATTTTAAAAAACTGGGCAAGAATTATTAACGTGGCAATTTAACAATGTTTTCCGGGATATTGTTAAGAGGAGAGTAAAACTTAAAAAACCGCGCAGTAAAACTACCATGTAGATATTCATCGGTGTTCGTTCTATATCTATTCACAGACCTTGTGTCTCCTCTAATTTGGATGAGAGGAGTTTAAAAGTCTCTATGAGGGATAACATTACTTTCAATCGAAATTTTTATGTTGCGCTTTAATCTATTATTACAGTATAAAAATGTATTTTATTCATTATTCTGAAAACAATCCAATGGCTGCACATGCTTTCAAATTACGTACACTTAATTAGGAGGGACTTATTTTTCAAAAATGTTTAAATGATTTCTGCACAGTATGTGAAAAAATACTCAGCAGTATAACGGTTAAAGAAAATCTGACTAGTGTGAACGTTGACAATATTAATTGCCTAATCCTATGGATAAAGTTTCGTAGATTAATTGGTTATTGTTAGAAAATTTTCATAGTAGCACGTTTTGAATAGAGCGTGGTCGGGAACATACAGCTTTAAGAGAAATGTTTAAATTTTCTAACAGTATGGCATGTAGTATTGGATAAAGGTCCGTAGGTAACGGTAACCATTTACCATCAGATACGCCGTATGCTTGTTTGTCACCATCGTAGTATACATATATTTTTATTATTGAATATATAGTTTTACCGACCCTTCATTTACTTACCCTAAAATCGCATCCGTATAAATTAATACCTAACTTGAGCTTTTTTAAAGTATGCCTTAAATTTTGATCATTAACCAACTTATCTTTTAAAACAAATGTATCGTTACATGTTTCACATGACTTGTTACTTGTATTATCTGAATTGATACTGCGTACAGTATTGTTATTGCTATCTGTTTTATTGTCTAAGATAGCATCTCTGAGGCGCATATAATTAGTAAAACTGTAGCTGCATGCTTCTTTTTCAGTACAAAAATGATTACCAGATGGTTTATCCTCTTTATGCTTTACGACATCAGGATACTTTTTAGATTTAAATATATTTTTTACTGTTTTTACAAATGTTGTACATGAATCATTAATAACACTAAACAGCCTGCCACTAATAGTTCTGTGCTTAATATCATTTTCTATATTTTTTGGTTTGATATTCCTCCGACGTCTTCTATTCTGTTTGTGACTATCTTTCATTCTTTTTAATTCAGTCATAAGTAAATGGGATGCATTTGTTTTAACTCTAAAACTTATTTTTGGTGTCGATACAATAGTTGGTTTGAATTCTAATATGCTCAGATCTTCATTTACAATATTATTATATTTATATAAATTACTTCGGGACTTATAGTTAGTCTTATCTATATATTCCTTGTGCATATTTACATTGTTAGTTTTTGTATGACCAAACTCTCCTTCATAACTAAACGTGTTATCATTGTTATATATTTTTTCTTCAGATTCTCTGGTAGAATCATAAAAACTTTGTTTTAACAGATATGAAAATGGCATGTCATTGACGTAACTTCTATGTACAGAATTCATATTCTGTGAATTAGTGAGTTTCCTAATTAGATTATCATTATTTTTAGTGTATATTCCAATAGTGTCGTCTTTTCTATCGCTGTTTTTAAAAGCTATATTGTTATTTTTATTTGGTTTACATTCAAAAAATTCCCTATGAATATTGAATAGTAACCCAGTTGTATTACTATCGTTAGAGTCTATCATATTAGATTTCTGATTGGGTTTATCATTATGCTTTTTACCATTATGTAGTTCTAGGTCGTCGTTATTGTCATCCTTTTCTATATTTATTTCTAAGCCTAAAAATGTTTAATTGTTTAAAGATAAATAATTATAGTTTATATTATTTTTTATTGCATAGATTAGCATCTGCAACATCAGGCCTTTCAAAAAGGGACGGGTAGGAGAAAGAATTAGGAAAGGGCTGGGAGGGAGGAGGATGATTGACTTAAATACACTAACCGGTAGTATGTGTGTTTACATTGTGGAGAATTATAATCGACCATTGCCCAACCTGTAAGATAGAGAGTATCGTGAATAATCAGCATTGAATAGCAATTATGAAAATATAAAACAAACATGTATTATAATACCTAAATATAGATACTTACGCAAGAACCCATTCCGTATAGCTTTATAAAGTCGCGTATAATATTTAGGAGATCAATATTGTTTATAAGCATATTTACCCCTTTCGAGTTTTGTGTAACTGTATACAATAGATGAAGATAGGCGCTTGTTTGTAATACCTGCCTAAAATTATAAAGAGTACATTACGTTTTATAAACATCTAAAATAAATAAGTACTGAAATTTAGTTTATTAACTATCGTCATTGAAGTTTACGAATTTAGCCATATGAAACAATAACAGCCTGCTTAAAAATGTAAGCGAATGTTTTAATATTGCACATTTATACTTTGTAGATAAAGACAATGTACTATTACTATTTCAAAGATGCATATCTTTAAACGAAAAAGACAGTAAGTCAGTTTGTTGCTAAAATAGAAAGTTTGATTCAAACACTCCGTACCCTAATATTTCACTACCACCATAACTTGCATATTCTATTTCTGTTTGGCGACAGATATAGCTAATCTAGTATTAGCTGGCTATTATTATAAATTATTTTTATCACCAACCTGTTAAAAATTAATAATCCATTACACCCAATAAATAGTTGGACATTGCGGTCCTGATTATGCAACAAACTTTGTAGAACCAACGCAGCATCCGTGTCGCCATTACAACATCTTCGTACACCCTAGAGAAATTAACTAATAAATATATTTGTTAATAATGTTTAAACAGTAAATATTTAATTTGAATTTGACCTTACCGTTGGAATAAGGTGCGAGCAATAAATTTGATTTTCATGTGAATTTCGACAAACTTCAGCGAGACATCGACATAGAGCTCTCCAAGTATCTTGATGCTGTAAAGAATCGATCCGTTTATCTCTTTTTTCAAATGCCACGCCTGCACTGTTGCATGTACTACCGGAGCACCAGTAGAGTATGGCACCAACAACTAACGTCAGATTAGTATAAGCTGCAACTGGTCGAATTCACCAGGAATTGTTCATGACGATTACCAAGGGGACCGCGTGGAGAACCTACACCATACACTGCCGGCATAACATTTAAACCATAACCTCATACCATTTAAATATTAATAGTAGATACTATCATCAAGCCAACTACATTTTTTTAAGTAGGAAAGAAATACGGACTGACAGAAAGACGACTGGTCCATAGCAATATTAGTACGGTTTAGTATGCCGATTGGGTACAATAAGATAAAGACTAGTATACCTATTTATATATAAATAACATATACTTCTTACCATCATACAACTAATAAATAGATTACATATGAGCGACAAAGAGCCGCTGATTCTAATCATATTTCGTGCATACTGCACCAAACTCTGCCTTGTGGTTAAACCAGCATCGTCGTATACCAAAGCTGACACGAAGTTTAAAATGATGGTCGTAATTCTAGGCAGACACCTACTAAGAACGTGGTATATTTTGTCATATATAATGTTGCTTGTGGTAATTACTTCTCTATGGGTACCCTGGAAATATATTAGACACATAAAAGTAACAGCTTTTAAATATATACAAAATATGTAAGTTTATTGCCCTACACGACTAAACAATTGAAAGAATCTAAATTAAATGTACGAGTATGTCTATGCATCGCACACAAGTCACGTCGCCACATAGGTACCTATCTAAGTTTTTTACAAAACACTTGACAAATCAAAATCTTTTTAAAATCGAGTCTACTACCTGCGACTGAGTTATACCGTTACATCACAATGGTTGCCGTCAATATAGATTAGTACCTAGTGGTCTCCTACAGTGTATCTACATGCCGAGTTTTTTACAGACTACAGCTATACAGTATACTGTGGTCTGTAAAAAAGTCGTAAAGATATTTTATGAAAGGGGGGTCGGCAACTCGCTCTCTGCTGCTCGAGTGTTTAAGATGTCCATAGGCTACGGTAACAATTTACCATCAGATGGGCTGTATGCTTGATTGTCACTGTCGTGGTCTAAGGAAAACACAACATTATGCAAGTATCTATGTTTTATAAATATAAAACTAATTTAATACCTGTGAAACCAAATGATATGCGATAACTGAAAATAATTTTACTTGAGTTTCAATGTCGTCACTATTGTTTATGATCTCTAAAAACCTTTTAATATCCTCAATTGTAGCATGTTGTACTGAAATTTCAGGATCCTACAAAATAAAGTAACAGACACCATTAATTTAAGGATTTGTTTCTAATTGATTTATTTTATAAATCTAAAATTTATGATATTACTAACCATTTTATAACGGAAAATAGGTACAAACTTAGCTGTTCTGTTGCCGTTCGTCAAACCTATCAAATTAAACAATTCATATTTTATCACAAAACATTATTTTGTTTAAAATTAGAGAATACTATAAGTGTAATATGTAACTAATTATAGTGTATAATCATTTATTTAATTTAAACTTTTTAGCCGATATGATCGAGCATTCGAAATGATACTATTTAATAAAGAAAATTATGAAAATATTGAATACCATTGCAGCACTTATATTTATTGTACCAGAGATTTGGACTATAGTAGACAAGTAATCTAAAAACAAAACAATAAATAAAAGAAACTTTTTTTCGCGCCGTTAATTAAAGTATGATCTGTAGTATAATTTTTTATATAAGCTCCTAATGAATATATACAATAACGAATTTATACCTTATGTTAATATGTGTTCAATATTGATTCTCACTATAAAAAGAATAGAATCTGTATAACTTATTTTTAAAGTTAAGGAAATATTGACTACTTGTTTGACCGTTTTGCAAGTAATTTTAAATTCTACCGCCAAATTCATAATTCAGCTAATCGTTGTCTGAACTTGACATGTCACATGTGTCATTCTGAAATTTGTATTTCTGGAATTATGAGCTCTGTGCTATATTAGTGTTCTCTGTTGTCTGCATAGATAATATTCTATTCTGGAAAACTGTTGTGTTGAAATGTGTTTTGTTTGATAAATTACTTTATAATCAGTCAATAATTTCTATTCAAGTAAATCGTTGATACGAGTAATGTAAAATTAATAATATTTTTCTATTATTATATTTTTTTATTTTTATATTCCTCAAATTATTTTAAATTACTTACATTTTAATTTAGATTTAGTAATGGATGTTGGCGAGCTGTTGTCTTTTAAGGTATGTTTAAATATATTTTTGTAATATGTTGAATGTATGTTACTCATTCAAAACGGCGGTCCCAACTTTATAGTAATAACAGCATAAATTTTACTTAACTTTGTTACACAGATTGAAAATATCTTGGAATAACATATAATCGAAATCCGAATTCGATACTTCTACTTAGTATAAATATGCAGTTCACGGAAATATGTAGTCATGATTTTGTATAAATATAATTTTAATAACTGTAATTTGAATTATGTCCAATAGCCCACTCCGACACCAAAAAGACCAAATGAAGACGACAGTGGTGATTCTGACGATGATCAACCACGGTCAATAAAAATAAGACGCTTAGCCAAATCTAAATCAGATTCTATAGCACACCAACTGACTAGAACATTACCAAAAGAACCAACATTAACTGATAAGGAAAGAGAAGACATACTTCGATTTGTAGAAACGGAAGCAACTGAGGTATTATTCTAACATCTTTTTTTATTGTAAAGAAGAATTAAAGAAACATTATTGAAGCTAAGGAATTGTGAATTTTAAGATTTGATAATATTTAAGAAATTTATTTATAATTAATTTTTTTTTAATGACATAAGAATTATATTAATGATAATGTTATACATGTATTAACAAAATACTGAAGAATTAATATTATAAGAATTTTTTTAGGGAGAAATTCTTGATGATACTGCTGTAAAGAAACTGGTATTAAACTTTGAGAAGAAAGCTTTAAAGAATAGAGAAATGAGGATAAAATTTCCAGATCAACCAGAGAAATTTATGGACAGTGAAATTGATTTACATGAAGCATTACAGGTATCATTTATAAATTCAAGAATATAGTAATGGTTATGACATGAACTTCAATTAGCTGTTTTCGAAGAAAATACATAATAATCTTTATTTTTACCTACAATAAAGTCTGCAAGGCTATATACATAACAAATCTTGTTAACCACAAAATTGATTTTTGTTCTTATTATTTAATAAAAATCATGTGTAGACATTAAAAATCAATCATCCAAAGATGATATTCATATTTTTATAATATGTATACAAAATCCTCATTCAATTAGAATTGTAACCTCTCATTTAGCAGTTACAAGGATTATGGAAATGCTATGTGCACATAACCATATGCCTAGTCTATCTGGACATTACATATTTGTAATTTACTAATTTATCTTGAAAGATTTAGATTTTATAATAAATAGAAATCATTCTAGTAGAAATGAATTTTTGAATCTATCAATAATAATCTATCTATTATAGAATTGGCTTCCCTGTCTTAATAGTAGACTTTACTTCGCTTCAGAAACCCTGGTGGGCCTCTAGTTTATCATGTAATAAGTCAGGTATTGTACAAATGTGTGTCACATATTTAAGTTTAAAAATTTATTCTCAATCTTATTGATTGAGAACATTTTGTTATGCTACAATTTTATTGAATTATCATGAAATTGCCATGTTACATATCAAATTATTTTGTAACTAAATTGTTTATTACAATCATGCTAATTTTGGAACAGGATTTAAGTGCAGTGGCCACAGTTCCAGACCAATATCCACTATTAGTGGAATTGAAATGCATTAATTCCTTGTTAGAATTACTGTCACATGATAATACAGACATTTCAACTAAAGTTGTAAATCTTCTACAAGTGAGTATTTACAGTAGTGCTATATTACTTAAATAATAATCTTTATCTGTGCCCTATTTTGTATGGCAGTAATATTATTATTAAATTATGTACAGATTTTAAAGCATTTAAATCTGTGATAGAAAAAAATGGCTACTTTATACAAATGTTAGTAGGTACCATAAAACTCTTTCAATAATATTTACAACTTTTTATTACAGGAATTAACTGATGTAGACATTTTACATGAGAGTGAGGAAGGTGCTGAAGAATTGATTAATGCATTAGCTGAAGCTGAATGTCCAGCTCTTCTGTTACATAACCTAGCTCGTCTTGATGAGCAGGTTCCTGATGAAAGGGATGCTGTACATAATACATTAGGTAATATAGTACATTGGATAAAATGTTACCTATACATATAAAATTTTAGTATTATTGTTTATTGTTTTATTAACATTTATATCACTTGGTGAATCCAATTTTATATTTTATGGGTGAGAACAAGTAATGAGAATTTGTTATAAAAAATGTAATTGTTTATAGGTATAATAGAGAACATCACAGAATTCAGGCCAGAGCTGTGTCCAGAGGTAGCAAAACAAGGATTTTTACAGTGGATTCTTAAAAGATTGAAAGTATGTAACAGCCAAATTTATTTAAATGAATTTTTCCCACACTAGTTAATAACAATTTTTTAAATATATGAACTAGTAACTAGTCACATGTACACAAAACATGTAATTAGTTGATATTTTATTTAAAAAATTGTGATGTAAGCATTTGGTCATACATACGGATGTATTACATCTTTAGCAGTCTCATGTACAGGGGCGGATCTACCTAAGGGCTTTTTGGGCTGCAGCCCAGGGTACCCAATCCCCACTGAAACAATATTTAGAATATAAAAAATATGTAGAATGTTAAAAAACCTATCTCAGGGTTGCTAACCTAAGGTTAGCAACCCTGAGATCAATCAACCCCTGCAAGTGCGCGTATAGACGGCCCATTTCTTTCTATAGAGAAAGAAACAGGAAATTTCTGGTTGCTTTTAGGACGGTGTATTTTTTTAGTTGAATTATATAATTAGGTAGGCCCCTAAATAGATTTACCCCAGGGCCCCACAAATTCACGATCCATTCCTGCTCATGTAAATCTATATAAATATTATAAATTTGAAGCTGTGTGTGTCTGTTACCTTTTCACGGCTGAGAACATCTTTATGTAATTTAGTATGAAGATACAGTATGATGTGAGCGCAGACTATAAAACAAAAAAATAAAGAATTTTATCTAAAAAAGTACATGAAGTTGCAAGTCAGTCAAGTAAGAAATGTAATTGATATCGATCTAAAAAATTTTACTATGCATTTCGTAATGTAAATGGTTAATATTTCTGTAAACATTGAGGATGTGAACAAACCTGAAACCACGATGTCTTGATGGAGGAGCAACATCTATACGTAATATATGCAAAGTTGTTAAACAAGCTTAAAAATAAATATTTTAGTAACTTTGAACTTGATAAGCTAATTATTGACATTTCATTGTTCCAGTTAAAAGTTCCTTTTGATGGGAATAAGTTGTATGCCACAGAAATTTTATCTATACTTCTCCAACATACACTTGAAAATAGAAAACTGCTTGGTGAACTGGATGGTATCGATGTGCTTCTGCAACAGTTAGCGGTGATTAATCTTTTTTAAAACTGTCAATTATAGTTATTTTAATTTCGAAGCACAATTTTCTTTTCTTGTAGATACTAATATAGTTTTTATTTTATGATATACAGTTTTACAAAAGACATGATCCTAGCGGTGCTGAGGAACAAGAAGCTATGGAAAATATGTTCGATTCCTTGTGCTGCGCTTTGATGGAGCCCGCAAACCGCGACCGCTTTCTCCGAGGAGAGGGTTTACAACTAATGAACTTAATGCTTCGGTAACTAGTATCCATCGTAGAGGAAATCTTTTGTAATTATTTTGTTACATTATTAATTATATGGTAATTTTTGCAGGGAAAAGAAAATGTCACGAAATGGCTCTTTAAAAGTACTTGATCATGCCTTAGCAGGTCCTGATGGACGTGACAACTGCAATAAATTCGTAGACATTCTAGGTCTACGCACAGTATTTCCTTTGTTCATGAAAACACCAAAAAGAAAAAGATTATTAACTGTTGATCAACACGAAGGTTGGTTTATATAATGTTTATTTATCACATATGTGCCAGCAGTAATTACAAGCTAAATATGATTTGTACTTAATACCATTCTATCTTAATATATAAATTTCTCGTGTCAGTGTTTGTAACAAAGCTGCTCCGAAACGGCATGACCTATTGTTATGAAAACTTGTATACCCTAAAGTTTTACCATTTCAACCTGTATTTTTTAAAAGTGATATTATGAATTACTTTACTTCGATTTATATCGTAAAACAATGTTTACCTAATTCACTAATTTTAGTTTATAGTTTCAGCTAATTTTCATCTAAATTCTTCAATTTATTTTTATGATTTTTGTAATAAATATAAATATGAATCTTGAAATGAAATCCTATTGATGTAGTTAATACCATATTGTTTGATACAAGTCTGTTATTTGCGTCTTGTCCTAAAATAACATATATTTTGGAATATTTCTATTACGGCTTTTAAAAAATACAACTTCTAGATGGAATATATGTTATTTCTACTATTTGCTGACTTTGATTTATTTTTATTATGGTAATACAGATGTTGTCCATTGTTGTAGAGCATGTGGTGTCTATAATAGCTTCAATGTTACGCAACTGTCAAGGTAGCCAGAGGCAAAGACTATTAGCAAAGTTTACTGAAAATGATCTTGAAAAAGTCGACAGACTGTTGGAGTTACATTTTAAATATATGGATAAAGTTGATCGCACCGAAAAAGATATGGAGGTAATATTTTTTAGATTTAGATACAAACGGTTTTGTATAGTGATGCACATATTTTTAAAGACTTCAAAATCATAAAAATATTCAAGTATTTTTATGTGTTCAATTTTAGTATGATACATGGCCAAATGCAGTACAATGGTGCAGTTTCTAATCAATTATCAACTGACACTGATATGCCTAGACGTTATAGAATTTTTACTTCTTAGCAAAAATTCTACATTTTAACTAAATATGAAATGACTTACTCTCTCCTGTTAAATAGGTATGATTTTTTTTTTGCAGCAAGAAGCAGAAGACTTGGACGATGACGCGCAATATTTGAAACGCTTGTCTGGAGGTCTATTCACATTGCAATTAATAGACAGGATAATTTTGGAGGTGATATTTTATATGGTTATTGGTTTAATGAAGAAAGTAGTAATAATCAGTCTCAAACTCTGTACGACTTTTTTTTCCAAATCTATTTCAATACATATGTAACAATTTATCATAAAATACTGAAATATTATAGTAATACATTAACTGATATAATAAATTAAATGTCATAAGCAATTTTGCTCAGTTTAACCGTGAAAACTCTGTACTTTCACAGTTAAACCTTCATTTCATAGGAAGCAGGATAATTTGGTAGCACCTTAGTAACCCAATTATCTAGCCAAAATTGAAAGCATATAATTGAGTATGACTTGAAGTGATCTGAGGTGTTGGTATTTGTATATAATTTCTTAAAGCTTCCATGCTTGAAATTAGACGTCAGAATAGAGTAGTAGTACACCTAAATCGTGTTGCGCTATACATCTTTGTATTGTATTTGCGACGAATACGGTTGATAGGGATAGTGATAAAAAATATGACGTACATAGCAGGCGGAGCGGTCGTAAATTATTGAACGATTTGGAGTTCGAGTTTGATATTCAATTTATGTATAATTAGAAATAACAATATGTATATTTTAATATTGTAGGTATGCACTGCGGGCTCTACGACAGTGAAGCAAAGAGTGCAGCGTGTCTTGTCACTCCGGGGTGGCTCTTTGAAGATTATTCGTCACGTTATGAGAGGTAATATTTTAGAAAATCTGTTTATCCATACCATGATGAGATGTTGGTATAACATATTGCCTCAGCTGTGTTTTAGTGATTAGTGTATTCAATATTTTCGGTATGTTATGACATAAGAAAAATAAACCACCACTAGAGTACACGATGGTATATGGTGTTAATTGTTCGGCTTTACAAGTTAGTAAAACCACTTCTCCCCCTCATTCATGTATTCATTTTCTAATTGGATGCATGTATTTGACAGAATATGCGGGCAACCTCGGCGATGAGGGCAGCGAGGAATGGCGTCAACAAGAACAGCAACATATACTTCAACTTGTAGATAAGTTTTAGTATGTAATATGTGTTAATAAATCACTAATAGAACTATTAAATTGCGGTATATTTTAATATGGCCTCACTTCATTACAATAAGTTTTTTTAAGAAATATGAAACATTAGTAAACGATTTGAAATAACTTTATTGGATACAATACAATTTCTGCATTAAAATAATAAAAAAAGAAAACAATATAACCTAAATGCAACAAATTATGAAAAAGTAACTCGAGATGTAAACACAAATTGATACCCACGCAATATTATTTTAATAGTTTGTGCTTAGTAAATAGGTGTACAGTTTAGGCGCCACAGTATTTTACTGTATTATTTTCATACACCTAAATACAGTCATCCACATGTGTGACAACAAACACTAACATCACAGACAAAATATTTAAATAAATGCCGCAACTACATGTGTCATCACCATTGTTACCCTAAGAAAAAAATTACATGGATTCTGCAACATATTTTTTTTTATACACAAAATTAACGATTGATTAATACGTGTATATATTTGTTAGTTTCAGCTGATAGCAAGGTAAGGTAAGGGGTTTACTATTAATAATCACTTATATAGGATAGTCAAGTATGTAAAGGATTTTTAATGATATCTCCAAAATTGCTAGTTGCAATTGAACGTTCATAATCAAACTAAGTAGTAAGTATTTGAAAATATAAAAGTTAAATAATAAGTACATAATGATACTTGCCTCAATTAGTTATGTTTTTATCACAGAATACAATTATATTTGTTCTACTTAGCTCAACAGATATTTTGCCGTATGCCGTTTACAAACTTTATACCCCACGTTATATCAAATATACCGTAGGAAGGAAATGAACAATATTTTTATTAGCATAGAATTATAAAATAAGTACGGAATGGGATAATGTCTATCTACAAATGTACCGACGGACTATACTTATATGTATGTATATCACAACCAAATTATCTCCGGTTAACTATTTTGTGAATGTTGAAAAATAATACTGTATGTATATATGTATATTTACATGATAATAGCTATAGCACTTGTAGTTCTCATAAGCAGCAAATAATATACGGTAGTACTTTCATATACAAAGGGATCTGAGTATCTTAATTAATTTCCTTAATTTTTTTACATATGACATGGTTATTAAGTACAAACTAAAAATTATATTTTTGAGCACATGTTTGTTGCATTCATTGTTTGTGAATTTACCATGTATTAGATAGAATACATTACATTCTAATTACTTTTAGCTAATTTTATACATCATAAAATCGTTACAACTAATAGCGTTATAGTGTACATAAACATAATGTGCAAATCCAACAACAACTGGCAAGCTGACTTCAGAATGCAATCAAAATCGTAATCAAATCGAGACAGAGAATTCAGATGGTATTGTTGAATATGGATTATTCAAACTCAAGTCTCACAAGAATATTAAGAAAACTGTAAATAAACCTTATCTCTGTGAAGTGAAATGAACCAGAAATGTACATCATACAAATACTGTCAAATGCATTAAATTCGATTTGCTTCCGAATCGATTCTGTGAAAAGTGACCCTGGTGATATTTTTTATACGAATATTGATATATTAAATTAAACTATATAAGGCAACTGTAACTACGATAACAAATACTTAAATAGAATCGAGTGCACTTGAAATTGAAGGCACAATCACACTTGTAAACAGTGGGCACTTCGGCTATGGGCAATCCTTGCTCATCATCTTGCTGAATGCTTTGGGAATGTCTTCATTTGTTTTGGATATATTGCTAGAGCCGAGTAACGTCGGTGCTGGGATCGTGCCCGTTTGTATACCATAAGCGGTCTTCAGTAAATCGTAGTTTATCTTTTCAGTAACTACTGAGTCTTTGCTGTGAAAAGGTAATTTTTTTATTTAGGAGCATTCATACACAACCGTATGTACGAAGTAAGAATACAATGATGCATTCTTATTTCATTATATAAACACTTTCATTCTCAAAAATGACGAGGCGACTAAGGGAATAAAGCACACATTAGTCTGACAGAAGGATCGCGAAATATAACCTTCATAAAACAAATCCTATACTGTGGTACAGTCTGTCTGTAGTAATAATTGGCTAAATAACTATAACTATAACGAGGAGAAAGCCATGACAAGAATATGAAAAAATACAATGGCAAATAGATAACTTGTCAGCAAATGCACTTTACAATTGATTGAAACAAATAAAATTCTATAAGACATTCAAGTACTTCAACATGTTTTGCGATATTTACACGTGAATCTGGTTATTTTTATAATCTCTATGTTAGCCGATTCCGCAAACGTATCATTATGTAATAAGCACTGCTGTATACATCTCATGAATTACGTCAAGAGTAAACTTACTTGTACTCTGGATGCGAAGTAATAAACTGGCGCATCCAGGTGGCCATAGTGGAAATCTCGCCCGATGCGCGGCGCTGTATGAGTTTGAGGTACTGCTGAATCGAACAGTGCGTATCCGCGTCTACGTCCATGCCCGAAAGATAGGACTCAATCAGGGGCACCAGGCCAGGGAATATGCCGTCCTGTGTGTAATGAAAGTACGAATGGTTTTATCTAAATCTAATTTTATTTAATCTAAAACACAATTGTCATGTTACAGTGATATCCAATGGCAAATTTCTACAAATTGATGACTAAGATGATCTAGCGGTTTAGCACACAACTTTACTTGAATGGTCGCACGGTTGTAACATTTGTGTTCATGTGTATGATTGTTGACTTCGGCCAAGGCCAATGAATATTATATAAGTAATTAAAAAAAAATAGAACTCCAATGAGTTGTCTAGCAGTCATAATATAGGCTCTGGTTATTTTGGGACTGGATGGCGCTGTCTGAATTGGCCTGGGTTCTTATTATTATTTATAAAATAAATTATTTAAACCGACTCGATTCCTAATTTGAAAACTACATTTTATATTATGCAAGTGTAAACGGATAGATTGAATGCAGAATATATGCTATGTGTACATGCCCGATGGTATTGTCAGTAAATTGCTGTATATATGAGTAAATATTCATACTTTCCCGTTGACAATTTCGTGTATGGTCATCTCTGCGTACTGGTCTGCGTGCGCGGCGAGGTTGGCCGCGCGCACGTCACGCCGCCACCAGAACTTCTGCGTCAAGCACGCGTCTCGACGCTGCGCACGCTGCATGTTCTCATCCACCTAATTATTATATCATACAAAACATTGTATGCATATGATTTATTTTAATTACATAAATTAATTTACAACCTAATAAATTTATAAATGTGACAATTGAAATGTTGGCCATACGTTTATGCCTGCCTATCTGGATTTTATTGACATTTGTTAAATTCAAATTAAAAAATTATTTATTAATGTAGGACATTTTAGCAGCTTATGAACGTCAAGTTTTTACATTATATTTTTTTTCTAAATGAATGTATTATACTATATACTTTATCAATATATAGAATAGATTTTATTTTACATGAACAGAATCGGGTTAAAGACTACAGCGCACAAATGACGCACAACAATTACCATTAAAAAAAAATTTAAAATGCGACTACCTTACTGATGGGCATGACAAAGTTGAGGTGATAAGACAATATAACTCTGGTCAGCAATACGACGAAACACACGTAAGCGGCATTCTCAAAGTCGGTGAGTTGCGCTTCGCACGGACGGAACTCCACACGCCACCCGATCGGGGAGTTAGGCGGCGGGGGCTTGAAACGCATTGTTTGCCAGTTGGTTGATTGTATGTTCTGTTGAAACAACGTTAAAACATAAAGTGACAGCACAAAATAAAAAAAATAGTACAACAAATATTTATTTTTACACTACATACACTAGTGCCCCTACGCTTCGTACGAGGGTATAGTTCATGTGGTCGTATTACTATATGAAAATATTATACATAGCTTTCAGACAAAATTTTGTCACTACATTAGAAACCGTAACAAAATCAATTACGTAATTTTAGAAGTAGTATTAGTAGGCGAAGAAGTACTAAGAAACAAGTTGAAAGTTGGTCGAAAAACATCAAACCTCAAAGTGATCAGTGTCGTTCTTATCGTCTTGGTGTACTTTTTCCGAGAACAATGAGACTGTGTCGCGAATGAAGAGATGTGCCACATGCATTGCAAGCGGGTGGTCGATGCCCCCCTCGCGCAGCCGCCGATAGATCTCCGGGTCGTGTACAATTTGAATGTCGTTGTATCTGCACAATATACAAGTATTAATATTGTATGTACGCAACATGCGTATTTGGAACAATATAATTAACAACAAATCTGGCGATATTAAGTTAAACTAGCGAATCCAACAGACTTCCTGCCGAGAAAAATAGCGCTACCTATCGGGTCCAATTGAGTTTCCAATATGTATAACATATTTAAAAAAATGTATGTATATATAAATATAAGTACATAATGCTCAAGAATATTTAGGTAGTATTTTTTATAATTATATAGGAGAGTTTAATGAAATTACTAAATCGAAAATATTGTACGTTCGTTAAATTTCCGTGCCTACATACTTATAAAATGTAATTACTTACTTTTCATGCTCTGGCGAGAGGTATGAATCAATGGAGTCGTAACGAGATTTGTGTATGCGGAACTTATTGTTCTGTAGCGGTTCAAGGCCCCGCTCCTCTGGCGTGCGGCAGTCCACCGACGCCGATATTACGTTCCAGCGGCAGTCCACATCGGTCAAGAAACCGCGGTAGACGGGCGACGCTGCGGAGAGCGCCAGCTACACACATTTACAAGTACGAACTTAAGGGGCTGAAACTAAATTCTGACCATTCTATTCATTCACAATGACCTCTAAATCATCGCGACGTCGACATTGAACAGTAAATATAAATACACTGTTTTACGATTATCAGTTCAGACACTGTATTTATTTAAATTTGTTTATAACAAATAATCGATGACCACTACTAACAATCAGGTTTCATAATTGTTGAAAGATAAAGAGTGTATATTTGACATATTACAACATAACCATTTTACTTTTCGCCAGAACTTTCAATTTCGGCAATTATTTGGGCGAAAAAACGAAGCTTTAACGGTATGCAAAGAAAATCATACATATACAAGTATGTATTACATTAACAGGAAAAAGGCTATATACCATTATAGGACATAACGTCGCCAGTTGATCGTACAGTGTTCGTGCCTCATCAATACAGCAAGCCTGGAACGTGAGTTGGAGACAACAGCAGCCCATACCGAAACCCATAGCATCCATATAAACGCAGTCCGGTTTCGCTGCATTTGGTTCCAACTTATGTGAGTCGTCCACTGGGATCTTTGTATTCACATCGCGGTATACTGAAAGATATCGACTGATGACTAATTGACGCCTTATAAATGAGGATGAGTATATGGGAACTCCGTTTTAATTCAATTCTATTTATTTATTCTTCTGCACAAAAAAATGTATACATGGTGGACTTAATGCTTAATTGTATTCTCTACGAGTCAACCGATACTGAACAGAGAGTATAAGGCGGATAGAATTTATTAATAGATGGAAGGATAAGGTAAATAGGAGTACGAGGGAAAAGGACTAATTATATGAAATAGAAATAGAAATAGAAATAATCTTTATTCAAATAAACTCATTACAAGCACTTTTGAATAGTCATATTTTGATTCTACCACTCATTCGGAATGCAGATTCATCACAAGAAGAATGAGCAAGAAACTTGTGTGTTGCTCTTTTTGATAGATGTTTTTTTTATATAAATAATTACAGTGTAACAAGTAAGAGGCATGCGACAATCAACATAGAAATCGCTACACACTCATTATTAGTGTAATCAGATAATATTGTCAGTGCTATGTATTTAAAATTTTTCTACAAAAACATTATTATCGTTAACGAATTCTTCAATTTTATAGTAAGCTTTTTTGCAAAGGAAGTGTTTTATTTGACATTTAAATCTTTTTTCTGGCAGATTTATAACAGACTCTGGTATTTTATTGTAAAACCTTACGCAATTGCCATAAAACGAATTACTAACTTTAGCCAAACGACATTTAGGTAAAATCAGTTTGTTATTGTTACGTAAGCTTTTATTAGTGCAATCACTAACTCTTTTGAAACTGTCTATATTCTTCCTGGCATACATGATGTTTTCATAAATATATTGAGAAGCAACGGTGAGAATATTTGATTCCTTAAAGCACTCACGCAAAGACTCCCTGGAACCCATGCTATAAATGGAGATATATATATATATATATTATACCTAGATACAAACATTGTTTGTGTAATTATACAACTAATATATGCTTAAAGATTATATTGAAAATAAACATATGTACCTACATATAGTAATCTTCAATTAATGATTAATTGTTATAAAATAATATTTTCAACATATCTTCCCTATCCTATCCTTTCTGAAAACTTTATAATTATAAGCTTTAAAAAAATAACAGTGACATGAAGAATAAAAATACGATAACAGGATAATCAAGGATTTAGATAATAACCAGATTAAAAAAAGTTTTATTACAAAAATACAAATATCACTTTTTTGATCGATCAAATCATATGAGTTAATTTAAATAAATTCTAATCATAAAACCAGCAAAATTTGTATTAGTTTTGCATATCAAATGCATTATATTTTTATTTCCGTAAATTAGTCTGATTCCTTTTTATACTAAATATGGCCTTGATACATCCGTCAGCATATCAGTCATATAGCCGTCCTCCTGATACATTTTCACGTAAATTTTTAGTAGGATCTGTGTAGTCAGTATGACGTAATATACAGACACATTTTCTCAATTGTATTATGATTTTAGCGTCGACATTTTTTTTTGTTTATTATAGGACAGCCATACCATATATGAATACTACATATAAATTCATAAAATTTGTAAAACAAACTAAGCCAGTGTTAGACTTTAACAAATAGCAATATAACCTACCTTGCCTTTATAAAATGTTTATAGCAGTAAGAAATAGATGCTGGCCATTAATGTAATTAGCGTTTCCGTGGTTTAGATCTAATGTGGTTATAAAATCGAATCTTCTGGATGTTTGTTTGTTTTTACATTATAATATCACATAGGACCTAAATCGCTGAAGCATATTGAATAAATGAGCAGTTAGAAGCAATTACATGACCCGCGAAGAATATTTCATCTTTTTATTAATTTTTTTTTATTATTGCTCCTCTCATGTTAGTCGTAGCGTGATGTTGTAAAGGCTTTAATAGCCTTTCTCGATAATTGGATTATCGAACACTAAAATAATTTTTCAATTCAGTAGTTTCCGAGAATAGCGCGTTTTAATAAATAAAAATATCTTAAGCTTTATAAGATTAGTAGATATATATAAATAACTACTAGGAATAGATGTAACATATCTTTATATTTATTGTAGTATTATATAATAATATATAAAGATATAAAACCGGAATAATCCAATTCATACTTAAGCACAGGTAAGTTTGCTTAAAATACTTAATTTCCGGGTATTCCCCCATCACAACAACTTGTTGTTTAACCTGTTCTGTAGTATACGAGTGGGTTTATTACCGAATGTAGAAAAATAGCATGTTGCTATAGATATCAAACATTACAGATACTCCCAGTAAAAGAAAATGATCTTTATTACTATATACATAGTAACTAAATAATCTCTGCCATTTTATTTATATTCTAATAACATCTATGCGAACAGTCACCTTAAAGTTCAATGCCGATAGACTACAAGATAATACTGTAAACTTAAAAAAGGCACTCAGCGGGGCAAGAATAGGAATAGGAGGGAAAACAGAATTGTAAAACGCTATGTGCGCGACTTGTAGGACGCGACAGAGATAAGATACGTTTTAAGAAATATCTACCTTTCATCTGTTATTCAATAACGCGAAAGTTTATATGTTAGACTAGCTGTACACGCGACTTCGTCCGCGTGGAATTTAACTTTATTTTTCTATAATAAAGGTAGCCTACGTTACACCTTATTACATCAGATACCTGCCAAAAAAAGTCCCGTCAAAATCGGTCCAGCAATTTCAGAGATTAACTGGAAAAAACAGACAGACAGACAAAAATAGTAAAAAATGATATTTTAGTGTACCTATTTATATTCATATGCATGCAGTAAAAAACAGTTATGTCAATATTACAAACATACACTCCGACTTTATTCATATGTATAGATTTATAAAATGCACATGGGGTGGGGGGTAAATCCTGGATTAAATCCAGGACAGGTATATATTATATCACAGAATATATAATAATATTTCATAAAAGACTATCTAGTAAAACCTTTTAATATAAATAATAAAATGTTTTTAATTGGCAAAGTATTTGAGAAATTGACACAACATTAACTTAGTTTATAGCCCTCTTAGCGATATTTCATTTTAAGAAGGAAATACTAATAACATTAATGCCTACCTAGCACTTATATCGGAAAAATACTGTTGTATTTAAACAAATCGCCTGGTACTTAGATAAATATTTATCATCTTATAAAAAAAAAGAAAATAAATACTATTTAAGATTATTTGTCAGGTACCCTGGGTGTGCAAGTCTGACTCATAATGAATTACCGCTGTTTATATGAATTTAACAAACTACTGAATACTGTTAGTATAATAATCAAGTTACGTACTTGGCAAATTAATAGCAACCTTTTCTCCTCTTCTGTTTCGTATATTTGCTGATAATGTCTTGAAACGTGGGTGTCCAGGAAATATGCCTTCGTCAGGAAAGTACAGAGACTTTGTAACACCATCGTTAGGTGTTGATGGATATGGCGGGCTGGTAAAATTTGGGCATCCGAGTCTGCAAGGTTTTAAAAAGATTCATTAATTACACTTTCTGTACTTGTCATAAACAAAGCAAAACTATACATTTTGTGTACATTGTATGTATACAAAATATATAGGATTGCCAATGTGGTGTGGTATATACTGGATAAATTTTATTACCGTTAGCACAGATAATATAATATTACATACAGATACCCCATCCCATACAAGAAAATGGTTCCTTCCTAACTCGGGCTATTCTTCGGCAGTTCGGATTACTAGTGGGTGATTAGTAATAAAGCATGAAAATAGATGGCAGGTAATTCGGTCTACATGACATCTGTTTTGCAAAGATACATACATAATAGATATTTAACTGTGTCGAACTCCTGATTGGGTACAATCGAAAATTCAATGTAGGTATAATGTCGTTCGCTGACGCTCTACAGACACGGCTAATGTACCTATGTATCTATGTACTATGTTATAGTTACTTTTTTCCATGCCTACTTTTTTTCTCCCGACGTAGATATGTCGTAACGCGTCTGCACTAAAATCGGGCTATCGGTTAAGGAGCAATAGCTCTTTAACGAATAGCCCGATTTTAATACGGTTTTTTTTATTTAAATTGTTATGTGATAGAGATTGATTTTAGCTTAATCAATTGATGTACATGTGGGTATCTCATTTAATTTTCAGTGTATAATTATTTCTCAATATATAGTTAATTATGGTAAACTGGCAATTTGTAAAATCGAAAATAATATCTGCAAACCATCAATCTGTTATATAGGTTCTTTCAGGGATACTACATCGGTGCTAATGACATGTAGGTACTTATTTTGAGTTATACCTATTTGTAGAACCTTCAATTGTTTTTTTGGTATTTATGTAAGTTATGCAGTTGAAATTAAGCTGCGAAATTACAGGGTATTTGGACAAAACATCTATTCTCTCCAGAATGACAACATATGAGGGATATAGCGGGCACGACATGATGACGTAATATTTGTAATGCTGTTTAATAATTTATGTGTATGTATGTACGTCGGATAGCGTCGTAGTTGGATGGATCGTCAGCTTATTTACCATTTCATTTAATAATAGTAGGTAGTAACTTTTGACAATATGGATGAGGGACGGTAACGGTGATGATGATGAGACCACCATTCTGGTGGTGATGATGAGATCAATAATGACTGTTGACGATGGTGACGGTGGTATTTATTTATGACCACTATAAAATTTATCATTGGCGGCATTCTCAACATAATCATCATTATGATGATTGAGAACAAATTAATTAATTGATTAAAAAAGTAGCAAGTATTAGGTAGGTACTAAGTCCTTATATGACTTAAATACAAGGTTCTGGGATGCTGTGATATACTACAGTCTCTAGATTTTGTTTCTTATTAGTATTCCACGACCAAAGTCTATAGACAGAGAAATATAGATTAACACAAAGTTTATTGATGAAAATGGGAATTATTATACATATTGCATTAAAAAATATATATGATTACCATCTAATACAAAATCATTATGTAGTAAATTATTCCTGACATTTTAAATCGAATGAGGTGAAACTAACATTGCATTAACACAACTCTTGAAGATCATAAAAATTTAATTCAGGTAACAAAATATTTAACTTTAACTTTTAAATAATTTATTAATCACAGAATAAACAATTGTTAATAATATACAATAAAAAATTTTTCACTGCTTGTCTGTTATACCACTAAAACTTCAAACACTTCTGTTATTTTTATATTATATTCCAAATAAATCAATATCACAATACAATTATTGCATTAAAATCATTTCATAATAAATTCCTGGTACACAAAATATTCCTGGACTTGTTGATGAATCAATATAATAATCATGTGCTTAAATCATAAACTTATTTGCAGTCGGTTACACATAATATAATAACTTGGAATTTCTTCTCATCACCAGTCCATTGCTTTCTTACTTGTCTAATTATATTATTAATTGCATTGTGATTAATAATTCACAGATTTTTCTTCTGCTTTTTTCTCTTATTTTTACTTGCATTATTATTTTATGCAGTAAAATGTTTACACATATATATATATTTCTTACTCTTTTGAACTCCTGTTCTTTACAGTAAAAATGTTCTTTATCTTCATCTAACTTAAACTTTGTACAGTATTAAGTTGTTGTCAGCAAAATCTGAAAACAATATTATATATGTTACATTTTCATGACCTTGAATGAATTTACATGAAATTAACTAACCTGTAACCTTATTAGCACAATAAACATAATATTCATACATCATATTCATTCAGTTCTAATAAAATATAAAAATAATACTACTGTTCAGCACTTTATATTAATTCATAATTTTCAGTATTTTCTCAATCAATCAAAAATTATAAAATCAATGTTAGTTTTTTGAACTTACATTCATAACAATAATAAAAACCACATTAAAGCGGTCACCAAGTACCTATGTTTATTATATTTTAATATGAAAGATACACACGCATACATATGCAATTTTAACAGCTTATAGTTATACCTGTTATGAGATAATCCTCAAAGACACGATAGTTTATACAATTAATACCAAATCTCAGTTAATAACATAATAAATACGAAATTCGACTATACTCCTAGTTATAAGTACGAGTATATTTTAGACAGAATCTAAATTATAGCAACTAGTGTTTACCGTTCAATGCAATATTTGAAGTTTGCTAGTTATCGACACTGATGTGAAGGGGTCAACGTAAATTGGTAATGATCGACGTTTTCATACAATATTACTTTCCGTCCAGTACAAGATGAGATATTTCGCCAGGGATCAATGTCAATTGGTGGCTATCGACGTTTTCATAGAATTTTAGTATTCGTCCAGTATAAGTTGAAATAGAATCAATTAAAGTGAAAAATTGTAGTAAAATGATAACAATTTACCAGTTTCAGATTTTTTCCTTTATATTCACCTAATTACCTATCTGCATGCCAAATTTGAACTTCCTAGGTCATCTGGAAGTGGGTTATAATTTTGATCTATAGTTGATCAGTGATAAAAATGACGATTTTTGGACATTAATATCTAAATAACCGTTTGAGATATGTTTATGAAATTTGGAACACATATTTATCTCGCAAGTCTCAATATATGAACCAAATTTGACAGGTTTGTGTGAAAGAGTTTTTGAGTTATGAGGGGGTCAAAAGTGGCTCCAAATGGTTCGTGTAAATATACACACGGTGCTGCTTGCCAGTTTACTTGAAACTCTGCTTGTAGATTATCCTATTCTTTTATTCCTATATTTTATATTTTTAACCTTTCATATATGTTGCCAGTACTCGTTGTCGTTTCGATATAATAAAAAAATATGGACCAACCTTCGATTTTAAATGATATTTATATTTGTGATGAAATCTAATAATATAAATTATAAATAACCTACCCTCCAATGGAGAAATTAAAAAAGTAATGATCATAATAGTAATATATAATAGTATTGTGTATGATTTTTGTTTCTAAACTTTGTACAAATTTGTATGGTTGAAAATATCCTTCTACAAAAGCAAAATTCGAGTATTTGTAAAATATAACTGACCATAAGGTCAGTTATACCTTTACCACATTCAATTCTCATATATTAAATTACAATAAGTAGGTATTTAATTTCTTAAAAGACGTACAATGTCACTAATATAATTAACTGCAATAATTACCAGGCAGACCGCGTAGAGTTCAACATAATAGAGTACACTTGTATGAAATTAATCTAATTAATATTTCCCTCTTCTAACTTTCGAAGTTATGAGCGAACAAGTAAATATACTTGCATACCTGTCAAATATGATTTTGACAGATATGCTAGTATATTTATTTGTTTCCTCCTCATTTTGCTTTGCGTCGTCCAGTAAAAATTATACATTGCAATATGTTCCACAAATAAGAGTATAATACAAAATAATGAAATTTTACTGTTTGCAAAGACTCATTAAAAACATCATCAAATAATGCGCTGTAATAAAATCCTGTTATCGATTATTTGAAAATATCGATAAATACATGTATTTATTTTTAATATGGCAACATTTCCTACATAGGTATTATTGGAAATAATATTGCTTGCTTGTTTGGCTGTTTTTAATATACTTATTTTTTTTTATATGTTTAATTAATAATAATAATATATTAAGTGCTTATTATTGGAAAATATAAAAGAGACATTTAATTAGGGCGATACAAATGAAAACAATGCCATATATGAAAGCATTTTGAAACATTAAACTCCGTATTAGCACTGATTAAAGTGTAATTAAGTACTGCAAAATAACAAAATGAGTAAATATATAAAAATTACTTTTCTAAACGCATTATTTCATTATAACATGTATATATAACTTTTTAAAAATAGATTAAACATTTTTGAAAACACAGTTTGTTTTTTAAAACGTTTGCAAATCTATGGAGAATACCATCGATACCAATCACGCCATCTATATGCAATTTTTAGCAATAATAATGACTTTCTTCGCAAGAAGTGCCACTACCGTTAGTAAATTTGGATCTTTATGCCATAAATAGAAGAAATGTTTTCAAACTAATTACAAACCATATTAAGTGATTTGGATGTTCTCTAAAAATACATTACGACGTTCCACCCTTCACCTTGTGTATAATTATTAATACATAGATACATAGATTTATATACACAAGGTGGACAACTTTGGATTAAAGACAACTGAAAACATTTGATATTATAGGTAAATTGTTAAAAAGTATAATAGTCTATAAATATACTTTTTTTAATAAATTTGGAATATAAACAATATTGGAATTAATTTTATATTAATTCCAATATTGTTTATATTCCAATATTTATTGTACAATGTTAGTATTTTATTTTAATCCATACTAATTATAAATCTGACTGTGTGACTGTTTGTATGTCTGTCTATCTGTTTGTTACCTCTTCCTGACTAAACGGCTGAAGGCATTCTAACGAAATTTGATATGTAAACGATGAGGATGGCCATAAGCTAGCATTATACAAATCGAATTAGCTTCGTGTACGTATTATGCAACATGTTTTCCACGCTGTAAACAAAGTCAATTGATACATAAAACTTCTCATACCTCGGAAAGTTAGTTATGCTCATGATTACTTCACCATCTTTCAATAAAGTGCTAGCCTCGGCTCGACGGTATTGCATATTAGCTTCCACGATGTTAAAGTGGGCTAGGAGTCCTCCGTATGGTTTTCCTGGCGTTCCTTCAACCATATAAGCACCATACTCAGGCCGCCACAAGGATTTTACATCTAGAACAAAGTATTTAAATTTATTTATAAATCCATACTAATATTATAAATGTGAAACTCCAGCTTATCTAAAGAAACAGAAATCGCGAGTAAACTATGTACATTTTGTATGGTCTGTCTATTTGTTACATTTTCACGCCTAAGTTACTGAAGCAATTCAGATAAATTTAAGAATAGAGATAAACTTAAATTTAGCGAAGGGTATATACGAGGGGCGATCCAAAAGTAATGATAATCAATATTATACACGGTGATTAAAGTTAAAAAAATTTATTAAATTTATTTCTCTACGTAGTCTCCTAACAAGTCAATACATTTAGTCCATCTTCTTTCTAAACCCATAATTCCCTTAGAATAAAAATCTTGACTCTCCAAAAATCCCTCAACAGTGGCCATCACTTCACCGTCGTCTTCAAATTTCTTGCCTCGGAGGTGTTCCTTGAGCTGACGAAAGAGATAGAAGTCACTGGGAGCTATATCTAGCGAATAGGGCGGGTGTTCGAGCAATTCGAATACCGATTCTTCAATGGCAGCCATCGCAACAGCGGCTTTGTGTGCTTGTGCGTTGTCTTGGTAAAACAGCACTCCAGCCCGCAGTATGCCGCGTCTTTTTTCCTTGATGGCCTCCCCCAATCTTCGTATATGGTCTGCGTAGTAAGAGCCCGTAATAGTGGCTCCCTTTTTTAAATATTCCACCAAAATTACCCTTCAGCATCTCAAAAAACGGGCGCCATAACCTTTCCCGCCGACGCTGACACTTTGAACTTCTCCGGTGCCGGTGAGGAGGCTCGCTTCCAGGTTATTGATTGTTGTTTGGATTCAGGATCGAAATGATGTACCCAGGCCTCATCCATGGTCACCAAACGTGACAAAAAAAATTCTAATCTGCTTGAAACTTTTCGAGATTGACTCTCGAAATGTCGATTCGTTTTTTCATTTGCTCGTCGGTTAACATTCTCGGCACCACCCGCGCAAAGACCTTTTTCATATGCAATGCATTAGTGAGAATTTTTTGAACACTGCCATATGAGATCCCTGTGACCTCAACTACATTCCTGATGGTCACTATTGGATCTGCCAACATTACTTAAACGACTTTTTTCACGTTTTCTTCAGTGAGGGACGTGGTTGGGCGTTCTTCGCGATGTTCATCTTCCGTGGATGTTCTGCCCAGCTTAAACTCCTTGGCCCAGCGTGCAACTGTGAAATATGGAGGAGCAGAGTCCCCCAGTGTTTCCACAAAGTCGGGGTGTATGTCTTTGGTAGACATTTTTGTCAGAGGTAGTTGAGGACAGCTCTTATTTCGTTTTGCTCCATTTTCATGTTACCCCTGCGACGGTTCGTATTCAAACGAATGTACCTCCCGGAAATCGTGGCCTATTTATATAATTTTTTTATGTTAACCTAGTGGGTATAAAAGCAAGCTAAAAAAATTTTTTATTTTAGTTATATGTGCACTGGAAGTAGTGCAAGTTCTGGATCGTACTTTTGTCGCGAAAATAATACATTAAAGGATGTAATAGTGGATGAAACCTGATGTTATCGCGAGTATCAGCTAGTAAAACTGCCCGAGGGCTGCACTGGAAAGGGAAATTTCTATGAATAACAATAAAATGTAACTGGCGTCGATCCAGTTTTATACTAATTCAGATCGTGAAGCAAGTCATTACGATTCAGCTACTTTAAAATACAAAAAATGTCACCCACCCATGCCGATCATTGGCATATGACTCTACCATAAAATATATAAATTGATCAGGCAAATGAGTTAAAAGCCAAACAGAGAAATGCATAAATACATTTTCGCCTACTTTGTCAAGGGGAGAATATATATGAAAATTAGAAATTTTCATAATAGTCTTACAATCTTAAAAAGAGTAGGTACCATACTATTACCATAGCGCGCTAAGGAAAAAAGTATTAAACAATTTAATAATTATAATAACATTGTAACCAAACAAAACCTGAACAAAAACAAGAATTCTCGGTATGCAAGTCTGACACGTAAATTAAATAGACAGATAGATAAATTCTTTATTTACAATTACAGACACATAACGTACATGAGATACTTATTAATTCATGTTTTTTTTATAACTTAAATATAAGAGTTTCATTAAATAAATTACAGTTCTGCAGTTGTTACGAAACAATCGAAGGAAATAAAGGTATCAATTTAAATTTTTCACATACAACCGCATGTTTATACAACATGTAAGTTGAGATTTCCGTAAAGCTATCTTACTTGTTCTAATCTGGTGGAATAGAATTTATTTAAATAAGTATTTCAGGTTTTTTTAATTATTCGATAGATATAGCTTGGGCCCTCATTTGATGTTATAAACAACTAAATATTCGACTATTTCATAAGATGGTCAAATATTATAAAACAATGTTTTATGTGAAATATTTTTTATTTTATTCTGCGCTATCTCATTTTATTTACATTCATATTAACGCTCCGCGAAAGCGGAAGTAGAAAGTACCTACCAGTTATCTTCTCTTGAAGGCTAAATAATGTGATAATTAAGAAAAAAAGCGAAGTGTAATTTTATTTAAAAAAAAAAAGTGAAATTTCAGTATATTTTTCGTATTGATTACTATATAGCTAAGTATATTTTTTATCTGTGAAGCTTAACTTCATAGTTAATAAAAATACAAATGATGTCATATACAATACAATATGATAATTGTTAAACATAAAATAATCAATAGTCACGAAATGTGAAACAAACATAGGTATTTAAGAATAATTGCGAAAATTATATTAAAAACTTTGAACACAAATCAATTAGATCTATAACACAAATTAAAGTAACTGTGGATATGTATAAGGCTGTTAGGTATTTGATTTTTCATTTGGACAATATGGCTAAAATAAGAAATACATCGAGTGGAAATAACTATATATACAGGGTTAATCGGAAAGGTTAGGTATATTCTAAGTTGCAAAAACATACACATGCGAACAAACAACTTTTGTTCTACAAGTTTCCCTGATACCAATGTCATATATGCTATTAAATGGAGATAAAATAAAGTGTATTAAATTTACGCTCCCCAATGTAAGGAAGGTTGATTCAAAAATCGTACCTACTGAACAATAAACTTATTAACTTTGTTGATGATACTGTTTTTCTTGGTATCACATTAGACTCCAAACTGCAATGGGGTGCTCATATTTCTAAATTGGCAAATAGACTTAGTTCTGCCCCTTATGCGGTAAGAATTAGACAATTAACAGACGTGGCAACGGCTAAACTCGTGTATTTTAGCTATTTTCATAGCATTATGTCATACGGTATTTTATTATGGGGCAAAGCAGCTGATATAAATACAGTATTTATTTTGCCAAAGAGGGCCATCCGCTCCATTTACGGTATGGGTTCTAGGGAGTCTTTATGTGAATGTTTTAAAGAATCAAATATCCTCACCGTTCTTCTCAATACATCTACGAAAATATTATGTATGCCAGGAAAAACATTAACAGTTTTAAAAAAGTAGGTGATTACACTAATAAAAGCTTACGTAATGTCAACAAACTAGTTTTACCTAAGTGCCATTTGACGAAAGTCAGTAATTCGTTTTATGGAAATTGCGTAAGGTTTTACAACAAACTCCCAGAGTCTGTAGTCAAGTTGCCAGAAAAAAAATCAAATGTGTCATAAAATATTTTCTTTGTAAAAAAAGCTTATTATAAAATTGAAGAATTTATAAAAGATAATAATGTTTTTGTAGAAAATAACTTAAAATTCATAGCGCTGACAATGTTATCTGATTGAACAGAGATTAAGTGCGTAGCGGTTTCTATGTTGATTGTCGCATGCCTAAACCTTGTTGTTAATTAAATATAAGTAAATCAATATTTATTTAAAAGAGCAACACACAAGTTTCTTGCTTATTTTTCTTGTGATGAATCTGCATTCCGAATAAGCGGTAGAATAAAAAAACTTGACTATTCAAAAGTACTTATATTAAGTTTATTTGAATAAAGATTATTTCTATTTCTATATAAAAATACAATATTAACAAAAGACAGCCCTGAAATCAATTGTTCTATTTCAAGATCAAGAATACTTTTAGACACGTCCATAAAAAAAGGTGGCGTCGCTCTCTGTTATTCCCCGTTATTCGTGTAACAGAGTTGCCAGTTACTTAAATTTCTTACACTTTGTCCATTGTACACTTTGTCTTACGTTTGTTCAACATAGCCACATGATTCATTTAAATCGTTTAATAATAACATTGTCGATCGTTAAAATAATATTGAAAGTGCTGAGCACTTATACCTAATAACGATCACCTTTTGTCTCATAACAATCTAAAAAAAATAACATTTGGAATAGGAAAAAGATTTTAGTTCCACTGTCAGCAATGCAAGCCAAGTTACCTGCCTCCAGGTTACTAGTACTTATAAAACGACGTGCGCACCTACGTTGACTATTATGTCGTAACTGTGGTGGTGTTATGTATTGAATAAGAAAGACGTCCGTTTCATCTAGAGCATTCGGGATGGGATTGTATCTATCTATCGCAAGACAAAAATAAGTAAGATGTGAAGTATAAGTATACGCAATAATAAGATATATGCAATTTTTCTCCAACTTCGTTGTTAATAATGGAGAGTAGTGGCTGAATTACGGCAATAATGACTATGGCATGTGAGGTCTACATTACGCTATTGCATGCTTATGCTATCATCATTCACCGCTGCCGGCGGTCGTACATCGTGAGTAGGGGCGGTGCATCATTCCATTTTCTTCCATTATATTTGGCAATTGATATTATTAAGAAATCTTGTGGTCCAGATCTGTCCTTACAGCAAATTCGAAAATATTGTTTAGGTAATCTTTAATTCGGGTCAATTGTATCTAGATTCATTTCAAATAGATACTAGTATTTCAATACCGCTGTCTTGTTGAAAAAAACCGCAGCATAGAATAAAAAGGCGGTTAAAAGTTCTTTTTGGTTCAGCACCGCCTACATGAGGTTTCTAATGTTGTATGCGTCATTAGCTTCGGATACCTAACACAGCGGTTGATTTATATCAAAAAGTATATTTATAGTGTTAAATGCAAGTCATGGTTTGCCGTCAAGGCCATGAGTCAACTGAATAATGTAAATATACGTAGTTACTCTATATTCTACCAATGTCAATCGAATTTCTGAGATATTAATAACAATAATTTACATTTAGCCTATCATTTAGACATGACCATCAGTTTTTAAAAAATATAAATGTCATATTAGTAGGTCACCTTAGTACCTTATATTAATGATGAAACTATAAAGGGTAGTGAAACCAAAAGAATTATTATTGCGAATTGTCAATTTAGGTGCTAGTACAAAGAATTATTATAGCGAATTGTCAATTTAGGTGCTGTACATACTTGGAAACTATCACAGTTTTCTTGTACTGGCTAATAAAAAATGTGCACCGTCCCTCAAAAATTTATCGTAGTTAATTTCTGGTGAATTCTCCACGATGCATTAACTGAATTCATCTCTTTAATCTCCGTTGGTCCGACAGAGTATACCGTCAGCGCATCATACTATGAAGATCCACAAAATAAATGTAGTAGGTAGGTTATATGCATCGCTTGTATATATATATATATCTATCTATTCTATAAATAATATTTTTTTTATTGATTTAGACGATTTTGATGTGGTTTTCACTTAGGGACCGGAGAAGTTTCTTAGATACATGTAATCACACTTTTCCTTTTAGGAGGCGAACTGTTATCTTAGTCATGTATTCGGAACACGTAAAAAGTAGTGCATTTTAATTTTGAATCATCACGCTATTTCTTTTAGTAGCCAAGCAGCATACTTTCTTTAAAAGTCATAGTTAAATATTATTAATTATTTACAATTTTATTTTTTATTTATATTTGTATGGTAGGTTTATTATATCAACAAACGATGGCGCTATTTTATAATTAAAACTGCAACAGTCCGTGTGTAGATAGTATCAGATTAAATTATTTTCAGAATTTAGGGAGGCACCAAAGGTAATGGTAATGAACTGTGTTTAAAAGTTATCAAAAAATTCACCATTCAACTACAAATTATATAGCACATTATATTATAAGCACACATCATACGTTCTATGCGTACACGCTCATGAAGTGTGGGGAATAGCATCTGGCATTTATTCAGCGTGTGTTGTTTCATTTTTTTGTTAATCCATGGCTCTGGCGATCTGGGGATTCCCCTAGACATTAATTTATTTTCTTACCAAAGTCCATGGCTTAACTTGTCACACATCAAGATCATATATTAACATTTAATGAGTTGGCACATGTGAATAATGTATAAGACCGCACATAGCATATAAATTATAAAATTTATTATATTGTGTTATTCCAAGGTTTCCAGTTCAAGGTGACCAATTTTGCAATTTCATCCCAGTCCATAACTTCTAAGTTGCTTAAGAAAGTTGTATTATGAAGCTTTCATTCAGCAATTCCAAGTATGGGTTGATGAAAAGCACACTCATAGCAATTTCAAAAATTCACTGATTTTCATAACACAGCCTTTTTAAGCATGTTCATCTCTAAAAGACTATGACTCGAGAAATATATTTATCATTAAAACAACTTAGACAAATGGGTACATATAAATTAGGTTATGTTCATAATATTAATGTAATACTTCATAATGAGGAAAACTAAGCTGCTTTTTTTTAAATTGCAATATATTTTTTTAATTATACAAGTGACTGTAAACTGTTGTGTGCAAAATGTTTAAAGAATTAAACATTTCGCATTGTGTGTTTTAAATTAAATGTCTATCATGGAAAAAATAATGTAGTTTCATTACCTATTACTGATCTAAAGATATTACACAGGATTCATAAAAAAAGTTATAGTGATGTTATTTTAGTGCAAACCAGAATAAATGCGATTAGTTTTTGTAGAATCAAGACAAATAGATTAGTAATACAGTCACATATTTAGTTTGTATAAAATCTAAACATGGCATTGAGATAGTGTTATTGTACTCTACAACAATAAATGAATACTTGATAATTATAATTACTTTGTGGATCAGCAAGTTCCTTTTCCTGCAACTTGGGGAGAAGTTCATCAGCTCGAAGGCTAACAGTAGCTCGTTTATTTTCATCATCAAATTTAACAATTATATATTCCACCTGAAATTATGTACATATCATTAGCTAACATATAAAATAATAAATAAAATAATTTTATTTTTTAATTTTATACAGTTTAAATAAAATGCTATAATTTTTATTACTTCGTCACAACAAATTGTCACAACTTCAGACTAGTACAAAAATATACTTATCAAAAATTGCATGTAATTGAAGTACTAAATTAATATTTTTTTTAAGGAATAGATTGATTGTCTTTTCATTGTATACATATATTATACTTGTACCTCATCACCCCATTTCAGTACATCACCGGTACGTTCTCTCAACTTGCTATATAAATTTATGAATTGCTCGATTCCGTGCTGTCGTACATGCTCCGCCAAAGCCTTCGTTTCTTCCCACGACAACGGACTACCCTCTGATAACAAACCCATAGTAGCTATACGATATCTCCAATAATAGATTTCAACACAGATTTTCCAAGTTTTGCACTGGAATAAACTGTTTTCACGGGTAAAACAAATATGTTAAATTGCATATATTTTTATTTCAGTTACACTGATTATTAAAGACAATTTTTAACACAGAAATGATTATTAGAAAATTATTATCGTTTTTTAAATAAAATACAACTGTAGAATATATGACTACCGTCTGAAGAAAATGATAGAAAATAAGGATTGATAAGAACACTCGTTTGAAAATCTACTATATATATACTATATGATAGGTATCAAAAATGAAGTAAGGATAGGAAAGGGAAAGATAAATCAGGGACAATGACATATTTGATAAAATGTCATCCTGACATTTGAAAAACTACATTATGATTATTTTTGTAACATATATATATATACATTTATTTACATATATACATTTGTCTCATATAAACTAATATATAAGTGTCAATTCGAACTTTATAAGGTGCATAGTGATTACTTGCTCGTTTATAACAATTTTCCCAAACTTTATTTGAGTTACTTTATTTTGATCTTTTTTTGTAAAGTAAAGGCACCTAATTTAAAGTTAAGTTAAATTTCGCTTTAAATTGAATACCCAAAATCTTAAATAAATAAAAACTTAAATGATTGTTGTAGCAAGTAGTTCATTACAGAGGAATAACAGTAGCAGTAGCAGTAGTATATTTTATCCACAAATTGATATGCAAAGGTACGAGATAACAAATAACTTGCACAGATCAGACCACAGAACACCAATATCCTAGCAGACAGACTTAAGATTATAGTAGTCAAGCGTCTATACTGTCATCGTCACATTACATTCTTTATCGTATTCTATTTGTCTGATCTGTGATTGTACTGTGACTGTGCTCTTGAATAGTGTATTATTTTTTACTATGTATCTTGAAATAACCAATTAAATTAATTTTTACATAAGAAATAATCATGTATAACAAGAATACACGAAATTTAACATATGAGAATTAATTTTTTCAGTTATCCATTTAAAATGTGAACCATATTTTTCATTAGCATTAGTATTGTTTAATACTGTACTTTATTCAATTTTTATAAATCGTCTACATAAATAATTCTCATCTATCATGGTGCCAGTTGCTATTGAAGGCTGCACCCAGGGTGCTGAAGGAGGTGGTGCTCGTGGTGGTTCAATTTCTTTGGCTTTGTTGATAGATTTTATTGTGCAAAGAACTTACGATGAACTAACTGTACTGGCAGAACTGTAAGTATATTTGCTTTTATTTGTTTTTTTTTTATATTGTGATAATACAATATTTTGAGAACGTTAATACCTAGTTTACTATCCCGACTAATTTGCAACAGTCTTGAATTGTAATATGGCCTACACAAAACAGTAATATATACTTACTAGCTTTTGCCCGCGGCTGCGCTCGCGTTAAGAAGTATTATTATTAGATATAGTTTTTGCGGCTTTACAGTAGTTTCATACAAACTTTCATTACCTATTTTATCCCCTTAGGGGTGGAATTTATCAAATTCCTTTCTTAGCGGATGCCTACATCATAACATCTACCTGCATGCCAAATTTCAGCCTGATCCATCCAGTGGTTTGGGCTGTGCATTGATAGATCACTATGTCAGTCACCTTTGAGTTATATATATTTAGATATATATGTCATATTATACTTCTGATGGACTCTGGTAATGTCCACCTGCCATATCATATTAAATTATATTGAAATGCCAAGTGTTACATTCAGCATAATGTCCATAGTTGAAGCTTCCAACTATCCAATCTGTTATGACAGTTGTAAAAGTGTTTTAATTGAATAATAATTTAGTAATAAACTTATTCCTCTTTTACAGATTACCCCGCAAAACGGACATGGAGCGTAAAATTGAGATATATAAATTCAGTGCTCGTACACGACAATTGTTTGTACGTTTGTTGGCTCTTGTTAAATGGGCCAGCAGTGCTACTAAAGTGGATCGCTCTGCTCATATTATGGCTTTTTTAGACAAACAAGCTTTGCTATTTGTAGAAACAGCAGATGTCTTAGCCCGTGTAGCTAGAGAAACACTTGTACATGCCAGGTAATTAATCGCAATAGTTAAAGTGCATTTTTTCTTACATAAACCTATCATACAAGAAGGAAGGATAAAACATTTGATTTTTCTTAAGAATACCTATTGTTTATTCAGGACCTATACACTAACTTATTTTTTGATGCCTATAAATACCATCATATTTGTCATTCTAAATAAAAGTTTATATTCTGTGTTTTATTAAGTTTGATTGTTTTAAGTTATTTTGTTATAAAATTTAATTTATTATTTTTGATTTAAATTTTATAACAAATGATTTAAAATATTACTTTCATATTATAAACCTTTGTAATGTATTCAAAAAAAGTCTAGTATTTTTCACTAAAGCTTTAATCTTTCTCAAGCATGGTTGATTACATCCCTATTAGTAAACATTTTTACAATTCAATGGTTATACACCAAAATAATAAAAGTGATCTGTTGTTTAAAGTAGAAATGTTCAACAGGTTGCCTACATTCCACATGGCAGCTGCTGTGGAGGTCCTTACCTTAGGCACCTACAGCAGACTGCCCGCTGTGATTCGCGAGCGACTAGTGCCACCTCCGCCGTTAACACCGGGCGAACGGCGGTCTACGTTACGTGCGCTGGCGCATATCGTACGACAACGCCTCACCACTGCTTCTCTACCAAGTGATGTTAGAAATTTGAAGGTAACAAAATAAAATCTTCAAGCATCTTGTGACTTAGTTATTTACTATCCCAACTTATATATCTCGAAAAGTAATTGAGTATTTTATAAGCAACTCTCCTCAGAGTTTTATTCTTCTGTTATCTATCTGTCTATTATATTCACAATCTGAATCACACTAAAAATAACTATTTATTTTGTTAAGTACCTTATAAAAATTATATTAGAACTAAAACCTACTTGAAATTTCTTGAAATGAATATTTCGGTTAAGTATACTTATACACACTATAATGTATCATCTACATTTTTTTTGTAGGTAGAAAATGGCCGTGCGACTTTTACAGTTGGACAAGAATTCAGTGTTTCTTTAACAGTAATGGGAGATGCACCAAACTTACCTTGGCGTCTCCTTGATATTGCGATTCTCATTCAGGATAATGAAACTGGAGGTAAAATTTTTTTTTTTTTTATACCACGTAGGTGGCAAGCAAGTATACGGCCCATCTGATGGTAAACGGTTACCGCAGCCTATGGACGCCTGAAACACCAGGGTCACATACGCGTTGCCGACCCTTAAGAAATGTTAATATACCCTTCTTGAAAAACCCCATGCTATAGTCTCTCGAGAAAACCTGTACAGGTTCATTCCACAATCTAAGTGTACGCGGGAGGAAGCTCCTCTGAAACCGCACTGTCCGAGACCACTTAGGTTCCAGCGTGTGGGGATGAATTCCCTGTCGATGGCGAACGGTGCGATGGTAAAAGGTAGCCGCAGGCATCATGTCAAATAATTCATCAGAACACAGTCCATTGTATATACGGTAGAACACACAAAGCGATGCGAAGTCTCGCCTCAAGCTAAGTGGTTTGATACTGTTTGAGAGATGGGGATCATCGACAATTCTCATAGGACGTCTCTGAACCGAGTCAAAAGGACCGAGCTGGTATCCAGGTGCTCCTGCCCAAAGATGAGAGCAGTACTCCATGTGCGGCCGAACCTGCGACTTGTACAAGAGAAGTCTCTGATCCGCAGTGAAGTACCGCCTCGCTCTATTTAGCACACCGAGCTTGACCTTTTCTTCGAGGTGACTACGGAACTCAACTGTGCTAGAGATGTCGACACCGAGAATCCTAATACTCTTAGAGATGGAAATGGACGTGTTCTGGAATTGCGGAGCCACAGCAAAAGGGGTTTTCTTAGCGGAGAACGCGCAGGCTTGTGTCTTGGTAGTAATATTAAGTAACTGTAACCTTTAATAAGTGTTAATATTAATTAATTGTGAAATAAATTGTAACTTATATATGTTTTCAGAGGGCAAACCATTGGTGCACACTTCACAACTGGCGTGGTTACGTGGTGTGGCTCAAGCTCGACTCGCAGCCGCAGGTCTCGGTGGAGCGCTTACAGCTTTGAGATATTTTTGTCGATCTCTTTCACTGGAATTGCTGTACACGCAAACACTTAGATTATGTCGAGACCGCCTGTCGCGGCATTTACAAGTCGACAAATATATACCTGGACATAAACTGCAAGTTTCTTATTGGAGGTAAGAATAAAATAATGACTCCCAAGTGACTGTTCCTCTAATCTATGTTTATTGTTGAGACTAATTCCACTATTAATATGCTAGTACCGTTACTCTCTACAAGAGGATTTATTCATTAGCCCATTAGTGTTACGCTTATCAAGTAGCTTGAAAATAGTAGTGACATACCAAGTGGTAATAAAATAAGAATATATCTATACTATATTGATCTATACCAATAAATAAATATGAAGTATGTATGTTTTTAATTTAAATTATATTATTATTATATATTCGGTACTTTCATTAAAAAAATTGTCTGTCTGTCTATTTGTTGTTGCTAATATCTGAAACGGCTGGACAGATTTTCACTGAAAAATAGCTTAGGAACATTATTTTAAAAATGTCACGCGGGCTAAGTCGCTGGTAACCACTTTGTCAGTTTTGTAAAAGTAAAATAATATTTTATGTATGGTAGAGAGTTGGGTTGCGAACTTGGGTATCGTCTGATCATCGGCGCGGAAGGCGAGTCGCTGTGCGTGTGGCACGTGCCCGCGCTGGCTGGCGGCGAACGTGTTGCTACCGCTCTCACGCCGCACGCGCCCTCCATGGAGCGGCTGCTCGCGCACACCGTGCACGTGCGCTCGCGTCAGAGGCTCAACGACCTCAAGGTGCTACTCACCGATCTCGGGGTGAGTATATGCACGTGATATTTTTATAACACATTTCCACCAAAATAAACAATTATTCCACTACATGTATTTCCGGTACACCAAAAATCAGTGTATTATACCATTTCCTAAGTATTTGTAGTCTCGAACATACTCTCGTAAAATATAACTACATTTATATTTATAGCTCTAATTGAAATTATTCTAACAATATCTATGGTCTATTTTTTACTGTTATGGCATGCCACAACAAGAGTACATCAATACATTAACCGTTTTTTATGCTACGATGGTTGCAAACAAGCATAACTCCCATCTGAAAATAAACGGTTACCCATAGCCTATGAACGTCTGAAACAGCTGGGGTGTCACGTGCGCGTTGCCATTGGGTAACGTCGGCTACTGATGTCGTAAAAGTGATGGTGTAAGTGTTGGTGGCGGCGCGCAGGTGGAGTGCAGCGTGGGCGGGTGGCCGTGCGTGCTGGCGTGCTCGGCGCTGTGGCCGTGCCTGCGCGCGGAGCAGCTGCTGGTGTCGGCGGGCGCGCACGCGGGCCGGCTGCGCGCGCGCGTGCCCGCCTACCCGCACGCGCCGCGCATGCAGGACCTGGCCGCCGCGCTCGCGCTCTCCAACGTGCCGCAGATCAAGGCGCTGCTCACGCAGCTCAGGTGCGCGCTCCTCACCACCGCCTCGTCTCAAATATAAGGCTGTCCTACATATCAATTGAAACATTAAATATTTAAATTTACTTATTTGTGCTACTTAACTGTTTAACCCTGACGTATTTTTTTAATTTGAAAGAAAATGCTAAAACTCCAATTGTTATTGGTGTATTAGTTTTTACAAATACAGGGGATAGAGATATAAGTTAATGGAATAATAAATTTATTATTAATGGAATGGTGTAGTTCATATTTTTCTCATTGTATAGTCAATGTCATTTTGTACCTAGACATATTTATTTTTTTAATAACAAGCAAACAAATTGTTTTAATTACAAAATTCACAAATACATATTTAGGAAATTATAAATATAGTTAGGAAAATATTGACTGTTAACAGATTTTGGTTGGTGGCGCGGCGATGCGAAAAAACGTTGCAGCATCTCCCTGCTAGTGCATGTGAGCACCTTCCGTTTCTACATGGTCCTGAGCATCCACTGAACAAACTGTCTCCTGACCGGCTCTATGTGACCTTGCATCGACACACTGATCATATACTTGTAAGTTACAAAAAAATACTCCACTTGTATTTAAAGATAATTGCTACTCTTTCTATAACGTAGATTTATAAAGATATATGTTGTATTTCCCATTGTCGTCTACTAATGGCTATTAAAAGCAAAAAATGAATTCTCAAATAATGATCTTTGTCACATTTTTACAAATGATCCTTAATTAATGTTAGGTATAAGTGTGAGGAAGTACATAAAGATGTATATTTGTATATGTACTTCATCACACTTATAACATTTATATATTATACTATTAAGTAAGTGACTATATACCATCTATTTTAATTTATTTGGTACGCCACGCTGTACCCTGCAAAAGGCTGTACAACCGAGCATCCTTGAGAAAAGAATAGAATAGAAAATCATTTATTCAAATAAACTTAATTTAAGCACTTTTGAATAGTCATAACAATTTGTTTTTTATCTACCACTCGTTCGGAAAGCTGTCTCATCACAAGAAGAACGAGCAAGAAACTTGTGTGTTGCTCTTTTAAATAATCCTTGTAAGTTTACATTTACAAGTCGAAACGTGTGAATACAAACTACCAACAAGCACTAATTTTTTGGGTCAAATATAAATATGCAATAAGATTAAATCAGTCGTAGTGATAAGAGCAGACCAGTACCCTACCCTACAAGCAGCACTCGTTCACGAGTATGACGGATGAGCCAGCCATCACTGCGCTCGACCATATTTTAGGGAGCCCAATGACCCGGCCCACCACGCCGCCACATGTCTGGACATTTTAGTGAGCATGACTACTCATTCCACACGACCTCGTCACAGCTACAAAAATTACTATATGGTAGTTACAGTATTCGCACTTTACAGGAGAATGCATGCGGCAATCAATACAAAAGCCGCTACGCTATCATATATCAAGAAAGCAGTATGAAAAACAAATTATAACGTTGTCCGCAAATAAACTTATTCCTGCTAAATATTGCTATCATCTATAAATTCATGTATCTTATAATAGTCTTTTTTATATAACATTTGTTTAATATAAAATTGAATTACCTCTCTGTAAGATTTAGCGTAGACTCTGGCAGTTTATTATAGAATCTTACGCAATTACCATAAAATGAATTACTAACTTTGTATAGACGGCATTTAGGTAAAATTAACTTATTTTTATTGCGTAAGTTTCTACTTGTACAAATGGCATTGTCTATTTTTTCATAGTCCTGTCCATCCACTTCTCTGTTTCTGTTGTGTTCATTCATTCATAATTTAAGAGCTATGCTCTTGTCGGTGGAGCTCTTGCCACTTTCCGCGATCTTCCATCATGCTCTTTAATTCTTGATACGACACGACTCCCATTTTGTCCTTGTTTTGTTGTTGTGTTCAAAATTTCTTTCACATAACAGATTGTGGAGATGAAGGAAGTGGCTGCGGGTAGCACTGCTACAACGAGCAACAGCGCCAACAGTGGCAGTGCGTGCTCGGTGGCACTCTCGTTCCACCTAGCTGGTGCGCGCCGCTGTACGCCCGATGAGTGTGAAGACGAGGTATGCAATATTTTTTTTTTTTATAACACAGGGGACAAACGAGCATGCGGCTCACCTGATGGTAAGTGATTACCGCCGCCCATGAGCACCCGCAGCACCAGGGGAATTGCAAGTACGTTGTCGGCCTTTTAAAAAGGAATAAGCTCTTTTCTTGAAGGTTTCAATATCGTATCGGTTCGGAAATACCATTGCTGGAAGGTGATTCCATAAAGTGGTTGTGCGAGAAAAAGTTTCTAGAAAACCGCACTGTGGAAGACCGCCATTCATCCAGATGATCAGGATGGTATTTCAGTTTCTGGCGGGTGGTACGGTGGTGAAACTCAGCAGCTGGTATTAATCCGAACAATTCCTCAGAACACTCCTCGTGATATATGCGGTAGAAAATGCACAGAGATGCAATATCAGGCCGCAAAGCCCATGGGTCGAGTCTGTCACATAGACGTTGATTACCAATGATTCTGGCTGCTCGGTTCTGAATGCGGTCAAATGGAAGTAGCTGGTATTGTGATGCTCCCGCCCAGAGGTGAGAACAGTATTCCATGTGCGGCCGGATCTGCGCCTTGTATAATTGCAAGGATGGGCCGCCGTGAAATACCGTCCCACTCTACTGAGCACACCAAGCTTTTTTGAGGCTATTATTTTTTAGGCTTTAGCCTTGTCCTCCAAATGACCGCAAAACTGAACGTCACTGGATATATACTGCTACATATTAGCATGGCCGCTGTACAAGGCATCTCCGGTACTGTCATCCGCATAGCAATGAATATTGTTGATTTATAACATGTCATTGATATGCAGAAGGAACAGAGTCGGAGACAGCACACAGCCTTGTGGAACACCAGCATTCACAGAGTGTGGCTCGGAGCAAGCACCATCGACAACGATCTTGATGCTCCGATCAGCGAGAAAGCTGGTGAGGTGATGGCTATGGGCCTATAGTTAGCTGGATCTGAGCGATCTCCCTTCTTAGGGATCGGATGAACCAAAACCGTCTTCCAAAGTTTCGGGACTACACCTGTAGAGTAGCAGTACCGGAAAAGACGCGTTAGTACCGGAGCCAATTCAGGTGCACACGTCCTGAGCACAATAGCAGGAATACCGTCAGGCCCACTCGACTTGTGGATATCAAGGGAGAAAAGAGACTTACATACTAGCTTTTGGGTAAATTTTACCTATGGCATAAAAGTCTCACACCGCGAGATGACCGGCGGTGATTGCTCCCTATCGTCCAGTGTCGAGTTGGATGCAAAAAGAGACCCAAGGAGATCGGCCTTCTCTTTATACAATATGAGAAAAAGAAAGATGGACATCATTTCGTATATGGTCCACCCGATGAAAAATGTTTAGTCACAGCACTTACCTCTTTAGTATAAACAATAAGAGATTGTTATGATGAATCTAGAACAGTATAAGTTAGTTATTTTACATAGAATTTTTATAAAGAAATAGCTGTTCCCGCGACTTCGCCTGCGTGGAATTAACTTTATTTTTCTAAAATAAAAGTAGCCTAACTTATTCCTTATGACATCAGAAACCTGCTAATAAAGCTCCCGTCAAAATTGGTCCCGCCATTTCAGAGATTAGCTGGAACAAACAGACAGACAGACAAAAATTGTAAATAATGTTATTTTGGTGTATATACCGTATTTATATTCATATGCATGTAGTAAAAAACGATTATTTCAATATTACAAACAGACACTCCTATTTTATGTATAGACGTACATGATCTACATACTAGACGTTGCTGTGCTGAAAGTAGACAGCGATATTATTTCGTTTTGTAACTTTTAGTTTTCTGTAAATAAATACTTTTTTGGTTCAACAATCCAACATCACTGGTTGTTTTATTAATTAACACCAAAGCATGCTGTGGTAGTCCAGATTTTAGGGTTGTACAAGAACAAAGCAGGCACAATGTACTAATTATGTTTCAGTCGCACTAATCGTACATTACACTTGTGCAATACTGATAATCATTAATAAATAGTACAATGTGATCTATGACTAATGGACACAATAGATGATTTATGAATGATTACTAATTGACATTGAATTCTAAAAATATTAAATTAATAAAATAACATTCCAGTCATCTGCAACGGCGGCAGCGGCAGTGGCTGCAGCTGGCACTCCGAGTACTGCGCGAGCGTTCCTCAAGTTGCATTCTCTCGTTGAACTGGATACGTTCACTCTCACGCACGGACCCTTCACTCCCCTGGATACACCTGGTAGGTATTTTAAAGCCTTGCGTCAAACATTGCTTGAACATGTATTGCACGCGTTCCAGCTCCCGTTTTGGGCGAAGCTCATTCAGCTATTCATATTGTATCGGTTGGTTTCGGTAGGCATGCAGCCGGGTAAGCGCAAGTTGTGTGGAAGTTCGTCGAGTGCGCGCGCGGTTCGCGTGCGTCAGCCGGCGTACTTCCTGCCCGAGCTTGCCCACGTGGTCGCCGCTGCTGACGAGCGCGTTCCCTTCGTCAATCTCGCTCAAGAGGTATGATATTTGAGTTTTTGTATTATTTTGCTACCTTCCTACATGACTTTATTATATAATTTGTATATATATATATATACAAAATAGAGATTTCTTATTATATTTTTTTATAGTATGTACTGATATTTCGATTTGAAATAACAGTAAATATAGTGAACAAAAAGCAAAATTTACTTAAAATTTTACAATTATATATGTTTTAAAATTGTATAAACACACCAAGCGTATACAAATAACTAAATTCTAAAGTATTTTGAGGAATCCTATATTTGCTAATTGGTATCTAGTCCACACTAAGCAGAACTTGTACTATGTGTATTAAACAAATGATCGAAATGCTTAAATTTTTTTAGAAGTACATAATATATATGTATAATATAATATACCAATAGATATAATCATAGTTATGAATGCAAATGTTCACATCGTTCGAGGAATCTATCCCGCGACCACTGAAAGTAATGTGTTGAGCTATTCTGCTAGACCGGGACTGTGTCCAATGGGTGGGCTATTCCCTACTAGTAACAATAATGTTATCGGTGTGATGTGTGGGTGGCAGCTTGCGGCGCGCGGCGTGTCGCACGGCGGCGTGCAGTCAAAGTGTAGCGGCGCTTATACTATTATTCTCGCATGAGCGTACGTGTATTATTATTAGCGCGTGAAAGAGCGTGTGCATTTTTTTGGTCCTTCAAATATTAAACCAGTGTAAAATCAGAAGCATCATCAATTTATCATCAACAAGCATAGGAACAACCCGTATCGTTGTTTCGGTAGTGATATCTGTGTGATGTGTGTGGTAGCTGGCGGCGCGCGGCGTGACGCACGGCGGCGTGCAGCCGGAGTGGAGCGGCGCGGCGCTGGGCATGCGCGCGGTGGCGCTGCCGCGGCCGGCCGGCGCCGCGCCCGCCGCGCACGCCGCGCTGCGCGCGAGGCTGCTCGCCGCCACCGTGCGCCTCACCACCAAGAACCAGGCGCGCGTCTGGACCGCAGAGATCGTTTTCCACGGCTCGCCGGTGCGCACGCCCAACCCCAAGGAGCAAGGTAACACTAGCGAGCTAATGTAATGTAATATGGACTCTATTAAATATGGATCTCTCTTTATGTTATGTAATTTAATATATATCTAGTATAATATGTTTCTATTTTCTATATTATATATTAGATCTGCACGATGAGGATCGTCGGAATCATAATCCGGTATATACAATATATTATATGTGACTTGGTAGGCGAACGCCGCTGCGTATACCTGCAGTACGAGCTGGGCACGGATGCTGGCCGCACCGCCGACGCGTTCCTGGCCGACTGGGCCGCCATCGTGCACCTGCACACGTTACTGCATGATTTCATGCAGCGACCAGCACAAGGTACGTACCATACCTTAGATTATACTGGTGATTCTCAGCCTTGTAATTATTATTTATTTGTAATACAATAATAAAAATTAAGAGATTAATTACAAGTTATAGACCTAAAACTTGGCGGACAACAGACTTTTAGAATATCGTGGCACACAAAATTGCCGCGGCACAGTGGTTGAGATTCACACCTTTCGACGAATAGAATTGACAAGACAATCCAAATAGACATAGAAATAGACAAACCAAATTTCGCAATTTAGGTAAATTTGCACTAAAAATTCTTTAGTAATGCTATTGTTATTGACACACAAAATTTTTGAACGCGTTATAGTGCCAAATTTCGCCTCAAAAGTAGACATAGTTATGTACAAAGTGATTGCACGGTTTGTTTAAATTGAAATTTTATTTCACTTGGGGAATTTTGGTCACTTTCATGTATACTTATATATACTAAATTGGCTTTTGGTAGATCATTGATGATGATAAGGGAAACATGAGCTCAGGTCAGTTTTACCAGGAATTAATCACGGTGGTTTCCAGGGGTAACTGTGTGTAAGGCAAACTGAATCGCGTTTAGACATTGCTAGTAATTGGTTCAATAGTCAACATTACTGGCAAACCCCAGTACCCCCAGTACTATATTTTGTGTGTGTACTTACAGAGCGCGAGACGCTGTGGCAGGGCGTGTGCATCCGGTCGTATACGTACCGCTCGCTGGTGCTGGGGTTCGGTCCGTCGCAGCGCGCCACCGCCGTGCTGCAGTGGAGCGCGGCCGCCCAGCGGTACACGCTCGCCACGCCCGCACACCAGCCCGCCGCCAACGCGCACCACCTCCTGCACCACCACCTCGACCACTACATCAACTGGTAGGACTGCCACCACTACTATCTTCGTATCGTGTGAATGAGCCGTACCATTGTGAATCGCCTCCACAGTGTTATGGCTTAGATACACGCGACGGATACACTGTCGTTAGAGATCGGTTCCGCATTGATTCGAAGCAACTGCACCTTTGCCTCAATCACATCAAATAGTCAGACTGCAACCACTACTCCGTATCGTGTGAATGAGCCCTAACATTGTGAAGGCGTTTCACAATTCCAACTGCATCTTCCCTTAGACCACTACACCGTAGACCAGTAAATTTTATTAAGAACGTACAGTAATAATAACTCGACACAGCTCATACTACACTATCTAGCCCCAAGCTATGCAGTGCTTATATTATGGGTATAACTGATGTATATACTTATTTTTTTTTGTTAATACATATATAATGCAATCTATTCCCCTATGGGGTGCTGCATGTACTTTTATTATGTACTATGTAGCAGTATAAAGGTCTTTTGCTAGTAATGCGCTTGTATTATATCGCAACTGAACATATTTTTATATAAAAGTCTGTCCTGGATCGAATTTTAAACTTGAGAACTTGAAATTACGTTGACTGTCTCTTCTTGGCCGAATACGAAACTTGTGGTATCGTTGTCTGCGTAGGCACAAGGATCTGATGTCGTTGGGCGTGGTGCTGCGCGAGACGTACGCACCGCTGCTGGCTCTGAGTCGGTTGCCGGCGCTGCCGCAGCTTGGCCTCCATCACGTGCGCACGCTCATGCCCACGCCCACCTTCACGTTGCTTGCGCACTCATGGCGGAAGGTAATTGATCATTTTCTTATATATAGAATAGAATTGACTAGACTAAATTAAAAGCCTAAATTTGCGTAGTTGTATCTTTTCCCTATATTAAGTAAAAGTGTATTTGGGATTGTTCCATTGAGTAGTTTTTTAGGAACTAACAGATTTTTTACAATAGAGATTGTATATAATAAATATATTTTATCTAGGGTAATGTACTGATATGAGCGTTTATATTTCAGATTCGAATAATCTATGCCGGCGCATATTCCCTGGAAGTTGGTATCCGCGGCGGCGGTGTGGTCACCATACGAGACGGCTCCTACTCGAAGTTTGATCGTAACACTGTCGTTGACGAATTCGCTCCTGCGCAAGGTCTTAAGGTAACGTAATATTTGAATAGTAATATGTTTTATATTTTATCTTAGATCTTTCCTTTTTACACTACTGAATTTCATTTATGTTTTATTTCAGACATTTTTGTCAAGATATGTCGAGGAGACCTTAAGTACAAGATTATTAGCCGAAGATGATAATCCTCCATCGCCGATGTCACCAATGCCACCAGGTAATATTTAAATTAAATAATTAAACAATACAATCATTCGCTTACTAATTTTTGTACTTGAAAATTATATCATTTAAATTTTATTTCTTATTGTGATATTTATACTTCGTTTTTGTATACATATTTTATCTCTTTCCCTCCTATAACCAATATGCTAACCTAAATACATATATTTAAACCTTTGAAGGTATGTGTAGTGTTCAGTTTATGATGTACTAGTACTGACTGCGCAACTTGGTCTGCATCACACTTACTTGACAATTATCATTATATTATGCCTATTATTTTTTTAAATATGGCCTATGTCTTTTTCTGATGTAGAAGCAATTTTACTTTTCATTAAAATCCGTTCAGTAGTTTATGCCTGAAAGAGTAACAAATATCCATCTATAGTCATAAAGCGTCGTGTTTATAATATTCGTAAGTTAAGATAATTAAATGAATGAATAAAAAACTCTCTATTGTTCCTCCCACAGAGAGAAAATTACAATTATATAAATTGACATGTATACCTAATATAAAAAAAACAACATAATTACGATTTAGAGGTAACATTATCCGTATTAATAGAAGGCATTATCCACTAAATAGCTATTTCTTCAAGTTGTTTTGTTCCATTGTTGTTGTTTTATAACGTAGTATGTGTATGCGTGTTGTACAGGTGGGCTGCGGTTCCCCGCGCCGATGACGCCGCCGCAGCCGCACACGCCGCACTCGGCGCCGCTCACGCCGCACCCCGCCTCGCCCGCGCAGCACCAGGTCCACAACACTATATTTCATTCTAATATTACTTATTACGCACATCATCCCAAAATGTGAAATATACAAAGTTCAATTTACATTATTATTATAGTCTTTATTATTAATATGAAAATCAATACAGACCACGCAGTCAACGTTGATTTCAATTCTGTTAATATTAAACTATTGTAATAATTCTGGACAATCCACAAAACGCCACTTAGTCTCAAGCTAAGCAAAGCTTTTATTATGGGTACTACACGACTGATTTAAATACATGTTTTTTTATGTATACATAAATAATATACATAGAAAACAACCAGATAGGTCTACCTGTTTGGTTGTTTCTAAACAATCATGCACATGACTACAAATGTTTGTACCGTACAAGGAACCTAACTCGCGACTTGTAAAGCTGTTTACTAAAATGCTACACCACCGAGGTCGTCAAATTTATTCTTATATTTTATATTTTTAAAATGCGATTTTAGCATCCTTTTAGTCAATTTGATCAGACAAATGCCTAGATTAATTTAGTCCCACAACACACACCAGAATGCATATTTTCTATCTAACATTATGGTCCGGCTTTTAGATATTTCTTAATTATTATGACATAAGTTCTCTAAAACCTTTTGTTAAAAGACGAAGACATAAAAACACGTTGGAAGGTATATTTTGAAAAACTTATGAATGAAGAGAATCTGTGGGATGATCCTACAAAAGATGTCTCGGTAAACATCGGTGTAGTAAATGAGATTGGTATGGATGAAGTAAGGAAAGCAGTGAAAAGTATGAAGAATGGGAAAGCTGTTGGGCCAGATGGCATACCAGCAGAAGTCTGGAAATTATTAGGAGAAGATGGATGCAAGTGGTTAGCTTTATTCTTTAATAAATTATTGCAGAAAGTGGCGATCCCTAAGGAATGTAATAATTATCGAGGAATAAAGCTCATGTCTCACAGTATGAAAGTATGGGAGAAAGTGATAGAGAAGCGATTGCGTGATGAGACTAGTATCACCCAAAACCAGTTTGGATTTATGCCAGGCCGAAGTACCACAGATGCCATATTTGCACTGCGCCAGCTGTGTGAAAAATACAGACGTGCTCACAAGAACTTGCACATGGTGTTTGTGGACCTGGAAAAGGCGTACGATAAAGTACCCAGACCGGTTTTGTGGTGGGCCCTGAAAGATAGAGGAGTGCCAGTGAAGTATGTGGAGTTGATTCGTGCTATGTACAGTCAACCTCGTACATACGTTCGGTCGGCCGCGGGAAATACCAGCGACTTCAGTGTAGCTGTAGGCTTGCATCAGGGATCGGCTTTAAGTCCGTACTTCTTTTTGTTGATAATGGATGCCTTGACGTCGGAGATACAAGAAGAGGCACCCTGGTGCATGCTATTTGCAGATGACATTGTGCTCGTTGGTGAGGAGGGAGCTGAGATACAGAGTAGATTGGCGATGTGGCAGCAAAAGCTGGAAAGTGGTGGCTTAAAGATTAGTAATTCCAAAACGGAATATATGTTTTGCGACTTTGGCGGTCTTTCTGGCTCTGCAGCCATATCACTAAATGGAGCTCCATTGCCGATCTGCTCCGGTATTTAGGTTCACTCCTCCAAAGCAATGGCGAATTAGACCGAACCATAAAGCACAGGATTAACTCAGGTTGGATGAAGTGGCGGCAGGTTACGGCGACGACGTGCGACTCACGAGTTCCCCTTAAACTTAAAGCCAAAATTTACAAGACCATGATCCGGCCTGCTATTTTGTATGGATCAGAGTGCTGGTCCATAAAGGCGACGGATGAGAGACGACTGCATGCAACTGAAATGCGAATGTTGAGATGGATGTGTGGTGTGACGAGGATAGACAAGATAAAGAATGAATACATCAGAGGAAGTATGAAAGTGGCACCGATGTCAAAGAGGTTAAAGAGTAATCGTCTATCGTGGTATGGGTATGTAATGCGTAGGAATGAAGATCATATCCTAAGGACGGTGTTACATATGAATGTGGATGGTTATAAGGGTAGAGGAAGACCGAAAAAGAGATGGATGGACTGTGTGAAAGATGATATGGTGAGAAAGGGAGTAAATAACGGAATGACTGCGAACAGAGATGAATGGAAGAGAAAAACATATTACGCCGACCCCAAATGAATGGGATAAGGAAGAAGCAGATGATGAAGTTCTCTAAAAACTGTTGATCATGTGAATCAATTTTTTATTTTCATCCTAAGACATTATATACTTGTTTGCTATCTGTTGGAGTAAAACTTCTTTTAAGTTGAGCAATTTATTTCATGGGTATTGAATGAGATTGTGTCGTCACACTAGACTATGTAACGCTCGCGCTATAATCAATGACGGGTTTTACATATACTTTTATTTGCATACTATGCCAAACTACATTATAGAGTACATTATACAACTATTTTCATAATGTAAATTAGGGTTTACAGATGGGCGCCGGGTCGTTCAACCTGACGTCGCCCCCGGGTGCGAGCGGCGGCGCGGGCGTGGGCGTGGGCGGGGCGGGGGGCGCGGGCGCGGGGGTGTCTGCGTCGCCCGCGTCTCCGATGGCGCCGTCGCCGCTGGCCGCGCCCGCGGCGTCCCCGCACCCGCCCCCCACCTCGCCCTTCACCACGTGGCCCGCCTCGCCCTCTCTGCCACGCCCCTCGCCAGGTCACCACCCTTCACCAAGGCATCATCTCGATCACAAAGGTAAACATATTTATTTTATAATGCATCTTGGACTTTTCCAGACCTATTTTTTTATACTTTATGATGGTGCCAAACAAGCTAACGGCTCATCTGATTATAAACGATTACAGGGGTGTCGCGTCTACGTGTGCGTCGCCCACTTATAAAAGAGTTGTGATGACAAGATCGTCGGTTAGAGTAAACACCGAATTAGTTACCGCTAAAAAGAATCCATTTATCGTATCTCCTCAGTTTCAAGACACTGTCCTTGATGTGAAGCCAAATCTCGAGGTCCTTGGCGTTGATATATCCAGTGACGTTCAGTTTTGCGGTCATTTGGAGAACAAGGCTAAAATAGCCTCAAAAAAGCTTGGTGTGCTCAGTAGAGTGAGACGGTATTTCACGGCGGCTTGCAATTATACAAGGCGCAGATCCGGCCGTACATGGAATACTGTTCTCATCTCTGGGCGGGAGCACCACAATACCAGCTACTTCCATTTGACCGCATTCAGAACCGAGCAGCCAGAATCATTGATAATCAACGTCTATGTGACAGACTCGACCCATTGGCTTTGCGGCGTGATATTGCATCTCTGTGCATTTTCTACCGCATATATCACGGGGAGTGTTCTGAGGAATTGTTCGGATTAATACCAGCTGCTGAGTTTCACCACCGTACCACCCGTCAGAAACTGAAATCCATCCTGATCATCTGGATGAATGGCGTCTTCCACAGTGCGGTTTTCTAGAAACTTTTTGCCTCGCACAACCACATTGTGGAATCACCTTCCAGCAATGGTATTTCCGAACCGATACGATATTGAAACCTTCAAGAAAAGAGCTTATTCCTTTTTAAAAGGCCGACAACGTACTTGCAATTCCCTGGTGTTGCGGGTGCTCATGGGCGGCGGTAATCACTTACCATCACGTGAGCCGAATGCTCGTTTGTCCCGTGTTATAAAAAAAACACACACAGTAGGGTTGTAACTTATGTATTTTGAGTCTGACACGATGCTACTGTAACTTATACTTACCAAACCCTACGTGAATTATGTTCGTTACATAAAGTGACTTATCTATCTATTACGTGTTCTACTACTATATTGCAGAGACATACGAAAGATATAACAAAACATTGCTTTGTTCAAAGCAGCATAATCGATGAAAGAAAGGACCCAGACGGCTTACAGACGGCTACAATAGCGTAGCTTTTGAGGAAGATTTAGTTAGATTAATTGTTGAAATCGGTAAATGTTTACCGTTTTCAACAATCAATCTAACTAAATCTTCCTCAAAAGCTACTCTACTGATAGATGACAACCGCTATTTTGTTAATTAACGTCAATGTACCAACGAAAGCGACCGCTATTGTTATACTCTACTTTATAATATATCGATATATCTGGTGGTACAAATGAATGAATGGTATTTAACTGATGTAGGCGGCGCGAGCCAGGCGGGCGGCGCGGGAGGCGCGGGGTGCGCGGCGGGCGGGCGCGGCGGGCGCGCGTGGGCGGGCGCGAGCGCGACGCCGCTGGCCGTCAGCAAGCTGGAGGCGCTGTGCACGCCCGGCGACCCGCCGCCCGCCGCGCCGCCCGGCCCGCCGCTCGCGCCGCTGCAGCGGTTCCTCGCCTGCGTCTACATGAAGCGCACGCTGCAGCGATTCGTGCAGCAGGAGGACTATGTAAGTGTACATCAGTTTTTAAATGTTAAACCAACAACTAGGAGCGATTAAGAGCTAAGATAAGGCAGTGAAATTATAGGATAAGAGATGATTTTAATGCTCCGGAATGACATCGAGTGGATTTGTGAGCGTCACGTGACGAGTTGATGTCAGTGGTGAATAAAACGTCTTACTCAGTTGTCAGCATTTTCACCATTACTGTCCACTTTACATACTTTTAACAGTTTCATATTATGTTTATCTAAGATCTCTAAACGAATTTCAAAATAATGAATAATGCGTGTTTTCAACTATTATGTAATCATAATTTTCCGGCCTGAATCCCATTGAATTTGGTTCAATTGATTTTTGGCGCATTGGCCACTTTTGTGACGTATCCCTCTTTGGGAACTGGAGTTACAAATTGGTCCTTCCAAGTAACCGAATGTAATAAAACTTTTTGTGTTATTAACAGCTGACGATGGTCTCAGCGGACGCGACGAGCCTCGCCTTCCGTTGCGACAGCGCGGCGCTGTCTGCGCGCGTGTTTCTCAACCCGCAGCACATGCAGTCCTTACATTTACAGCTCACGCCACTACCCGATCTCAAAGAGCAATGGACTACTGATGATCTGCAGGTGAACATTGTATAGTATACATACATAATGATAAGTATTAAGGCCAAGGTTTATACACGGTGATAGGCGGTGATATCGTATATCACGTGTATTGTTTATGCCTTTACACGTACGCTCTTTTACGTGTGAATTTACTTTCTCGCAGGAAAGAATGTGCATGTAAATGTAGGCAAAGAGAACGAGATAGGCCGCGCGCGCGCTGCTATCTACAATTTCCGCATCCTACGATCGTGCATTCTTTAGCGCCTTTTTGTAATAATTAATCATCATTACAAAATAGCTAACAATCTAACTATGGAACAAAGACATAATTATAGAGGTGTTAATTAATTTATAAATCTTAAACGTCTTTATGGAAAATAAAATCTGTGGAGTAAAAATATAATTTTAAAACGTACTATCATGTGCTATCAGGAGCGCGGGAAACGCGCTCATGATAGCACATGAAAATACGTTTTTAAACGTGTAAAAGTAGTTAATGTCCATGTAACGTTACGCTTTCATCTTTATAGACTTTTTTGAATAGATTATTATGGAACGGTGCACCCGTCTATATGAAGAAAAGTGAATGTGTGGTACAATTGGGGTCGTGTGTCGGGCAGGTGATCGAGAAGTTCTTCGAGCAGCGCGTGGCGATAGCGCCGTACCGCGCGACGGCGCTGCAGGGGTGGGCGCGGGCGTGGGGCGCGCCGGGCGCGGCGCTGCCGTCGCTGGTGGCCCTGATGCGCGCCGAGCTGGCGCCGCCCGCGCCCGCGCTGTGGGCGCTGCAGTGGGCGCTGCGCATCCCGCCCGCCGCGCCGCAGATCGTGCCCGCCGGACAGCCCGCCGTGCTGCTCGCCAAGCACAAGATATTGTTCTTTGTCAGTACCACGCACCGTCTCGCGGTTACCTCATACTTTCATTCTTGTTATGTTATACTTGTAAGCGCAATAAACCCTCTGGGCGCTATGCTTCCCGCCCGCCGCGCCGTAGATTATACCTGTCCGATAGCTGGCGTGCAGCTCGCCAAACACAAGATGTTGTTCTTTGTCAGTACCATACATACCCATGCGGTTACTTCTTTTCTTTCTTGCTATATACATACACCAATTTGTATATAAGTGCAATTTTTTTTTCATATATTAAGCCCCAAAATTAAGGGCTATAAATTTAATATGTGTGTATATGTCTGTAGCAGTCACACCAGCTCCCACAGAGTTTGAAGTGGATTTTTTGTTTAAAAACTGACATGATCTAGAATTCTGGATTGTAATATGCTGCAATTTTATAGTGTTTTTTATTCAGGTGTACACAAACAAAATATTTTATAATTATTGTACTCGTGTATCATAATAAGCATTTTGTATACAGATTTGTTTAACACGAGGCGACACGCAGTTGGTACTGCCGCTCGTATACGACATGCAACTGAACGTGACACAGCTCGCTGACAAACGGGACTCTCAACCGCATCTGATCGCTGTCAGCTTGCATCTTAAACGGTAAGCACTTGAATTATTTATGTTTATTAATACAATATATAAAGCTGCATTACGGTGACTGACTCACTGCTTGTCTATTATTTGCATTAAACGAGAAATTACCATGATGATATTCCCCTCCTATTTAAACGGAGATCGAAATTACGAGGGCCTAAGCCGAATATCGGCTCGTAACGGTGGCCTCAGATAAAAGTTTAGTTAATCAGCTTCTGTCATTCTTCCTCCGGGATACATCAGTGTCGGATTAAAGTAGCGCGGGCATGTAAGAAATTTTTCCAGAGGCCCATGGTTAAGTTTAGATTTTTTGGGTGTAAAAACAATAACAAATAAGAAATCTTATAGACTATTGATTTAAAAAAAAATCTTAATTATGTTATATTATATTATTGTTATATTTTTTTTATTATGTTCAGGCACTTGTGATTGTGTAGGACCCCCAGCGTTGCCTACTCGCGTTACCACTAAGCTAATGCGTAATTATAGTAGATGTTTGATAATAAAAAAATAGCACAATATTTTTAATATATAAAAATTCTGTGATATTTTTTAAAAATAAAATGTATGATACTGACATTCTAGCAGACCTTTCATAACATTAAAATAGCTTTATAATTTGGAGGAAAAATTAAAACAAAACGTGTATGAAATTAATTGGTTGGTCTGTTGTTGTGGTTCAGTTTCAGCGAGTTCAACCAGTCGCACTCTGAGTGCACGCTGTGGCCGGCGGTGCGCGACCTGCTGACCAACTTCACGCTGCCGCAGGAGGCGCCGCAGCCGCCCGCGCCGCCGCCGCCCTAGCTCGCGCGACTCGCGCACCGAGCGCACTAGACCTGCACACGGACACCATTCATCGATTGAACATCGCTCATACTGAACTCTAACGATACGTGTTATTATATCGTAACAGTGGATTATTACATGTACATAAAATATTATGAATTCTTTAAGATTTAGTTTTAGAGATCGTTTGTATGTGTAGTCACATCGTAGTTCCGATACCCGCGTTGCACACGTAATCTCACTGCGTATAGAAGGAATATACTTCCTTGTCCCTATAGACTGGACTTTGACTAGTGTTGCTAAAACATCATGTGTAAATAAATGTATGATATGAATTTGTATTGGAATAAAACATCAGTAATTTAGATAAAATATCTAACGGTTAATACGAGGTGAATTATTCGTAGGTTATGTTATGTAATAAAAATCTTTTTTATAGTGAATTTATTATCTAGGAGTAAGTTTACGTATGTATTTAATAAAAGCTTTTTATATTTAACCTGTTTTTATTACTTAATCTTTAATGGGATTCTACTTTCTTAACCTCATCTATTAATGAATTTGACTTGAATGATATTCAAGTAAAAAATACTCGTATATTGTCAATACTTATTATCAATTTTATAATCGAGTAAATGTCTGGCTGTAGTGGCATCCGCTTTTGCCTTTCTCCTAAGAGAAGAAGAATACAAAAAAATGACATGTTTGAATATTGTGACAAAATGGCATTAAATTTATTTTATTATTTATTGATATTTCTATTATAACATCCGTAACTAAATTATAAAATAACCTTTATAATTGGCAATATGGCAAACACTAATCGAGAGCGAAATGCGAATCGTAATTCTATGGAAACCATTCTCACATTTGAAAACAGAGATATTGTAAGTATAATATTCAAGAGAACTATGAACGATATATTTTTATTGTTACGCTCTTCTATCCTATCTATGGATTTCGATACGTGCGTTTTTAGTTCCTTTAGTGATGACGCATGAGGCGACAATGCTATTCTCTACAGCTCCATATCAATTACTGCTAATTATATTATAAGGTGCGTTTGGAAATAATATTTATTTCAAGTCTTATACGCTGTATCCAGAAAATGTAACTAAAACATCCCGAATTTTAATCATCTGCTTATGTAACCCTCCGAATTGTACATGTTATATAATTTTTTTATTATTATTTATGGTAATATTTGATTTCAGCACAAAAATAAATAGCTGATAAATATGATTAGATATAACATTACCATTATATTATAAATATACAAATTTCGCATTGTGATACTTATCCGGAATAAACTCTGAAATTAATTTTTATAAAATTCTTCGATCTGTGTTTAATGTCCCACTGTTAAAATTATTTATTTATTTTTAATCGTAAAAATTGAGTAAAACTATCCTTGTCGAGTTAAATAGCTAGGTTATATATAAATATATATAATATTATCTTATCAGTAATATAAATATATTAAAACATTCACAATAGGTGTGTTAGTAGGTAGTCAATGTTCGATGTTCAGGCAACGCTTGTCGGCAATATATAGATGTATGTTCTAAATGTAGCGGCAATATATAAATTTTAAAGAAAAAATGCTACTATTGTTTAAAATCTCTTGTTATTCTTGTGAAGAGTCAATGGTCAATGGTGTGGTCCACAAATAACATTCCTGGCATGGATAACGCTACTGGCGGTGGATCACACCGGCGCGTAGCCGGTCGTCTGAAACTGCGCACCGGCACCCTCGCACTTGGCGCGTTCCTTACCATGCACTGTCGTGTTACAGCTTCTGCACTCACTGGTGGTTTTTGTAAGCATTTCCATATTATTGTTATATGAAACTAGTCATATACATATATATATGTATATATACCACACTCGTTCTAACATTGTTTATAGTTGACTTTATTTGCTTTATGTACTTATATACAGTACCTATACTTAGTTAATAAAAATGAATCCATTTTAATCCGGTATTTTTGTTTGGAAGTTGACGTGAACGAGACTTTAGCTATAATTTATGATTCATTACGGCGTTTTTGAAGACTATTTATTATCTTCAGAAATGAAGGGATTTCACCAATTTTAATGTCCGACATAAAAATCTTTGGTATTAAATATTTTATTTAATTGTACTTGATATACGAAAATGTTATCTACGCGTAGATAATACTCTAGGCTCTATTATGCCTTATTCATTTTAGTTGTCTTTATGCTGTTCCTAATATTATCGGTGGTATTGTTGGCAAATCCTTTGCGCCACTTTGAAGTATACCTCGGACAGTGGAGTATCAGTGGACCGGGACGCGCCTTCAGGATTATTCCTATGCTCGATGGTACTTTTTTTTTTATTATAGATGATAATGGAATGGTGCACCCGCCTGCGCTAACGGTTTACGCTGGCGGGGCACCAGTGGAGGATGATAAGATAAACAAGAGGTCAGATCAGTTAGCCCATCGTGACAAATTCACCCGGAAGTTATCACAATGGTTTCCAGGGGGAACCGCGTGGAGGTCAACCTGACATGGTACATTGCTAGTAATGGGGTCATGAGTCCACATTACTAACAATCCCGTCCCCCCGCTCGATGGTACTTGTATTTATCATAATAATGTTACGTTTGTTCACACGCAACTGATTAAGTCCATTACATTAATAAAAACATTTCAGGAATTGGCATAGCTATTTGTATAAATGCAATAGTGCGAGCTATCATTTGTTGTACTATTGCTGCAATATCGGCAATTTATGTTGTGCATTCCGTGGCAGATAATAAGTTACCCTTCACACATTGCAGGTAAAACTACACTTTATGTTAATATAAGTTTAATATATGTTGTATATGTAAAAAAAAAAATATTTGTTTCAATAAAAACTATCTAACTTTTCTTTTCAGAGACTTTGACCTAAAAGCATATGATCCTATTATAAAGGATATAAAAAGTGTGATGTTGCGAGAGGCATGTTTATATTATTAGACTTAATTACCTATTACACTACCTATTTAATTATCTAATTATTCCTATGTGTAATTTAATAATATATTTGCAGTCAAGATTCTCTCTAAAGACTGGTGTAGTTAAGGATGATGCGGAAGTTATTAATTCATCACCATCCACCGTAGGACTTTACTATCGAGCATGGCGAAATATGTCCAACAACAGGTTTACTTTGTATGTGTGCATTTCTGTGACAATATAAAAAGAAAAGTATTTTCACATGGAAATTATAATTTCAGTAAACGGAATGTACGTTCAATAGAAGTGTGTAATGAGATGTATTCTGGCACTTATCCTCCTTTATATAGCACGCCTGCATATAATTTTTTCTAGTAAGTTCCAATTTTGAACCTCTACATATATACTAGGTACTTCATCTTAAAAAAATCGACATATGCAAAATAAAGCAATCTGTATACTGATATAATATATACCCACAATAATCGTATGCTCGAATTACCTACATTATGACGAATTGCCATGAGTTTTTTTGTTGTGAATGATATAGAACCCCTGCCACATTATCGATATACTTCGGCGACGGCGGCGTATTACAGTGTAAAGTTATAATAATAATAAATCTAACAATGACACAGCCATCTAGTCCCAAGCTAAGCAGATTGTGTGTTATGGCTGTGTGTTATACTAAACAGCTGATAGAAACATATATATATATTTGTAAATACATAATATACATAGAACAACTCAAACCAATACAGTCAATCACACTTATAACTAAATGTTTATACGTTCGAGAAATCGAATGCACGACCATCGCAAGTAAGGCGGTGTGCTAAACCGCTAAGCTACGATGGTTTGTGGGTTCGATCACGTGTAATTCGTTTATACATTGCTAGCTGTCATTAATGCCCTCTACCCTTATCATCGATAGTAGGGAAAAACTACTAATACAAAATTTGACGTTCATAAGTTACTAGAAGGTCCTACTTGAATAAATGACTTTTGATTTCTTTTGATAAGTAGGTAATCCTCTCTCCTACATTGCTTCTATTTGCAGCGTGGAAGTTTTGCAACTGCGGAAGGACTATAATTTGGGACAGTTTAATATGCCACTTGTTTTGAGTATAATCTTAACTTGGATCATAATATGGATGTTAATGATTAGCGAACACTTATCACACGGGAGAGTGAGTAATGCGAAATACCAAAAATAAATTGACCTTTCTAATCATTAACATCTAGTGTAGTATAGAATTCAATTTAATTTATAGTTAATCTGGAACAACATATATGCATGGTTTGTGTTGGTGCCGTGGTGTTGGGCGGTGTTATTAATAATTGCAGCATTCACAAGCCTTCTTACGATGGAAACTACGATACATAAAGTCTTTCGCATTAGTGCTAAGGAAGTGTTAGCTGTAGGTATAGTAGTCTATAACATATAAATATATATACATATTAATCGTTTTTTATATATTTATTAAATTATATAAATTCCACAGGGCATATCGGATGCTTTACAGATAGCACTATATATACATTCTGCAAGCGTTGGGACTGAAATTATCCTGGGGAAAGGCCTAAATCACTACGGTAAATAATATCATCACAATTATTTATAGGTATACTATTAGGTATGCATCAGTATTTTTCTATAATTATCCTTTTTTAATAGCATCTGGGCATATCGATCCACAACTTAATAATGAAAATGTATGGCACTCTGGTATGCTTTTGCTATTGATCGCGATACAATCAGGGGGAGCCGCTGGCTGTGCGCTGGTTGATTACATGCAGCCTGATACACAAACCACCTACGACATGCATGAAAGTAAGTGACAAATTACTCGTATTTTTTAATATCAACACACGCACACATGTATTAATTGTCTAAGTATTATCACAGATAATATAACATTGTATTATTGAACCAGTTTCTATTTTTTTTCTGTTTGGCCTCACGACGACGTCACGACTAGTTAGTAAAGCACTAGGCCATAATGCTCTCAAATAAAATTCTGCTCACCTACTATAAAATCAAATATAAAAACTGATGTTTATAAAAACGAATACTAAAAATTGTTGTTATAAACATAATTGTTTTAATTATGAATTTGAAAATATGTGATTTTTTCTAGAAAACTAAAATTCCTATACATTTCAGGCACTATGTGGATAATACCCATGTATTCTAAGTGTACTTCATTTGGTAACTATTCGCATTTTATGTAAGTTAATAGCTCATAAATAATGTAGTTTATTACTGACCTACAACAAATAAAAATTACTAAATTCTATTTAGATCGACCCTTATATTTGGAGGACTCTGTCTTTCGTACATGACTGCGGCATTCATGTTGCTCAAAACTGCATTGCACACCATATTCGAGATTAAAGTGAAATTAATGTAAGTTTACTTTTTATATTAATAAAATTTTGTGTTTATATTTCAATGATATATGTATATCCGGCAGGTGGCTTTGCTTTTCTGGGCAGGGCGACGTCTGCCAAAATGCCAAGTCCGTTAGAATTTTAGTATATTTTGCCCCATTTTTGGTTCATCTAAATTTCTAAAAATAATAAATTTTTAAAGTATATTGTAGCTTTATACATAGGAGACTTAAAAAGGAAAATATATACAGTAGAACTGAAATTTCCATATTCTTAAGTCGTCTAAAATAAATAATATTATGTAGATATTAGCTGTCCCGGCAAACGTTGTTTTGCCTTAACATAAAAAAAAAAACTTAGGGTTAGACTACCCCTAACATTTAGGGGGATGAAAAATAGATGGTGGCCGATTCTCAGACCTACTCAATACGCTCACAAAATTTCATGAGAATCGGTCAAGCCGTTTCGGAGGAGTATGGGAACGAAAACTGTGACACGAGAATTTTATATATAAGATTTCATAAGATTAATTTCAGTTATGATGACATAATGCTTTTAAATAATGTCTGCTGACAATTTCCTATGCTTTTGTTTTAGCTTCATAGAACAAATCGTCGTTGGTGGTCTTATATTGATATGCATGGGACTGAGTTTACCATTTGCCACTAATGTATGTAATTCTATTCTTATAACGTAACTTTTGTATAATGAATAACTTTGTTATAAGCCTATTAAATTTCACTAAATTTATTGTATGGCAGGGCGGAATAGTTTTATTGGAGAGTGTAGACGCTGTAATGACAGGGTTGGCGATGCCGTTTGTTTGTCTGCTAGAGTTGGTGGCACTGCTGTATGTGTACGAAAGTCACGATTTTATTTCCGATATGAACATCGCTACAGAGGAAAACGCATGTTCTTCTCGTATTGGCACTCAATGGCGAATGATCCCATTTATTACTGTTGTAAGTAGATATTCATTTAATGTAATCGCGTGAATAAAAGTAAATGTAGAAATGTAAATGTATGTAAGTAAAAAACAAACATCTACATGTAAATTAATAATAACCGTTTTAATTGAAGTAAAAGTTAAAATCTATTGTTACATGTTTCAGGTCACGATTGTAATTAAAATATCAGTCCTAGTGAGCTCCGAATTGCCCGCTAAATTCATATACATGGCGCTGGCGCCGCTCTGCGTTCTAGTGGTAGCGGTACCACTGCGTGCCTGCTACAACGCCTACTTTTTCCTCGCTTCAACGCCAAATAGCAATTAGATATACAGTCTCTTATGTATACCTGCAGATATTTTTAACGCTACGTTGGAATAAATTTATACAAATAAATAATATTGAAGTGGCTGTTTCTAATTTCAAATAACAAATATTTCACAAAATCCATATGAAAGCATATCATTAAATACATCAATAAATTAATTTATATTTTGTCTGTCTGTCGGTTTGTTCCTGCTCTTTGAAACGGCTGAACAGATTATGACGGGACTTTCAGTAGCAGATAGCAGGAGTAACTTAGGCTACTTTTATTTCAAATATTATAAAATCTCGGTACATTCACTCACCTAGGACCCAAACTAAGCAGATCTTGTGTTATGGGTACTAGAAGTGATACATAATATAGGTACATAGATTGGGAAGAGGATTTTTAGTTATGTGGACTAATAAAACTGCTCACAATGTACCATGTCAGGTTGACCTCCTCGACCAATATTCTTATACGTTTGTGGAATGCTATAGATGGTGGAATATCTGTTTGTGATGACCATAGCATTTATAGAACAAGGAATAAAATAATAATTACAAATAACCAGACCAGTATTTACTTCTCGGCATGTGCGGTACTTTTCTGGCACTTGCACTTATATAAAATAATAATAAAGGAAATTATAAAAAAACACCAATGGTTGACAATAAATGTTTATTGTATCAATCATTTAAAATATTTATAAATATAAATCTTTGTACATGGTTTGAACATACGTACACATGATGATTGCTGATACAAATAATATTGTGAGACTCGAGCACTTTCGAGAAAGAGACAACACTATGTATATTGATTAAGGACGTGTGTCGCTCGAGCACCGAACGATATGTAAAGTGCAGTCGCCATGGACTGTTTAATGCTATACATATTCAATACTCGGGTAACTGCCTTCTCTATGACAAGGTAAATATTTAGGAACACTTTCAATCAATAGCAAACAATTAAGGTAGGTATAGAATATAACACTAACCTACGATGCCTATTTCACGTTTAAATTAAAATATCACAATATGTACATATTATCAGGAGTATCATAATATCAATAACAATTACTGTGTGACACAAGCTTTGTAAAACTATTCTATTTACATTTCAAACCCTACTTTGATCCCAAAAATGTCCACCTCAGAGCAAACATTGTAAGTAGAGATAATTATTGAAATCGATAAAACTTAAACCTATTTTACGAACATACCAACTTGCAATTAGGAAATATCATAATTGTTATGATTTAGCCAATTCAAAATCTTCTATTTAAAACTTTAGACCTCAGTTATGTGTTATTTTTATAAAATATAGACAACATTTTATATTCGATTGTATAATCTTTTATTTATATAAACGTAAAATAATATTCGATATTATAGGCCGTTTAATTATTCATAATAATACTATCAAATAATTTACTATATTCCTGCGGTTTAATTTCAATCTGGCTCACACAAAGGCACTCCTAGCACGCATACAATACATATCGCCTCGTCCATTATATTCATTTTATAAACAAATAAATTACATTTAATTGCCACATCCCTGTTCCCTAAGCAGAACGTTTAATTAACACTGGTTCACTGAACGTTACTAAATATGATTGGTTATGTATACCATAACCCACCGAGACGGGATGCGTAATAATAAAGTTCCGAGTGTATCAGTCAAGTGAAATTAGTTAATTGTTTCACTCAATACCACATACCGCGACATATTCGAGGAGAAAAATTCGTGGGAAAGTTACTTTGGCTGAAGAGTGTTGGCCAAAGCAAAAAAAAGTTAAAAAGAAACATTAGGTGCAATTAATGTGAAGGAAAGCCATGTCCTAAAACAAACACTCATTCACGCACACAATTACACCAGGAACTATGTCCATTTGGCAAACGATTATCAACATTTGTCAAATACTCAAATTCGTCAATTTCTTAAAATGAGTTGCGTGAAAATTGATTTCAAAATTACCCTAAATTACTGAGAATGTTTTTTATTCATCATCTTACTAAGATGTACTATAACTTAATATTCCTTTGTCTCTACGACAGTTTCTTTACACCATTTAACGTATTACTTTCACATAACAAACACATTTATAGAAGAATGGCTTCAATTTTGTTGCATATAATATTCTTTCTTGACTTTTTCTTGCGATGGTGTGTCGCCCGTTCCGAAATGCGGCGTTCGGTTGCGGACGTTACTGCGGGCGGCATCAAGCGCGGCGCGAGCGGCGCCGTCAGAAACGCCGCAGTGCGGCCGCCGCGCCCGCAGCCTTGCGCGTGGGCTGCACCGACAGCGGCGCCACCAGCACCTCCGCGCCCTCTCCACCGCCGCTGGTGCCCATTTCCTACAAATCACACGCGAATTCATCCCCATTTTCCGGTAATTCCCGTTGTATGTATTATATATTCGTGTGTCAATTACGATCAACTGTACACTCTTGAAGAATATACTTACGTTGATATTATTGCAACTGGCGAGCTTCATCTGAGCGAGTTGCGAAGCGGGCGTCAGGTTCGCTTGAGAACCGAAGGGCGAGATCATCGAGGACATGGCGCGCTTGAGTTTCGACGGGGTCTTGTTAAAGGAGAGTGCCCGCCCCACCTGCACATGTTACATTCCGTTAGTGTTCGCCTATTACATTCAATATTAATGCACTATTTCATCCATTGCATTTAATTTAATACGTAATATAATAAAAACTAGAGTGCAATGATTATTTACTAACCATGTCTACAACCGACATGCCTTCACAAAATTGATATTATGTACATGAAGATTCTACCATATTGTTTCCATGCCATTATTACTGATATTACTTTTAAACAAAATTACAATTTACAATCAACTGAGAAACTGTACTGTTAACTTGTTTTATTGTTTACGTTGTGCTACGTTAGTAATACAATGATCCCGAGTTGTTAGAGTGCAAAAAACAGATTATACGGTGAAAGTTACGGACAGTGAGTACATGTGAGATAAATGTGTGGGACTAAAATAAGACAAAGGTGAAAACGATTCCATCAACCGAACGGTATGGCACGCTCACGAAAATGGTTAACAAGTGTAAAAGCGAAGCGTTACATTCATCATTCACTCCTCTATCCCGTCGTAATTGTATGTAATAGACGAGATTCGAGTTTTAAAGTTTACTCGGACACACGACATCCATCCCAGACAAAATTGGCCACAAAGACGCGTCGGTTAGGTATCAATGAAGCCAGTAATGAGGCCCTGAAAAGACAATGACCAATTTCACAATTACATATTCGCTGATTCCTGTCTCGATGGTGTAAAATAATGTGAGTTCCATATGCGTTCCCATACTGACAATACACCGTGAATGGTTTGTATGATGAAGCGAAAATTTCGAGCACAGGAAGCAGCACGATATGTACAATTAGTATGTTCGGGGACGGAAGTTTGCGAGAGGAGCGTGGCAGAGGCGCGTCAGACCTGTGCGAGTAAGTGAGCGCGCAATACCCATGTTTCGAGCAGCCCGGTGGCCGGCTCGGGGCGCAGCCAGCCGCCCAGGCCCGCCAGCGCCTCCAACTACAACACAACATCATCGCTCGCCGCTACTCCTCTACATACTCACTCTACTCACTCCTACAGACTGCACAAGCTTCCTACGGGATTCTATTCTACTTTATACGTACAGTGATTGACTACTTGGAAATATGTGCAGTAGTTACAATCAATATTATTACTTATGCTAATATTTACATAAACGAACTTTTAATCAAAGAATACACATAAAGTTACGCGATACTGTTTAAAGTTACGATCGATAAAATCTATCGAAAACGTACTAATAGGCCTAATATTAGATGTATTGTAACGAATCAATTAGAGTTGACTCAAGAGAAAGTTTTTTATTGACGTAGTAACTTTTTGGTACAGTCATCTTTGCTACATTGAATCTATCTGAATACTTACTTAAGGGGTTACATGAGTTTCACGGTTTCAAAAAATTGATTTTTTTTTGTCTTATTAAATTCTATAACATCTCTAGAATATTGTCCTAAATTTTCAAGTTGATCCGACTAATAGTTTCGGAGATACGGCCTTGAAAAGGTGGACGCTCGAGGTCAGGTATAATATTCTATTCTATTCTATTTTGGTGATTTCTCGTTAAACTACGAAGTTCATTTTGAGGTTATAAGTGTTTGTTGTGAATTTATTCGATAAAAAATGCCGTTTAACGTGTCTAGAACCCAGATAACGGAAGGTGTTCGTAGAAAAGATAGACCTAAGAAGAGGAAACAAGGATATCAGTTATTATTAATTATGCACGGTATGGACCTAAAACTTGGTCCAAATTCCCATGAATATGCCCGAAACATGGATGAAAACCGGGTGACCGCAGCCGAAAAGAAATCTACCAGCAAGACTCGTGAAGCCAGGATTCTTCATAGATTGGAGCAAAAGGATGCCCTGGACATTGCAGCTGCAGCAGTTTCTCTACTTTATGGCCCAGGAATCGACGATTCAATGTAAATTAAAAAAAAAAAATTACCACTTTTAATGTCTCTTATAACTTTAAACGCGTTTTTCTCAAAACTAAGTTTTCAAAGACGGTTGTCAAGATTTCTCGCGAACTACTCAACCGATCTTGATGAAATTTTACACAGGTCTTCGAGATATCATTTACAAGGTCTTGAACGAAGGATTTTTTTTTAATTACAACTATTTTAAGAAAAAAATGTCGAGAAATTTTCATTGAAATTTGCATTTTTTTATAAAAACTTCTGGCAAAAATCCAATTTTCATTTTTTTTTTCCTTCGTCCAATACCTGTGGGCTAATTATCTAACTTCGTTCGCAACGATTTTCGTATGTAACGTAGTGAAAATGACGTCATCTGTCAATAATGCGATTATATTGACGCCATTTGACGCTGTCAACTAGCATTGCAACGTAAACGCAACTTTACATATCGATAAAAATTATTTCTATCGAATGTCGATTTAGTAACTTCGTTGCAACGTCACGTAATCGCTATTTTGCCGAAATGACAGCGTGGAATTGAAACGGTTTTTACATTATGAGAAACAATTTAGAAGGTGTTTCTTTTGGTTACAATCTTTAAAATATCAGCATTAGCAGCATTATTTATCTTGTTTTGGTAATTTTCAGTATTACATATATTTTTATTATATTAAATATTACGTAGAAAGTCGTGAAAAGGTTTTAAATTTATTAAAATGGGAAAATTGTCACGACTCACAACATGACATCAGTGTTGCCAATTCGATATTTTATTTTCGTCCCAAATCACATAGAATAAAAAATGTTGTATTAACTAGAGTAAACGTTTAATATAAAATTAGGGTTGATTATGATATTAATATAATTAAAAAACTATTTCAATGAATACGGTGCTCTGTGAACGGAATATAACGTTTATGATTTGCTCTGTGATTTGTTTAAAGTAAATAAATTTATTTGTTTAAAGTTTTTACAATTATGTACAAATTTAAAAAGATGTGCCCATATCATTTTAAATTTATATGGATACCTACGTACTTACCTAGGTATCTATAGCAGAAAAGAAAATTTAATTTGTAGGTTAGATTAATATTATTAATGATTATAAATAGTTTGTATAAAATATGCTTTTATATTAAAAAATTATTAACCTTATTTTTTCATTAGAATAGAATAGACTTTGTTTATTTTATTTTATTAAATGTCTATTAATAAAATTAAAATAAAAGAACATGTACTGACTTTTTAAATTGGTCGGATTAACAATATTCCGCTGCAACTTCATAGTAGTGTTTTATCGATAGAAATGATTTATGTTGCGGTCATTCAACCTTACTTGATCGCATTTTTTAAATTGAAATGATTTTATATTGCATCACAACTTCAACAGAAACAATTTATCGTGTTACATAATTAGCCCACTGGTTTATTGTCTTTACTAAAACACGTATTTTTTATTTTTATTTCAGATGATCCTAAAAGAAGTTCTGCTGACAACGCGGAGGCACCTTTTTTCCGAGGGACTGCCGGAAATGGCGTCGTAATGACCGCCATTTTGATATTTTTTTTGACAATTTTACAAAATGTTTATTAAATATGTATCTTTTAAATAAAAAAAAAATACATTAAAATATTTCATTATTTATATGTAAAAAAAATTATTGAAAAAAGGCCGTTTTTTGCCCGAGGAAACCCATCTAACCCCTTAACTTATTCTTTAAATCGATAATCTAGCGGAACGAAAAATTATATTGTGTTTGTTATATACACGACATATAAAATGACCAGCTCGATTATAAGATTTCTTTAATATTGTTCATATAAAAGAATAGGTAGCAACATCGCTTCTAAAAGACTTCTAAAAGAATAGATAAATCATTCAAAGTGCATACAGACGTTACATCAAATGCTCCCCATTTGATGTAACGTCTATATTATAAACTAATACAAATTTCAAAGAATGGCAAATTGGATTGGATATTAACTGATAAATTAATTAAGTAGACATATTGATCTACTCATCACAAACGTGTTACCAGAATTTGTCCTTTATTAATATCTAGTAGTAAGACGTCGATGACACGAACAATTTGAGAAGTACACTTTCATGCCTTAGTTACACATATATGACAATACTGAATGTTTGTGAATATTCACAATGATTTTATATATTTTTATATTACTTACCTATAAATTTCTGTTATTAATCTGTTATATATTATACAAGCTACACTACATACATCTTACGAATTCATGCTCAATTAATCTGGAATTATCTATTTGTATTAATTTATATTTATTTTGAAAGTGTACAAAACAGCCGTTTCAATTCTTGAGATATAAAATTGTAACGTTTACTAATTCATTCCATTTAATTACTAATATAAACAATATATCAATAATATTAAAACAATGTAGTGATAACATACCTTAATTCTTGTACGCGCGGCGAATTTGGAAACTTTAGACAACGTACTAAGTGCGAGGTCACTGGTGTCGATATCTAGTTGATGCGACTCTAGGCACGCTAGGAATTTGTCCTGGAAACAATCATAGACACATATTACAATGAATTCACCTTTTCCATGAATATCATATTGCACGTACAAAGATCCAAGCTATTATTATTGTCTCACAATATTCTAAATAGTGCTATCGACTCCGCTTTTCCAATTCCCATAAAAATCCTTTTACGCAATTGACAAAAACTATATTCATTCTTTCATTATCGACACGTCTTAGCCAATCGCTGTGACTAGTGTATAGATACGAACTTCTTAATTAAAAGAACCTACAATGTAATCAGTATTATAAGTACATAATTTGTATATTATTATCGTGCATTTAAATTTAATTAAATATTTTAAGTACGTACCGCATCGGCTTTGCAGACAGTGTTAGCCATCTGTCGACAGAGCTGACGGAGAAAATGTGACTTATCGACCGTCTCATCAGTGATCATGAACGAATACAACTTCTCCTTTAATTCTTGGTTACTGCGGCACATTAGCGCGAACACATTGTGACAATCTGAAAATTATATATAAATATTTATGCATATTACAGTAATGAGTCACCATTAAAGAACTTTAAATCAGAATTGTTCAATTGTAATGTGTTTATTTAAAGACTATGAAATAACAAAAATTTTAGTGTAGATTTTTTGAATCAGTACAATATAAAAAAAATGGTTGATTAAACTAAATGACAGATATTTAAGATTTTGATCAATTTTAATATTAAAATCTTTAGTTTCATATAATAGAATAAACAAGCACTATATTGAACAACATTTCCATACCTTCTGCTTCTCTTATATCGACCACGCGCTTGACAGTACTCAATGGCATCAGTGATATGTGCCGGTACGGTTTACTCGACCGCATCGTACTTGTTCCATTAGTAGGACTCTTACTATTGAATGCCTGCAAAAAAAATATACAATTAAATATAGACATGCACATAATTTATTAGTTATATAATAAGTGGAATAAAAGTACATCACTTACTTTGGATCGTTTTTTGCACACTTCCATTGTGTCCGTGAAGAGAAACAATACAAGATGATCCCCTCTGCCGGATAATTCTTTAGATAATTCCACAACTTCACAGCGCGCGACAAATGAGCGATGAGAAGATACTAGATGGGGCTGTTGATTTAAGAAAACATACAAAATGTTAATGTGACTATAAATCATAGAGATAAATAACATTTTATCTACATGGGGATATTTTGACATATAACATAACTAGTGACAATACATTTTGGGCAAGAAATAAACAAAAACAATCTTAGGGACAGAGACAACAGCTACTGTTACACGTACGCTCATTGCGTGCTAATCTGCCTTCATACGGGAAAGAAGGCTCGCGTGTAAGGCGTATTGCCGCATATTGCATGCGTTCGTTACTGCAAAGTGACCGGTTCTTTTTAATCGTGGTCAGTTAATTTTTCCCGATCATTCTAACAAAGACCCTGATTAAAATTAAATGTACTATATAGATAACATAAGGTAAGAAGTGTTTACCGGACATTGTTCTATATCATGATAAATGTCGAACATTTGTAGTTGTCCTTCGGTTTTTCGTTTATCTTCGTTGATATGCGACATAACTTCACGGAGGCCTGCCAGAGCTGACACTAATGCTGAGTGATCCGGGTTATTTTTGTGCGTATGTTTAAGTATATCTGCAAGGCACAGTAAAATATGTAATTAAATTGTATTTATAATTTCTAAAGTTTATTAAATAATATAGAAAATACCTACCATCCAGTAATAAACTTATACTTGGTAACCGTTGCACTGGCCTTATTAAGAGCTCCTGTAGGCTTTGCCTTCCGCACTCTGGTTTAGTCTGACAGATCTTCAGGAATGCATGAAATCTGTAATTAAATTTGTAGTTACTTCCTATTTCCACGTGTATAGTGTGATAGTTTTAGATAATTAGATAGTGACGAATATTCTATAAAACAGTATATTCGCAGCTGAATATATTGTACCTTGGGTTCTCACGATCGCATTGTTGTAGCATCTCCTTGGTGTTTTCAAAAAAGTTAATGAAGGGCGGATAAGCTTTGAGCATATCGGTTGTATATTTAAGCACGATGCGGCCGATGTTTGCTTCCTCGCTCCAGTGTGCCTGCGTGTATCTTAGTTCCTCCAACATGCGCCTATATATATAAACATTATTTTGTAATAATAATAAACTAGAAATTATGAATTTAAATGGGCCATGGTCATTTGAATTAAGCTATACTTTTGTGAATAAAAAGGTCACGTTGCTACCAGTGTAGTTCCTCAAATCTAATAGATCTACCAACAAGCGGTTCCATCTGGAAACCATTGTAGTTAATTCCTGGTGAATGTGTCTGGATACATGAAATGAGTTGACCTCATCCTCATACTATCATCCTCTACTGATGCTCCGCTAGCGTGTACATAATTAATACATAGGCAGGTACACCATTATATATGCATCTATTAAAAAAAACAATACCACAATCCATTATACTCACTGATGCAATTCATATATAGGCGGTAAATTTCCAAATATATTTCTTAATTCTGTATTGTTGAGCAATGCTTGATATTTCCCATTACTGTTGTCTTCCTCCACCATTTCTTCTAACGGTTGTTTGAACATCTTCAAAGATAATAACGCAATAGATTACTTATCATGATTTAAAATTCACTTTATAGTTGTAGCACTTTTTAATTGATGTGGTTATTTGATTAGAAATGCTCTTTATGCATATCACGATCAGGCGTATTAATATTATTTTTTTAAAGAAGATTGATATATAAATTAATATATTAATTATTTTAAATTTATATTCGTACTATTGTTTACTCTCCAGTTAAGATTTTGAATTAACTCGAATTCGCATAACACAGTCCCCGTTACTGAACTATTTTGGTGATATAAAAATAAGTAAATAAAATAAAATAAATTTTTATATGCAATACAATTCTAATACTATATATCTTTGGTAAGTTTAAGAAATTTTGAAAAAATAAAATATTAACTTACCGTGACTATAGTGTGGAGTATTCCTACATAATTCGATTCCGTTTGTAGTAACTCCATAAATACTTGTTGGCGGGGAGACATCAACTTACGCACTACATTGTCGGGTACTTCTGACTCTGCAACTGACAATGAGACATGACAATGTGTACATTTATTTACAAAACAGTTTTCATAATTTTAATAATAATAATAATCATAGGATCAGCGTCCCGATAGGTTCGTAAAACCCTCAAAAAGTTAACAAGTGTGCATATTAAAACAGCGGCTACCTTCGAGTAGTTGTTTCCCGACTGGCGAGGGAGTGCTGATGTCGAGTAGGTTTTCTGAGAGGTTGAGCAGCACGGTGTCTCCGACGGAGGAGCGCCGCTTGTGCAGCGCCGCGTCGCCGCCGCGCAGCTTGCGCTTGCGGAGTCGCTGCAGCTGCGACGGCGTGCCGGCCGCGCCCCCCGCGCCCGCCGCGCCGCCCGCGCCGCCCGCCACCTCCTCGCCGCCCGCGCCCGCGCCCGCCGCCGCGCCGCCCACGGACGACCGTCGCGACACCTCCTCCAGGTACTGCGCATCGAGCATCACTCGTTAAATAGTTCCTATGACCAGAAATTTAATATGCAGATTAAGAAATAGGCATTACTTACATCTTTGAATAGGTAGTCCTTTTCGTCCTGCGCCTCCTCGTTTTGAACGGAGGCCCAAAACCACTCCGCCTTGACGATGTGCACTTGCTCCGCGCACTCCGGCAACACGATGGTGTTGTGCTCGTCCACCACCTGCACGTGAGTTTCAGGTCATAACATGAATTGGACGCGTCGTCGGCCACCACCGAAATTCTAAACGGCCCTGCTCGACTAGTCCTCGTTTAATTTATATATATAATAATAAGTAGCAGACCTAGAAGTGCACGACCTACGAAGCACCTATTGTATAGAATAGCGGCAGGTCATTCGAAGATACATGCATATACCTCCTACTGACTCGACTCTGATCGAGCGCTATCTCTAAATGAAGTACGGTGACGAACACCGGTGATTTGCGCGACAAGCTTAATATTTGGTATTGAATTAAATTGTGTTAGTACCGGCAGCGATATTCCATGGCATTGCGATATGGCGCGGGCGTCGCGGGGCGGGGGCGCGGCGGCGGGCGGCGGCAGGGGGCGCGCGCCGGCGGGGGAGGGGGGCGGCGGGGCGGGGGCGGGGCCGGGGATGAGGGAGGGGGCGGGGCCGGGGCTGAGGGAGGGGGCGAGGCAGAACGCGGCGTGTCGCGCGCGGGGACCAGTCGCCCCAGGGAGGGGGCCGCCGCGGAGCCAGACGCTCTGTGGTGTTTTAAATAATATCGAGTCGTCCAATTCATCTACGGAAAACTCTGTTGTTGGTGTTGTCGGTGTTCTCGGTTCCGTACTGTCCACGGTATCTACTTGCACAGGAGAAATATCAAAGTTCATTTCGTCGAGATCTCTCTTCGGCGTGGAAACATTCCTCAAGTCAGCAGGAAGGTGACATGCATCGACTTCCACCGTGTTGCGTTCAGCTCTCTTCTCGTATTTCTTTTTGCGTTCGCTGCGAAATGAGGCCGTAAACGATTTGACGCTTCTGCGAAGTTTCGAAGCCGACATTACTTTTTTAGAACTGCGTATGGATGCGAATGAAATGTCAAAGAAACCGGACTGTTTGCTTGTATTTATCGAGCAAATGGATGTGTTATCGTCTTCCCTGATAGGGGATGATGTGGAGGCAACGTATTCTCCCGCGGGATCGGTAGGTTTTACGCTGTCCGGGCTTACAGGTTCCACTGTAATGTCTCCTGTAATTTTTGAAACTGAATCTTTTTTTGTTCTCTTAAATATTGTTGGTCTGTTTTTAAATTTAAATGAATCCTTGATTTTTAATCTCTTTATCGATTTCCAATTGTTATCCTCACTTTTATCGGGAGAAACGTTGGCATCTATGTTGCTAATTTGAAAATTTGAATCTGTAGAATTGCGACTTCTCTTTTTGCCAGAAGAAATGGTAGTATTTGAGTGTTGCAATTCCTTACCACCAGTCGAACTTGGTAGTAAAAAAGCGGCTTCATCTTTGGAATCTAAATCACATAAACTTTTTGTGAATGATGAATGTAGAGAACTAGTCTCCGTTAAACAGTCAACTAAATTAAAAACATTCATAGACTTATTTCTAAAAACTTCTCTTTTATCTTTTGAATTGAATCCTGCATGGCTACGTAGTAGGCTAGATACAAACATGTTTTCTTTGTCATAGGTCCCATATTTCCGAATATCTACAGGATCTGAATTCAATATACTTTTATTATTGTCATTACATGGCGATATGTCGTCTGTAAATGCTTTCCCTACAAAACTAGGAATACTGATATCAGTTTGATCTTTGGATATTGCTTGTTGTATTCTAATACTGTTCCTTGCAAGTTGAACACGAGCCTCGCTCTGACTTCCAGAAAGTTCTTTAGAATCATCCGTTTGTTTGGGGCTACCGCGGCGGCCTGAGAGCCTGGCTGATAGTCTACGGTACAAAGAACTTTTGGGTGTAGATTGCGAGCGACTGGAAGTGGCACGGGATGGTTTCGCCGAGGAGGGGGTACTGGGGTGAGGTGATAGGATAAGCGAACGACCGTAAGTCTCCCCATTGGCCATTACCTGAAACATGTGTGAAACACACCACGCAATGATGTAATGAAGCCATTCCAATATAAACATGCATGACGATAGTTATTATCGTAACATAGGCAGTTAAACACAACAAGCTATCAATATATCCATTTTTATGTAACATTTATGAGATTATGAGGAACATAGTCAGCCTTTTTGGTTATTTGTCGATGCAGATATAAATACACACAGAAGAAAATAGTAGAAAATTATGTAGGTACCTATTAGTTATTATCCCTTTGACTAGTGCACGGGTGCAATTTGACAGTAAGCACACAACATATGTAGGTATATTATGCCTTTTTTGTACAATGACAGCTAATGTAAACATACAAATGACTATATACATAATGAATATTCACATATTATTATACTTATGATGAATGAGATAATTATGCAAACAAATGACACAATAGTGAACCGAGGAATGAATGTGACGTCATAACAAATGATAAATGAAAATAAAAAAACAATGAAAAATCAATGGGTCGACTTTACGCCGTGTGGAATGGAATGGAGGGATGCTCTGTTACGCTCCGTAACAAAACAAAACGTGTATTTTAAATTATTAAAATAAAGGTGGAAAGACTCTTCTCACAAATTAACATAACATAACGAAAATATTAAAAAATATACGACATTTGAAAAACGGAATCAACGTGATTATCAAAGAAATGTGGAAGAAATCTTGTATCAAAACATAACGCTATATTATTGACATTGCCGAATGAACGATAATAAATGTTTGCACGCAAATTGTTAACTAAACAGTGACTGACATTGGAATATTATCGAATGTAATTCGTCAAATGAAATAAGAGGGGGAAGGTATGTCATAACTAAATCAATATACCATATACAGTGTCTACAATATTACTAAACTAAAAGTGATTTGTGTTGCCATATGTAACTAAGTGCATGCTGACTTCCTATACCATCCTTAAAATTAGAAGCAAATATAGCAATATAGTATACATTGGTGTAAAATATTTGAGGGTATTACTATGTGAAATATCTAGTAGAAATAATAGTCTGGTTTACCTTCTACATTAAATAAAAGACAACTAAAACTGTAATGAAGTAATATTAAAATCATGTATAGGTGGTTATAAAATATATGGAGATATACTCACGACGTGCGTGCACTCAGGGTCGTCAATAGTGCAGGTGGAACCGCCGTTGTTGGCGAGCACCTCAGCCATATGTTCCGTCTCATCCTCGGGGAAACCCACAAAACATATGCGGGCGCCCGCGAACAATTTGAGTTTGTGCTCTTTCTGTAATTATTACATAATTTAATTAATATGTTTAAATATCTAAAGTAATTTTATAAACGTAAAAGTAACATTGTCTGTAATGATTATCGATGAAATTCAGCCTTTAACATATTTTTACTGGAGTGTAAATATTACAATGATGACTATTGATGACTTAATATAATATTTACACTCTTAATTGTACATTTGACTATACTTAATGTTCATTGTATACTAGAGTTTGTAGGTTTTTGTGTTACTGGAAAGTTAATCTTACGGATGTAGAATTTCTCATACGGGCATATTTATTTATTTATTTAATAATAACAATAATAACACATGCTAAGGCGATACTAGACATCTGCCAGATAAACTTAGATAATTTTTTTTTTTAATATTTAAACGATATACATAGAAACCGGTCCTGTGAACTTGGCACACGATATTAAAAAATCGACTTTTTTTTTTAGAGTTCTGACATCCTTTTGAATAGTTCTAGAGTTCTTTATAATCATTTTAAATAGTTCCGATGTTTAAATTAAAAAAAAACAAATTTTAAAAAATCGTGCGCTAAGTTCACGCAGCGCACGAAATCACGAAAATCACAAATTTCTTCGGAGTTCTAGCTTGCTTTACAATAGTTCTACAGTTCTCTATCAGTTATATCAATAGTTCTAGCGATTAAAACGAAAAAATCGATTTTTGAAGTTTCGCCGCGTCCAAATTATAATTCATATAAGAAAAGATCAATTTCCGACGCGAGTTCTAGCCGATCTGATAATAGTTCTGGGCAGCATTCTCCGAGTTCTAGAGAAAAGCTTCATAACTTTTTCCTGGAAAATAATTATTTTGCAAGTTATTGCAAAAAATATAAATCTACAAAAAAAAAAATTACGAGTTCCAGCTGATCTGATCGGAGTTCTGGGTAGCGCTACCTGAGTTCTATCGAAAAGTCTAATAACTTTTTCCTGTGAAATAATTATTTTCCAAATTATCGCCATTTTTAACTTTTCATGACTGACTTATAGGAGAATTTTTTTACGAGTTCTAGTCGATCTCATCGGAGTTCTGGGTAGCGCTACCTGAGTTCTATCGAAAAGTCTAGTAACTTTTTCCTGTAAAATCATTATTTTCCAAATTATCGCCATTTTTAACTTTTTAAGGCTGACTTATAGGAGATTTTTTTTTTACGAGTTCTAGCTGATCTGATCGGAGTTCTGGGTAGCGCTACCTGAGTTCTATCGAAATGTCTACTAACATTTTCCTGTGAAATAATTATTTTCCAAATTATCGCCATTTTTAACTTTTCATGACTGACTTCAAGGGAGAATTTTTTTTACGAGTTCTAGTCGATCTGATCGGAGTTCTGGGTAGCGCTACCTGAGTTCTATCGAAAAGTCTAGTAACTTTTTCCTGTAAAATCATTATTTTCCAAATTATCGCCATTTTTAACTTTTTAAAGCTGACTTATAGGAATTTTTTTTTTACGAGTTCTAGCTGATCTGATCGTAGTTCTGGGTAGCGCTACCTGAGTTCTATCGAAAACTCTAGTAACTTTTTCCTGTGACATAATTATTTTCCAAATTATCGCCATTTTTAACTTTTCATGACTGACTTCAAGGAGAATTTTTTTTACGAGTTCTAGTCGATCTGATCGGAGTTCTGGGTAGCGCTACCTGAGTTCTATCGAAATGTCTACTAACATTTTCCTGTGAAATAATTATTTTCCAAATTATCGCCATTTTTAACTTTTCATGACTGACTTCAAGGGAGAATTTTTTTTACGAGTTCTAGTCGATCTGATCGGAGTTCTGGGTAGCGCTACCTGAGTTCTATCGAAAAGTCTACTAACATTTTCCTGTGAAATAATTATTTTTCAAATTATCGCCATTTTTAACTTTTCATGACTGACTTATAGGAGAATTTTTTTACGAGTTCTAGTCGATCTGATCGGAGTTCTGGGTAGCGCTACCTGAGTTCTATCGAAATGTCTACTAACATTTTCCTGTGAAATAATTATTTTCCAAATTATCGCCATTTTTAACTTTTCATGACTGACTTCAAGGGAGAATTTTTTTTACGAGTTCTAGTTGATCTCATCGGAGTTCTGGGTAGCGCTACCTGAGTTCTATCGAAAAGTCTACTAACATTTTCCTGTGAAATAATTATTTTTCAAATTATCGCCATTTTTAACTTTTCATGACTGACTTATAGGAGAATTTTTTTTTACGAGTTCTAGTCGATCTGATCGGAGTTCTGGGTAGCGCTACCTGAGTTCTATCGAAAAGTCTAGTAACTTTTTTCTGTAAAATAATTATTTTCCAAATTATCGCCATTTTTTACTTTTCGAGACTGACTTGTAGGAGAATTTTTCTTTTGACGAGTTCTAGCCGATCTGATCGGAGTTCTGGGTAGCGTTACCTGAGTTCTATCGAAAAGTCTAGTAACTTTTTCCTGTGAAATAATTATTTTCCAAATTATCGCAATATTCCAAATATCTTGAAAAGTTAAAAATGGCGATAATTTAGAAAATAATTATTTTACAGGAAAAAGTTACTAGACTTTTCGATAGAACTCAGGTAGCGCTACCCAGAACTCCGATCAGATCGACTAGAACTCGTAAAAAAAATTCTCCTATAAGTCAGTCATGAAAAGTTAAAAATGGCGATAATTTGGAAAATAATTATTTCACAGGAAAAAGTTATTAGACTTTTCGATAGAACTCAGGTAGCGCTACCCAGAACTCCGATCAGATCAGCTGGAACTCGTAATTTTTTTTTTGTAGATTTATATTTTTTGCAATAACTTGCAAAATAATTATTTTCCAGGAAAAAGTTATGAAGCTTTTCTCTAGAACTCGGAGAATGCTGCCCAGAACTATTATCAGATCGGCTAGAACTCGCGTCGGAAATTGATCTTTTCTTATATGAATTATAATTTGGACGCGGCGAAACTTCAAAAATCGATTTTTTCGTTTTAATCGCTAGAACTATTGATATAACTGATAGAGAACTGTAGAACTATTGTAAAGCAAGCTAGAACTCCGAAGAAATTTGTGATTTTCGTGATTTCGTGCGCTGCGTGAACTTAGCGCACGATTTTTTAAAATTTGTTTTTTTTTTAATTTAAACATCGGAACTATTTAAAATGATTATAAAGAACTCTAGAACTATTCAAAAGGATGTCAGAACTCTAAAAAAAAAAGTTGATTTTTGAATATCGTGTGCCAAGTTCACAGGAGTATAGAAACCATTAGAAACAATCATACTCAAAAATACAAATATTTGCATCATGCGAAGAATCGAACCCACTACCATCGGTAGTCAGGTGGAAGAAATTATATTTTATGCAATAAAATGTGGTGCAAAATACGTAGGAAACTCACAATTATAGCATCATCAGTGGCGGAGAAGGTGGGGTCATCGCGGCGATCCCAGCAGGCTTCCACCCATGATCTCGCCAGTATGGGCAACCCAAAGCCCGATGCGTAGCGGTACTTACGACCGGTGGCTGCCGTCGCTATTAGGTGCGTCATTTTAACGCACGTATCTTTGCGTATCGAGCCTCCCATATAGTGTATTAGTGTTATCAGGTACGTCTGTTGAGAATATTTATAAATTTATTTACTTATATTTAACAAAATTAATATTTCCCTACTTCATGTTACTATCTGTGTTGCAACAAATATTTTTTTGTGACAAATATTTAGCTTTACCCTAAATATTTGCCACAAAACCGTGTATAAATCTTAGATGAGGGGTGCCATTGGCAAAACTGTATAAAATTCAATGTTTGTATTTCAAGTTTTAAAATGCTTTCAGTTTGAAAAATGTATGGTATTAAGGTTGCGCTCTCTTGAAAAAATACACTATATATTTATATAGGCTTATATACATACGTTACACTGATTACAATCATTTCTAACATTCACCCAAGTTAGTGTTACCCCTAAATTGAGTAAATGTTTTATTCCATATTTTTATAGCTATTTACCAATCATTTACTAATAGGTACGATTAAGAAATATAAGATCTTATATTTTATAAACAATATTTGATAGCTGAGAAAATGTATTTTTGCAAATAGTGCATTATAAAGAGAAGAAATACTAAAGAAAATATGTAATATGATTTATAAGGAGAATAAAAAAAAAATCATACTAACAAGTTCATCTTTTTTTCGGAATCCAGAGAAGCAGATTACAGCGCCGCGCATTGCCATTGAATAGAGTGGACGAGTGTTCGTTGGTTGTGGCTCGTCGCGCTCTGCCATTTGCAGTACGGCTGTTGGACCCAACACCCTGCGCAATAAAAACAATTGAAGGTTGACAAAAATTTGTTGTGTTGCGAAAATGGAGAAAATTCTTCTTTTTTTAATATGAGACATACATACAGACGGCATATGCTTAAATGTAGGAAAATGATGTCAACATATCGTCGATTTTTTACCTATGCCTAATTCTCAAGTAAAATGAAATGCAAGTCAATGTCGCACATCAAGGTTTCCGAACAAATAATGCAAACAGGTCTTTATTTTAATTTATATGATAATTATTTGTCTAAGTATGAGGTAATTGTGGATACAACGGTATGGTTTATACCCATAAAAAAAAAGAACCCAGACACTAAGTAATTACAAGTTCCTTGGTTTGTTTATTACATCGGTGCGCACAAATTAGTTTGCCTGCGTGAAAATTGAAATAGAAATATAATGCTATTTTTCCACTAATAATATGCCTTTTATCAACCGTAATTATTGCAGATTTATTTCTTCAGAAATTTCATAATCATGACATGCTTCTAGATACAGATATAATTTAAATCAAAATAAAACTGTAAAACCATGACCTGTTAAAACCATACAATCATGGTAGACACACACACATATACATATATATATATATATATATATATATATATATATATGTATATATATATATAGTACTTGATTATTCTGGTTTCCGTCTCTACGATAAATATACATGGCAAGATTTTATTTATAGGATACAATTTGTCCCCAGAGACATGAATTAAAGTGTCCATGAATGCGGTGGGCGGCGGGAGCGATCCCGGTACTATTTGCCTGACATCATAGAATACCGCATACACCGCCGGTTTACGTGTCGCTATAGAAATAGTTGATGAGTTACATTACACTTATAAACAATTAGTAACAACAAAATTTGGCGAAAATTTATTTTAATATGATTACTCTTAGTCAGTAGTACTTCAGTGAGCACCATACGATGGTATCCAGGAGGCATCGAGTTAAGGTCGTACTAACTGATAAGTAACAATTACCCAAACTGTAATATAGTTTTGCTCTTATAGGTCATCTAGATAACACAGTGTGTGTGCAAGGTTGGGGTCAGTCTCGAGAGATACAGCACAGGAAATTAATTTATTTTATTGCAGATCTCGACTAATTATATAATAGATTTCAGATCAGTTCCTCTGCTAAAGATTTGTCTTAAGGGTATTTTCAATTTAAAATTTCAATTATATCTCATTTTTGAACTCGTACAAATATAAACTATTATCAGAGTTGTATGTTAGTGCTTCTGCATAGATAAAATACGTATCGTAAATATGGATCCTAAAGGAGATGCAGAGCTAGTGCGATTGCACTTGCAAAATTTTGCAAGTTTTAGTATAAACAATGTTTGATATATTATCATATCAACAACAACTACTATAAGTAGTACTGTTATGTATAAATTCACTGATGTTTACATGTTTTTTTTTATAAACTGTAATTATTTGATAATTTTCGCTTCAGTTACTTTAATAGATAAGAATGTAAAGCACGATGTAGGTACATTTTTAAGTAATCAATTTTAATCTATACATATATAAAATTGGAGTGTCAGTTTGTAATATTGAAATAACAGTTTTTTACTACATGCGTATGAATATAAATACGGTACATACACCAAAATATTTTTTTTTACAAATTTTGTAACGTTCCTCCTAACGGAGGATCCTCATCTAAACATGGCTATGCACTTGGGTTGTTTCCTACAATTCTTTTAATTTTGCAATGAACTCAAGATAATGTTTTAAATTTATTTTTACAGAGTTGGTGTGTATTCCCGATTACTATTACTGAATTTGAAGACGTTCACAGTGACATCGAACCAGGACCAATTAAGAATGTGAGAAAAATCTTCATTCAATAGGCTAATGGCACAGCGAAAATGTGATACTTCACCCTAGATATATTCATACGAAGATTAATTTGTTTTTATTGAAAATGTTTTGACATGGATCCATCCACAACAACATATAAAACATGCGAGAAATTAAATTAACTGAACCATGTGTATTAAAAACAAAGCTATATACAAAATTAAGACAAACTTTGTATATAACTTTAAATTTTATTATTAAAAGCAAACACTCTATCGAGATAACATCGACAGTTGATAATGCCGTGGTGTGACGGTATGTAGTTTTTTATATTAACAATAATTTTGAAATAATGCTATTAAAGTTCAAATTAGTACTAATAGTAATTAAAATACAATTATTTGCAAATACTCGTCACTTCTTCTTCAAGCTCGGAATTGAAAATACAATTTGTAATTACACTCAACATCTAGGTAAATGCATAATACGCTGCAAATGTGTTACATTAAATTGTATTATAAATAAAAGCATTGACTATTTGTAAGACATCTTATGCAGGAAAGTGAGTGAATTCTCGTAATCATAATAACAAAGAAACATCTTACGTGTTGCAATTTAAAGAAACTAATTCAGGTGTTTTGACTTCTAAAGTAGCCACTAGGTCTTGAGGGGGTTCCTCTTCCTCCGGAGTAGGTGGCAACCGTGTAGGACCCATCGTCGACACATTCACTATCAATCAGACTAGTCACACGCGCACTGTCTGCGTTATACACCAACTCCGCTACCACTTAACAACATTATAAAAGTACACTCCGTTCTCTAGCATCCAAGAATCGCATATGCAATATCCGTCCACATTTTCGTTTATTCGTAGATGGAAACATTAGTTTAACCGAGAGGAACGCGACTAAATCGAGAAACAGTTGATCCTATTCGTATATTGCGGTTGCCGCACAAACAAAGGCGAGCGGCACGCGCGTTATGCGTTTCACGTTAGATTGAAAAACAGTCGTGAGGAATGTGAGGCCGAAAATAGCAAGGAGCGTCGCGTGGCCACAAGGGCGACCCTCGTAGTAGAGCGTTGAGCGTCGCGCGGCGTACTCCCAATGTCCAAGCGCTCCCTCTGCATACGTACGCACACCTTTATTTACATCCTTCCATGAAATACAGTCACCCATCATGTAACCGTTTTATGAGTGGAAGGTGTGTAAACAACGTCCAGTTCATGTTTAGAACTAACGAGTCTGGTGGTTTTATTCCATAAAAAAACGATTTCTAGAAAGATTTTTTATTGGACAACATTATTATTAGCTCACTTGTCAGAAATAAGTAATATTTGACAAAGAACTTTTCCAGGAAGTTTAATACTGGCGACTAACTAAATAAAAATTCAACGAGATATTCATTTAGAATATATCGATGAATATACATAGGGATCGGACATCCTCCTCCACTTCTGAATTCAGTAAATAAGGCTGGATGTCAGTAAAGTTACATGGGTCTAAATTTCAGATGCCACTATCCCATATCAAGCTATACTTATAGCAGTCCCGCGCTACTATTGATATTTTGGTATGGGATACAGGCAGTTTTTTTATTTAATAGGTATGGCTAAAAGGCTGACAACTGGACTGATGATAAATGGTACCGATACTTGTATACACGAACAGCACTCATATCACGTTGTATACACGAATATCACGTTATCATTTGCCGCTGCCTTTTATTCCATAAAATATCACTTGACTTCTGTCATCGTTCAATCAAAACACAGCATACAAGCAAACTGTTTGTGGACTGAAATAGGTGAGACAGAGGTGCTCTACTCACGCAGACGATTTTTACAAACTCTACCTCGGTCAATTTGATTGAATTTATATCTAACAAAAAATCAAACATGGCATAAACAAAACATATAATTACGTCTTATCAGCATACTTTAGTGTCGACTTACCACTTCAAACAGAATACTATTATTGTAGTATAACTTCTCCCTTTCCAGTTCCTTGCTGAATTCTGATACGTTAAAATAATATAATACTGAATTATATTAGAACACATCAAATGAACTCAAATTAACAAGTCAACGATAAGGTATATTATAGTATAGTATTTTGCCAAATTGGCACTCAGTAACCATACAGAAACACGATAGTAGGTAGTTCAGAAGTTAAACCATATTATATATATATATATATATTATTAATAAAAGAAACTTGTCACATGACAGGTTGTTGAACTTTGCAGAAATATTAAAAATACAATGAAAAAATATGAATTGGCAATGTTGAAGACTCTCAAAGAAGGCATAAACGAATGATAATGAGAATTTTAAATACGAAAATTGTAGCGGTACTGAGGATGGAGGCGGCGTTGTTTATAGAGCTCGTAAATCTGCAATAAGCCGGCTAGCATCCAGCACTGTTTTTGGCATTCCGCAACTCAACGACGCACTGACGCTTCGCCCAGTGTCATGCTGTGACTGCGATCACCACTGCTCAACTAAGTGAGTCACGTCTTGTGAACGCATTTCAAATATGATTTTCACCCAACGCACAAGAGTATTATATCAGCTAAATCTTTACTTCTGAAAATTGTATACTGACAGGTTAACTTACAAATTGACGTGAATTAATCAATATAGATTAACAAATATAATCATTATAAAGAAACGTAACACTGAGATTCTGTATTAAACAGCTGTGTATTCACGTTTTTGTTAGAACAGACGAGGACGAGGCCATAGGGATACTTCTGTTAACCTTAAAACGAGATTTATCAGAATCTTTAATCTTAATGAGTTGTACTATTTTTGAATGGCTGGACGTCACAAATGGTGTGCTATAGTTACTACTTGTGTATATCGCTGTAGATGAAGGCAACGCAAGACAAAAAGGCGTCAATTTAAACGCGTAACAAAGTATCCGTCACGCTCGTTAGCACTCTCGCAAACGGTCGCGTACAGAGCCAAAATAAATGGCAATAACGATCCGTGTCGTTACCAGTACACTCACTACGCACAATTGACACTTTACTATTTCAATTAATTATCTTAGATATAATATTTCACAGTGATGATGTCATTTACGTACACGAAACGCATTGTACCCTTAAGCTAAGGTGCGTGCTATGAGACACATTTTAAAACTATATAATTATCATTAATGTCTTAAAGTTTAAAAAGACAGAATTTTTATGTGCTGTTATTTAATAAATTTTTGTATAAATTTTTATGTTTATATGTGCGACTGTTTTTGACCCTAAATTAGACACTGCAATTACTAACTGACACTCACTATATTTTATTGAGAACTATTGACAAAAATTATAACGATAACGTTTGTAGAGTTGATAAGAACTGTATACACGAAGTATTATGGTGCGCTCCTTCTCGATAATACCATCTTAATTTCAGTAAATAGTTTTCTAAACGCAAGCGGTTTAATAGTGACACAGTTATTAGGTACCATGTGTATCGTCTATATTTGGATTTTTTTTTTATTTAGGTATTTTGGGTTATCGTCAGTTGCTTGGAGCTGTAGTATTGTGACCTACATAGATCTATTGTGCTCGCCCTTTTACAGAGTTCGCTACCTAGACCCGTCAGGAATAAGAATTGAAGGATATTCTAAGGAACGACGGTTTTATATCTCCTCAAGATAGACTGTAAACTTTCCAAAGAAGATATTAGGTTTATGCATGAGTGGTCTATATAACCACATAGGATGTGTTTGGTGATACAACCATTTCTATATACAGTGGTGGTCATATAATTAGAAACACTTCTTATGAATAAAGAAAGTAAAACTTAAACGTACAAATTATCGGAAAAAATATATACATTCAATAATTCATAATCATGCAATAATATAGCCACTCAAATTAAAAACTCATTAAATAGATAAAATTTAAAACATATTTTACTTTCAATTACAAAATCAGTCTTACACATGTAGAAGTTTATTTTCTGTTACTTGCCGAAACTTACTACTTGGACACCTAATTAGAAACATTTTAAAAAAAGCATCAATATATCGTTCTTTGTTTGGAATCGGAGAATAACATTTCTTTCTTGCCTTTTTCTATTATTTTGGCGGCAATTCAAAATTTAATGTGAACTGTATTTTATTCTAAATGGGCAAAAATAAAAGCTGTGACGCGTCAACTAGGCAAATAATTGTAAATATACATGTAGATCATAAATGGGCGTACAGAAGAATAACTGAGCATTTAAATTGTTCTATTAAGAAAGTTTTTAATGCAATTAATTATTATAAAACACATGGCTGTCATGATACTATTGAAAATGTTCTTAGAGAGGCTCAGCCAAAAAAATCCTCTCCCATAGAAGCTATGCTAATCGTCCGTGTTACTCAAAAAGATCGATTAAAAGATTCCAACCAGATTAAAAATGAAGTTTTTTTGCCTGATGACCCGAGAAATATCTCGTCAAGACTGATACACCGAAGATTAGTTGAAGCTACATTGTTTGAAAGAACCTATCGAAAGGTCCGCTTCTTACCAAGCAATACCGAGAGAAGAGATTATTATTCGCTAAAAAATATGGTAAATTCCGATGGAAAGTGCTATGTTAGATATCCTGTAAACAATGCTTTTAATTATAAATACACAAGAAGTATAGCCAAGCACGGTGGCGATAATATTAAAGTTTGAGGATGTTTTTCCGAATATGGTTTTGGACTCGTTCGGAAGATTGAAGGTATAATAATCAATGTCAACATAAAAATATGTTAAAGTACACAATGATTCTCTACTCGGACGATCATTTGCCTGTAACCTGGATCTTTCAGCATGAGAATGACTCTAAACACACGGCTAATAGCGTCAAATGTTTCCTTAGCGCAGCGTATATCCGTTTTAGACTGGCCAGCAAATGGTCAGGATTTAAACCAGATAAAAAATCTTTGATATATTGTTAAAAATAAAGTGTTAAATTAACGTAACACCAGTCAAAACGAACTACATGAAGCATTTGTTGATGCATGGAATTCAATCCCCCTATAAAAATATATGAAATTGATTGTATCAATGCCATGTCGTTGCAGTGCTGTTATTGAAAATAAGGAATACGCCACTAAATATTAATTGTAACTATTGGTAGGCTGTGGATAGTAGCTATTTCGTAAAAAAAATAGTTTTTATACGTTTTTGTTGTTGTTTCTAATTAGTTGACCACTATTGCTCGTACTTAAAAACTGATTTAAATGTTTGTTCGTAATGTAAAATTGAAACTGCTCTAGTGTAATAGGATTTATATTGTTTTTCTAATAAATGATGAATCGTTGAACATATTATTGTCCTATTTATTGTTTTATTACAAAATAAAAATGATTGCGGTGAAGTATCTTACATAATGTCAAGAACCGTTGGTAGTGTTTCTAATTATGCGTCCACCACTGTATATCACATCTCACCTGTATTTTGCTCTGTGTGCAGCGTCGAACAATTCGCCATCAAACATTGAAGTAATGAGATAGGACGTCGGCGCCGGTGGTGGTTGTGACGGCGGCAGCGTGTCCGGGCTCGGCGCCGCCGCCACCGGGCCCAGCCGTTCGCTCGCCGCTCGTACCCTCTCCCATTCCATACACGAATCATTTAAATATACTACCGGAGTCGATGTACCTGGTGATCAGATTAGATATTATATTTATGTTACTATAGACATATACTATACCTATAGTAATTTTAGGCCTGTTAAAACGTTAACATTGCAGATATATTAATAGAAATAAAGTATATTAAATTAATATTTTGTAGGGAATGAAGACAGTTCAAAGAAGAATAATTAACTTATGCCCGTATTGCTGCCGCAGAAGAAATAGTTATGATAATTATAGTTTAATTTGTTATAAACTGCGACTGTTCTATTATGCTTATATATATATATAAATTGATAATTGATAAATAATACTAAAATTTATGAAAATGTTGGACAATTACAAATGGATTTTCAAATTGATACATATTCTAGTACGACGCGAGCGCTACATACATACGTAGGTAACATATAAGTATATTACTCATACATGTATCATATACTATATGATATATGTATGAGTAACAAAATTTAAAAAGTTTTATCGGAAAGGGATGAACGATATTGCACATAAAAATATATATATTAATTATATAAAAAACAAATATTTATAATACTCTACTAGTTACTACTACAATATATTTATATTAAAAAAAAACAAGATGTTTAGTTACATACTCCGCAATGTTTAGAAAAATTATATAGTGATAGTAAGAAATTTTGATTAATTATAAATCATTTTGTATTCAAATTATTATTAAAAAAAACGCCTAAAATGAATTTTTCTAATCTACCACTGAGTGACTAAAATACGTTGTGAAAGTATGTACAATACAAACTACATTAATAGGATGTTGTAGAAAAATCGTAAAACAGGACATGCACTTTATAGCGTGTCTGTGTCCGGCAGTCCTATCATATTTATTATATACTAATATCTCAGAAACTATTGATATTAACCATTTTTTTAGATTTAAATATTTCTTTTCTTTGCTAAATAGTTCGAGGTGTGCGTTCGAAATACAAATATGTGAAAAACATCTTCCAAGTTTCTAAAATGAATAATACAGTTTATTAAAATATATGCAAAGATTAGAAGATAAATAATAGAAAACACTTTCTATTATTTTTCTTCAAATCTTTGCATATATTTTAATAAACTGTAAATCAGTCAGTTGTATATATCTAAAGAATCGTCCAAAACAAAATAATATAGGTTTAAAAAATAATTTATTTATGAAACTGGAAAATAAATAGCCTGAATATAGCGAGTTCTTACGAATGCTTAATTATTTGCGCAATGAAATAATGCAAAGCAAAAACGATATGCTTGATCTGAGGAAAAGATACATGGAGCGTTTCTTTGATCCCCTTAGAACTTTAGCTGCATAAGCAAACGGATGTTTTCCAACCATTGATTACTTAGTCAAATTTGAAGTCGTTACATTTGATAAACCACTCGTTTATAAGAAATGTATTAAAATAACAAACCAATTAAGTAAATCCTCTGCAATACTTGTTAAATTCTCAGTTTCGTATGAGATGTATGTGGAACGGCAAATCAATGTATTCATATAAAACAAACTAGGATATAATTACTTCATGATATCTTGATTACGTAACTGCTTTATTAATAAAGGAAATGTTCCATAGCAGAAAATGTCAATGAATGCTAAAGGAGTATCTTGACCTTAAAGGATATGTTCCTATATTTAATTATTCAGGGCTACTGAGTCATGGTTGCGACACAAGGGACACCCGGCACTTTTGGCATGTAACACCACTGGAACATTAACAAATGCAGCTAATGGTGTTTTATTTCAACGTGTCAAATTGAAGGAGGTTAAAATTAAAATAACCCATCCAACAAACCACTGCACGCTATTGAACGTTGAATTCTTTCTCACCTATCACGTTTGATTTTTAGCATTCTATTATTAATTGCACGCGATGTAGTACCTAGTAAATAAAAGAACTATAATTAAAAAAGGGAAACACTACTAATTATATAGATTTCTCTTTTCAGGATTTCGAATTGAACGCCAAAACAGACCTTTGTCATTGTCCGAAGCTTTTATTATTATTTTCAATTATAAAGGAAATGACAAATATGATTCAATTCGTTGTGTGAAGATGTAGTTGGTAATTTCAAGATAGTATCTATTGGCATGATTTGGGTGTCATAGCAAAGGAATACTTTCAAAATCTGATTATTATGTAGTTTTTATACTACAATAATACAATCGGATAATAATAGAACATGGAATCGAACTAAAATAGTTTTTATTGTGAATATTTATAAGCAAGCTTTTAATCATGACAAAATGTACAGGCATGATTAAATATATCGTTATAAGTTAGTTATCTCTTATTCATATCCTCTAGATTATGTTATTTCTTTGCTTCATTGTTTGTCATAACCATTCATAAAATAAATCAATGAACTATATATTTCACATACCGAGGGAGGGCGTTAGACGTAAAATACAATCATAAATATAAAAATTTAGGTAATTTAAACATACAGTATTTTATTTTAAACATACATTGTTATACAAGATAACTGGATCTTCCTAAAGACGATATACCAAGCATCTTCTATAATAATTTCAGAATCATACAATGCTAATACATATATATACTTATATATATTATTCAATGAGGATAATGTTTTATAAAACATCATCTCATTAAATGAAATGAAATTTCAATGTTCCAAAACAGTCAATTGTTAATGTTCGTTTTTTTGTTGTTAAAAAATGTAGGTATATATAGACATACACTTTTCATTCTGTTTATATGGGGAAAACGAGTTAGAATTAGGATGTTTATGTATATAAATTAAATATTTCAGAATCTCTATCTAAATGAAACAATACTAATTCAAAAATTTCACACCTATTTCCATTCATGTAATAAAATATAAAACAAAACACATATTGTTAATATACATCTATTGTCGTAAAACTGAAATGGTTTAATGGGTCTTTAAGTAACAAATGAATAATATTTCAATAATGGTCAAGTGATAGCAATGGAGCAGAGCACACTTTCATGGCACCAAAGCATGCGCACTCACTTCCTCCACCGAGGTAAGACCGAAGTTGCTCAACCAACGCTAGCATAGTTGGCGTACGTGCCGCGAACCACACTCTACGCCATCTGCAAATGCAGCCGGTGACCATCAACCGCATCAACAACCAGTATGCTTTGTGTCTAAAGTAAGCATTATATTACCAACATTGATTTCCTGAGTGCAAAGGCAATCTAACATTCACAATATATCACTTAAGGCATAAAAACAAACTTTTTAAAAATAGTCATAAAACCAAAATATTTTTATAATGTGGTAAGTCACTACCATTGACCAATATGTGTGACACAGTAATATATTTTTTGTTATATTTGGGAAACTATGGGACTTAGACATATTTGAATTAGGGATTTATGAAAACTATATAGGGAAAGTCTCATATAGATGGGATATCAAATATCACCCCTGATATGTTAATACTTATCCCAATATATTAATACTTTTTTTTCATATTAAAATCCATTTCACAAAGACGTAAAAACTTGTAAGTAAATATTATACACAATAACAAAAACATTTCTAAGAGATTAAAAAGATAACTGTTACTTGAAAAATACAATAAACATTACTTTTAAGTTTTAGAGATAAATTACTACTTAATAGTAATACTTAATAATTTATCTCCTGAACATAAGTTAACCAAGGAAAAGCCAAATATTTGATGAGATTGTTGTTTTTTTTTTAATTATTGGATAAAATTATATTTTTTATGACTATTAAATACAATATCCAAAACATATTGAAATATGCAATTTCAAATCTATACCATTAATAAGTAACATATCTAATATTGTATACATATACAAGGTTACTAAAATATGTAAATGGTAATCCTTGTTTATGTTGCTCCTACTTGGAAAAAATATATATTATAGATTTTTTTAATACAATCTATTTAGCATTGTATTAAAAAAACTATAACATGACTTATGGAGTTAATGATACATATAGATCAACTCCCTGTCATGATCAAGATGAAAGTGTAAAGATACAAATTTTAAGTTGGGAATAAAAGGAGTTTTATGTATTTACAATGTAATACAAAAAACTGTAATTTAAATAAATATAGAAATATATTTATTATATAAGAAGAAAACATGCCTGCGAAGAATGGGAATAGGACAGATGATATCATTGAAGAATAATCATCAATATTTCTTTTTGATTAGTTAGATTACACTATAATAAACACTAAGTGGCTTTAATATTGCCTTGGTGGCACTGGTTTATAGACATAGTTCATTTTTGTTATTCAATATGAAGAATAGTTTAATAATAGATTTATCAATGGCACAATGTTAAAAAAGCATGTAAATTGTCTTATTGTAGTCTGTTGAAATTGTTAAAATGAGTTGATTGTTTAAATTATGTTCTGGCATACTGCATATATTTTAGCAGTTAAGTTATCAACTAAGCATTCATACATCATGCATACAGTCACCTACATGAACTGAAAACTGTATAATAGAGATTATCTATGAATATTACAGCAAATTATGAATATAAGTTCCAATTTTTTAGACAGCCTGTTTTATAATTTTAATTAAATAAATGTAATTTTAAAAAGATTTATAATTCCAAAATTGAACCAATATAATTGCTACAATTATAAAATTTAGATAGTGTAGGAACAGAAATCAATATGTTGATTTCATACAACCATTTTAACTTAAAACTATACAAAGTTGGATCATACAATGAACGGTTTAATTTTGGAATTATAAAACTTTTAAACTACTATATTATGGACATAGAAAATAAATCAGGATAAATATGCAATATCCAAAGTGTAATATGCCTGTATTGTACATTTACAAAGTCACATATTTGTGACAAATATTAAATAAAAACAATAGTGTCTGCTATTATGTGGGATTTCCATAGATATCCTATGTCATATTTTTATTATTGTCTTCTAAAATATATTTACTGTATTATGCATTATGAGACCTAAATATAAAAGAAATGGATATCATTTAGATATATATAAATTTGGATTTAATATATCTAAATGATGTCTATTGCTTTTTATTTTTATTATTCTGATATTGAAGACATATTACTGGTATGCATGAGAGTACAGTACCACCTAAAAGCTAGAATAATTATTCTTAGTTGTTTTAAGAACTTAATATAAACTCATGCCCATTTCATGCATCATATATTTTGCTTATTATAGATAGATAACATGCTATTTTTTAGAGTTATACCACAACCCTTTGTTTCAAGTCTGAATGATCTGATATGACAACAGAAATGCTCATCTCTCTTCAAAATTCTGCCTATGACAAGTGAATAATGAACTGACATTGTAAAAATAAGAACAGGGTGACTAAATAACTATTTAGGTAAACAATTAATGAGAAAAATTAATTTGATGTTTTCTAAATATATTATATAATAGAGTTACAAAACTAACACTTAATAAAATATAAAGATTAGCTGATATTGAACACTAACTGAAGGAGTATGGAGAATAATCGTTATCAAGGTTTAAATACCTAAAAATGGCTATTTTGATGAATTTTTTTATTTAATTAGTTTACCTATTTAATATTATTGGAAATATTTATAAGTCGGCAAATAAGAGAAATAACCTGTCTGATTAGTCCAGGAATTTAAAAAATTATGATTGTTGTGGATTTACGTATAATCGCAAATCTTCATGACGCCCTTTAATTGTTGTCTATATTCGTTCCAATACTTATTCCTCGACAACTCCCGGACAACTTTGGCAATACGGAACAAAATATTGTATATGCTTGATAATGAGATTCAAAAGCAACAAGCTGATTTATTGGCGAAATAAAGATGAACATTCATCGTTTCGTTCATTCGTTCATTGTTGATTCATTGGTATTCTACCAAAATTATCGTACCAAAATATTGAATAACAAAATATTTACCAGCATTATCATTATTTTTTTCAATAGCGGCGGTATTTCCTGTTTGTGTTATGCCCTTAGACAATTCGTCCATCTTGCCGTACACTGGTTCGTTACATCAATCATAAAATCTCGGTCACAAACTACACTAAAACTTTCAACACGTCTACTTTTTCATCACTTTATTTATGTATTAGTCTTTTTCGAATATTGTAAGCTTTATCCATTTCAAACACATTTCTGAAAATTAATTGGTACTAAAATTACAAAAAAGAAATTCAAGCAAATCGACCACAGACTGCCACAGACTAACTAGAGAATTGCTATAAAAAAATTGACTAGACCGACCATAAACACTTTTTTTATTTTTTATGTAATAAGGCTATACTATTCTTCTGAGAAGGTAAACAAATATATGTATATTTCTTATTGCTATACAATTAAAAATGACACAAATATATTGAGTTTAACTTGTTTTATATTGTTCTACTTATTTTATATTGATTTATTTATAGTTTTTAATTGTGTGAATTAATATACAACCGGATTTCGGCTGCAACAGGTTAGTGTTGTCAATTTATACTATATAAATTACCCAAAATGATGATAGGGATAGAGACAAATATGAGATATATTGAACATTTTTTACATATATAATAATATAAAACATTCTTGTACAAGAGGGATGTAGCAACCTTCTGGCCGATTTGTTATTTTAGACCTGTTTTATGAAGGGTAAAATTCCCTCAAATTCCGTCAAATCCAAAAGCAGGATATCAATAAAAATTAATTTTTAGTATTTTAAAATAGTCACTCTGTTATCATTTAAATTATTGATAAGAACGCTCTATCCACAGTCACCACTCGGCTCTTACAAATATACGAATACAATGAATTTATTTCTACCTCACATGTTTAATCACAAAATATTTGTTACAGGTGTAAGTCAAGGGCTAATTTCGAGAATTGGAAGGAGTATGGCTTATCAACCAGGATGATGTTGCACATTCTTCAAAAACTGTGTTAGACCATAATTATTGCAAATGTGGTTTTCAATAAATCGCAAAATCTTTTTTTTTTTTCTTTTACTTACATCTCCTAACTACGCATGCCATTGATATCTAGATGGGTCTTTTAACTAGAAGGTTTCAATCTAAACAATTGAAACTCTTAAACCTCCTTGTTAAAAGGCTATCGCAGTAGATAGATGTATATAACTATATATATATATATATATATATATATATATATATATATATATATATATATATATATATATATATATATATATATATATATAGATATATATTATAGATAGAATCCCTATGTCACACAGCAGTTTTTTCCCTATGAATGTGGTGTTATAATTTATCATAAATACAAACTAAACGATATGAATAAAATTTGTCGTCTTTCCCAACTTTTGTGCACATTGGAATTAATTAGCAACACTAAAACGACGCTGGCGACACCCAATCAATTCACAGATAAGTTGGTATATCTGTTCCACTGATTTGTGCTAATGATCTGTGTAAATGACAGCCCATGATGACATTCCTGAATTTTTGTTTTCATTATTTTAAATTTAATGTCACTTCATGTCATATATACGTTATTATACCTATTTATATTTTCTTTCGTAGAATAATTATTTTACTTGTGAATCTTCATCTGTTTATTGAATTGAACAGTGTAAATAGAACTATTGATAAGATAAAGTTGTTAAGAATATTTGTGCCCCGATAAAGCATTACAATGGCGTAACACAGCGATCTATTCAAGTTATTTTTATTGCTAGTTTGATTTTTTGGCAAAATGGAACATTTTGGTTTATCTCACATTTTATATGAACCAGATAAATATACTCCTGATACTTTAAACTTGATTATTGATGAAGAAGCTAGAGAATATTGGCTAAATACTTGTGAAAAACTCGTCGAGAAATATGTGAATTTTGCGCTTACTAATAACGAAGATCCTACTGTAGAAATAAGAGCTTTAAAATTTAAAACATGCTATGTGGAAGCTCTTAAAGAGCTTAGAATAAATCCTCTGTAAGTTGTCTTTTTTTATGTTTACTAGTTATAATATCTCAATAGAATTATGAAATGATGACAGTCTTCTATTTTTTTATTATAACGTCTAATACTGAAAGATTTTCTGGAAGATTACGTACTAATAAAATCCCTATTATGTTACCCACCATGTTACCGAAACAGTGGGTACAAAGAATTTTTTTTTTTTAGTTTTTATCATGCAAGCAGTCTTCCAGACTATAAGCAGATCTGTTGATTATCTTATATCGTGAGAGGTGATCCTCCATTGAGAATCCAGCTTCAGATATTCCAGCTTATGCCAGGTTGTTGAAGTCTGGTATTTTACGTCTCTTAAGATGTGCCATATAATCAGGCAATGTCAGTTGAACAGCAAGTTTATTTGGATGTCTGTCCAGTTTGTTTTTTTTTTATTGTTTGAGAGGTTTCCTCCTTGACAGAGTTGATCCCCATTTTGATTTGGTGATTCTTTGGTGGTCATTTGATTGTGGTGATGAACCTCCGAGTTACGAATAAACCAGGGTGCGTTACAGGTTTGCTTCAATATGCAGTTTTGAGCTCTTTGTATTTTGGTGATGTTGGTAACACTTGCAGAACCCCACAGCTGGAGCCCATACGTCCAGATTGGCTTGAGGATTGTCTTGTATATGAGCAGCTTATTGTTAGTACACAGCTTTGAGTTTCTTCCAAGCAGCCATTACATTTCTCGGTATTTGATATTAATCTCATCTCTTTTAGCTTGGATGTGCTTAGACCAAGTGAGACGAAGATCAAGATGCATACCCAGGTATTTCACAGTTTCACTAGTGGGAAGTATGGTCAAATCCATCATCACGGATGGACAGTTGCCTTTTCTAAGGGTGAAAGTTATATGAACTGATTTTAAAGTGCTGAATTTAATTTTCCATTGCTTTAACCACAGACTAATCTTTGTGAGAGCATTTTGTAACAGATCTGTAGCTTCTACTTGATTTTTACTACAAGCTAAGATGGCTGTATCATCTGCAAAGGTGGCTACGGTTGTTCCCTGTGTTTCTGGAATATCTGCTGTGAAGATGCTATATAGTAGTGGGCCAAGTACGGGGCCTTGTGGCACCCCAGCCAGAACTTCGTAAAATGCCGAGGTGTACTCATTCTCCTTTACTTGGAAGATCCTTTCTCTAAGATAAGACTCTATTAGCCTATATAGATTATATGGGGGGAGTTTCTTGATTTTATAGAGTAAGTCTTAATGCCAAACTTTATTGAATGCTTGCTGTACATCTGTAAATGCTGCGGAGCAATACTCTTTACGCTCAAACACATCTCGAACAACCTTACACACTCTATGAACTTGCTCTATTGTTGAGTGTTCCATTCTGAAACCAAATTGGTGGTCTGGAATTACCAATTTTTTAGAGAGACTTCGTGTCAAATGTTCAAGGAGTACTTTCTCTCGCTTTGACACCACTGGCAAAAGGCTAATTGGTCGATAGTATGTGATGTCATATGGAGATTTGCCCAATTTAGGTATCATAATAATTTGAGAGTCCATAGTCAAGAAAAAGAGCTTCAAAAGAGCTTTTAAAGAATTGGCAACTCATAAAACCTGGATTGAATGTCTAGAAGATGGCACTAAAGAAGTTAGAGACGGGTCAGAAATAATGAAAAGGGCAACGGAATTCTATACCAACCTATTAGAGCAAGAGCCCACGACGGCCAGACATACGTCATATTAGTAAACGTGAAAGTTATTATATGTGTGTCCCCAACACAGGTAAGAACGATCCCCAAACATAAAACCTGGATCGTGGTTCCTTTGGCAGGTAACAGGTAACAAAGGTGTAAAAAATTTCATATCAAATTCGTTATTTTAAGAAACTCCATATTTTCATATATTGTTCGTAGTATTATTATAACTTGCGCTGCTCATTGCCAGACACTTAGTGTGGTTCCAACCCCCCGCCGGACCCCCCTAAACTATACTATTTTATAAATAAACTTACGTCATTTTAATAAAGCTGAACTTTATATATATTATTGAGAGAACTATTAAACTGAGTTTCCTAAATTGCCAGACAGTTTTCTTGGTTCCTTATCCTACCAGACTCATTGAAACCATATATTGGGTAACAACGGTGTATACAATTTCATATCAAATTCGTTATTTTAAGATGCTCCATTTTTTCACATATTGCTCGTAACAGTATTATAACTTGCTCCGCTCATTGCCAGACCCTTAGTGTGGTTCCAACCCCCCGCCGGACCCCCCTAAACTATACTATTTTATAAATAAACTTACGTCATTTTAATAAAGCTGAACTTTATATATATATTATTGAGAGAACCATTAAACTGAGTTTCCTAAATTGCCAGACAGTTTTCTTGGTTCTTCATCCTACCAGACTCATATATACCGTATATTGGGTACCAACGGTGTATACAATTTCATATCAAATTCGTTATTTTAAGATGCTCCATTTTTTTACCTATTGCTCGTAACAGTGTTATAACTTGCTCTGCTCATTGCCAGACCCTTAGTGTGGTTCCAACCCCCCGCCGGACCCCCCTAAACTATACTATTTTATAAATAAACTTACGTTATTTTAATAAAGCTAAACTTAATATATATTACCTGCTACCTGCCAAAGGAACCACGATCTAGCTTTCATGTTTGGGGATCGTTCTTACCTGTGTTGGGGACACACATACAAGAACTTTCACGTTTACTAATATGACGTATGTCTGGCCGTCGTGGGCTCTTGGGCTATATACAAAGGACTTTCACAAGCAAAAACTATGACGAGCAAAAGTAATTTTGGGTTCTATGATGACCAAACTACAATAACTTGGGATCCAATAACAGAAAGTGAACTATTACGTCACTTTAAGAAACTAAAACCTGAAAAAAGTCCAGGTCCAGATGGAATCTCCAATGAAGCTTTAAAAATCGGAGCACAATGGCTAGTACAATTTATACTCAATCTGTTTAACCTAATCTTAAAACAGGAACAAGTACCAACACAGTGGTGCAAATCCACTATAATACTACTCTACAAAAAAGGGAATCCACTTGACATTGGTAATTACAGGCCCATTAGTTTATTAACAACAACTTACAAACTCATCACGTCAATTATTCTTAGCAGAATAGCACCAGAAATTGGTAAAAATCAATCCATAGAACAAGCAGGATTTCGGGCAAATTACTTGACAATTGATCATATACATACTATGGAACAAATAATCGAAAAATACAAGGAGTTTAACAAACCAATATACATAGCATTTGTGGATTATACCAAAGCATTTGACAGCTTAATACATTCATCTATATGGAAAGCATTAAGAAGTAATAACATAAGCGAAAAATACATAAACATTATAAAGAACATTTACTCCAAAAGTACAAGTAGAGTCAAATTAGAAAAATTGGGTAAAGAATTCCCAATTGAAAAAGGTGTGAAACAAGGAGATCCTCTCTCTCCTAAATTGTTCATAGCGGTACTTGAGCAAATTTTTATATATATTAATTGGGAAAACAAAGGAATACCAATACTGAATAAAAGGCTAACCCATTTAAGGTTCGCAGACAATATAGCTCTTTTTAGTGAAACGGCCACAGACTTAAACAAAATTCTAAATAATTTAGATGCAGAGAGTAGAAGGATAGGTCTTCATATGAATTCTTCAAAAACAAAAATTATGACTAACAGTTACAAACAAACAATCAAAATAGATGGAATAGAAATAGAATATGTAGATGACTATGTGTATTTGGGTAAAATGGTTTCCTTTGACCCCAATAGTAACGAAAATGAAATTGACAGAAGGATAAATGTAACATGGAAGAAATACTGGGCACAGAAAGAAATTCTAAAAGGGAACTACAACTTGAAAATGAAAAAGATAATAATGGATTCTGCCAAGCTTAACTTATGCAAGCCAAACATGGGTATATACGGAAAAATTAAAAAACAAAGTCCTGTCCTGTCAGCACGCAATGGAGAGAAGTGTACTAAAGCTACCCAGAATACATAAAATAAGGAACACAGTCATTCGCGAGAAGACAAAAATAAAAGATGCACTTCAATATGGCCTAAGACAGAAGTGGAAATGGGCAGGTCACGTAGCTAGGTACAAAGACAAAAGGTGGACTTACCAACTAACAAAGTGGCAGGGACCGACAGGAAAAAGGCGAGTAGGTCGACAGAGAAAGAGATGGTCTGATGACATTAAAGAAGTGGCCGGGGAAAACTGGATGAGCGTGGCTGTGAATAGAGGAAAATGGAACAAGTTGGAGGAGGCTTTTACCCACATGGGACCATATATATAAAGAAAATAAATTAATCCTAACTTAAAATATTAGTTATTATTGTAATATATGGACAATAAAGCTTTAAATAAAAATAAAAAATAATTTGAGAGACTTTCCATAGAGCCGGGTAGTGTCCAATTCTCGTAATGCTGTTGAATAGTGTGGTAAGGTATACAACTCCTTTGCGTGGTAGTCCTTTAAGTACGTACTTGTCAATAAGGTCAAAGCCTGGTGCCTTTTTATCTTCCATTTTCTGAATTAACATTCTTATTTCTCGTGGTGTCGTTAGTTTAAGCAGAAGGTCCGTTTGCTGTTCCTGATGTACAGTCTCATTTACTACTATTCCTTCTTCGACGAGGTTTTCGTCTTCAACAGGTTTAAATACTGACGCAAGATGGTTGGCAAATGCATTTGCTTTTTCTTGTGGAGTTTTAGCCCATTTATTATTTGACAAATGAATTGGAGGTTTGAATCCAGTTGGAGTTTGATGCACTCTGCACGCTTTCCTGAGAGAGTAATTCGTTGAGCTGGTTGCAGTGAGAGACTCAATTTGAGCTTCCACAGCTGCATCTTCCTCATCTCGAATCGCATCCTTTAAATATTTCGCAGCCCTGTTATAAGCACTTTTGTCCGTTGGATGTCTATTGGCGTACCAAACGCGCCGAAGCCTCCTTTTTTCAAGAATTTTCTTGCGTATATCAGTTGAAACGTTGATAGGCCTATGAGAATTTTCTTATAGCTGCGGGATACTGTTCCAGCAGGCTTCTTGTAGTAATTGCGTAAATTTTGTGGTACCATCTTCAATATCGTCTGGGGATTTGAGAGGGATTTTTAAATCCAGTTGATCTTCTATAATTTCTCGAAATAGATTCCAGTCCGTAAATCCGTTATAGAGTGTTGGCTTTTTCTTGAATTTGATGACACTAGCACTAACTGTTAAGATCACAGGAATATGATCCGATGATCCATCCAGGCAAGACTCTATTTTGAAATGTAATAAGAAGTCCAGCACGTCTGGAAGCCTATTTTGGTCAGTTGGCCAATATGTAGGATCAGAGGTAGACATAGTGCTAAGATGATTCATATCAATGCTTTTCTTGAGCTCCCTACCTCTAGTTGTAATCAGTCTTGATTCCCATTGTTCATGCTTAGCGTTCCAGTCCGCACCAGTTATAAATCGGTAGCCCAGAGACTTTAAATATGTAGTAAACTGGGTTTCAGTCATCTTATGTCTTGTAGGGCAGTAAACAGAAGAGATATTGATATCACCCTGTTTATCATGAACAGTGACAGTTGTCGCCTGAATTGCATCAGTCCTATATACGATTGATTCATTATGCTTTATTGAGGATCTGATGATTATAGCTGTGCTCCCATGCGCAGTGCCATCTGGGTGGTTAGTATTATAAATATTGTAATTTCTTATTCTAATTAAACTATTGCTGGTGAAATGTGATTCAGATATGAGTAATATATCCAGATGGTGCAAGTTAAATAGTGTTTCCACTTCACTTTTGTTGGGAGACAACCCGTTGACGTTCCAGGTCGCTAGTTTTAAGGACGTAAAGCAGTATTTTTCAATAGGGTTGTTATGAGACCCAGAAGGGTGCTCATTTGTTGTAACATTAAATCTATTTTTTCCGATTGTTTTATGAACATGTTTTCAAGTTTTTGGATTGTTGATGAGTTATCGAGGTTTAGTTGGGTCGGTTGTAGTTGATCTCTGGTATTAAATTTTACTATGTCTGCGTAACTGTAAGTCTTCTGTATATTTGTGTCTAGCTTTGTGCTTGTAGTCTGTGAATTCCCATCACTTTTGGACTTACTTGTTTGCAAAGGGTTTGCAGTTGAATTGGGTCGCAGTTTAGAATGTCTATGGTTCCTGCGTATTGATATTTCTTTGTAGGCTTCACATCCTTTATAATTTGCTGGATGTGGTCCGAGGCATAGTGCGCAAGTCGCTGGCGTAGTTCGATCAGTTTTCCGACATTCTTTTGTCTTGTGCGATTGACCACATTTGACACAACGGTATGGCCTCATACAATAGTTCTTAGAGTGACCATACTGCTGGCAACGCTGGCACTGGACTATTGTCTGGCTCTTTTTGGGATTTTAACATTTTGATGATATATGTATTTGATATCCTTTGCGGCTTTGTTGTTCGGTTCGGGTACACAGTAATATAATATTTTTTATGTACAAACCCCAATTCACTTTTAATTTCAACTCACTTCAGTAGTGTCTTATTAAATAAAATGATAGGCATTGTACAAAGTTGTCTGTGTGGGTTCCTCTATCTTACCATTTTAGCCTGGTATAAAGAAGCTTTGTAAGCTATGTTTAGACATATTGCATTGATTATGTGCTATGGAGCCATGACATTTTAACCTGAAGAGGAGGGCACTCATCTTCTATTTTTATCTCACTAAAAATATCTGTAATGTTCATTTATTGAATTTTAATAGTCACCAAATTAAAATAGATATCTTTTATATTGTCATCACTCTAACATTAATCATACTTCTAAAAGTGAGAATGTATGATGTGCACCATATATACAGTGGACCCCTGGTTATCCGACAAACGTTTTGCAGGGCAGTGTCAGTTTATGAGGGCCCCCATAATCCGGAATTTTTAACAAAAGGGTACCTTGTAATCCGACAAATTACAGATTCAGTGATAAGATTCTATGTTATATATGTATGTGTGTATATGTACTCTGAAGTACAAATCTTACTTCATTATGTATGTTAACTACTAAACGATTTGTTACGATTTTAGCAGTCTAAAATATCACATTTTTCTTTAATTGTCAGTTTTATGCTTTCTGAGCTGATACATAATACACAATGAATGAATATATGCTATACTGCACAGCTATCTATCACATGTAAGGAGTCAAATTCAAACTAAGCAATAATAATCAAAACAATACCCTAGGAGTCAAGTACACCAGTGTTGATGCGTAATCATGCATTAGGGAAGATTTTGAAAAAAATAATAAATAATAGACCATATCGGATTACAAGGGGGGCCAGATTACCGCGGGTCCACTGTAATTCTATTTTGCTCATTGAAGACTCTGTTAAAAACTTCAATATACAACACAATTTTTATTTATATAAACTATTGTGTTATGTATTTTTTGTGCTAATGTACCCTATGGATTCTTTAATATTTGAAAGAATATGGGCTATTGTATTTAAATAGAAAATGCAATTACTTGTTGCATGCCAGCCTGTGCCTAAAGTGAACTATTTAAGATTAAATTCCAGGTAATAATAATTAAACTCATTTATACATACTAGCTCTGATTGCAACTGTATAGTCATATAATAAAACACTAATTAAAATAAAATTTCGTAATATGGATCGATAGTTGATTGCCTTACAAATGTAATGTAATGTAAATTAGCTGACTAAGCAATAACCAACAAAAAACGGTGCAGCTCTTATAAAGATATTGCGGCTCTTATAAAGGTGTTGCGTCTCTTATAATGGGGTTGCGTCTCTTATAATGTGTTTGCTTCTCTTATAATGGCGTCACGGCGATTAAAATGATGATACGGTTATTATAAGGCACCACAACACTTATAAAGTCGATGTGGTTATTTCTGGTATATCGTCTGGTAAAAAGATTATAAAAGTGTGACGGGGCTTTTGTAAGTTTTACGGCGCTTGTAAAGCCTTCTCCGTGGTTATGGGGCTTCATAATGGCGTCACGAATTTCAGACATGACGCGGCGCCTATAGATGCCTCGTAAAGACGTAGTGTAGCTGTTGTGACATTTTTATAATGTTACGACGATCATAAGTGGAAGTCACGCCACTCTTGCAGCTATAATAATGACGTTGCACTAACTGACTGTTACGTCTGACAAATACAGCTATCTATCTGGCACCTCTGCCTGATGGTACATGGGTACCATGGACTATAAATCTAAATTGTGGACATCTCAAAATTTATTTCTTATGTCTGTAGTACTTTACATGCATTCCCTTTCTTGATGGAAGCATAACTATAATTACGTTTGGAGTCAGTTTCGTACAGAATTAACTAATCTTAAATATTATATCTGTTTTAGGTTTATATCAATCTTAAAAAAGTATTTAGCAAATACCAAATAAGTTTTTTGTCTTTAAACTGCTGCTACCAATTTTGATCAGCGATTTTACAAATGGTTAGGTCTTCCTAACTAATTATATTACTTATATCTATGATTTAATTTAATTTGTACAGTAATCATTTCAGAACTTCAGTTTGGATGAGAATAGTGTGCTAAAAATAAGGACAACATATCACCTAAGGTATAATAAACAAGTGTTAATACAGTTTACATTGATAAGGATAAGATAGGTACATAATTTCTTTGTCTAGAAATATTTATTATCTAGAAGGGTTCCTTATATAATGAAAATATTTTTAATTATTTCTATAGATATGGATGGAAATGAGTACATGAAAGTGTTAATTTACAGTTTATTGTACAAAGAAAATAGATGAATAAACTTTGTATTGCACATTTTATAGCATAAAAGGTGTTTATCATGTCTTTATTTTCAGTACACTTCATTAAAGTTAAGTATGAGATTATTGAGGATGACTTTGTAAAAATTGATTGCATGGGTACTTTAGTCTCACCTATTTCCTACCTTTGTAAGTTGGTTGTTTATTGAAGGGTATAAGGCAGTAAAATTAAAGGTTAGGAGGCATGATATCTTAGTTATCCGTAATGGCATGATTGGTGTCACTGGTGGCAAGTGATAATATAAATTCCATAGTTTTGTTCATGTATATGGGCAACGGTTATCGATAATCATCAGGTAAGTTTGTTTGTCATTCCAATTACATTAAAAAAAGTAAAATAATATATAATTTATTTGAACAGATGGCATAATAATAAATGATAAAATGACCTTCGCCCTAATGTAAATACGGGTATAAATTTATTTCCTGCTATTATTAGAATAAATGTAAAAGTCTCATCTATACATATAAAACCAAAACCCCTGCTGCATGTGACTGTTTGTTCGCGATAATCTCATAAACTACTGAACAGATTTTCCTTTGGTTCTATACATCAACATAGTTATTTCTGAGGAATGCTTAGGTGTATAATTCATTAGGGTTTTGTGTAAATTAACTGCTACACACGTGCAAAGCCGGGGCGGTCGTTAGTTCAGTATAAGTTCGAATATAACATTTTGTAACATCAGTTGGTACATCATGTACAAATAGTTATTTTTCTTTATATAATGCACAGACACGGCTCGTTTACGATTTTATTATATGTATGATTTTAGTGCTCATGGACAGCTGACAATACGATTACTTCTTGACATCAACGAAACATGCCTTCGTTCTCAGGGATTCTTTGATTTGTGGAAACAACAGAAGAAATACGAAAATGAAGGAGCCCTTGCTGCACTCAGTTCACGTTTGGCCGAAATTGATGCTTTGCCTGACAATAGACAAAGATGGATTGAACTTGGCAAAGGTGTCTTAGCAGGTGATACCATAATACGATTATTATTTATAACATATCACTTTTGTTATTTTTGTCCTATAATTATATCAAGTAATAGCCCGCCCCAGTTTCGTTCGGGTGCTCATAAGTTTGTGAGTTTTCTATTTATGTACCTACATAACAAAATAATTTATAGCCACTCAATCATTCTGCAATAATGTACTCTTCAAACAGCTGAAGAAAGAGGAGGAAGGGAATTGTTAGTAATATGGACTAGTGACTCCATTGCTAGTAAAGTACCTACCATGTCTAGGCTATTTCCATGTGGAAATCCCCCCCTGGAAATCATCGTGGCTAATTCCTGGAAAATCTGTCAAGTTCGACTAATTGATTTGACTTCGTGGTCAACTTATCCTCCTTCACTGGTGTACCGCTAGCGCTGGCGGGTGCAAAATTTTATAAACATCCATAAAAAAAAACGAGTCAATAAATTTTCCGAATCGATGCAGTGATTCCGAACATTATATGCATAACAATCCACTCTCCCTCTTTCTCTTTATAATATTATAGTAGTATATTTTTTTTACATACGTCTACATATTGAAATGCCATTATTTTAAATTTTAAATAGCGTCGAGGTTGCTACTCCTACTTACGCCGAAAGTTTTATTCTGAGACTAAAAGCTGTGTCAGTTTATATTTGTAACTGACTCCCCTGTGATGGAAGTATCGATAACATTTTCCGATAGATAGCGTAGCGTAGCGACGCCTTCTACCACATTGACTACAAATACCAATATTTCCTATGAGTGCGTTCTCTACGCGGGGTTTTTTAGGAATTTATTATCGATTTTATGGATCGTGGTAATTAAGTAGCTACCTATTCTACAATATAATCCAACTGCTTCCGAATCATACGACTTTAAAGTAATCAATAAATAAGATGTTTTTTTTAACAGGGAACATGTTTGATTGGGGAGCTCAGGCCGTAACTGATATTTTAGATTGTGGACTCTATGAAGCACTACAGAAAATTCAGAAACGACCTTGGCTATATGATGGCTTAGATAAATGGCTAGATAAATTGGAGGTAATATGCTTATTTTATAATGGTATCACTCATCATTTGACGATTTCAGTAAAGAAAGCAACTTTACTTTTTTTTTACAGAAAACTGTACACCATTGTGCAGCAGTATTTGTGGATAATAGTGGTGTTGATATAGTATTAGGCATTTTGCCTTTTGTGAGAGCTTTATTACTTAGAGGAACATCTGTAATGTTATGTGCCAATGAGTGGCCAGCTCTAAATGATGTCACATATATTGAGTTGGAGGAGATATTACAACGCGCTTCCTTATTATGCCCTGTTTTGGCTGCTGCATTGTCCACGGGCGACTTAGTTGTTAGGTCTAGTGGGCAAAGAGGACCATGCCTGGACCTTAGAACTATTGGTGTTGGTAAGCCATAATATATTATAATAAAGTTGAACGTTGAGGATGTATATAGCATATTTTAGAAAATATTTAAATAACTCTGAATAAATTACGCAGCGCTTATTACTGATATCTAGTACTAACCGGGATAGGATTTTTAGCATTTAGTGTATAGAAAATCTATTGACAACAATGTACTATGTTAGGCTGATCGTCACCATTGACCACCATCAAACCACCAGTGCTTTGCTATTCTAGGGTCTAGTACCTCTCCATACGAGTCTTGATACGTATTAAATATTGCCGAACCTATTATTTTATATTTCGCTATTATAGCACCTATTAAAATGTAAATAATGGTCGGTGCCTTAAGCCATTTTTTTCTCGTCAGGAAACATAAATTTTATATCGATTGTAAAAAATGTGATAAAGTGTGCCATCGTAAGGCGAGTAATTTTTTTTAATTGCACTGAAAATAGCGTGATTATTAAAAATGTAAATATAAACGGAAATAAGTAGGTACAATGACAATATCGAAATGACCAATCATTGTTGACTATGAAAACTTAGGTAACTGGTTTGATGGTAGGTAATTGAATATGTTTGGTAATGAATATGTTTAGCTATTTGAATATTTATTTTGTTAGTTTGATTTAAGCCACGACGTAAAGCCTAATGTTGTTTTTAATATATTTCCAGGTCTCTGTACTGAAATGAAAGTCCGTGGTGTGGATCTTATAATATTGGAAGGTATGGGAAGAGCATTACATACAAACTTAAACGCCCGTCTAGCAGTGGATTCATTGAAATTGGCGGTAGTGAAGAATGCTTGGTTAGCTCAGCGTCTTGGTGGCCCGTTATTTTCTGTTATTTTTATTTATGAAGATAAACCCACCGAAACATAACAAAATCACATTTACATTATATATACATGTATATTTTTTTTAATAAACAAAATATGATTATCTCTGTATTCATATAGAATAAGTCATCGTTTGTAAAAATACATAGTGGGTCTGACCTATAGGTGACATTAAAATATATGTATACATATGTATGACGGGATATTACGGGCCCTTTCACAAAGTGATTCTGTTATCAATTAACTAGTATTAATAAATTATAAATAAAAACAGATTATTTAGTGTTTCCATTAAATTTTAACACTCAGGAGCAACTTATTTTTTTTAATTACCTAAAAGGAAAGGGAAAGCGGAATCAACATGATGCGAATTTCTTCATCTATATGTGAAAGTGATATGCTTCTGGATACTAACGCATTTTTTAAGTAGTTGGAATTGAAAACAAGCTGACGTCCCATATACCATCACAACCGTAACCGTCCACTACTTACATGAACACCTCCACGGACATCATGTCATATTGATTTGATATATGACTAATACTGAAGCCATTAATTGAGCCAACAGCAATTATAATGGTAATTATTTTTATAATACTTTTACCTTTTTTCTAAGACGGTCGGTTTTTTAATAGTCAAAGCTTGGGCTAGGTACTATATGAAAGGGGCTTAATTGTACATTTAAAATTGTAGTTCTTAAAATGCTTTTTAATAGTTTTTAAGTAAGACTATTTTCAAAAGTTTTAGAAGTATTAATACCAAATAATTACCGTTGATAATTGCAATAGCCATGCAAATTAACGATTTTTTTTAATGGTGGGTTTAAGATATTTTCTTAATAAGTAAGAAAATATCTTAAACCCACAAAATTATACAGTCCAGTCCTGTAACCTATTTCATTTAAAAGCGCCATCCTCCATAAATAAAGTTATTTTTGGCCCTTCCTTATCATAATTACATCTGTGACAGTCTTTCCCCTAGTGTAACAAGAGATTATACTACTTAGATATATTTAGATTTTCACATCCAATCTCTTGTCACACACACACACACAGACACTTCGTCGACCGTGTAACCTAATCCTGACCGTATAAATGTGTAATCCTAAGCACATTAAATTATAAAGCGACTGTCTTGTACGTATATATTATTTCAATAATTTTGTTATATAAAGAAAATAAAAAGTTTATTTCCATGTTTGCTCGTCATCCTCGACGAATACTAAGATTAAAGGGTCAAAAATTCAAGTAACTGATTTTAGAACTGTAACTATTCCTTTGTTATACTTTTTTCTTAAATCGAAATAAAGTGACAGTGGTGGTATCGAAGACATAATTGCGATTGTTTTAGGATTTATTTAATCCAAAAATCGGTGGTCAGACCTATTATGTCCCTGAGGCATTCGTATTTTAGAATGTTAATTTATTTCTTTTAGTGATTTTGGATTATATTGAGTGTTACCTTAATTAATAACTTTTATTTCATAATGTGCGTTTGTTATTTAGGTCGTGAAGAAATCGTAAAACTGTTCATATCATGAAGAGCCTTACAATAAATCTGTGTAAGATTCTTAGATTAGCAAATCACAAATCTTATAGCTTCAAAATTCAGATACCATTAGTAGTATTTGAAATATAGCGCAACTATGGACGGAGGAACAATAAAAGAATAACAAGAACTATAGGTGAACTCTATTTATTTAAATAAAAAAAGACCCTTTCATCTATACTAAAAAGAGAGGTCACTTCACTTTAACAACTCATTAAAAGTAGATGAAACGTAAATATATGTGTGTTATAAAAACGTTTATGCAAATGCATACACTGTACAATTACAAATTACAGAAATATACATAATGGTATAAAAAAAATCTAAATTAAGCTAAACGATGATAATGCATTAATATTTTATACTTCAAGTGATTGATAAACTGGGACAGAGTTTTCATGTATCATTTACAATGTGAACATATCAGTTACATTTCACGAAGTCAAAAATACATTAATATATTTCATCTTACATTTTAATGACATTGTGTCTAATAAAAATTAGGATCTATTTAACCATGCCATAACTTTGAACAACAAGTAAGCAATTCCAATAGCATAAGCTATCTTCTCTTTCTGTTGGCGTTGTAACTGTTCAGCTTCTATCGACATTACCCGTCTGTTCAATTTAACAATCTGTCTTCGTAAATGCACCAGTTCTTCGGCAGCAGACAAACCTTCACCGTTGCCCATAGGTGGTGTAGGATCTCTGAAAATAAATCTTGCTTAAAAGTACACAAAAAATAAAATCAGTAACTCACACGAGTTTCCATTTATTTCGATACAACGGCGGGTCGATACAACGACTACAGGACAGCAAACATAGGTTAAGATTAAAGTATACTGTAAAGATTAGGATTTCCTTTAACTATACTAATAATAGCGATAAAACCAGGTTGCATAACTGAAATTAGTTTTTAATGGCTTTTAGTGATTTCTAAAAAAACTTATAATTAGATATAACATACTTTTTTTTTCAAATTATCTGACATTGTTTTAGACTATGAAGGTAACTAAGTTTAAAGGGTTAAAAAAAAAATAGTAGTTTGGAATGTACAAATAAACTAAAGTGAGGATAATTTATGAGGTATTTAGTATTATATTAATTCATTAAGCTTTTACATTACCCCCACGCTTAGCTCGTAAGTTTGGAAAGGTCAGACCAAGACAGTATGAAATTTTAAAAATGTAGCTAACGGTAACAAAAATATTCGAATTTACAAATTTTAACACAACTTTAGTAGTGAATGACTGAAATATAGATCTGTGTACATATCTACACAGACAACCATATAAAGTCACAGACAGGTCCTGTTTGAATTTTTTGGTAGACACAAAAATAGTCAAAACGAAAACGAGTCAAATAATAGTCAAAAAGAATATTTACCTATTCAGTATTAAACGGGACTCGCTCATAGTGGATTCGTTAAAAAGATCAGTTCTGGGTGTAGTAGAGCGGGCTCCATCCCCTTGTGACCTATATGGCCTTACATTCCTGGGAGGAGAATTTGGTATGCCCTGTGGGAAGTCGTCAGCTGATGGAAAATAATGTTGATCAAGAGTGATAACACGTGGTGGCGTGCTCACACGTATCATGCCAGGATCAGTAGGGAGCACTGCATTGTCCAACTGAATTTCTCTAGGTGGAGCTTTTGTACCTACAAGAAAAACATAAACATAAGATTATTACTTGTGGTAATTTGAGTAATATATTGTAAAGTTATGCATCATGTAAGTGTCGGTTTACTGGCAATAGTTTGTTTCCCATATGCACTGCTGGAGGTAATATCACTACCTTATCACATGGAAAATTGGTTAGATATACTTAAATACATTCAAAATGTATTTAAGTATACCTATCAGTTGCCTAGTACCCATAACACAAGCTCAGCTTAGCTTTGGATTTGAGATGGCGCTGTATATATTGTCCTAGATTATTATTGCTATTGTGCTATTTGTATGCCCTTTTCAAGTTTTGGAATGTTCAAATAAATAAGGTGTAACTGACTTTATTTAAATATTTTCTGATCTGAAATAGGTGTGATTTAGCAACAAAGGATGTGTGACCTTTATAAGGAAGGGCCATGCCAATACATTTTAACGGCGGCCACTGCTGCCCTATTTTTAATTTTTATCTCTACCACCTTCTAGCAGAGGCACCAACTTTGATTTGTGGCAGATATTCAAATTAAAGAAGAGAAAACAGTTGTAATGTATACTGGATTATATATAGGAGGATACCCCATAAGTAAATATAATTACTAATTAAGAGTGCATCCATAAATTACCAATTTCAGTCATTTTCACACCTTTCCCTGTCACAGCTGACACAACATTTAGTTTGTCACACACACACAACATTTAGTTATAATTTCGTCACGAAATATAAGACTTGACTTTTTACAATTATCTAACTCCTTCAGCCCTTTGTTTATAAAATGACATGCTATAATGAGTGATGTAAATTATTGACGGAACCAGAATGCAGAACATGAATATCTGTTCCAATGTATGTATGTATTCTATGTCGATATAAATGACACATTACTGTTTTACCCAGCGTATTTTCAATGCATCTGAGCATAGACTCGCTAGCTGGGACCATGGAGTGTTTGAACTCATAGAACTTTTAATGACTTAATTGAAGTAAGCTTTAATAAAATAATTAAATATTAAGTCTCCTTATTACCAATATGCTGATCTTGCCCGACAACCAGAATCCTTTCTGGAACTTTCATGTCAAATTTTTCCTTCGAATAATCCCACCCTGTTACTAGTCCATTGGGTGCACCTTCATCATCAACTATGTCACCTGTAGCCTGAGAACAAAATTAATGAATGGATTTGTATAAAAAAATATATTTGTATATTTATTTCCTTAATGTAATAGGCTTTATTTTTCCTGTATGTCTTCAAGACATAGTGACTAACTAACAAAACTATTAAAAAGCGAATTATACCCTGTAGGTACATTGGCTGTTACAAATACAGAATGACAAGATTAAATCTAGTTTTCGCAAGATCATACACTTCCTGGAAATTTCGACTATATTTTAGAGAAGTTCATACCACTCAGTTCTGATCGTCATTGTAGTTTGATTATGTAATACTGTATATAGTAGCTAAGCCCTATTTTCTTCAGAATGGTAAATTAGTCGGCTAGTCATGTATGATCCATGACTAGTTATTGAAGATAATCACAACTTAAGAGTTAGTAATGGTATGTAATTTTTATATATATATCAAGCTACAAATAGGCCAAATTATAAACACTTTAATTATAATAACTATATATACATACTATACATCTAGAACTTTGTGATTGATCATAGCATAAATGCTTATTCAAATAAAAATGATGAAACTTTAAAAATATTTTCTTGTTGAATGACTTAAAACTTGAAGAAAAATAAAAAAGCTAATTATTGTAGTTAAAAACAATATACTTTAGTTTTCAGGTAAATTCTTTACCTCAAAAAAGCCCTACCTGGTAGTAAATGAATCAAATTTAAGTTCATTATGGTACTCTTAAGGTTACAGACAATATACCAGGATTGGGTATAGGATATTCTTTCAGGCATTTTAAATCTTAAACTTGGGAGTACCAGTCGCACCTGCTTTTTAGTATGTTGTTATTTGAAATAAGTGAAATATGGATAACATTCTTCTCTTCTATATATTAAAATATGGACAATTTTAGTATTGCATTCAATGTTGTTTACCAGTATAGCTTATATTGTAAAGGTAAATTCACTAAGAATCAATTTTAGGAATATTCACTTAAATAAAAACAAAATGAGTGTTTAAAAAATCTAACTACCCCACATGTGGAATATTTTGACCCACAATTCATATTGAAATAAAGTAACACTACATACTGCATACATTTATATTACAGTGGCTTTACTTTTGTTGTATATATTTCCACCTTTAGTTTTTTAGCACATACCGTTCTAATCAACTGTTGATTATTCAACATTAAATAATAATATCAGCATTTGTTATAGTATATACTTAAATTAACTCTACTTCTAAGAGTGTATTATTATATATTTTTGTATATGAGTAATACAGCTTTATGTAATATACAGCAAAATGTTAAGATTAAGTTACCTTAATCCTTTGTGGTACTGTCATGTTGTGACTGATGAGGCGAGCGTAAGCTTCGTCTGATGTATACTGCATCGTATTGAGTTTATATACCTGTACGGATAATTACGAACATAATTAATAAACAGATAAATTATAAATTTCAAGAACTGGTAGGCGGTTTGGTATAATAATAATAATCTTCAGTGAAATGGATATATTTTCATGCTGGTGGGTATGAGATGGACCAAAAGAAATAATATACATCGCATAGGTATTACTCAGGTATCATACTTACAAATTAAAATATTACGATATTAATTCATTTCATTTGGCTATAAGAACGTAATATTTTATAGAAGAATACTTAAACCTAAGCACTACTATTACATAGATAGTTGAAATTATCAAATTAATGTCATTCAGTAATTTCAGTACCAGAACCAGACTGCAAATATGACAATATATTTGACAGTGATAGCATCAAAATATTGACTTTGACAAATTATTTCTACCGTTATTTGGCATGCATTACACCCCGTATAAGGGAATTTCGTACGTTGCAGAGTCTATATCCAAGATATTTAATTTTGAATTTCCTTGTGTGAGGCAAATTCTTTTAAGGAAGTTGGCAACCCTGCCAGCTGGCAGTTCGTAGATTAATCAAATTGTCTACTTTTTCCTCAATATAGTGTTGTCTGATCTGTGAATTTATATATATCTTAATTTTAAGATATATCAGTTTTGTTTTAAGTCCTAAAATTTGTAATTGTAATTTGGAAATAATGAACACGAAACAATAAATGTGTTTTGAAAATGTGTTTATTATAGATAGTTCAATTTAAATTAATTGTTGCTCACATTTGTAGGTTTAATTTTATGCCATGGAAGTCACCGGCTTTAGAATATTATTTTTTATTTGGGCCATAGTTTTCGTTTCTCTGACCTCGAGTACAGCTCAGACAAATAGAGATGAGAAGAAGTCCAAATCAGTAACAACATTTGTTAGTGCAAAATGGGAGGTCACTCCTATTGTCCTGGAGTTGGCTGAATATTTTTCTAGTGAGAGTACAGACTTATTTTGGTCATTTGTTGACGGCATAAATGCTTTAAAATCTAGTCTAGAGACATTGGGTAAGTTTTTTTAAAATATATGTCTGTATTCTTGAACCTATTAATCATTGCCGCATTAACTTGACAAGTAAGACTGGGAAAACTAAGGCAATCTAGATATAATGTAGGGAATGATATTGGTTCAACATATGAAATTATGTTTCTTATAACTTCAACATACTGCAATACATTTTATCTACATTTCATGGATTAACCAATTTTAATTGTATATTTTAGTCTTTATATTGTTTATTTTTCTTTAGAGTAACTTGTTAGGTTCAGAAATAGATGTGGTTGAAATAGGAAGTACTAAACCACAAATAGATTTTATCAAATGTCAATCATAGTATGTTTGGGATAAACAATATTATATTTTATTTTCACATTCTAATCCTAAGGATATATAACATATTAACCAATTTTAATAAAAATAGATTATATTTTAAAATTTATTTTAATACTTTTAGATACTGATAAGCAAGTGTATGATGTATGTATTGGTGTAGCTGGTACATTGCTTGCGCCTGCACAGCTGCGCATGGCTAAGCTGGCACTGTCAATGCATATGACATCACCAACAGTGCGTATGTTTGACCAAATTGCCACACAGAATGGAGCTAAGGATGTACCATGTGATACATTTGTTTCTTTAGCATCAAAAAAAGTATGTGATAATGATGTATTGCGTGATATACTCAAGTCGCTGGATCAATACAATGTTGTAAGTTATAATTTTATTATGTTTTTGTTGTCTAGAAATTTATTTCCATAGTAATTACCTGTAAGCTTACAAACAGGACCTTTTATCTAGCTGTCATAGCTTTAATGAATAATATATAAAACTGATTTGAAGAAGGACTAGATTGGTATATTTATTCATTAATAAAAAAAAAAATATTATGTCACCTTTTTGTAACAATACATAAACAATATATTAAAGGACACCTTCAATATATTGTTTTTGTCTTTTCTTTACTGTATGTTACAAATAAAGAGTATCTATCCATATTTTATATTTTTTTTTTCAGAATGAACATAAACTAGAAACATATCTGTTAGATCATTCATATCCAGGCAGTGATAATAAAACTCTCACAGCTATTCTTTATGGAGAACTTGGTATGACTGAATTTGCAACTAAACATAAAATATTGTCCACATATGCAGATAAAGGGGCGATAAATTATGTTATTAGGTGGAATGTGAAGGTTGGTATATAACTTTTATTATTAATATTCAATTTCTATATATACATATTTTATATATTCTATATATACATGTTCATATATGAATGTGACATAAATTCAATATGAGTTTATTATCGCAATAACTTTCAAAAGGATAAAATGAATAATTTTGTATTAAAAGGTAAGGTTCAAATAAAATTAAAATGTAACTTAGTTTATGGTGGATATGGGTAAGCAGTTAATTTTCAATTCCATCTGTTTCAAATGAGTTTTAGTATTGTGTTTTATAATTATGCTTCCGCTGCACCTAGAATTGAATAGTATTTTTTATGTAGCAAACATTTTGTTTTAATTAGCATCGAGGAAAACCTAAAGTAAGGCTATCGGGTTATGGAGTAGAGTTGCAGTTAAAGAGCACAGAGTATAAGAGTCAAGATGACTCAACACCCAAGGAATCTGAAGGTGGAGAAGCACCCACACCATCTGAAGAGGAAGACGAGAATGATCCACAAAACCAAATTGATGGATTTAATTTTGGTAGACTTAAGTAAGTATTATTATACCATTATAGCAGTTATTTACCCTAACACTGTGTATTATGAGAAACTAGATGAAGAACATTTAGCACTCAAACATATCCAAGTAAATATAAGAAAGTGTCTCTCTTAAAACTAAGTTATTATAAAATTTAACTTTTTCTATTAAACCATTTTGCATAACTTGTGCCTGCATTTTGCATGAAATGTATTACATTTCATTTTATAGAAATACTGATGAAAATACTAGCCTTTTAAAATTAGGTCCTTATGACAATCAATTGAATCAGCTTCATTTAATATTACCTATACTTTAATGTTATTTTGTGTGTACTTACGTTATAAATATAAGAAAACTTGTGTTAATACTGGTGTAAAAATTCTTCTTTAATTTTATGTTAATTTCTTTTAAGGTTAATAATTCTCTTTGTTTGCAATTAGGAACTTGTTTCCAGCGCTTCGCTCACCATTGGAAAGATTCCGACGGCATTTGTCAGAGTCCAATGAGGAACTGGCTCCTCTCAAGGTGTGGCAGATGCAGGCGTTGAGCATGCAGGCTGCGGCCGCTGTAGTCGATGCCCATGACTCTAGTGGGGATGAGGCACTCAAAGTATTAGCCTCTATTGCACAAAACTTTCCAATGCAGGTAAGCAGTGTTTATACATGTAAAACGGAAGTGATTAATTTAGAATTACATAATTTTTACAGGATTTTCGTTGCCCTATCATAGCCTTGAAACCGCTGAATTGCTTAGCTCTTAGTCTTTAAAACTTCAAATATCTTACAATGCAAGCTGCTAGGGGAGACACATAGCAGATGCAAAGCTGTGCTTTGCTGTATATGTTATATACTATTTTATATACATGTACCAGAAAAATATAGTCACTGAAATGAAAAACATTTCTACAGAAAGTAATGTTTTTAATGCCCATGTCTTTAGCAATTTTTAACGTTATTATAAATTACATCTCTGGGGTATAATTTTAATTATTTACACTGCTTTTTAATGAATATCATTAATAATATGAAATATAAGCAAATTTTATTTCCTTTTTAGACCAAATCCTTGATACACGTGAATGTACCGCGTTCATTTCGTGACGAGGTATTATATAATCAAGATATATGGGCCTCTTCACTAGGACTTCGTGCCGCAGAGCCGCTATTGCTTGTATCTGGTGCGCAATACGACGCTGAGGATGTTGATCTAATGGGACTCTTGGCCGCGCTGCGGGAAGATATAGGCCCTATGAATACATTACATGCTTTGGGTATGTTTGTATTCAAAACATGAGTTGATTTGTAATATATCAATTGGACTTTTTTTTCCTGTGTCTATATTCGCAAAATATTCGCCAATGCTGGTGTTCTATATTTGAAACGAGATACAATAAATCTGGTCATCACCACAATTGTTTTTTAGTAACAATAGACCTTTTTTATTGCCAGCTTTGAAATTGACCTTCAGGTGTCCATATGTGTCTTGGTGTATACACAGTACATGTACTTATTGGATTACAGGACTGTCAAAGAAAACAATAAACACGCTAATGTCTTTGGAACTGGGCGAGTCATATACTTGGGAAGAGTATGGACTTGATATCCGTGATACTGCTATCACTTGGCTCAACGATTTGGAGACTGATGAACGGTACCGACGCTGGCCGGCTTCGTATATGGAGCTGCTTAGACCAACTTACCCTGGCATGCTTAGGAATCTAAGAAGGAATATTTATAATTATGTGAGTATTACATTATAACTAGTTATAATTAAGTTAAAATTGTATTGCCCACATAAAAAAAAAACAATTTGAATTGTGTGATGCCAGTATTTTCTTAGTATGGGTAGTTTCCTGCGGAAAGTTGTTGCTGTTGTTATTGGATGTTATTTTATTTGTGTACAATTAAGAAGTTCAATAATATAATTGAATTCCAAAATAATGGATTTCCATTAAAAAAAACAGTTAATTCTGAGACAGATTTAAAAAAGAGGTGGTTTGTATAAGATAATTTATGTGACATGCCGTATGACGGACTAGAACTAGCTAGTTAGAAACGTCTTTTTAATCGTATAATCAACTATTTTCTATATTGCACATTAGCTAGGAAGCTTGGTATATAGTATTTACCTAGGTTTCTTATTACAACATCCTGGAGATCATAAGAAATTTGCACATACACATTGTATTTTTATACCTTCACTATTACGGATGAATCTCAGTGTGTTTAGTAACTTCTTACTTACCACCAGGTGATCGTAATAGACCCGACGAGTTATGCTTCTGGCCCACCGCTGAAGCTAGGCGAGACGTTACTGAGACATGCGACTCCGGTGCGTGTAGGTCTAGTTCTCGCGCCGTCTGGCGGACAATTTGAAAGTGCTGTTCGCTCTGCCTTCAACTATATCGCGCAGGAGAAAAATTCCAATAAGGAAGCCTTCTTCTTCTTATCTCAGGTTAGTTAATAATCAATTAATTTCATATTTATTTTATAATAAATAAAATGACAACATAAAAACAACAAAAAAACATATAATCAAGACTACTGTCTTGGATGGAATAGTACATTTGACATCCCAAATTTTGCTGGGTATATTTTGAATCCATCAGCGTTCCTAATGACTTTTCTTAGACTAATTTTATTTACTTATCAGTGTTTCCTTCACTGGAGAGTCAGTCAGAAAGGAACACGATTATTTTTGTCAGACAGATAATAATGCATAGTTATATGTATATGTTACTCTATACATGCGCAGTAACTTATATAGTATTATTTTAATTAGTAACTTGTTATTGTGTCATTATTTATTTTAAAAAAGCATTTATTCCAAAGAGCCACACACAAGTTTCTTGTTCATTCTTTTTGTGATGAATCTGCGTTCTGAATGAGTGGTAAAATAAAAAATATGACTATTTAAAAGTTCTTGTACTGAGTTTATTTGAATAAAGATTATTTGTATTTCAAAATTTTTTGTGTAATTGCAGTTGCTAAATAACCAAGAGGAAAGTCTGAGTATAGAGTTAGTGAAAAAGCAACTTAGCAAGTATGTCAGTTCTGGTACAAATATTGATGAAATAATTTTTGAAGACGACTACAACTTTGGCAGGCAGCTGGCAGAAGAATTTGTTTCTAAACTTGGAACTAATAAGTATCCTCAGGTACATTTTCTTATTAGTATAAAATATATTTAAGTTTTAAAATAAATTTATCGATGTAATAGAAAATATATTTCAAGTTAAATATCGTTCAGTAAAGAATAAATTTCTTACTAAATCTATCACTATGTTGAGTCGATTGTTTCTTTAAAAATACATTATTATCCATTACATATGAATATAAAATGTATCCACTTTTTCTTTCATATTAAAATTAATACATTGGTGGACTAAATCACGTCTCTTCCAGTCAATTTTGTAAGTTACGCTATGATTTATCTTAGAAATAAATTTTACCTCTGCTGGAATACACCCAGGTACTAGTAGTCAGTGTGACATACAATTTTATATTGCTAGGTATTGATCAACGGTGTGCCACTGTCAGAGGAGGGTGGCGTGACCAGTTCCTCAGTGGAGGTTTTGGAGGAGGCTCTAGTGACGTCACTGTCGCGACACACCGCACGGTTACAGCGCGCCGTGTTCCGCGGCGACCTCGCTGACTCCGACGACTCACTTGACTACTTGATGAAGCAGCCGCATGTGATGCCCAGGTACTTTTATTTCTGTCATTGATGATGTAATACACATTTATTAATCATAATATTTTTGTAATAGGTAGGTACCCTTTACGAATCTCGCATGACTCCTGAAAATGTTTGTTTAGGACATCAGGCCTTTACTATGTCATAAAATTTTATTCGTTATATTCCTTCGATTGCATCTTCAATGATATAATATAATTTAGAGTTTAGAGCACTCAAGGGTTTTAAATAATCATATACTCGTCTATTCTTTGATATTCAATGTTCTGTTCATGTCTGTCTTTTATATAAAATTTATTAGTTATATTAAATAAAAAGACTCTATGCTAGTGATGAATCCCGCTACAGTATTGCATTGGAGGATAGCATTAATAATAAAAATTATATGTGTATTGCAGACTTAATCGACGAGTTCTTGGAACAGATTCGAGCCAATATTTGGACCTCTCAGGTGTGCCGTCGTCTAGTGAATTATTTACAGAAGACAAAATTCATCGCCTTATGCATTTGACCGGTACTAGTATACATTCAATAATTATTATATCACTTCAGTAGCTTCATCCTATCGCACAGTTAATTTGCTCTACATAGATTTTGCAACTGAAATTAACTTTGCTGTGCTTTTGCACAAATGTTTCTTTTGAAATCTTGTAGCTAATTTATAAATAATTTGGTTCCTTTATTTGTTTTAGGTCGTGATGCCTTGGCTACTGCTCTTCCATTATTGAAATATTTTACGAAATCGGGAAAAACTGATAAGATAACACAAACTATTTGGGTTGCCGGCGATTTGAATGACAAACTTTGTCGACAACTTCTCAAGAATGCTTTGACGTTCATGGTAAGAAAAAATGCAATCATCAAAATAGATCCTAACATCTTTTATTATTTTACTACCATTGTAATTGCGAAACATTTTTTACTAAATGAATCATGGCCTCTTTAGCGGCTGAACAGAATTAAATTTAATACACAAATAAATTCTATACTATTATTTTTTCTTAACATATTATTACACGTATTGATGCGATCTGCACTGTTGAGTAAAGTGATAAATTAGTAATGCAATGTCAGTCAGGGTTTAGTTCTCTATTTATATAAACAGTACCATATATTGTAAATTAAAATTTAATAAATTATTCCTGTGTAACAGACTGAGAGTGGCGGCGTTCGAGTCGCGTTCATACCTAATGTAGATGGATCGTCAAGTCTCGACCAGTCTCTCAATAAGGTGGTGTTAGCGGCTCTCATCACATTAGAACCTGTGAAAGCCACTAAATATGTGACACAGCTGTTAGAGGACGAAGGTTGCCATGAGAAACAAAACTGCGATATATTGGTAAGTGCATAGTTATAAATAACAGTCTCCTAGTAGTAATATATACACGTGTGGAACGGTAATATGATTTAAAGAAACTGTTCGTTTTTTATAATTCATTCATAATTAATGAAACTAGTTTTTGTAGTGTCTGGTATGTTTTTCGTTTGACAGCCGGAACTGGTGGCGGCGCTGCAACAGCACGCGTGGATGCTGCGGGCGACGCGCGTGCTGAGCGCGCGCGCGCTGCGGCTGCGCGCCGGCGGCCGCGCCCTCGTACACAACGCCCGTCTTATTGGACCTTTCGCCGACGACGAACAATTCACACTTGAAGATTTCTTGCTGCTCGAGAGGTTAGCTAAAACATTTTTTACTCTTCAATCGTACTTAATTTGCACTGAAACTTTTAATGCCATAATTGTAAATTACATTGTTTAATATACCAGTTATAATTTAGCTCGTTACTAACAATTATTTGTAATCTATACAGGTTTAGTAATAGAGTTTACGCTGACAAGATATCCGAGGTGTTAGATAAGAAGAAATCTACGAAGAACGATGACGTAGATGATGAAGATACAGGTAATATAGTATTTATATTACCTTTTAAATGTAAAGTTTGAAGTAGGTCTATAATAAAAGTGAAATAGAATTAATTTAATGTGATCGAACTCATAATTTTATATTACGAGAATATAAGGGCAGAGGAATGCCAAAAAAGATGGATATCACAACCGAGTGTCAATTGTCTCCTACCAGTACTTTTTATTACAATATTTGTAGCCCACTTTCGCAATTGAATTATCGCAGGAATCCGTCAGTCAACATTTCCGGGTTTGCTCTCTGTTTCCCCAAGGTGAACTCTGGACTGTAAAAATTATGATATGGCTTGAAAAGTAGTAGTAGAGAACGAGATGACTGCGAACAAGCATAAATGGAAAAGAAAAACTTACTACGCCGATTCAAAACGAATGGGATTAGGAAGAAGCTAACAGTGATTGATTCTATAATTTAATTTCGATCACTGGTATGAATAAACGATTTATATGTGGGATACAGAGGAGAGCGTGTCGCTGTCTGCTGACGAGCGCGTGCGCGCGGCGAGCGTGCTGGCGGCGCGCAGCCCGCGCGTGCGCACGCCCGTGCCGGCCGGCCTGCGCACGCAGCACTCGCTCGTAGAACTGCCCCCGCTCATACACCACGAGGCCGCAGTCGAGGTACACTATGCTCTTCTCTCTCACTGTTCACCTCACCACACCGGCTTACGACGAGGTCCTAATGGCCTATGTTACTCGTAAACGTGCGCTTGTGGGCACCGGTCTGCTCTAATCACTACGACTGATTTAATCCTATTTGACTCGTAATGAATTAGTGTTAGTCGGTTGGTTGGTTTATATTCACACGTTTCATGTCAAAAATGTAAAGTTACTACTTTAACTTTTACTAGATTTCAGATTTGTTTTACACGAAGTTGTGTCCTAAAACTCTGTTAAACAATGTCACACTGGTCGACATCTCCCTATTAATATGTGGCTTAATTTATCGAGTCCGCTCTATTCGCACCAGGAATATCAATTTATGTCTCGTTTAACACCTCGTCCTTTAAATAAGTGTTAAGCATATTCTAGTAGATAAACATTGTTGGGCATGCGCAGATCGTGGCTGTACTAGATCCGGCGTCGGTGGCGGCGCAGCACGTGGCGCCCCTGCTGCTGGTGCTGCGGCGCGTCATCAACTGTCGAATCAAGCTGTTCCTTAATCCTCAGGATAAGAACTCCGATATGCCGCTCAAGAGGTAAGTCTACACAAACCTCTAACATTAAATTCTATTATTATTTATTATTAGCCATTTGTATTTCTTATTTAATCACTATCAGGGTCTCCTGTTTTTTGATATTCCGAGTTGCTTTTTATGCGGTAAATTTCGGCTTTTCGGTTCATATTTAGTTATTAAATATTTCAAGAAATCACAATATTTTTTACAAGTGTTGAGATCATTGATGTTGTACTCAAATGATGTTATTATTATAAAAAAAAATTAAAAAAAAAATACAAGTGTATATGTGCCATCTGAACTAGTATAAAATTATACTGTATCTCAGATGTCACATACCTTCCCAGGGTGCATATTATTTCATTTATTAACATCCCAACAAACATTTTTGTAGTCGCCACAACGTGCCAAATGTAACTTTTGGTACCACAAGCTAGTCGTCGTTACGTCGTTATTACGTCGAAACGACCGAAAATAGGCCCATTTTAGATTACTTAGTGACGTGATAAAGTCGCATAATCATAATCTAAGTGGTATAACAGTCGTGTAGTGGTTGCAAAGATGTAGTATATCCACGTTTTGTGTCAGTTATACGGCATTTTGTGAATTGACAGTTCTATCACGATCTTTATACGGGATTTTTTTTTTATTTGAAACTGATTGAAAAAGTGTAGTGAATAAACTATGACGGATAACATTCATGCTGTGTTAGTTTACATGTAAAATGTAGTCATGTAAAAGTAGTTTATGTGACTCTAATACAATTGATGACAGTGTAAAAGTCGTAAAAACGTTCTTAGGACGACTCGCCGTTATACCACTGAAATTTGTGTAATGGTCGTGTAAAGCAGTCGTATAGAAGTGCATACGACGTTTTTATACGATTACGAGTTGTATAAGCATAAGGGGCTCAAAGTCGTATTATATGTAAAAATTACTTCAATATGATGTTTATAGCATTTTGGGCCGTATAAATCTCAATTAAGCGACGAAAATGTTTGTTGGGATTTACTTTTACACAACACAAAAACATACATACTACTTAACATAACACTACATATTTGATAAAAAAAAAGGAAATAATAAAAAGACATAAAGCCAGTTAAATAATAAAATAAATAACTTATTATATGCCGATAACCACGTAATCAAACCTGTGTGTGATGATGTTATTATTAATAGCATTCTATTGACAAATTTTTAAGTTGTTCTTATATTAGCTAGATGCGTTATGTACGCAATCACAAAAGCGGTAAATGGTTTATACGCATGCACAAGCCAGACTCATTTAAAAATATACATACTGTCTATATACATTAACAACACTACAGACATCGCGTTATCATGTAACGGCTGTGATACGCGTTGTTTTTCCAGAGGATTCTCTTAGAAGGCGACGCACAATAACATTTCGAAATCACCTTCCAGCAATGGTATTTTCGAACCGATACGATAATAAAACCTAGAAAAGCTTATTCCTTCTTAAATGGCCGGCAACCCACTTGCAATTTCCCTGATATTTCGGGTGCCCATGGGCGTCGGTAATCACTTACCATTAGGTTAAGCGCAGGCTGGTTTGTCCCCTGTGCTATAAAAAGGCGATATAACTCAATCGCGTACACTGTATAGCTTCTACCGTTACGTGCTGGAGCCCGAGCTGCAGTTCACGAGCAGCGGCGCAGCTGCGGGCGGCGCGGGCGCGCGGTTCGGGCGGCTGCCGCACGCGCCGCTGCTGTCGCTGGAGCTGCGCACGCCGCCCAACTGGCTCGTCGAGTGCGTCAAGTCCGTCTACGACCTCGACAACATACGCCTCGCGGACGTCGACACGCTCGTACACAGGTACACCCCTATGTGTATTTTGACCTCTGATCGATTCGTCGTCCAATTCAAACGGGGAAAGACATTATGACGGCCGAGCCGAGCTTCGAATTATATACATAAGTTAAGGAAAAGTATGTGCCTAAAGGTTTTGTTTTCTATTTTTAATTGTAATGCTTATCATCGACGATAACTGCGGGTAATTTTTCTCTAACGATGAACGCATTACGCATTAACTCGCTCGCCTCTCTAGTATCACATTCATATCTTACTCGCCTTTTGGAAATTCTCGTTTTACAATAATATTCATAACTTCCACTCATAGACAGCGTATATCAAAGTAATTGAATGGCAATTCAAAGGAATTCAATTCCCAAAAGTCATTTGCAAGTATTATTGGACGTTTCGTATTTAGTAGAATAGAAAGTGGATTAGTGAAATTACAAAATAGTAATATAGTATATTAATTAATGAATTTATGCATAGCGAGTTCGAGCTGGAGTATTTGTTACTGGAGGGCCACGCGTGGGACGTGGGCGTGGGCACGCCGCCAAGAGGCCTACAGTTAGTTCTAGGCACTCAAGACCGCCCTGAAACAGTCGACACCATCGTGATGGCTAACTTGGGATACTTCCAGCTAAAAGCCACCCCTGGTGCTTGGACTCTCCGCTTGCGACCCGGCCGATCGGATGACATTTATGAAATAGTCGGGTATGATCATTGCATATTTGTAGTAATAGTTAACTCAGCCATTTTCGTAGAATATGTTATTGTTATAAAATCTTGAAGTAATCTACATTTACTTAAATTAGAAATTAACATTCCCTTCCTAGGAGGTGATTTTCCTAAAATCGTTAAAATCTACCTCAGTTAATCTAAAAAATTAAAGATAATAATCCGTATATAACAACCATTTTTTTTTAATTACTAAGTATAAAATTAATAATAAACATCCTGTCTTATTTTTACTCTGTTGGAGGCTGTATTTTTTTTTTAAATCTTTCTTCGTCTTTTGTCTCTATAAAGCATTTTAATAATAGTCGGTTCAGTCCTGATGACTGGTTGACCAACTGGGTAACTAGAATATCTGTGTAATATTGCTTCATATTATTATTTGTGTGTATATCAGGCACGAGAACACAGACACGCCGGCCGGCAGCTCAGACATTCAAGTGCTGATGAGTTCGTTCCGCAGTCACGTAATAAAACTCCGCGTTAACAAGAAGCCAGATCGACAACACCTCGACCTACTCGTTGAGAACGACGACAACAACTCTGGCGGCATATGGAACTCTATCGCCAGGTAAAAAATAATAATAACTTATGAAAATTTACACAGCGCCATCTAGTTCCAAGCTAAGCTGAGTTTGTGGTATGAGTATTAGACGACTGATAGAAATAGTAAAATAGGTTTTAATACATAGTAATATACATACATAGAAAAACTCAGATCAATAAAAATAATTCGCACGATTCGAACCCCCGACCATCGGAAGTAAGGTGATTGTCTAAACAGAGGCCAGAGTGTAATTTGTCAATAATTTCTTATGTAGGTAAAAAAAATTATGTGGAAACTTTTTCACTGTGCCATTTTTTTCTTTAATTGAATTCAATAATAATATAATATATGTAATAATCCTGTAGGTACGGGTATATAACTATTTTTTTATGTTACATGAAAATATAACAATACGTTTGTTACATTTGATTTAAGAACCTATTTTTTCTGAATGTGTATGCTTGAATAACAAGGGGATCTTATTTAGTCGTGTAAGTAGTCATTAGGTATTTTAACTTCTACTACTACCCCCTCTCGGATGGTGGAGTAGTAGTTGACTGAGTTATTGAAATCAGCCGAAAATTAGTATTAATAGCGTATATTTGTATCTAATATAGTTCATTCGGAGGTGGCGAAGAGCAGGAAGTGCAGGATGAAACTATAAACGTGTTTTCGGTGGCATCAGGCCATCTTTATGAACGATTCCTGCGCATTATGATGTTGTCAGTCCTCAAAAACACCAAATCACCGGTTAAGTTCTGGTTCCTCAAGAATTATCTTAGTCCTTCACTAAAGGTAAGATGATATATAAGAAGATAAGTTTATTTATAAGAACCTTAAAAAAATCCCTTTTTATTTTGCATATCTGATATGCAATATTTTCTCTAATTCTGTATTTATTGACGCGCAATGTTTTACCAATTACGTATTTATAGATGATTCTACTTTTTATACTTTTGATAGATTTGATACTATTCTACTTTTGATAGATTACGGTTACTCTTTTAGGGGTTCTAATATAATATAATTTTAATTTTAAATCTTCTTTTTAAGTCTTTTATAGTCTAGTCTTTAGCTTCTAAATGCCAAAAATTTTAAGTTTGAGAATTCTGTTTTCCTGTTGTGTTAGCTCAGTTTCTAGTATCCATATTTAATGGTTAAAATAATAAAAGTGAAACAATAAGAATAAATGAAAAAGTTTAGTCTACTTGTTCAGAAAAATAAATCTACAGCAAGTCTCATTATTATTAGTATGTACATGACAATTTATTAATACTTGATGATATTTGACACCAGGACAGCCTCCCATATATGGCACAAGAATACGGCTTCGAATATGAGTTGGTGCAATACCAATGGCCACGCTGGCTGCAAAGGCAACGTGATCGCCAACGCACTATTTGGGGCTATAAAATACTCTTCCTTGACGTGTTGTTCCCTCTACATGTGAAGAAAATTATCTTTGTCGACGCTGACCAGGTTAAATTTTATTTTTTCTTCTTCATAATTAGGCTTAATTTCAAATGCATCTTTTGCTTTGTCTTCCACGATACAGGTTTAAAGTATTGTGGAGTCATAGATAAACGTTACCTTTTCCAATAAATAATGTTATTCTTATAAAATCAATTTATCGATTGCAGATTGTACGAGCGGATTTGAAGGAGTTAGTTAATTTGGATTTGGGTGGCGCACCTTACGGTTATACGCCGTTCTGTGACAGTAGAAAGGAGATGGAAGGATTCAGGTAATTACTTTATTACGATCTGACAATAAATTGTATGAAAATAATCTATTTTTAAGATTACGTTTTTTTTTTAATTTTGACATTACATTAGTCCTAATGACTACAATTGCAGATAGTGTAGTCAACGATATTAATTTTTCTCGTTCTTTTAACACTTGTTTCTTAGGAAGTAATAATAAAGTAAGTATAAGTAATATTAATGTACCATAATAGTTTTATTGACCTAGTTAGGTATACCTCACATTTGCGAATTGAATTCTAACTTGACAAATCTAAGTGGATAATTTGACCACGCTCAAGTTATTTTATATATTCTATATTCATAATTATAATAAAAAAATATATGACAACAGGTTCTGGAAGCAGGGTTATTGGCGCAACCACTTGCAGGGTCGCAGCTATCACATTAGTGCGTTGTACGTGGTTGACTTGAAACGATTCCGACGAATTGCCGCCGGCGACCGCCTACGAGGACAGTACCAAGCCCTCAGTCAAGACCCCAACAGTCTCTCTAACTTAGGTTACACTGTGTTTATTATTTTTATATCTTTAGATATCAGTAAATATTGGGCTACGTTTATTGATACTCATAGCTACATCGCATGGGACAATTAAAATATTACAATGTATGAAATAGCGATAACAGGGGATATAGATAGATATAGAGAAAACTTCTTTCCATTAAATTCAAGTGCTCAATGCAAAGCCACGCAGTATGTGTTACATACTGCCTTATGAAAAGTTAAATTATAATTAAAATGAAACTTTAAAACCTAATTGGTAATTGCTGACATTAAAACATGATTAAAGTTTGAATTACTGTTTATAGATCAAGACCTGCCAAACAACATGATACATCAGGTGGCTATAAAATCGTTGCCTCAGGAGTGGTTATGGTGCGAAACGTGGTGTGACGAGAGATCAAAGAAGAGTGCCAAAACTATTGATTTGGTGAGATCCAAAGAATATTAATAAATTTGTAAAGTCATAATATACATGTATAGTAAGATATTTGAACTCTTAAAAATTATAATTTGCTTTTATAAATGAAAACAATCGATCAATTTACCCAATTTATTTGTCACAGTCACACACAGTTGAAAAGTCCAATTTACCGTAAGGTGTGAATGTAGTCTTTAGCACAAAAATACTCTTTCTTAAGTTTATTGATATTATAGAAAACTGCTTTGTCTGTCTTTTTTTGAAATACAAGATATCGCTCTTCGTGAGACAATATGTTTTCACGTCCAAGGTTTTAAACAGACAGATCTACTTTCGTATTTATAATAATAGGAATAGACTTTTTCCGAAATATTTTAGCTTTGTTAAGCAATTTGTCGAGTTTTAATCAATTAAGTAGAAGTCTGTTAAGTGATCGCTTTGGCAACTACGTACTTTCTATATATATTGGTAATTGTATAATGCGTTCCGTTCAGTGCAACAATCCAATGACAAAAGAAGCAAAGCTGTCGGCCGCAATGCGCATCGTGCCGGAGTGGCGCGAGTACGACCAGGAGATCAAGGCACTGCAGGCACGTGTGCGCCGCGGACTGTACCAGGCCGCCGACAACGAACAGGTTGTTTCTTATAGCACTAATTACATAGGCCATGGCCGGAGGAATTAAAAAAAATATTTTATTCTAATTTAATATAAAAGAAATAATGTTACAATTCAATTTCTATAACTAATTATCTTACTGTTGAACTTGAAACCGATGTAAATTACTAACACGAAGATGTTGTTAGCCAAGTTTTCCTTGGTCAGCGTTACTGCTTCATGTCGCTGTCCTAGTTAATTTATGTGGTTGTGGCGAAATATTGTAAGTGACCAATGTATTCTATTGGTTGTATTAACTGCCCATGATAACCTAATGTACTAATGTCCATGATTGCCACAGTTATTGTGTGTATATTAATACGTTTGTGTATATTAATTAGCTGAATGTGTTTACCTGTCGTCTGTTTGATATTGCCTCGTAAATGTTTAACTTAATTTATACAAAATTAGCTGTTACCCGCAAATTTGTTTTTTTAAGAGGTAGGCTATGTCTGTTCTATATTCTATAATACAATCTATGTATTTTTAGTTTAGTCAATTAGGTATTTTTTAAGTTTATCCTTTTTGTCAATATACCTCCTTACGAACTATGTATATATCTATGGGATCTTGAGTGCCTAACATATTAAGTTAAGTATAATATAAAGCTTTTTGTATAAAAAATTATATATTTTTTTTATTTTGCAGGAAATTGAAAATGTTCACCATGAAGAGAATGTTCCAATCGAAAACCATATAAGTAAGTATATTATGAAATATCAAATGTTTATGTATGATGTTACATTAAAAATAGAATAAAACTGAATTTTATATATCCTTTATTATCCTCGAGATTTAGATTTATTCCAGTGATATTCCAACTAAGGGATTGATTAAGTAAAGTTGTTGCAGTAATTTCTTATTTTAAACAGGTTAAAATAAAAAAGTTTGTTATGTATGAATTTGTTAACCGTTGTCATCAAATTAGTTTTATTATAATTTGTGAAATTTGTGCCTATACTCCTTTCCAATAGAACTTACTAGAAAAGTATAATCATTATTTGTTTTTCTTTACAGAAAAGGAAACTGAGCAACATACCGAGTTATGATGGAATAAAGCGCTGATATTGATAGTTAGTGATAATTATTCCATAACCAATTTTTTTTGTTGAATCTATTACAAATGTCTTCAACCAAAAATTATAATAAATTTGCAGTAATGCCGTTTGGTAATATAGTAAAATGACAGAAAATACTAGTTAATAGAAAATACTAGTAGTTTAATAATGTTCGACAAGCTGTCTTCATCGTATAATAACCTCCACTAAAATCACAGTATTCCTAAAAGTTTCGATTATCGGACGGTGTTCTATGTAATAATAGCTCAATATATAGCTATCGCACTATTCTGTATTGCCATTTTGCTTTCATGTTGTTAGTAAAATTGTTTTCTAGGATACGTTTTGACATATTAGCAGTGTTCGTAAAATATAATAATAATTTTAAATGTAATGACTGGATTGGATATAATATATATTGTTCATTAAATTGAAATATGGGTACAGATTACTGCCTAATGTGTATATATGTATGAATTTGTATTTTATTATGAACCGGGTAAACCGATTTATAACAGTTTTTTTTACTTATATTTACAGAGTAAAAAAGTACTTATTTCTTAAAATTTTTCTTAACAAATGGTACTTTCTACTCAAGAAAAAAAATATATATTTCAATAGTTCACCAGTGGCATTAGAAAAAAAATACAGGGGTTTATGTTATAATAATATAAATAATTAAATAACGTTTGATGCATTCCGTAAATAGGGCCCAGGGCTCGATTCTTAGTAACAACGATATTTCTAAAGTGGATTTAAACTGAATAAATGTGTCCATACCCCCGCTATGTTGTTTAGTATAAGTCAGAGTTTAGAAGAAGAGCGATTGATTTCGTAAAATTTTCCTTCCCAATAATTACCTTCTACTAATAGGAAAGTTTATGAGTAGAATTGATAAAAATAATTTTCCTCAAAACTCAAGTGGATTTAAAAAACATGGTAACGTGGTACTGTGGTAAAATGGAAACCTGTCTAGTGAACAATAATAATAAGATTACTTTTATTGCAAATAATACTTCTGCATACTGCAATGAATAAGTTTCCAAACCCCGATGGTTGTTATTTTGTGTTAAGTGTGCCTATTATTTTAATTTCATACCGTTGTGCACTCTTAAAAGGCGAACTGTAAACGTATTAATCAATGCGGCCTTTTGTCTTATACAAAAAATATTATTCTGTGAATTCACTAAAATATTACGTATTAAAACGTAGTAAATGTAAAATATATGTTTGTTAAACTTTGTTCATTATTTTTTCCAGTGTTATTCCAAAGCATCAGTAATGTTAAGAAAAAGTGATGTGATTTTAGATAATAAGTTATTTTTTTTTATGGTCGACTAGAGATTTATTTTATATTTTTTTCCCCGCTAATGATTACCAATACTTGTGAAATTTTGTATGAATTACGTATAAACTAAGAGCGTTCAATCAGACTATAAGACTCGTATTATATTATATATATATATATATCAGTCTCACACTCACCAAAATTTACATTGATGTTAAGAGTACTTGGAAATTTCTAAATAAAAAATGAAGCGATATTGATTGATTTATATTACAACGTGTTTTAAGATTGATGTTTTGGTTTGCTGCAAGTGCACTTAGTAATTGTCCGAAAATATTGAAAATTGTATTTGACATTTGGCAGATGACGCTGATTGCGAGATGTTAGCAATGAACGCTCTTATGCGATCTCAATATTAGTTAATGAAAATTATTCGCCTTGCAGTGTGGGTTTACTACGTTTTTTTTATTTCCACTATATAATTATCCACATATGAATTTTGTACTACGATGTTCATAAATCCAATACCAAAATATCCTGTAAATAAAAATATGTCAAATAAAGTTGTTGTTATTATTGGAAAGTACTACCTAAATAAAGTGACCAGCATTCATATGTTGCCAATTTGCATTATTATAAGTGTAAAGTTCTTATTACCTGGTCGTATTATCTACACATTGTCAACGATTTAGGATGGGTTGGATTACACAAGGAAAATAAAAAGTTTGAATATTTTCTAAGTACCAGTAAGTTTATTTACAATTCCTGTTTACAAACTACATTTCGGAAAAACTATCTACCATAGTATGTCGAAAGTTATTTTCTACAAAAACAAGATAATTTATAACTGTGAGAAAACACTTACGTTAAACTACATATAATGTTAAGTATATTAAAACCGACCATGATGCCAGGCTACTTGGCTGCTAAAAAGGTAAATTCCATGCCTAATTCCCAAAATTACAACTTTTGTTGCCATCTCCCATAGAACTAATTCTCTAAATCGCTGATTTTAAAATAACTAATTGTGCTCAAGTTTTTAAATGTCTCACATTATTGGGTAATTCTTAAGACATTAAAAATAGTCAAATTTGTGAACATCATAAATAAATACGATCTAAAACAGTCTATTGCATTTATTTATTATTTCTATATTGGTTTTTTTAGATTTATCTACATTACTTACACCCTCGTTTCACCCACGTAAAATTTATATTCTGATCTATAAAGCTATTATATATTATTGTAAAGTTTCATTAAAATCCATTCAGTAGTTTTTGCGTGAAAGTGTAAGAAACATTCGTCCATCCATACTCACAAAGTTTTACGTTTATAGTATTAGTAAGATGCATATATTATGCAAGTATAAGTTTCTGTTATTTAATAATCATCTAAATGATAATTTAATAGGTCTTCAATAACTCATACAAAACCAACTATAGATTGATATTGAGCAGAGCAAGAAACCAAGGAGTAACGAAATTTGCCATTATAGGAATTGATTTTCTGCGAATCAACTAGATGTAGTAGCTCATTAGTTGTAATTAGTACCTACTATAAAGACACTGTCCTAGAAATATCGAAAAAACAGTTATCATATATTCCAATTATCGGACACTGTAGTGTAAGATGCAGTCTATTTTATAATATTAATAATAATATTCTTCCACTATATTTTTTAAAGCTATATACAAAATACTAAAACATCGACTATTACTAAAATAGTTTGTGCAAAGCTATGCATAGCGTCAAATAAAGATGACGCCTATTTCTATTACAACACATTATTGTCAAGATACTCTATACATTATAAACTTATTATTATATTAATATTTCGATATGTTTCAATACAAGTCTACAAATAAATAGGTATAACAGTATTCTAAGTACTGTGATGTTTTCTGACCGGATGTTCATAATTGAATGGCAACCTTACTTTCTAATCTACTTATATACCAGTATTACTATGCGTAGGTATACTAGCTACTAATATTTTAAACAATAAATGATTTTTACATCGAAATACTTTATCAATTATGAATGACTAGTAGTTATTAAGGTATTAATTAATTTGATGTTAAAATGTATGAAATATTGGTATGTTTTAAATAGGCAGGAAACATTCTTTGGCTTTTATTTGGCGCCAAACAAGTAACAAAACCATAGACAATAAATATTAGATGCAGCAGTTGCTTTTTCGTACTTAAACTTATTCAGAAATTAGTGAAAACCGTCAAATGAGTCAATATTTTTCTTAAGACGTTGCTACTTTTCATTTCAATCTAAACATACAAAAGAAGCTATAAAGAGCTACGTAATGAATAGTCGAGCGACGGTCATGCGGTGCGTGTTCAGTTGCAGTAGTGTTCCTCTGTAGTGAGGCGACACAGCTGGCAGTCGACGCGGCAGCACCAGTGGTACCGACAGTGGCATCGTTCGAGGCGGCTCGAGCGCACCGCGCGCCGCCCGCGCCCGCAGCACAGACGACCGCACCCGCCGCGCCCGCTGCCCACCGATGCGTTACATTTCCTATACAACAATACACGTTTGAAATGTTACATGTTTATAAGCTTTCCTACTTTATTTAGTTGTAGGTAGTGACGTATTTTGTAAGATTCGGATATCCTAATAAAAGTGCATAAAATGATACAAATAAATATGTATGTTGTGCAGATGTTCTATAAAATAATATTTTCCTAATTACGCAGTTAAGATTCGGATATCCTAATAAAATGCACAAAATGATACAAAGAAATATGTATGTTGTGCAGATGTCCATTAAAAAATAATTTCCTAATTACGCATTGCCAGTACTTACTCGAGCAACATAACCCTGGACGGGAGGATTTCGGAACATTTTCGTTTGTAAAAAAAATAAGAGTATACTTTTTCGCCGTCACTTTCATGGCAGGTGCTACACTCATGTTTGCCCAAGAACGCAATGATGACTTCTATGCCATACGGGAGCAACGGATAACGTCAGGTTAAGGACGTTAAGACGTCACACATTTTTTAGTAACGTAGGTTAAGTAAATGTTACTGACAAAATGGACTATGTTATCTGACAATAAATTATTATTATTACCTGCCGTGGGTTCCGAGCGAGCCAGCTGCGGGATCGGGCTCGCAGTAGTCGGGGCTGGGCGTGACGTAGCGCAGGCGAGGACGCGCGCGACGGGCGGCACGGCGACGCGGACGTAGCGGGCCCGCGCGTGACGCTTCGGTTGCGAGCGCGGCCGCCGCTCGTGAGAGCGGCGTCAAAGCGCGCCAGCACGTACGCACCGAACACGAACCCGACACGCCGTGGCACGTACACTTGGTCCGCATACCGCCAGACACCACCTAACACAATGGCAATGTAAGAAAATTAATTTGGGATTGGATTGCTGTGGCATATACAACGTTCCTTCCTTTTTTTTCGTAACACTATTCACGTTGCCACGGAACTCTTATTGGCGACTTTACAGCTTCGAGATTCTTAAGCGACGCTCTCTAGTGTTTATTGATACATACTTGTAAAGTGGTAATCACAGATTTGGTCTTTTAGCTCTTTGGCACTTCTTCAGGCCCCTCTTCCCCACTGGGCACACCGGGTACGTGCCCAGGGCCCCGCGATGGTTTGGGACTCCTAGTCTATGTAGTCTAGTCCCTACTCCATTACCAAACGATAACCGATAGCTACTCTAGGCGAGAGTTCGCCTGAAAATCAGTATTAACAAATGCTTATCGTCTATGGTCAATTTGTTCGTTTTTGTTATTTTTTTTTTCTAAATGTCCAGCAAGAACCTGAACTCTTTATCTCACAATGACTTTTTAAAATTATTTTCGCCTAGTTTGTTTTGAAGGTAGGGCATCTATCTCCATATACATCTCTAAAGAGTCAAGTTAAAAATGACTGTTTATTCTAACAAAATAGTGCTTTATTACTATGGTCATGGAGGCCCCATTATCCTAATAAGTGAAAGACGGTCCTGGTCTTCTTTTCTATGGTATGACATAGGCCTCCCCCAAAGATCTCCACGACGATCGGTCCTGCGCTGCTCGCTTCCAATGCCTTCCAGCGATCTCGACCAGATCGTCGGTCCACCTTGCTGGAGGCCTTCCCACGCTGCGTCTTCCGGTCCGTGGTCGCCACTCGAGGACTTTACCATCTGTCCTACGAGCTATGTGGCCTGCCCATTGTCACTTCAGAGTCGCAATTCTTCGGGCTATGTCGGTCACTCGGGTTCTTCTGCGGATCTCCTCATTTCTGATTCGATCACGCAGAGTAATTCCGAGCATAGCCCTCTCCATTGCCCTCTGAGTGACTCTGAGCTTATTGATGGGGCCCATAGTTAGCGACCACGTCTCTGTTCCGTAAGTCATCACTGGCAACACACATTGGTCGTAAACCTTTGTCTTGAGACACTGCGGAAATTTGGACAAAAAGATATATCGGAGCTTCCCGAACGCTGCCCATCCGAGTTGGATTCGACGATTGACCTCTTTCTCGAAATTGGATCTACCTAGCTGGATAGTTTGCCCTAAGTATACGTAGTGATCGACAATTTTGAGTGTAGAATCTCCGATTTTTACGGGAGCAGGTACGACATGGACGTTTGACATAATTTTCGTCTTGTCCATGTTCATTTTAAGACCTACTCCTTGTGAGACTCTACTGAAGTCTTCGAGCATTTTGCTAAGGTCTTCCAGGGTCTCAGCCATGACCACGATATCGTCGGCAAATCGAAGGTGATTGATGTACTCGCCGTTAATGTTGATGCCCAGCCCGCTCTAGTCCAAAAGCTTGAAGACATCTTCCAACGTAGCAGTAAACAGCTTTGTCGATATGACATCGCCTTGTCTGACACCTCGCTGCAGTTGGATAGGCTTCGAATTCTGGTCGTGGAGGCGAACTGACATAGTGGTGTTTTCATACAAACATTTCAACGCTTCGATATATCGATAGTCCATTTGGCACCGCTGGAGAGACTGTAGCACAGCCCACGTCTCGATCGAATCAAAGGCTTTTTCATAGTCCACAAACGCCAAGCAAAGTGCCAGGTTGTATTCTTCGGTCTTCTGAATTACCTGCCGCAGCGTATGAATGTGGTCTATGGTACTGAAGCCTTTTCGGAACCCGGCTTGTTCGGGAGGCTGGAAGTCGTCAAACCTGCGCGCGAGACGATTCGTGATGACTCTCGAAAACAACTTATAAACATGGCTCAGCAGTGTTACGGGTCTGAAATTCTTCAGAAGCGATTTGTCTCCCTTCTTGAAGAACAGAACCACCACACCCCTTTGCCATGCTTGAGACGTACTGCCCTCAAGGATGACGGAGTTGAATAGCCTCTGCAGGATTCGTTAAACAGGTCTACCTCCAGCCCTCAGATGCTCAGCTGTAACTCCATCATCGCCTGGCGCCTTGTTGTTTTTAAGTTGTTTAAGAACCATACCAATCTCGTACAGGCTGACGTCCGGGATATCTTCGGTATAGAGTTAATTTGGCTCTAGGGTCTTTTGCCGTGTTGTTAACAGGTGCCCGTGTTGCCGTGTATAACTGTCCATAGAACTTCTCAATTTCCCTCAAAAGTTCGGGTTTAGACGATCGATCCTGCCGTCATCCGTCTTAAGTCGCGTCAGCTGGCTCTGTCCGGCAACCAGATCCCTGTTAAAGACTTTTGAGCCCTTGTTTCTCTCAATAGCCTCCTTTACACAATTTGTGTTAAAGTGGCGTAAGTTACGAGTCAAGGACTTAGAGATCTGCCTGCTAAGTTGCCGATACTGGGAAGCGTCAGTCGGAGACTGCAGGACCATATTTCGCCTTTCATCCATCAGTTTGAGGGTATAGATGGATATTTTTCCGGTTCTTTCTGCGCGGCGGGTTTTGAAGTGCTTAGACCCAGCCGCACGGACAGTTTCTACGAACCTGTTGTTGTAATCGTCCACGTCAACGCAGTTACCAAGGCATTCGAAACGATTTTGCAATTCTAGCTGAAAGCTTTCGGGGTTTTGGATCTGTATAGGTGTAGGTCGGAGCGTAGATTTCATCAGTCGGGATCGTTCGAGTTTTAGATTCAGATTCAATGTGCCTCTTACAATCCGGTGATCACTTCCAATTTTGACGGCATTGATCACAGAGACATCATTGAAAATCTGTTTTCTCGTTGACAAGATGAAATCTATCTCGTTTTTTGTGGCACCATCGGGACTAATCCACGTCCATTTCCGGTGTTCCGGTTTCCTGAAGAAGGAGTTCATCATAAAGAGGCTCTCCTTCTCCATGAAGTCGGTCAGCATTTAACCTCGGAAGTTCCGATCACCGATCCCACGACATGCCAGTGCAATCTGCTCAACTCGTCCTCCAATTCAGTTAACTTTTCGTCGGTCCGCAGTGTTTGAACGTTGTATGTTGCCAGGGCCAGTGGTCGTCGTTTGTGATAGCCTGGTCTTACCCGGAGATTCTTCGCACCCCCTGCCCCGCCGTTTCCATGACCGCTACCATGGTCAAGACTAGCGGGGCCGCCGGGGATTGGGGGCCGGGGCCTTGGGTGTAAATCCATTTGGGGGGCATATTGCCATAATCGCCACGCTTGGCATGCGGGTTGGCGATCGCAGTATGATGGTAGTTACTCAGTAGAACGCTGCTGTCCGTCCACTGGTCGATGAATCCCTTAGTCGCCTTTTACGACATCCACGGGAAGAGAGGGGGTTATGTTATTCTTACAGCGACACCGCATGCGCTGGTAAGGTATGAAACAATATTATGGGTTTACTTACGTTTCGCCCGAATCGGTAGTTGAGAAGATTGGCGGAAGCTATCAATGGTCGTAGCCGCTCGAGACGTGTGCGGAGGTCCACTTGAGGATCAAAACGTGGGTCGTCGGCAGCCATGCGGTATTCTATGTTGCGGTATCGTGAACCTCTGTTCTCATACTCGTATCTGCATATCGATTCATATACATATACACGTGTGACGTCGTGAACGTGGTGATCAAAGGATAATAAATAATATATGACGTCAGTTATTATTTCATTAATGAATTACTTAATAAAATTGTAGATGCCGTATGGAACATATTCAGAAAATCAATTATTAGCTCGTTTTGTGGTTAATTTTCCCAACTTTATTTGACCTATGTCTCATAAATTACAAAATATTCTGTGAAATATTGAATTCAATTTCAACCCATTTTTACTACAAACAGTAATATATAAACAAAAAGACAAACAAACATTTTACGTATAGTCACTCTTTTATTACATAAATAACTTACTAATATTAGGTAGGCCATAAAATCTGTTGAACGGATTTTGATGAAACATTATAGTAATATAACTTGTATAGCAGAATAACATATAGGAAATAATTTAAAAAGATTATGTAAATTGGGCGAAATATATAATGATAAATGTCAAGTACCTAAATGTGATGCAGGTGAAATTGCGCGGTTCATCTAGTATTAGATAAAGTTCACTTATATAAATGATATTAATACTGATATTTATATAAATGCAGATAGAAAGATACGTTCCAGATAATATCTTACCGTGATCTGAAACGTTTCCTTGTAGGTCTGCCGCGTCGGGGCGACCTCGGCAGCCGCTTGCGGCCACGCCGTCCTTTCTTCCCAGTCTTTGGAGGTGCGCTAGTGTTCGTGGGCGCTGGTTGATCGTCCACCAAAATAACTACTGGCGGCACCGTTGTTGGTTCCATAGTAACGGTTGTAACTAGATCTGTAGTTGTTATCTCCTCTTCAAAAAAATCCTCTATTCTTCCATCTCGGACATCTAATTCATGTGCGTCTAAGAATTGTTTAGCAAATCTGAAATAATAAGTGTTTTAATTTTTATTTATCATTAACTTTTCTGACGAGAGTAAAAAATATCATCACCTCACATCAATATAATCATCAATCTAAAATAGTTATATTGTGGGTAGGTATCAACATTTTCAGTCGTCTTTCAAATGGTGGTGTATATGAAATCTGGCCTGGTCTATTTCAAATTCTTTAACGCACATTATGTGGGTAATGATATTGTGAGGAATATATAAATAAAATAAAAATAATGATGATAAAATAATAAAAAAGTTAAAGTAATACACAGTAGTAACCGCAGATGGACTTATTCCAGTTGCTACCAATTGAATGAAGAATAATTAGGGCAAGGGGCATACGCGATCATCAAGTAAGTGTGATGCAGACGAAATTGCCTGAGTCAGCTAGTTTGTTAATAAAAAGATAAAAACAGCACATCAAGTTCATTAAGAACACAACACCTTTGCGTTTTCATCAATAAATCTATTAAGATTTATAATCTTTTTTAAATCTCTATTAATTACCTCTGAGCCCATTGGAAATTGTCACCGCACCCTCCCCACTTGAACCTGGTATGAGGCTCAGCCGGCGTGATCTGAGCCTGCCTGGGCGGGCGCGGCGGCGCTCGGGGCGGCGCGGCACACGAGCACGCCGGCAGCGCGCCCGCCGCGCACGCCCTCGCTACGGACCACGCCAGCGCCGCCGCAGATATCGCGTACACATAAGCTTGCTCTCGAGTGCCTAATCCAAAACGAAATTCATCAATTTAGCAGACCTCATGCTATCTAATCGTCCGATCGTGATAGAGCCCGCACGGGCGCCCTTAGTCAGGCTAAACAATACCATCGAGCCGGCTTATCACACAGCACATCGGCAGCGAGAATCGCGCGTGAGTGCACCACTCATGGTTATCGCTCTCGTACTCCCCCGGACGTCGCCTTCACCACCCCGCACCCTTGCGCTTGATTCATGCGTATAATTAAATCTTTTGTCCGTTACGCTGTAGCTCGACCCTTGCCGTTGATCGCATTGTAAGGTGGTCTTTCGAAAGCTTTAGTAATTTAACAGACCAAAGATAAGTTTTCTAAGAAAAAAGTCGTTTCATCAAGAAGGATTTACAGATTGATTTATGATTTCAGCTATCTGAACAGTCTTTGATTGAGACACGGAATAATTCCATTTATCTGTACTAGTGTTTCTCAAACTTTTGGACAACGAGATATTTTTGTAAGTTAAAAAGCCAACACCGTAAGTCACTCAAAATATATATCGGTGATTTCAGAGAAAAACTAACATTTACTAAATTTGTGGTTTCTTTTATTGTATAGAATCAACGAATTATTGTCTTTACGTTTTGCTAGAACCTACGAGAAAACAAAATCAATTTGAAAAACACAGACTTGTGGGACAGAATAATTGTTAAATGTAACGTTATTATTAGGTTTTATTTATATTTTTCCGGCCTGCTATGTTGTATCAGAGTTTGATCAGTTGGATCAGAGTGCTGGCCCGTAAAGGGATGAAAGACGACTGCATGCAACTGAAATGCGAATGTTGAGATTTTTAAAATCACTAGTATCCTGACGACTTAGGCGTAATGCCGGTTAGTCAGGGAGAGAAACACCTCAATGCCTACAATATTCACAATTATCTATCTCTTATTTGTTTTTATGATAATATCAACACTTTCGCTCCAAAACTCCCGCTGCCTCCGTTCAGTCGTCCGTCATCCACTTGTCAATGTCACATAGATTACTTTGGCTCTGGCCTCTGACGTTCCGTTTCAGGTTACATGATTATTGACTTTACCATTTTTAATTAATGGTGCGTCACACGATAGTTAACAGTCGGCCATCCTGCAATAGTGTCTGGCCCAGACACATAGGTAACTGATGAGCGTAGTCATGCTTATCAAAGGATATAGTGTCTACAGGATCATATAACAAATACTTAACTAAATAAACTAAAGATACACATTACTTTCATAACATTGACTATCTTAGTATACTGTCAAAGGTTTACAATCTAAAATCAATACTAACAGAGCTAAGTTTCGGCATGCATTCAGAATGCACAAAATATAACATAACATATATTAATTTACATAATCCAAATCACCCAAAAACATGAACAACCTTTTAGAGTAACATACAATTATTTGGCGGTGATTGACTTCTATGAGTCAGACTGTAACATATCACCATCACAATGTAAGTTTCCGATCTTATGAACATTGCATTTTTTTTTTTTTTATACCTCCAAAATAGAACTTGACATTTCTCATCATGAATATTTTAACGGATAAATTTAACATATCACATTACAGAAGGTAAAACTTAATTACCTACATATATAGAGAAAAAAATATAAAGAGAAAGTAATATTCTCGTGACATAAAATTAGAACAAAATCGCTGCCTGCCTTCACCTCACCAATAGAAAATAACAGGTCAATATTATTCAAGTGGTTCTAATACCCTCAATGCTACTACTACTATTTTACTTCGACGATACTCTTGATTTACCAGAGAATTATTTTAATATAACATAATTCATTGAATTTCAGTTATGATTTACTTAACAATACCATCAGCTCACTGGTCAAGTAATCTATTGCACCCTTTGAACCCTGTACATTTAGGGAACTATAAATGATTGTAGATACTGATCTCAATTTTCTTTACAACACCAGTTTAACATAAACCAAAACCCACTGTTCCAGATTAATGTGAAATAGAAATAATCTTTATTCAAACAAACTTAATATAAGCACTTTTGAGTAGTCAAGATTTTTGAATCTATCGCTTATTCGGAACGCAGATTCATCACAAGAAGAATAAACGAAAACTTGCGTGTTGCTCTTTTAAACAAATATTGATTTACTTATATTTAATTAACAACAAGGATTAGGCGTGCGGCAATCAACATAAAAACCGCTACGCACTTAATCTCCGTTCAATCAGACAACATTGACAGCGCTATGAATTTCAAGTTAGATATTTTCTAAAAAAAACACTGATTTATAAATGATGACATTTATAAATTTTTCAATTTTATAATAAGCTTTTTTGTTTTTACAAAGAAAATATTTTATGACACATTTGATTTCTTTTTCGGGCAAATTGAGTACAGACTCTGGGAGTTTGTTGTAAAACCTTGCGCAATTTCCATAAAACGAATTACTAACTTTCGTCAAACGAACGTGAGTTTAGTAAGCCTACTATTCACTTTATATTTTATCGATGGTATTCGTAGCCACTTCGGCCATCCAACGTTATCGAAGGGCCTCATTCGATATTATCATAACAGTTAACATCGGGTAATATAATAAAATTAAAATCATATAAAATTTAGTTTGAGATACTTTACATACTTAAAATATGAAAGTTGCCACTGACAACTACACATTACATTTCAACATCATGAATTCAGTCTTTGTTATATTTTTCCGCCTTAAGTTGTATCACTTAATTTTTCACAGGTACTAGTCAGCATCTCTGCAAACACGGCTGCCTAGCTAATTAGTGAAATACCTGTAAAACAAAACATTAAAAAAATGCCACCGCTTGCCCACTATGACTACGGTCTCAACAGATCTGGATTTTATTAGACTCAGCCACCGCTTGCCCGCACAAGGAGCTACGGCCTCAAACTGGTCAAATTCTCATTAGACTCAGCCACCGCTTGCCCACACAAGGAGCTACGGCCTCAAACTGGTCAGATTCTCATTAGACTCAGTCACTGCTTGCCGCCACAAGGGACTACGGCCTCCAACTGAAACACATCAAATATTTAACAACTGGTCATTTTCTCAATGAGGCATTCACCGCTTGCGCACGCAAGGAGTTACGGCCTCCAACTAGTCATATTCTTTATGGTACTATGCTATTATTACTTCAGCCTCAAGTGCTCTACATTGCAACTCAACTATGGGTTATATGCACTCCCATCAAAATTTACTATTACTTTTTATTCTATTACATATCTTTAAGAACTGGATTTCCTGGTTCCATTTTACTATTTCTGCAACGCTTTAAAGGACTTTATAACATTTAATCATAAGTTAATTCAATTTAATTATGTACCAAATTCGAATTATATATCTGGTTGATATATATCTAGTATCTACCAATTTCTGAACGAACATGCAATATATTACTACCACATACCCTACTCCTATTATTATCTACCAAATCTTGAGTAGCATCAACAAAAAGCGAGTCGTTCGTTGTACGTCGCATTGAGCACACGCGGATCCCCATTTTCTCCGTGAACTAACGTATACGGAACCATCAGCCGCGATCTCAGCGCAATCATCTCATCAGTATATCATCAAATCTAAATCACCATCATTTACCTTAAAATCCATAAATCGTATTCATAGTCATATGATTATTATATGAATCTCATAATTTCATAAAAGTATTGCAAATCATTTTTCATTGTCATATCAACCGCCCGTTCTATTAGCCATTTTGCTCATAATTCAGCTTGTCATCGATTGTAACTCATCATTGTATCACTAGCATTCCTTAATCTTTCAGATCTATTCGTTCATGTGCAACTCTTCACCGCGTATATTTACCGACTATTTTCCATAGAGGTGTATCAAATTTTACCTTGTGATCGTCCTTACTACAATCTTGCAGTGTAACTATCTTGTACACCTCGAGCGCTTTATTCATAATATTTCTAAAGTGTCTGGGTTCTATAAATTAGCACCTCTTCTAATTTCCCATTAATTACAACAGACACATAAAATCAATTCTGAAAGGATTAATTTCAATTTAAACTATTTAGTTAGTACAATAGTCAATCCGATTTCTCCAAAGGGCGTTCAGCCACACATACAAGTGCATATAGGTGCTCAGACTAATCTATGGAATCAAATGCCCAGCATTTGATTGCGTTGATCATTACTTATAAAAATTTTAACTTCCGTCGTCGTCAAAGACAACGCTTTAAATTTAATTCAATCTTATTTATCTGATCAATATCAACCAAATATTTGAAAACAACATCACCGTTATTATTATAAACTTCCAATATCTCTACACCTGTAATTTTGTACAATTCAACATTAAAACACCCTCACTTATTTAATACATCCGTTCTCGTATGCTATGCAAGTGACAACATCAATTCTTATATGTTGATGAGTTTACTATTAAAAGCCTTAGTTAACACTTTTATTTTACTTCAACTCAACAGTTATGTCAAAAGTGACAATGGTCTAAATACAACACATCCAATCTCATATTCCAGTCAATTGAGTCAACATGTACCAACAATTCTTACATGCTCGTTAATTTAGCATTATACAGTTCAATTATACTCTTTTTTTTTTTCAACCAATTAAAATCTTAATAGATACAATATCTCAAGATTTAACAAAGGTTAACTAGAAATTAATAAAATTGGCAAAACCATCTACAACAGTAATTTATAACTGTAAACTGTAATCTATTGTTAACAATATTTAACTTTCTTATATCTTAACTTTCATTTATATCCTCTAGTAACTTTTCTTATATATTCCTGGGATTAAATTGACAGATATAGCCTTACTTCCACAACTTATATTGTCTCTCATTTTATTTGCATTGGATATAAAGGTCTCTTAAAACAGTTATAGGTTCAATAGGATCCTTTCAACTTAAATCTAGTATACCCATGTACACTTTTCAAAACTTTAATGCTCATACATTTAACAACAATCAATTGTCCTTTTGTTTTTGTTTT